TTCTTCTTTTAGAAAAGTTCTAAACTTACTTTATAAATAGCTTAGTAACTTCTTCTAAAAGTTAACTATTTTCTTTTTTTTTAGCACTTTCTTAATATCTACTATAAAGGTAGAATATAGTTAGATCTATTTATCTTTCTAAAATTATTTAGCCTAGGCTAAATATACCTGTATACTAATAGCTTTAGGAACTTTTATAAGTATTCTACCTTCCTAGCTTTATATCCTAGTCTAGCTACTATAGATAAATATAAATTTCTTTACTAGTACTAGTATTACTTAGTATCTATCTATCTAAGGTCTTTTTAAAATAAGGTTATACTCTTTATCTCTTTCTAGCTTATAGGCTTATATTTCTTTCTTATAGCTATCTATATCTATCTATATTTAGATAGCTACTTTTATCTAAGAGGACTTTTCTTTTACTTTAATAATAGGTCTTTATATAATTATAGTATACTTTAAATTATTATTTCTTATAAACTTTAAAAAGATAACTAAATAAGTTAAGTAGCTAGTATTAATTAAAGTAGATACTATAGCTATATTATTTATAATTATATAAATAGTTAATAGTTTTTTATTTAGCTAGTTCTACTAAAATAATAAGAACTACTCTTTTCCTTAATTTAGTTTCTTATACCTCTACTTATATCTATATATAGAAGTTTCTAGTTTTCTAAACCTACTATTTCTTTATCTAAGGACTCTTTTAGGTTATAGGTTACTATAAGAGTAGCTTAAGCTAGATAATTAGCTAGCACTAAGAAGTACTTATTAGTATAGTACCTAGGTTTTTTATAATATAGATATAGGTTCTTTTTTTTATAGAGGGAGTACTCTTCTTTAAAGGCCTATTTAGCTTTATTCTAGGTTTTACCTATTACCTTAATTACCTAACTAAAGTAAGCTTTTAAAAGTTCTTAATTTATAGGGTTATTTTAAAGAAACCTTATATATAAAAAGGTAAACCTAATCTTAGCTCTAAAAAGATTTTCCTTAATAGTAACTACCTAAGTTATTAGTAACTAGATAGTCTAGTTACTTAGCACTTTTATAAATATTATTTAGTCTTATAGGTTAGGCTATAGGGCGCTAAAATACTTTATTTTTAGGTTATTAGTATTACTTTTCTCTTCTACTTTAAAGGCTAGCCTTATAAATTCTATATTAAAGTATTATAAGGAAAGCTTCCTTTACTAAAAGGTTTAAAGTTTCTACCTAGCTCTCTTAATATATAAGTTATCTATAAATTATTTATCTAGAAATATCTATAGGCCTTTTATAGTACTTATCTTATTATAATCTATTTATAATAAGGTAATACTAGCTATAGGCCTCTTTAATTAGTTAAAGATATACCTAAGGCCTAATTCTAGTTCTTTAATATTATATTCTAGCTTATAGTTTATCTAGGTTTAGAACCTCTAATAGTCCTTCTAGTTACTATTAAAGTAGTTAGAATCTAGTATCTTAAAGTTTTTTATATAGGTTCTAGTAGTTACTATAGAAAAGGTTAGTTCTAGGACTACTCTTAGTCTACGTACTTCTTTCTTTAATTATTAAACTTTCTATTTAGAAGAAGTAGGTACTAGTAGCGTATTATTTTTAAGAAGGTTAATCTTCTAGGTTAGTATCTACAGTATATTATATAGTTCTTCTAAGAAAGACTCTTTATTAGATCCTTTAATTAGTTATTTTCTAGCTACTACTAATAATAGGCTAGCTGTTAAGATTAGTGTATTTATAAACCTTATTATCTATTATTTATCCTCTTAGAGACTCTAGAAAACTAGCTAAAGTTTTAGTAGAACTTCTTATTTATCTAGGTTCTATTCTACTATAGTTTATAGGTATGTTTTAATTACTTCTTATATAAAGCCTATCTTTACTAGCTATAAAGCTTCTGCTTTTAGCTTAGTAACTATAGTATTTCTTTTAATAGATATACTACTAGTAGTTCCTAAGGTACTTCTAATACTTAGGAGTGTTTTTATAAGTAAATTTAAATATAAGAGGCTAACTCTAAGAGTAGTTACTAGTATAAATTAGATAAATTTACTAAGAATCTATAGTACTAGTTTTTCTTTACTTATAGTCCTTTTAGTAGCGTACTAAGAGTTTCTAAAGTATAGGCAGTAGTATAGGTATTAGTAGTTAGGCCTACTAAGCTCTAAGGCTTTACTTACTAAGGTTCTACTAGGCCTAGCCTATTATAATATTTAGGGCTTTAGAGTAGTAATATATTAAATAGGTTTAAAGAAAGTCTAGTAAGGTTAGTTATATATACTAGTAGGTATCTTTATTTTATAATAGGTAATAAAGTATTATATTAGCTACGTTTATTTTCTTATATTAAGCTAGTATTAAAGTTTCTACCTAGGATTTATTAATCTCTATATATAGAAATATTAGTATATAAATAGGTAACTATATCTTTATAGTTATACTTTAGGCCTTTATATTTATTATTTTTATTAGTATAATATTCTTTAGTTTATTTAAGCTAAAGTTATATAGTAGCTTAGTTAGTATTAGTATTTTACTAATTAGTAAAATACTAGTTAGCCTTCTTCTTTTATATAGTATACTAAGTATTAACCTTAGTAACTTAGTTAGTTAAGACTATAACTTATAAGTATAAGTTAGAGGTATTTATCTTATAGTTATCTAGTTACTTAAGTAAGCTACTAATATTATTTCTACTTAAACTACCTATATCTTATAGTACTATAATTTAGTAGATATAGTTATTATTAGTAGCTCTTAAGTTATTCTACTTAGTAATAGCTTCTTATAGAGCTTACTTATAATTAGTATTAGTAGAGTTAGTCTAGTCTAATAATACTAAAGTAGTAAGGTACTTTTTTTTCTTAATTTAGTTCTAAAGTTATTATACTATAGCTTCTAAGTAATATATATAATTTACCTTTTTATTATATATATCTTAGAGTACACTAGTAGTATTATTTAATAAGTTATTATAATTAATTACTATTTTTATATACTATAAAATATTATATATAGTTTCTAATAGTACTGTAAGAGTATTAAAAATAAATAGTAGGTTAGCTATTATACTAGCTAGTAAGTTATTACTACTATTAATCTTATTAATATTAGTAGTAGAGACTTTAGAAAATACGCTAAGTACTATTAAGAAGTTAGTAGCTTCTCTATTAAAGTACTTCTTACTAAGGTTCTAGCCTATTAGAATTTATTAGTAGTTAGTATTAATATTTTTAAGTTTAATTTATTAGTTATTACTAAACGTAACTTATATAGCTAGGTTATTAGGCTTAGAAATTACTTAAATCTAATTACCTTAAATAATAAGATTAAAGTAACTATTAGTATTTTTATTCTAAATTATAGGCTCTTAAATTAAATTCTCTTTAAGAGTAGAGAGTATAATATAGGTATTTTAGAAAAAGCTATAGTATATAGAGTAGTATATAGTTAGTTAAGTAGCTAGTAGTTTAACTTAGCTTATATACTAGCTTAAGATTTAGCTAGTATTCTAAGTATTCTCTATACTAAATAAATAGTTTAGATAGATAGTATTATAAACTATAAAGTAAGTTAGTTAAATATTTAAGTAAAAGAGTTAGTATTTACTTCTTTTATTTTATATTAGTTATAGGCTTTATACTTAATTAGTTACTAATTAACTAACTAATTTACTAGGCTTACTACTCTTTTTTAAGTAAGCTATTTTTTCTTCTAGTACTAGTATTATTATTTAGTAGGTTAACTTTAAAGTTTCTTAGTTTTATTCTAAAGTATATAGTATACTAATTAGCTACCTAGGTATCTACGTATACTCTACTTCTTATAGTTCTTATAAGTAATTATATATTATACGTATAAGCTTTCTAAAGAATAGTCTAATTAGTAGAACTTAATTTAGTAGTAGAGTTACCTAAAGTAGCTAGTAGTATTTATAGTATACTAAAAGTAGTAAAGGTCTTATAAGTATACTATAGGTAAGAAGGTTAATATAATATAGTATAAAGAAGCTAATATAGGTTATATAAAATAGATAAGATAAGAGTTAATTCCTTTAAAAAGTAAAATATTATATAAAATAAGTATCTTAGTGTATAGAGTAGCTTTAGTATTCTTACTAACTTAGTACTAAGATTATATAATAGTAGAGTAAGTTACGTAATAATAGGTATAGAGGCTCTAATCTATTATATTATTTTTTCTATTTATTTATAACACTTTATTAGTTTTCTTATATTCTAATAAGTTTTTATAATCTAATTAACTTTAGTATCTAGTACTATATAAACCTATAGAATAAGATCTTTAACTTTCTTACTTTAATATAAATACCTAATATTTTAAGTAGTCTAGAGAAAGAAAGAGAAAAGTACTTACTCTTAACCTTAACCTATAGAATAGGTTTTATTTTAATATAGTTATTGTTTTACTAATCTGCTTACTTATATATCTTCTTATTATATATTTATTTAAATAATAGCTGCTTTTAACACTGTATTTCTATCTATCTATAGATTATACTAATATACCTACGTAAGAAGCTTAGAATGTATAGTAAGAGTAATCTAATATCTAAGTGCTTTAATATAGCGAGTATTAAAACAGGAGGAAGTAGAGGTAGATTAAAGTAGATGTTAGTTGCTATACTGGGCATAGTAGTAGATATCTAGTCTAAAGTAAAAGTCTAGGAAGATAGAAGACGAAGATAGCTAATTACAAGATAACCTCTGCTAAAAGATCTAGACTGCAGGTATATAGTAGTAAAAACGTGTGCGAAACCATCTGCTTTTGTACGAGACAACATAAGATACTGTCAACCCACAGCAACCCCTTATATGAACCTCTCCTCGTTCAACCCTCTCCTCATGTGAAGTCATCCTCGTTCAAACCTCTCCTCATTCAAACTCATCCTCGTTCAAACTCACTCTCATATGAACTCATCCTCATGTAAGTTCCTCATTCGAATTCTTCTTGCGCGAACTCCTCCTCATTTAGACTCCTTCCCAGTCAGACTCCTCATCAAAGTCAAATGTAACTCCAGATGCGTCGCTGTCGTCTGAGGAGGGATCAGGGTCGTTGTCGTTTGAGGAGGGACCAGGGTCGTTGCCGTGTAGTAGGGCAAGGCCCCGCTGAGGCTTTACTGCAGGCCTGAGATACTTATTTGCAACTGGGTATCGACCATACTGGGCCTTGAACAAGGATCGGAGCGTAGTGTGGGTTAGTGCGCCTGTGCTCGATGTTTTGATGGTTGCGTATTGTTCCCATCTATTCTTCAACCAAGCCTCAAAAAGCGGAATAGAACCCCCGAAATTCGAGCGAAAGGTAGCTGCAATATGGGTAGGCGCCGTCGCAAGGGATCTGGCTCCCGGATAGGTGGCTTTCAGCTTCAGAACGCTCAAGATTGATTTAATATCCTGCAGGAAAAATCGCTTGCAGTATACTAGCCAAGCTCGAAGTATAGCTGTTGAGGCACAAGTATGCAGCCACAATAGTCGTACAACTGCGTTTCGTAGTTGGTTGCGAGGACAAGTGAAATCCGTGACTGGTATGACTTGACAAGTAGGCCAATATAACCAATAGTTATCTGAACAAGAAAGGTATGTCGGGCGGGGAGCGTAGCCGTACGCTACCAGGGTCCCGAAATCGATTAGCCGCTCTATCGCAGAGCAAGCGTGTCCCATGTCGCTGACAAAAGACGTAGCAAGTGATGAAAATCTGTGGAGAGGGGGTGGCGTTATGACAACTCGAAACACCTCACCGAGGATCTGGTCTTCAGAAGATGTGTACACCAAATAGACGGATCCATCTATCGACAGTTTGAGTCCACGACTGCCCTGTGCGCCGACTCTTGCAACCTCCGTCACAATCCATTTGGATGATCGTGCGGCGTGTAGAAACGAGCTGAAGGATTCTCTATCCCAGAGAAGGCATGCCCGCGCCTTGCTACTATGCCATAATCTTGTTGTGAGTCGTAGATCAGCAACAGTGAGATCGGCCATCTTTTCGTTTCCGAACGTAGATTTGTTATACGAAACAACTGGCGTTATCAAGCGACGGGAGATGACATAAAAAATCAATACCCCCTGTTTGGCTGATCGGCTTGTTTGTGTTTCCAGGCCAAGCTTTCGAAGAACCTGGGACATGCACCCAGAGCTGATGTCGTAGGCTGACCCATACCGTGGTTGGATTGTGACATACGCGGCGTAGTGGAGTGTGACGACAAGCGGGGCCTCTGTACTTCCAAAAGGCTTACAAAGCAGTGACATATCCCCATCAGGGGGGTCGACCTCTGCTTCGTAGTCGTGTCAGTACTGCTCGACAAGCGGACACATCGTGTCCTCAAATGCTGTAGGGTTTGCCGAGTAAGTTGGGATGGTTATGGGATGTCCAACTACTGGCTGGCGGAGGAGAAGCAGCTCTATCAGTGGTTTGAGCATAGCAGCTCTTCCAGCGCCAATAAGCGTGTACACATCCGATAGAATATCGGCGTTGCTTGGATTCATCGCCGACAGTCGTTCATGGGACACTGGCACGTTGGGGTTTATTGACTCGACGATACGCGGCAGTAAAGTCGCGCGATACATTGGTGACGTGATTGGCGGATTGCCAGCAGCCAGTCGAGACGATGTGCGGGCTGTCTGCACCACTGGTACAGGCGAGGTTATCTTTCGAAGCCAAGGTAGCCTTCCACGGCGAGACTTTGGCTTTTGGACCCTTCCCTCAGATACGCGACGCAGGACATCTTCTGCATCATCGTCGCTGTCATCGATGCTGATGGGCATGTACTGCATGACTGTCAGCGATGGTTGGAGTGAGTAGGTGGGAACTGCGAGACATACCTTGCTGCCTTGAGCAGGCGGCTCGTCTTCAGCAGTGCTGTCATCGTCGTTGTACTCGATCTTCGGGCGCTGTATGACTGTCAGCAATGATTGGAATGGATAAGTCAGAAATAGAGCCGTACCCGTCTCGATCGCCGAACTGCTCGTCGCTGTGGAGGGGCTACGGCGGGCCTCAGCTATTATGTTGTTAGTGTGAGAAGAAGCAAAGTATGGGATTGTGTAATACCTGTGGCTGGAAGAAGTCTCTCAGCAATGATTGGCGCGTTCCTGGTTGTGTAGCATGGGCTGCTTTGGCTGTCAGGTTGTTAGCATATGTAGAAGAGATGTCTAGGCTTGCATACCCCAGGTTTGAAAAAGGCAGTTAATTGTGTCTGCCTAGGCGACAGCAGGGAATCCCGGCGAGGAGCCATCGTTTGGTGGTATGCCGTGAGTTGGACGAATAGAGTGGGTTGGTCCAATACATGCACGACCTGAATCGTGCGTTAGCTGGCGAAGTTTGGCAGTAGAGCGAGTGGAGTAATTTTAAACGAACGCCTGTGGGCGAGCTGACGTAATTTCTAGCGAAAGATGCTAGCCCGAATTGGCTCTCTCACCTGTGAGCCCTCACCTTCACTCTTCAGCAAAGCACCGTCTTACCTGTTGTCTGATCACATGCTAACTCAACTCTTTTACTTCGGTCTACAGAGGTGATGAAGGGCGTGCATCAAGACCCTGAGATACCCACGTCGTACCAGAATCCCGCACTGGGGCAGTTGGCATCTTCCGGTACGCCAGAGCAGCCCGTCGACCTGACTGTGTCATCTCCCAGAGAGACCCCTTTCGTCGTGCGACCCAACCACCGGAATCTTGCAAGATGTCTGCTTACCTGTGCTTTGTAGACGAGAACATCCTCAACTCGGACTCATTAGGACTCTCCAGTGATGTGAATTCTGACAACCCTGAGGCGCCACTGCCACTTGAACCATCTCCACTTGGCGGTCTACCTACTGGATAATGCTCGCGTTGCGGATCGTGCAGATTCTGGGGACCCCACAAACTTCAGAGATCTCGCAGACCCTGCAGATTCGGCGGGCTCGTGGTACAAAGACGTGCCCTTAAGCGACGTAGAGTCGCAGGATGGTGAACGTGAGCTCCCTCCGCCTACCACCGAGCTTCCCTCGGTCCCTGAGACTGTTACGCCGACTGCTGCCTCGAGTCTGAGTGGCGGGATTGACGGGAATGCCAGAGTCGACACACCCACAAACACGGTGGATGCGGTCTAGGTATGGGAGAGGTACAGGGCTGCGGTGGACGCTTACAACTTGCTGCGGAAGTCCAGCACTATCTCCGTAGATCGCTTCAACTTGCCGACTCAATCATCGTGAGCACATGTAAAATCGTCGAGGTCTAAGTGTAATTGAAACCCTACTATACAGAATCCTACTCTTGAGTAAAACCGAACTGTGACATGTAAGTAGTAGACTCAAGTTTTCCCCACGACGCAAGGGGACAGGGGGACTAATTGATGTACTAATGCTCGTCACGACAACGTAACTATCACTCAGTTGCCATATCTCACCGTATACCTGGTATAAGCCTGGTGTCCTTTTCGAGTCTCTGAGCGCCTTAGTATGTGATGTCCAATTGCACAAAACTCTTTCATCTAACCTCTCAATCACCGTCCACGAGAAGCAAGCTATGAACCAACAATGGGCATCAACGTCACAACGTCCACCCGCACACGATGACCTTTCACCTCACTGTACCACCGCGCTCCCTATAAAAGATGCATAACCTCCTATGTGCAAAAATCATCGCAATCTAATAGCACAACGTCCCAACTCATCACCTCTACTCAATCACCGGGACCAACAAGTCCACACAGCAATAATGGCCCACCACTACACCACCACCCAACTCGACGACGCCTACAACGCATCGTACAGCATGTACGAAAGCCAAGGCAACTCCCACAACGAATGCAGGCGCAAGGCCAGAGAATTCGTGCGTAAAATGAACAGCGATAGCTTCGAAGCTGACGAGCGAAAGGGCCATAAACACGGACGTTCGCACCATGGCATGTCCTCTGCATTCGACGACTTCGGTAGCATGGCCTCAGCGCTTCCCCGCATGGAGCCCCGTACTTCTCGAGGAGAAAGTACTACATCCAGACATGGATACCAGAAGCCAACGCGTCACTCACCGCGTTCATCCAACTCAGACTTCGATACTGACTTCTTCTCCGACTCGGACTTCTTCTCCAGCGCCTTTGACGACTTCCCCAGCCGAACAAGCTTCTTTGGCGAATCCTCACGCATGCCAGGAACGCGAGGCTCCTGCGCCACCGAGGAGCGAGCGCCAAAGTCGCATCGAGACGCCCCGCCGCGACGCAGCCGTACGTACACGACCGAAGAGCGAAGTCCACGTGGTTTATTCCACTCGCATTTCTACTCCCCCCCCTCATTCCGTGACACTTCGCCGCCGCGCGCCAGACGTGCGTATACGAGTTCGGACCGTACCGCACCGCCACGCTCAAGCCGAGGGGGGTATTCCACGCAAGAGCGCCAACCGGGGACATCGCACTATTCTTCCTCGCGCCCGCGCGCTGAGCCCTCGGGCGTCAAGCCACCGGTGTGTTTCTATGTCGTGCTCGGCGTGTCGCGCACGGCTTCGTCCGAGGAGATCAAGAAGGCGCATCGCAAGCTGAGTATGCGGTGGCATCCTGATCGGGTGGCGGAGGCGGAGAAGGAGCGGGCGACGAAGAAGATGGCGGAGATTAACCAGGCGAATGATGTGTTGAGTGATGGGGCGGCGAGAGCGTTTTATGATCGGACGGGGGAGGTTAGGGGGGTTGATTTGTGAGGATGGTTGGGAGATGACGAAGGGGGGTTGGGTGTGAAATGAGAGTATCTTCCTCAGAACATTACGATGTAGAAATTGATCAATGGAATCATGTTATGTATCTCGTCGTTTTATTCCAAGTTCGAATAGATTGGATGTTGGGGCACTAGAAGCCTCTCAAAAGTCTATTACATACCTCTACAAATACAACCCCATCATGCCACCTCCTCCACCATACGCCCACTAAATGGGTTCTTCGAAGACGGGACACTCGGTCCCGCAAACAAGCTGCCCACAGGCGCTTGGAGCCACTCGTCAGGAACGGCGAGCTGTGTGCCCTTTGCGTTCTGAACATAGCGAACAAACAACGGATTCGCTCGGTCGACCTCCAGGTCCTCATCCTGGCCAGACTCTGTGATGCCCATAGATTTACGTCCACGTTTTGGGGGCTGTTTTTTGAGGAGACGATTGATGGTGTCGGCCTTGGGAAGTTAGTCATCATTGGGACGATCAAGTGTAGATGATGGAAATGCATACCTTTTCCTCCTCCAGCCGTTTCTCGCTCAAGTTCTTCCGTCTCCGAGCCATTTCCGCTCTGCGCATGGCGTTTTCCTCTGCGGTGAAGTGCTTTTTCTTCTGCGCCTCGTTCGACAGAGCCATGAGGCCACCGTCACTATCTTCGTTGACCAGCGCGCGTTGACGTCGCGTCAGCTTGCTGAGGTCTGGCGTCTGGTCACGGCTCATGTCCTCGTCGCTGTCCATCTCCACGTCGTCGTCATTGGCTGCAACCATTTCGTCGTCGTCATCCTCCCCTTCTGCATCCTCGTCTTCGCCCTCGGCGTCCTCTTCCTCGCCCTCGAGATCAGAGTCCGGGTCGCTAAGCTCGTCGTCGTCATCGTCGTCCAGGCCCATTTCCTTGGCTTCGACGGCGTCTTGTGCTTTGGTGAGTTTGAGCGCCGGCTTGACGGGGATGCTCTGCTTTGTTGAGACGACTATGTTTGGCAGAATACTGTCGTCGACGTCGTCGTCTTCGTCGCCCTCAGCGTCCATGTCGTCGTCCTCGTCGGCGTCAGCGTCTACATCCCCCTCCTCCTCGTCATCGTCAAGGTCCATGGCGTCTGCCTCCTCAGCCTCATCCTCATCCTCGTCCTCGTCTTCGCTGTCAGCCTCTTGCACAACTCTACTGTTGCGCGAGGCGCGCTTGCCCGACACGATGTTCTGACGGCTGACGCTAGCCTTGGCAACCGGGGGCCCACTGGTGGCCTGTCTGAGCCTGCCGGGGGACGACTTGACGGTGAGGTGAATCGACTGGCGCCTCTCTTCGGGCGAGGAGCGCTGGATGACGACGGCGGCGGGTGTCTGGTTGGCGACGCCGCGTCGCGGGCGAGTCGAGGGCGCGGGAGGGGGGGCACTGGGAGCTGTCAGAGGGGCTGGGCGCGAGCGTAGGCGAGGCATGGCTGCTGTTGCTGCTGTTGTTGTTGATGTCGTGGTGGGTCGGACAGGGCAGGCGCGCACAGGTAGGCAGTCGAAGGATTCACGGCGCGTGAGATGGCATGACGGATGACGCACGGAGTGTCATGCACGCCGCCATTGCTATCTGCCTTCCTTGTACTCTCCTTGGCGGGTAAGGCGCGCACGCTGTCTTGGGACAGCCGCATGCACTACGTTGTACGTACCTGTTGGCATAGCCGCTGTTCACCGTCCCGTCTCCAGAGTCCTGGTACTCGGTGCTGATTCGCCGTAGCCGCTTAGTTGCGCGTTCCGTCATGGCTGTAATGCGTGTGTATACTGGGGCATCAAAAAGAGGCACAGGATTGGGTGGCGTTTGCGCGTCGTTACGCGTGGGAATTCGTTCCGTCCAGAGCTCCTACACGCGCTATCTTCCCCAGATTCGACAGCTAAATCCCAAACGGGTTAGACTCACTCAGATCAACAACTCTATTCCAAGATTTCTCCCGATCAATGTCCCAGCACGCAATGCAGAATGTCTGAGCCAGATGATGTGGATTCCCTCTCTATCTGGGTATCTCCCCGACGACCTGATCGTCACGACGCATCATTCCTCATAGTATCTACCAGCTTCTCAATCCTGCGATCGCTTGCGTCCTCCGTAAAGTTCACCACGTTGATTGGGTACTCAGCCAAGACTTGGGTTTGCATGAGTGCCTTGCGCTGTTTTCTATCAGCAAGGCGCACAGTGCCCTGTTCCAGCAACGCCACGTCCTCGTCCTGCATCTTCTCCAGCAAGAAGTAGAATAGCACCTCAGACAGGTACGAGTTCTGCCCCTGATCCCAAAGCCCTTGGGCACTTAGCACTAGGGTTCCGCGGAGTGCTTTGACTTCCTCTTTGCTTGTCTCTGATTCTGCTCCCTCTGCAGTGATCCTGTTTAGTTTCTCCAGTGTGTCGAATCCAATGTGGGAGAGGCTATTCATCATGAACGTGTACCAGGATTCTGAGCCGTGGAGTCGATAGAACATATGTAATAATATCTCGAGGCTATTTTGTGACTGTGCGACAAGCTCCGCTGGACTGAATCCGATATAGTCTTTCAGTGTTGTGGCACTGGCGTGTGGCCCATCAAACTTCACCTCGTGGGTGATCATAACGCCAAAAGTCTTTCGGACGACAATGTGGTACTGCATACTGTCTTTGAATCAGTTGATAACATTCGGTTTTGTGCGCGCGACATACTGCATCATGAGATGGACAGGGAGCACAACCACCGCAGGCGAAAGAGGAGTCGGGAGGTTCTGGCGCCATTGCTTCCACCGCCTGTAGAACTCTGCGGCCTTGTCCATGGGAAGCGTCCCCTCCGTACCTTGCTCTCTTGCCCGCACCGCCTGCTTGGCCACGTCGTGTGTAATGCTGTGAAACTCGCAGAGCGCCACAAATGTCGGTCCTAACAACAATGGTACCAGCAGCTGTGTTCGTGGATATTGCAACCAGATCTCCCCAAAGAACTTTTGAGCTATTCGGTGATGGGGAAGTTCGGCCTTCGGTGGTGACGATAGAAGCGGCCCCGTAAAGTAGAAGAAGGCAGTTTTCCTGAAACCACAAGTTAGCATCTGATTTTCTGCGGATCATCACAGTTGCTTATCACGCACGCTTGAAGGTTAAAGAGAGCCCATGCAGTGACAGTCTGCGTAACACGTAATCTCGGGTCGAGCGATGGGTCCAGCTCTGAGAAGAGGTCTAGCTTTTCCGCCATGAGCAGCGCTTGGGTCCAATAACGGTTTCCTATCTTGTCCAGGGCGTTTTGTGAGTACGAAATGAACATGACTGCAGCAGCTTGGATTGTAGTAAGCCTGTTCCTATCAACTTCCAACTCCCAAAGGCGATTGGCCTCGGCTTGGAATCGATATCCCCACGTCTGCGGGTTCCAGAACTCAGCTCGGTCGCTCACGGTCGCGAGTCCATGCTAGATGGACTGTGTTAATGACTACGATTGCCGAGAGCAGGAAGGGAAGCAGTACACAAGCCGTTGCAAGGATTGCGTTGACTAATAGGCCCGAGCAATAATCTTCACTTCCTGCGATCATGTCGTCCAGGAAAATGTCCTTGTGGAAGAATGAGAAGAAGGGGTACTCGAATTGAAAGTACACCTCCAAGAGCTTCTTCAAAAATGCGTCATCGCTCGAGACGGATGTCCATCTCGACGGTCGCAATGCTGGCGAACGCAGACGTGCGTCGACAATCAGTGCTGCATGATACGGGACATTGTATAGATTGGATTGGCTCGCATGTCGATTCAACGATTGCTGGGAATCACTGGCTGTGTCTTCGAAAAGCGATTGGAACAGGCGCGAATTGAGGTAGATATTGGGCGTCCGCGTGAACAATGGACGAATATCTACAGCGAATGGCAGTGTGAATCGACAGCGAGTGTCTGGCTGGAGAGAAAGCTGGGTGATTAGATCACCATCTCGGACGTGTCTGACCACAGTTTGGGCATCGACTCCGTCCCGAACTCGGCGCACAATTTCGTTGACGGTGGCTGGAGGGCGAGTACGCAAGAGATGATACAGTTCTTCGTACGGAGTTTGTCCGCTTGTTGCCTCGACTTGTCGCCGCTTTGACAAAGGCCCCGCAGGCGATGTATCCTGTTGCATGGCAGCATATCCTGAGACAGTGCAGATGCAAGGTCAGATATGCGAGTGTGTAATCCGTAGAGAGGCTTACATGACTCGGGCTGCGGAGTTTGCAGCGAAGCTTCGGATCAGATAACCACTCACTGCGCAATAGTCATACGTCATTTGGAGTCGTGAATTACAAGGTTTATTGCTTTGTCAATAGAAGCCTAGCTCTTAGCAAGAAGGACCTCGATACGAAAAGGATCTCACCCGGTTCCGGCCATGAGGATTATGGATGTTCCGAGAAAGTGTTCTAGCCAGTAAGGACTGACTTTGTGGAAATCCCAGATCCTCAACCAATCGAACCCAACAGTACCACATTACCAATCCCACGAACTGTCTACGACTGCAAACGCACTGCCATATACTGGAGGCATAGGCAACGACGACAGCGACAATACGCTATCCAGGAAGTCGGGGTCGTCGAACCCCTCAAATTCAGGGTGCAATTGCGGATATACTGCACTCGTATCAACCTCCCATCTACCAGGCACAAGCAGGTAACCTCCGTATGCATCCGCAGATTCTTGCTCAAAGACATCTGCAAAATTTGCATGGTTTTGCGAGCGGCGAAGAGTGTTCAACACTGCGTTCAGGCCTCGATCGGCGACAGGGTCCATTGGCCGCATCCATCGAAGCCACAGAATTAGCTTCTTGGTAGACATGTTTAAGCTCATGTCGTCATTGGTTGAAGTAGAAGACTGATGGGCTTGTGCTAGGAGAAGAACAGCCATGGCTCTCATGATGTACAGTGAGAGGCACCACCAAGGCCCGTTCTGGAATATACGCTCGCTAGGTTCGTCAGGGAGCAGTCGTGTAACACCTTGAGCCGCTTGAATACACTCCGCGGCAACTTTGTGCGCTTCGATGGATGATGGCCCTGCGTTGTCGTTGCGCCTTCCGAGGCAGGGACGTGTGATTAATATCATGGAATCAAACCAGCTGAAGTGAAGTATCAACCGCTCCCGGTCTGATATTGCTGGGAGCAGCTTCTCGAGTTCAGACTTTAGTTTCACGACCTGCTTTTGGATGCTTGGCCAAGGAAGAGTTGCTGCTCTGACCGAGTATAGAGACGACATAGCCCACTGCGCAACGACGGAAATCTTGAAGTTGAGTTGCAATGCTATTTCCGAACGTCCTTCTCGGTACTCAGCCGGAAGGCGAGGAAATGGGGTGTTAATTTCATATTGTGGAATGGCGGAAGGACGGCCAGTGACAGAACATAAGAACGTTTGGAGTGACAGCAAACTCCACCAAACGCGTGAAAGTTCGTCAGTCTTATCAGGTAATGAACTATTTTCTTTGTTCTTGAGGTGCATACCCAACGCGATGCCGACGCGAAGCGCAAGTCCAATCGTGACCCATGCTCTGGACCCATGACGTCAGTGACCTATGCGAGTGCAAGTCAAAGCCATCATACTCACCTTTCAACGTAGCCAACTGCTAATTGGTAGAATGAAAGAAGTCCAAACGCCTGCGACACTTAGTAACAATGAAATAACGAGCGTATATAATTTCTGACCTGGACCAGAGGTAAATTAGGAGATGTGGTCAATAGATCAGCGCTCCTAGACCTAAGAAGTTGTATAGCTCTCGACATGTACAATGCATGTTCATGTCGTTGGTTTTCGCCTGCCTGTCTCTGTGTATTTATCAGGTAATAGTGTCTGGATCCAATGGCAAAAACCAAGTTCAGCATTGCTAGCCATTCAGCAGGAACCATTTGCGATTCCTCGTAGTACCTGCGGACCTGGCCTTCGAAATCCTGAGGTATCATTGGCAACCAACCGTGGACCTGTCCGAGATATTGTTGTAGAAGTTTTGAGGCAAGTTCGAATGACGGAAACTGGTGAACATCGACCTCATCATCTACTTCCACGTTATGGTCGTAGAGATAGAAGCTCGAATCGGGGCAAAACTCGTTGGAAGACCCCTCCACCATATCTGACGGTGCAACGTAGCCCTGTTCGCCGAGTACGGCGGGGTTGTTGTGCAGGCTTGGGAGCCACTGACCTGTTGCGGTTTCGTGCGGAGGTGGTGCATCTAGGTTCTGGTGGGTGCGTGCCGACTTCACGGTGTCTGAACTGTTGATCTGTAGGTGGGTTGGTAAACCAAAGGTTTGGTTCGCGCTTGTATCCGTAGCTGGCTGTTGATAGACTGCTTCTAGAGATATTGGCGGTGGCAGATGGGGGTAGTCCTCGTCAACCTTAGTCTGCTTAGAGGTGAATACGATAAGATGAGGAGAAACTCACCGCGTCAAGTGCATCTTCGATCATTTTCCTCTGGTCAGCGTAGACGTTTTGTCTAAGATCTTTCAAGAGCGCGACAAGGAGTCGCTTGTGCTCTAAAACATCCTTCAACCGGTCCCTCCGGCCTTGCTCATACGCGCAATCCAGGTCGCATGTCTTGCACTCGAAGCACCGAGGTAGCTCTCCCGTGCACTTGGTTTCTGAGCGTGTTGTCAGTTGCGCAATTCTTGTATTGCATTGAGATATTATTGGTAGCGACAGCATGTGATCTCACTTCGGTTGCGACAGGATGTACACTACAGGATATGAGTACCTCTCAGATCATAGGCCTAGTGTTGAGGCTTACCGCCTTGGTAGCTCGTGTTCGCTTCGTCACCTGTGGCGGAGGTGGAGGTGGCTCCTGTCTGGGAAGAAGTAGACGCCCACCATGAAATTGCGCGTTAAGAATGGCCCCGGAATCACTCATCGTGGCATGAACGATGGTGTCTCCCCGCGTGAGATTGCAAAGTGATGTTCTTACGAAGAAGTGATGTCTGCACTAACACCTGGTTGGCTCGGTCTATCAACCCGAGGCGAACGTGTCGATTTACGATCGCTACATCGAGATCTGTTTGTGAGGTGAGTGAACTCAATCAGGAATATTCAAGTCTAATGCAAGCCTCCAATGCAATGAAAAGAACTTGCTCTTACCCTTGGAATAAGCCAGAATCTTCAAGACCTAGCCAGCTCATCATTTAGCAATACAGCGTTGGATACATGGCAACAGTCAAGACTCTACCTTGACAGATTGGCATTCTCCATGTATTACTCATATCAGAGCCTCTGGAGACTCTCTGATCAGGTACGGATGGGCGGGGTCAATGAGGCTCTCACTAGGTATAAATGTTTGGCCAACTTAACTTTGGCTAGCAGGGGTTAGATTCGATGTGGTTGGTATCACTTTTATTTTCTAATCGCTTCTTGTCGCTACACTTTAATCCCTGCTAGTTAGAGCTAAGTTGACCGAACTCTCACGATAGGCGAACCGAATCCGATGGCGTAGCGGTTCATGCGTGGGTTGATCTTGCCTATCATCTCACGCACACATGCTTGGTTGGAAATGCATACTATACCGAAAAAGGCCAATCCACTTCGCCATGTGCATGAAACCACCCAATTCAACAGAGGTGGTAATCGATTAATTACTCACAGATTTGCTCCAGTCTTGAACGGACTCATACACATCATTGACAATAAGTACTAGAAAGCAACTTCTGTTTGGTCTCAAATGAATGGTCTCTGAAACGATGATTCATTATTCAAATGATTTACTTAGGACAACACTGAACTAAACACCCTTGCTTAACAAGACGTTCGATATCTTTGAACGTTCTCCCCTATCACGGCAGATGAGAGATGCCGAATCAAGCGTTCGTGTCACAAGACTGTATCCAACTATAATGATCTTCACTTCACCTCCAGCCTCATAGCATCGTATTGCACATATACACTCGTTGGCAATAGGGCGCTTTCGTAGTTTGTCGCGTTGTATGGCAGGCTCAGAACAAACCTGTTTTCGCCTTGCTTCAACAGCTTCGTGTCGAATTCGAACTTGTGTCTGACATTGTAGCAGACTGGCACTAGGTCAGCGATGAAGATCAGAGGCATATGGTGGACAAACTTACTAACAGCCGAGCGCACAATGCAAGAACTGCTCTGGTAATAACTTTTGGGTTGATCAGCATTCGGTTTATTGCGAGCTGAAGGGGTCTACTTACGGCAGAACCCAAGGCTCCAAGTCCTTGCCGTTTGCGTTCACGGTGTATGGAAGGTTAGAATAGGGTTCGCTCGCGTTATATATATCTGTATTACCGGCCGCACTCTTGAACCCGGCAAGCTGTACCGTGAAAGTAGCAGTTGTTTTGTTGCGCAATTGTTGCGCTGATGCGTCAAAGAGGATCGTCCAGTTGTTCACCTTCTCGACAACGGGTTCGGGACGCTCATAGTCTGCTTGCCCGCCAAATGAAGACCAATGGACAACGTTCAAAGCTGTGGCAGGGTCGTCGCGTCCCACTTTGAATTCAACACCTTCTGGGAAATCTTTTACAAAGTCGTAGGCGCCCCAATATAATCTATACTCTTCTGTGAGGAGTGGGTGATCCGGAGAGGGCGCATAGCCATGGCGGTATTCGCCTGAGCTCTTGTCGGGCGTTCCAATACGAAAGATCTCATTGCCTGCACTCTCTTGACTCCAATCGACACTGGCTGTCGTGGTCTTTCCGGCCGAAACGAGGATGCCGTCCTGGATGAAATCGCCGAATATGGCATCAGCGTAAACAGTCAGACGATATTTCCCGGCTTTGACTCGTTCGATATTGACTCGACCATCCTGCGGAATCTCATGCCAGTATTGATAAGCCTTGGTGTCATAGACATTGTCTTGGAAATCAACTCCACTTTGTGTCAGAATCGCGATCCCGTTTTTGGCTCCTTTGGGAAGGTTGACCTTTGCTTCGAATTTCCCGCGCCCAGCCGATGGTACCAAGTTCGGAACATGTTTAGATATCGAATCGTAGAAGTCGGCGTTCCAATTCGGATTGAGGCCGTACTGTTCAGCATCACGGCGGAGCTCGTCGAGAGATCCCCCCTTATTGAAGTGATAGTACTGTGGCCCGAAAGTGCGGTCAAATCCATCGGTGATATTAGGTGTTTGCATTCCATGGTGATTCGCTTTTATCAGTTAGTCCCTTGCGAACTTACGACCCAAGTTGATCGGAAGTTTATTATCGTCCACTTACATTGCAAATAGTTATACACGATTCCGTCAACAACAAGGTCTGAATGGAGAGGCCCACCAAAATATGTTTCCACGGTGTTCATCACTAACCAAGCTCCGAACGAGGATCCGTTGCTACTCCCTGAACCATCTGCGTACATGCCGTGTGCTCGGTGATTCCTCCAAGTGTCTTGGAAAGTGTACTTTGTAAAATATTCTCCGACTCCGGTCACATAAGGATCGGTAGGGTTCGCAAGCTTCCAAGTGGCATCTTGAACCGTTATTTCCCCATCTAGGTCAGGCCGGGGAGCAGCGAACTTTTCGTTCGTAACAAAATGGGTAAAGAGCGGTGGATCGTGATTTGGTCGGAACATCGTCCGAAGTTCTTGTAGATTTCGGAGGAAAGGGGACGTCTTGTTGTGATATACAACTCGAGAGAAGGTATGGAGGCCAGTTTCTCCCTCCTTGAGAAACCAGTACTGTTCTAAACGTTGACCAGTACCAATGTAGGTCTCGCCCATACTGATACCTCCATAGTTCTTTCCAGTTGAATCTACTCCGTGAAAGAGCTCGTAGGTCACATTTGACCCCCGACCGGGCGTCCAGAATCCGCCAGGGGATGGGATACAGTAGCAATCCAAATATGGGCCGATTCCAGTGCTACCATCCTCTTTTCCCAAAAGGTTCTGTCCATCCTAAAGTTGTAGATCTCAGATCAGTATGTGAATCGCATACTACAACGGGAGTCTACATACGAGTGTGAGAACGTTGATTGCGCCTTTAGATTTGCTGACTGACGCAACGAGTCGATCATTGGATAGAGTGAGACTGCTGTTGTTTTGCGTCGCATTGAACAAAGCCAACCCCGTCGGGAGAAGCGCTGCGATTGCCGCAAGTTGGTAACGCATCTTCGATTTTCGAGATGGTCAAAGATCACGGTCTCCTTGAGCTTTAATTATATCTCTTCTTTTATATTCGGTCCACGGGATAATATAAAACATCCTGGTAAAATCCGGGGTAAATGGGGGCTTCGGTATGAGAAAGGCCGAGGGCGCCGGTGGTTTCTATTCACTGTCCCTTCGAGTCAGGTAGGCTTGTTATGCTGTTACCGCGGTTCAAGTGTTTTGATCTGCTCCACACGCTACGCAAGCTACGATGAGTTATGTTTGTTTGCATGTCTAACGATCGCGCGGCTCAACGGAGAGAATTGAGGGTTCCGCCGCGTCATGTGATATGTTACGTCATGTACTTACCGCTACCGCTTCACAATCGACATACCACCATCCGACACTCGCATGCACCCGAGGTACCAGTGGTCAAACAGTTAATTTGAACAAGTATGGGCTCGATACTAAGAGATGGAAGAGAACGCGAGGATGAAGCATTAATACCGCACGCGGACTCAACCGCGGACAATATCGTTACGTTCCAACTCAACGACCCAGAAGATCCTCGAAATTGGGCAAGCGCCAGGAAATGGATTATGATAGCAGCGATTATTCCTATCGATCTGAGTGTTAGCTGGGGAGCATCCGGATTTTCACCTGTGGCTGGCGACTTCGCACGCGACATGCACGTGTCGACGCAAGTGGCCACCCTGGGATTGAGCATGTATGTGCTTGGTCTCGCGTTTGGCCCTATGACTCTAGCCCCATTGTCTGAGTACTTTGGCCGACGCCCCGTTTACATCTACTCCTATGGAATCTTCCTTGGTGCCCTTCTGTGGACTTCGTATGTCAAGAGCTTAGGACTGTTCTTTGTGCTCCGCTTCTGCTCTGGATACTTTGCTTCAACTACTATCTCGAATTTTGGAGGCACCATCGCTGATCTTTTCGAACATACCGACACAGGGCCTGCGATGTCAATCTTTATTTGGGCTGCCACTGGAGGCTCTCCAACAGGTTTTGTGCTATTCTCCTTCATCGCGCATGGAAGGTCATGGCAGGCGGTATTTCGTGTCATGTTCTTCGTTTGCCTCTCTTTCTGGGTCATCCTGGTGGTTGCACTCTATACGATTGGGGAAACACGACAAAGCGTACTCTTGTTAAGGAGGGCAGAGATGCTGCGCAAATCGACGGGAGAGGATGGCCTGGACGTTCCCGACGAATACAAGCAGCGAGGACCGAAGCATCTATTCGGCACCGCACTCGCGCGGCCATTCCAGTTCTTATGGTCAGAGGCAATCGTCCAATTCGGCGCCTTGTATAACGGTTTCCTGTACGGTCTCTCGTTTTTATTCAATGGAGCTTTCCACATAATATTTGGTCCAGGGGGATATGGCTTTGGCACAATCCAAATCGGTATTTGTTTCCTTGGTCTTGTTGTAGGCATCAGCGTCGGCCTATTCAGCAATCGTTTCCAAGAGAAGCATTATCAACGACAAATTGCTCGAGCTGGCCGTGACGTTCCGGAAGCACGGGTATATCAAGGAAAGCTGGCAGCGGTAGTTTTACCAGCAAGCTTGCTTGCATTTGCCTTTAGTGCTACGCCAAAGGTCCACCCTTTCGTTCCAGTACTGGCGTCCGCCTTCACGGGTTACTCTTTCTACACCTTGATTACAATGTCGTTGACTTACACCACGGATGCCTACAAAACATACTCAGCCTCAGCCCTTGCTGGTATTGGACTTATCAGAAACCTGGCCGGTGCTGCTTTTCCGTTAGTTGGAAGAAGTCTTTTTTTGAGGGTGGGATCACGAAATGCAAGCCTCGTGTTGGCTGCGATCGCTGTGCTCCTGGCGCCTATTCCCTTCGTGCTAGAAAAAAGAGGCGCGTCGTTGCGAAAACGGTCTCCGTGGGCAGTGGCACATGAAGATGACGAGAGCGAGATTAATACCAGCTAGCCGGTGTCAAGCATGTGCATAATGGGGCACGGCAGATTAACATCAATATGGACTCCATCGCCTGCTACGCCTCAAAGATTCAAATGCACACAGAAGCAATTTATGTTAGGCCCTCGAATTAGATTTGGGAATACGATGGAAGCTATTGGTGCTGAGACAAGATCCGTTCGGCGTCAGGCAGACTCTTTACAACGTTTCCATAGAAGACGCATATTCGTAGCTTCAAATATATATTTATCTTGGGCGATCAAGGCATAACCCTTCCTTGTGACACCTTCGCTATCAAGTGGTCTGTGTAAGCTAATGTTTATTGGTCTGACAAGCTTTGTTTCTGCATACTCTCGTACGATGTCGCTCACTCTTGTATCCAAAGATACTCAGCAACCATAGGCACTCGTTTCATGGAGTTGAAGACTAATCTAGTTTCTGCGAAAAGGTCCAGACTCTGCTCAACTTGCATGGCTTCATGCATGCGCGGCGGCTCAACCTCGAAGATTTGATCTTCCTACCACTAGGCTATCTTGCCCCCACTGGCCCATTGAGCCAATTCGTTTAACCAACTGGACTCAGAGAAGTTTCGGATGCACCTCAACCTCTAGTTCAGAATTGTAGGCGCGTATATTTACAAATGCTGTCCGCCAACGGATTTTGCGGCACAGTAGCCAAGATGCGGGCGCTAAATGCGCGGTGAAGCAGTGGCCGATCTGAAAACCTCCGACTTGCTTAAATGTGCATTTATGGGAGTGATTCCTCGCGGTGTGGACGAATATTTGCAGCCTCGTTTCCTAACTCTCCTTTGTTTCTATGTTCAGCGTTCTGTGAATGCATCTACTTACTTGAAAAATTGTCTACTTCTCTCTGTCTTTTCAGCGACAGCATTTATTGGCGTTCTTTTCTGCTCTGCCTATATTATTTCTATTCCCGACGACTCACTTGACCTGACGAATAAGTTCTCGCACAGTGTACCCGTCATCTTGTCAATTCATTCTCCGTCGATCGAAACCACGTTTCCATCATCGCTCAAAAAGCTCTTTGTTCTAAGGACTCATTACATCTTGTTTGTTAATTATTTCCCGCTTTGGAGATGAAGAATTGCCAGCCGTTCACGCAACTTCCAACCCCACCCACCACACTCGCATCATGCGCAGTCCCCGTCGGCGGCTCGAACACCTCCATCCTTGACGCGTGTTGTAATGGACACATAAATGCCATCGCCACGTACTCCGCCCCGGACTCTTCATCAAATTCTGATTCAGAAAATGGCTGCTTCCAATACTGTGTTACAAACAATCCACAGGCTGTGAAAACCTGTCTGAGTGAGAAGCTCGGGATGTATGGCGAGAGCGGACCAATATTTGAGTGCTTCAATATGGCGGATGTCAAAACGGGAGGAATTGGAGGTGGATATAGCAGTGTGGGAGTGAGGTTGAGCATAGAGGGTGGATCGGGGTGGATGTTGGGAGCCGTACTCGGCATAGTAGTTGTTGCCACAATCATGGGTGCTGTATGAAGAACGTGCAAGCAGTATATGACCGTATTCGGTTACGATGATACTTTAACATGGTTCTTGTGTAAATCCACAAACCAGAAGGCTTTGGGACTTACCGCTGGAAAGGCCTTTAGTAGGGTTTATAGTATTTTGGCGGGACCGAGCTTATCGGGGTCCAGTTGTATCGTAGAACAAGACACACCTTTCCCTACGGTCTCTCGAGACAGGAGTAGATATCAGTGACCTCGATACAATTCGGAGATCGCTGTGTGGGTGTGAGGAATAGAGCAAGTTTCAAGCTCTGCGGTTGACAACGAGTAAAGCATAAGCTGATCAAGCGGCGGCGCAGCGATTATGATTTGCTCCTGACTAGACATCATTTCTAATCCTTTATCACACCTCACGCCAAATACGCACGCGATAAGTCAAAGAACATCATCCCCCATAGCCAGAGGTCATGCATTATACCTGCAACATATAACTAGGCCACACACATAGAAGCCATGCCGTGAAGAACCAGACAAGGAAGAAAACGAAAGCGAGCACGAAAAATAAAGTTTGTATTGTTTTCATGTGAGGACCAACATACGTTCCTGATGACAAATCATTGATCACTTTATTTGGTCCTTGATGTCGCAATTCCTTTGATGACATTCTGGCGCAATGTGCCGTGCTTTTCTCGCAACAAGGCCTTCGGAAGTTACTTTCTAAGCCTACATTGTTGGCGCGGGATTGATAAGAACGTGTTCAATTTGGTTATCCCCGCTCGTAAGTCCAGTAATAAGGCCGAATTAAAGCCAGGACAGAGCGGCAAACACTGATCTGTAATCAAGATTACATCTGCATAGCAAGAAAATCATGAAAACAAGCGAGTAATTATTCCGCTCCCATGTTAGATCGCAACGCCATAAGTTGATTAGGTATACATGGGATTAAGTGTTGTCTTTGAGATGATGCACCTATCAGGCTTAAGTCCGAGTGGATATGTCCGCCATATTCACTCGGACCAGATCGCTCCGATTTTACTACTGCGACCATGGGTCTTGAGTATGGCATCACATCACGTCTTGCATAAGCTTGCATGGTACGCGGTATAATAGATTCTTGAAATCCATCTTCAATCGCAACCTCAAGCAGCTCAACACATCATCCTCTACATCATACTAGCCTGTTACATCCTTCCAAGTCAACCCGTCAACATTATTCACTATGTCTTATAAAAACGTCATCATTGTAGGGGTAAGTTACACTTTACTTTGCTCCAAATATCAACACATACAGATATTTCTCTCGCGTCCAATTGATTCCCATTCGATATCACTCAACTAACGTCTTCCAGGCCGGCGGCAACCTCGGCACATCACTTCTCGACACATTCCTCAAGCACTCCTCCTTCGAAACCAGTGTCCTTTCTCGTGAAGGCTCAACATCCACCTTCCCCGCGGGCGTTAAAGTCCTCCAGGCAGACTACGACTCACTCTCGAGCCTGAAGAACGCATTCCAAGGCCAAGATGCCGTCATATCCCTAGTCGCCGGCTCCGCAATTGCAACGCAGCCCAAACTCATCGATGCCGCCGTCGCAGCAGGCGTCAAGCACTTTATCCCGTCCGAATTTGGGAGCAATACGGATGACGAGCGTATACTAAAAGTTGTGCCCATCTTCCAGCCCAAGGTCGACGTACTCGAGTACCTGAAGACCAAGGAGAGCGAGATCAGCTGGACGGCCATCTCCACCGGTGGGTTCTTCGACTGGGGCCTCCAACAAGGCTTCTTCGGCCTGGATGGTGCAAGCAAGACGGCCACGCTGTTCGATGAGGGCAAGGCGCAGTTCTCAGCCACTAGCTTGTCGCAGATCGGCCTTGCGACCATCAAGGTCCTCGAGAAGCCCGAAGTAACTAAGAATCAGTTCGTTCTCATTGCTGGCCACACGACTTCGCAGAATGAAATTTTGGCTGTGGCGGAGAAGGTTACGGGGAAGAAGTGGACTGTCAAGAATGTCAGTGCCAAAGAACATGGGGCGGACGGGTTGGCGAAACTACAGAAAGGGGATTTTTCTGGTATCGGACTATTGATCCAGGCCGGTCTATTTGGTGCCGAGGACAATCTGGGTGACAATTCACACTTTGGGCTGTGGAATGAGAAGATAGGGCTGGAGAAGGAGAATTTCGAGGAAACGATCAAGACAGCACTCTTGGGCTGATAGATGCTCCCTATTCAATCATGCATGAAGAAATAGATGGTACACTCATTTCAGTCGTCGACTTAGTATGAGACGAAACAGAATGAATTTTTTAACACAAATTGAGGTCTTTCTCTAGGGGTGATGTGCCGGTATATTCCTAGTACATCTCTGCTTCTCTCCACGAAGACATTCCGCTTACACTGGAGAATCTCATTTGATGAAGGTGTTCACTGGAAGTCGGTAGATGTCGATTGTCCAGTATGGCCTCCTTGTACCCTCCCACTGCTTGCTTCCGTGCAGACCTGAGGGTACCTCGATGTCTTCCCAAGTCGTATCAAACCCAGCTTCGTACAGGTCGATCTCAGCAACCTGTTCAAACGTAAGTCAACGGTTGCAATTCATGTCACATAGCAGCACATACCTTTGTGTAGATATCGTAGCAGATCTGGCGATCGGCTCCCAGACCGTTATACCACCCGAATTTGCCGTCTTTGGCAAGCAGCTGGATGACGTACTCAGCGAAGAACTCCCTCAGCGCCGCGTAGTCTTCGGCAAATGTGTCGTAGTAAATTGCATCAAGAACTAAACCCTGCTCGACCAACTTCGGCAAAATATCCTGCCATCGACCCTCGTGAATGTGGACGTTTGGCTTGTCATACCAGCCTTGCTCTCGTAGTCGCTTGTGCACCTGTGGATGAGCTTCGATGATGTGGTGTTCGGCAGGATCATGTGTCTGAATGGCAGTGTCGACGATTCCCATTCCGTGACCCACGTTCATGACCTTAAGACCAGACTTTGGGATCAGAGTCTCAGCATGGCGCTGCATGATTTGGGTCTCCCAGTCCATCATAACAGCGTTGTCGCTCTCGTCGAGAAGAATTCCGGGCTTGTACCGTAGCTGACTCTTCAAGTATGCATGGTTGTCTAGTGAGACATCGTCGAGTGCTTGGTCTTCAGTGGTCTCCTGGATAGGTTTTGCCTCTTCCTCGGACACTTTCTGCTTTTTGGCAGCAGGCTTCTCCTCAGCTGCAACATCGTCCTCTTCTTCTTCTTCAGTTGCGTCACCTCCCAAGCCCAGAGCCTCCATCTTCGCGAACAAGATTTCCGCACGGACACCAGCTTCTACCATTATGTCGTAGATCTTTTTTTGACCCAGACGCAGCGCAACGCAACCAGGTGTTTCATCATTTTTGTTCAAATCATTCCAGATAGCTCCATTTTGAAGCAGCAGCTCGACTGTCTGGACTGCATCATCAGCTGCTTCTCCTCCTTGGTCAGCCTTTCCGCATGCAGCAATGGCAGCATGTAGAGGCGAAGTTGCAACTGTTGCCGTAGGGTCCTGAACGTTGGCTGAGCCTTCTTTGAGCAGAATCTTTAAGGCCGGAACATCGTGTCGCTCCGCAGCAGAGATGATACGCTTTGCGAGGAGAATGTCTTCTTCTGTTGCTTGGTCGGCCATCTTGGATTGTTGTATGTTTTTGTGCAAACTTTGTGCAGGTCGTGGGATTTCATGTCTTTTTTTTCTGCAGGGATTACGAGGGGATAAGCGAGACTTGCCTAGTTAGGTCAAGCGCCATGAATGTAGAGCCTTACGAAGTCCAGTTATGGTACACGCGTATCAGGAACAGATACTCTTCAGACATTCTGCCGTTGCTACTCCAGTGATAGACGAATGAAAGTAATTATTCTTAGTGAGGGACCACTGGTTCTTACGACGCTCAGTGATTAGCTGCTCTGTTAGTCACAGACAAGACACGCGTGTGTAGGCGCGTTTTGTCGTGTCCTCTAAGGATCATTATGATATTGTTGAGGTGTTCAAAGCTAACTACGCGTCAGTGTGTGCCGCGAGCAGAATCATAGGTGTTGGGAACATGTCGTGTCGAGGTGAGTTGACACCTGCACGTACTCAATCAATCATGTGGAAGTGTTATCAGGCCGAAAGCGGAAAGGCGCCTGGGTTTGCCTCGGTCCAGTTCTAGGGATGTATCGCGCTCGACTGCGCGCTTCGACACCCTGACACGCCCATCCTCTCTATCTGCGATTTCCACCCTTTGACGCGTATATTCCAACATGTCGGACAAACCAGGCATACCCGCGTGGCAAAGCGCCAGCAATTCCTCTACACCACCCGCTGACCCCGAGTCGACGACGTCCGAACAGTCCGAACAACCTGAACAGCCTGAACATCCTGAACATCCTGAACAGCCAGTAGAGGACAGCGCGACACCTGTCGCAGGGGAACTTACGAGTACCGAGAGCGATGAAGAGACATCAAGCCCATCGTTGTTGGAACAAGCGTCACGGTTCCTCGATGATCCTACAATTCGCGATGCGCCTAGGGAGAAGAAGGTTGCGTTCCTGCAATCGAAGAATGTTGCGCCCGAGGACATTGAAAGTCTACTAGAGACGGCAACAGAAGTGAGCACATCACCAGATCTTGAAGAACTTGGAGAACGGACATGGGCTGTGGTGAGTGACAAGTTTCCTGTGTTAGCAACACACTACTCATCAGATCATGCACCACCGAGGAGCTAAGGACAGAAAGTACTGACTCTCTCAGGCACCTCAAAACCCCGCCCAAGCCCCGGCTCCCATACCTCAGCCTCGCGAGCTGCCCCCAATTGTCACATACCCGGAGTTCCTCGCGCAAACCGAACAACCTCCGCCGCTCATTACTACCAAACGCCTGTTGACCACAGCCTATGTAGCAGGAGGACTCATGTCGACCATATATGGACTATCAAAATTCATCATCGGACCCATGGCGCAGAACCTCGCAGAGTCACGGCACGATTTTGCGACCCATACACAAGACCAACTGAAGGAATTCAACCAGAAGCTAGGTGACCTGGTATCAGTCGACCCGGCAAGTGTATCCAAGACAAGCGCTTCAGAAATGGGAGACGATGTGTCGGAAGCAGACTCGGACCCCACAGAGCTGTACCACCGCGACTACGGAACACAAACTACTCCCAATCTATCCCGACGGCCCTCACATTCGTCCAACCCCGACCCCGAGCCCATCGTTTCAGCCCAAGAAGATCGGCTCAAGAAGATCTCCGCTCATCTGCGTGAAATAACAGCGAACAAAACCCACGACCGCGTATCTGCAGGTTCAGTGAGAACAAAGGTGTCTGACTTGACTTCGTACCTGAGCGAGATGAGCTACCAGAACCAGTACTATTCTAGTTCCAATAACTTCTACGGGTCAAGTTTTAGCCTGCCGTCGGGCAAAGATGGGAAGAACGATCAGATAGAAGTTCTTAAGAACGATATCAGAGCTGTCAAAGGCGTTTTCCTTAGCGCAAGGAACTTCCCTGTGGGTGGGCAGAGTGTATCACCGATGCCGATGGGAAAGGCAGATCGATCTGGGACTTGGTGAAGTAGGTTTGTAAGATGTATAGAATAATGAAGTTACAGTTTCGACCATCACCAATGAATCCTGGGAGTAGACTATATTAGGATGAGTTTCCGAGCGGGGGTGTCTTTCGCACTCACTAAAACATGGAGATGCCTAATACAGCCTGCAACTTGCTCCTGCCCCGCTACTACAGAAGACTGACGTCATGCCTGTCGTGGTAAGTCCATCATGTCTGCAACCTTGACACAAGACACTTCGGTCCTCTTCAGTCAAGGGCTTTGAACATATCTTCTACTTTCCTTGTTGCGCTTGCAAAGTATCACGATGCAAAGCTTCACGTCAAAATTGCCCTTCGGGCAGTCGAAGCCCTCACACGAGGACGAGACATCACTTACCACGCTTCTCACTGCAGATCAATGCGCCGATCTTACATTCCTCATAGCCACCATCACGGCGACAATGCGGCAGTCGCTGCTAGACACATTCACGGCCGAAGAAACACCACTTGATGCAACCCCCTCGCAATCAGAGGAACAGGCACTCGCAACTGAGCCTTCTGACAGCGCAAATGTGTCCGATGGAGACAAGATCAAGAAACAGAGAGAAAGCCGGGAAGCGGACACAAGGCAAGAGTTGGCGAAGCCAGAAGTGCAGGAGCTCAAGAAAGCCATGTTGGCATATTTTGACGGGTGGAGAGGCAAGGTCATTGGTAGAGTTGGTGAGATTGTGAACTCAAGGCATGAAGCAAAAGAGCAGACGAAACATGTCAAAGGCGAAAAGGTGGAGGAGCTGGTCAAGAAATCTGAGGCCGTGACGACTAGTATTCGTGATCTAGGCGAGGGCGCTGAAGACGAAGACACTGCTTTCAAAGCACTGTACCCTCCCATCGACACCGTCCTGACAGACCTGGAAGAGAACAAGAGAGCGTTGATTCTACACTCCCTTGTTCTCATCCTACTCAGCCTGGAAACGTACTCAGCACATTCACGCATCCTAGTCCTCCACCTCACGAGCTCGCTCAACCTCAGTCTCTCGATTCTCAAGAAGGACGAAGAGACAGTCGCCCAAGGCCTCCTAGAAGCAGCCTCCCAGCAGCTCAATGCCGACGCCGAGACGAAAAAGGCAGCTGAGGCATCCCAAACAGCACGCAAATGGAAAGTTGGCCTCGCATCCGTCGCTGGCGCAGCACTCATTGGCGTTACGGGCGGCCTCGCAGCCCCACTCCTAGCAGCTGGTGTCGGTAGCGTAATGGGTGGCCTGGGCCTTGGAGCTACAGCCGCAGCAGGTTATCTCGGGACATTGGCCGGATCCAGCGTCCTTGTTGGAGGGTTGTTTGGTGCATATGGAGCGAAGATGACCGGTCGAGCCATGGACGACTACGCACGCCAAGTTGAGGATTTCGCCTTCCTACCCATACACCACTCACAGGACCCTGAAAAACAAGACAACGGTGCGCGCCGCCTCCGCGTCGCTATTGCTATCTCGGGCTGGCTGCGCGAACCAGATGAGGTTGTGGCGCCGTGGCGTTACATAGGTACTAGCACAGAAGGCTTCGCGCTGCGCTGGGAACTTGATGCGCTTCTCAACCTCGGACATAGTCTCGAGACATTTGTCATGAGTAAGGCTTGGGGATACGCGAAGGCGAAGATCATCGAGCAGACAATATTCGCTGCGCTGATGGCGGGCTTGTGGCCCCTCAGCCTCCTGAAGATGGCGTCGCTACTCGACAACCCGTATTCGCTCGCGAAGTACCGTGCTGAGAAGGCGGGCGAGGTTCTTGCTGATGCACTGATTAACAAGGTGCAAGGTGAACGACCGGTTACGCTTGTGGGATATTCGCTGGGTGCGAGACTCATCTTTACCTGCCTCCATAAGCTCGCAGAACGCAAAGCGTTTGGCCTTGTCGAGAACGTTGTCCTACTGGGTGCAGCATGTCCGTCTGATGCCGCAGACTGGCGGTCCATTCGCGCGGTAGTGAGCGGCCGCGTTGTCAACGTGTTCTCAAAACAAGACTACATCCTCGGCTTCCTTTATCGTACATCTTCCATCCAGCTCGGCGTCGCTGGCCTGCAGCCCGTCCTGGGCGTGCATGGCGTGCAAAACGTCGATGTCAGCGAGTTGGTCGACGGCCACCTACAATACCGATTCATCACCGGCTCGATTCTGCGCAAGATCGGCTTCGAGGATGTAGATGTGCACGAAGTCGAGCGTGCGGAGTCTGAGATGGCAGCCCAGAAAGCAAAGGAGGAGAAGGAGAAGAACCAGAGGGATGGTGAGCCTGTGACAGAAGAAGATGCTGAAGAGGAGAAGAAGCGGTTGGAGACGGAGGTCAAGAAGAAGAACGAACAGAGTTATCTGCAGATTATGCAACAGAAGACGAAGAATATTGATATCGGCGGCTTCTTGAGTGGCAAGGGAGGGAAGGCTGAGCCGGAGAAGGTAGAACACAAAGCGGGCCCAAAGACGGATTAAGTTAGTGTGGCCGCAATTGGGAAATGTCATTAGGGAATTGATACGGACATGGCATGGTACGGAATATACGATATGAATCGGACGGAAAGTGGAAGCAAGACACGGGTAGCGTCTAATCATTGCATTTCGTGATTCCTCATCAACGCCTCAGGTTCAATTCATGTATCATCGAAGCCGTTCAAAACACCCACTCTCTAGAAACACATCTAAGAAAAGTCCTCGCCCCCCTCCTCAATAGTACCCTTAATCCTCAAAAGCAGCGTCGTCTTCCACTTGTCCAACTTACTCAACTGGTCATATTGAAACAACTATGCACGTCAGCACACTCCGTACCCCAAACACCCGATCCAATGAACATACCTTATCAGCAAACACCTCCTGATCACCATCCTGCACTGCTTGCGCCAAATCCGCCAGCAACTGGTGTTCTCTCTGCTGCGTAAAGCTTGGGTCCAGCTCCCTATACCTGTCCAGCGCGGTGTTTACACCAACCTGGTCGCCTGTGCAGAGCTGGCAAATACCGGCTTTGAGAAGGTACTCTTTGACAGACCAGCGCATCAGGTTGTTCGAGATGGAAGTCTTTGCGACCTTCTCGTACAGCTCGATGGCTTTGTAGTAGTCTTTACCCTCGAGAGCGACGAGGTCGGCTGTCTTGAGCCAGAGTTTGTTGGCGAGGGCCTGGGTTGGGGGGGTTAGTGGGTTCCAAGAATTGAGGGGAGGGGGTGGTGGTTACTTCGGCGTTGTCCTGGGTTGGTGTTAGCGTATGTTTTCAAATATGTCTACCTCAGTAGGGAGATATGGATATGCTTGGGACTTACGCTCTCATACCAGCCGGCTGCTTCCTCATATGCGGCTGCTGCGCGGGTGTTGTCGCCAAGTTCAGTTTCATACAGCTCGGCGAGGTTCTGCTTGTGAGTGGCTGCACGACGGAAGTTGCCCTTGCTGCAGTAGTGTGCAATGGCTTTGTCTAGACACCGAGCAGCTGCTTCTGGGTCATCCTTACGGTAGGCCTCTGATATCAGATTAGAAATCTATCACCCAGGAAGAATAGTCGATCGTACTGAATGCTTCTGTGAGTGTGTTTGCCTCGTCGTCTGGCTCATTCAGCTGCTGGCGTTGAACTGATGCTGCCTTCTCAAAAGCCTCGCCAGCCTCCTTGCCTACAAAAGGTCAGAAGACTATACACAAATCGCGATTTTAAGGGTGATCAAACTCCATACCCATCTTCTGCATCCGGAACGCATTCGCAGCGGCGATGAACTGGTCTGCTGCAGCCTCATCTATCACGTGCATTAGTCCATCTGTCGACCCTATTCCACCCATCTCTTCGTACACTTGTCTTGCCGCCCACCGAAGAAGCTAAATCCACCCGAGGCCTTCTGCAGCGATGTTTCTGCCTGTCGTAGCACCTCAATATCAGTTATCTGTGCTGTGGCTGAGTTTCGAGAGCGAGCCCCACCTGACGGAGCAGTGCTCGCGGATCGCCGGCCATGTTTGCTGGTTTCTAAATATCTCGTAGTAGGGATTCGAATAGGGGTGTGAGCCAGGAAGATACAGTGCAATATAACGCGGTTGTTATGTTAGCTTGTCGAGACAGCTGGCTGCGTTTCAAGGGCGATGACGGCACGTGGGGCGGAGCTGACGCTGGACTCAATTCCGCTAGCGCGTTTGAAGCAACCCAAGCTCGACGACACGGAAATTGTTTTCGTAGGGCAGTTTTTTGTAACTATACTGGACGACGTCGTAGCTCGATTGAAGAGCGTGTGAAGACACGAAAACACCGCACACAAGCTGCACTCTTCACGCGAATATACACCATGGCCTCTCGTCTCTGTGCCAGGGCTGTCTTGAGGCTGCCGCGTTGCTCACGCGCCTACATAAGCACACAAACGCCGCAGCATCCAGATCCCAAGTCCCAAAGTCCAGTCTCACACGTCAGGGCGAAGGACGGGATCCATCCTGACGAGCTCGAGCAGCTTCTTGCCAAGCCAACCTGGTCCGTCGAGTCCCTCCTGCCACCAAAGACGCGCGCCCCCGATGCTCCGCAAATCTCCTCCAAGCAACTCCGCCACCTGCTACGACTCTCGGCTCTCCCGCTGCCCGAGTCGCGCGAGCAAGAACAGAAGATGCTGGACACACTAGCGGCCCAGCTGCATTTTGTTGGCCAGATACAAAAGGTAGACACAACAGGCGTGAAGCCCCTGGTGGTGATCAGAGACGAGACCAAGGCGGCAGAAGGAGAGCAAACGATCACACTAGAGACGTTGAAGGATGCGTTGGCGAAAGAGAAGGTTGTAGGGAAGCATCACAGGCGCATACAGAGGGACCCCACGCCGGTGGACGCGAGGGACGTTGAAGGCTGGGATGTCCTGGGCTCGGCAGAACGCAAAGCTGGGAAGTATTTCGTTGTCGAGAGCGAGAGACCCCAGGAATGAGACTAAATCGCGGATCACATCACGCTGGTAGCCACAACCGCCCGCCCTATCATATATGAAAAAAAGGCTTGAAAAATCATATGCTTGAACGACAAATACCACAAGTAATCCCAAAGAAGACCGCACAAACTTCAGCAATGCCTGAAGGCCCTCGGATACCTATACGCGAGCGAAAAGTTTGACACTCAATCCCCTGGATATCCTTGAACCTCAATCTTTCGCAAAACGGAGCGACGACAAGGTATTGTGGAGCGCTTCAATACCCTTTCCCAAGCTACGTACTGCAACACGTGCAAGGCTTGCTTCCGTACGGAGCGACATCACAGTCGCAAAAAGGGGCGTCATCCTCGAAGTCGGACAACTCTGGCGATGGTAGCCGAGTTATTCTAGGGGTGGGCGGCGGCTTAGTCTGCACATGCGCAGGAAGAACCGGCGGCTTTGATTGTTGCTTGGTTGCCGATGACGACGGCGGTGACGACGGCATATCGAAGAGTCGTCAAGGGGGTTGGGGGCTTCGATGGTCTTTACGCCTGGAATCCGGTTGACGATATTGCCTCGAGGGTCTCCAGGCTATCGTAGCGTTGGCGCGTTGAAAAAATAAAGAGCGGCTGTAGTCGGCGTGGGGACGGAATGCTATTCAGGTTATAGCAAACGACAAGCCACGACAGACGCTTCGTACTCGCATTGGAGGGTGAGCAACGTGTTATGAGCGATGGGGGGTGGGTGATGAGTGGTGGGTGGTGGTTGCGAGAAGGACGAGTGAGGAAAAGGAGGGGTGGTTGCAAAAGGTGGGCGGCAGTCCAAATATACTCCCACACAGCCAACGCGCTAAGCCGACTCCGACCTGGACACATCACTCCTGTCCTAACCTCACGACCCCTCGGAAGTGCGATAGCACGAACATCACTTGGCTCCGCTACTCAACGCTGAATTCGGATAGAGGCTTTTGTCTCGAAATAAACGCCTTATTTCTTGCGAGTCTCTATGCCTTGGTATGCCTCCTCCGTCAGCATGGGCGGCCTCTGGAAGAACGTCGCTGTTTGACAAGCGATCCAACACAATAGAAGCTCATACACCTGCGAGAGAGTCTGCTGGGGCGAGGATAATCGATGCATCCAGATTTGATAATCTTCCGCCTTTAACCTCGACGTCGCTATCACGATCTTCCTCACTATTCTCAACATCTCCGAGTCTTGGTTCAGTTTTGTCTCAATACAACTTTCTCTTCCCTATACGACTATTCGGCAGACATTGGAAGACACTACGTCTCCCGCTGTGGAGTTATGACTGTCATTGTGGTCCTGAACTCTGCTCGAGACCTGTGGCGAACTGTCAACCAAACGAGCATTCATAAATGCCAAGGCCCCACCAACACCGGCAAAAGTTCATAGAACGCAGGCATTCTTGTCTCTTCGGCAACGCTTTGTGCTCTAACAAGACAAAAGTGTGATCTTGAAGAAAGTCTGCGCAACTCTCTACAACTACAATTAGGATATTGTTACAGATCGCTATATATAGTAGTGTTTTGGCCAAGTCAAGAAGGTTACTTGCAAGTGCATGTTCTTGTTTTCAGCATGTGGCTGGTAGATAAAGAGAAGAGCGTGCAATAATAATTGGGTCTTTCTATCATTTTACCTGTGCATAATGACGCCTTCTCTATATCAATATCCAATACCCTGATGATTCCTTATGTAGTCGATTCTAACATGTCTCCTCAACCCGCTCCCTCAATTTTTCAAGCTCAAGGCTCGCCTATGCTCCACGGAACTGATAACGATGTACGGTTTTAGCTAATTTCGTGCGCTTTGTCTTGACGACCTGGTCATAGCCAATGCAAAGGTGGTTAGCCAGAGTCATTTTGTTGACTAACTCAATCGCCAGCCCAGCAGTACGTGTAGCCGTGTCAGAACTCAAGGAGTGGGTGAGTAGTTGATGCATCTATACGTCTATACATAGCACATGCATGGTGTTGATGTCGAAAGCGACTAGATACGGACGCAAGCGAGCATCGGACGGCAGCTGAAAGTGTGGGGTCGGATAGACTACACCGCATGCGAAATGGCGGCGCGTGACTTTGGAAACTACGGCCGAGGCCCTGACAAGCGGAATCGCGGTCGGCAATTCATGGGCAGTGTTGTTCCCGGCAGTCTACCGATATTAATTGAAAGAAGGTCCATCAGACTCTCCTCTGTCAGTCTTCCCACTTTTACTCCAAACCGTGTTCGCAACTTGACCGATCATGGCTCTCGGTTCGTGTTCCTCCTTATCTAGACTTCGCGTCGCGTACCTCGGACTGACAAGATACAGCACTACCAGTTGCCGCGGTTGCAGGTGCCAGCGCCGCCGCCGCCTACATTGATGCCAAATTCCACATCACCAAGGACCTGAAGTCGATCCGCACACTGACCGGCGAGCAGCGTCGTCTCCAGAAGACTGGTGAGATGCCCGGCCTGCACCGCAACGCGCACAACTAACCCGCTGCAGTCGCTTCAAGCAAGGGCCCCAGTCTCTTCTACCAGTTCGAAGCCCAAGTCCGCCGCCTCCCCGCCAGCGAAGAGTGCATCTGGTCGCGCGATGGCTCGTACACGTGGGCAGAGACGTATGCGAACGCCTGCCGCTACGGCCAGTTCCTCCAGCAGAATGGCGTCATCCCCGGCAAGCTGATGGCCATGTACCAAATGAACCGGCCGGAGTTCCTGTTCACGCTGCTGGGATCGTATGCCGTGGGCACCGCGCCGGCGTGGATCAACTACAACCTGGCGGGTGATGCGCTGGTGCATTGCTTGAAGGTCGCCGATGCAAGGGTCCTGATCGTGGACGAGGACGAGGGGTGTCGCGCTCGCATCGAGGCCGTGAGGGACAGGCTGGAGGGCGAGCTGGGCATGACCATCAAGATCCTCGACAAGAACTTGAAGGGCGAGATCCTGCGCTCAGAGCCCAAGAGGCCCGAAGACCATTTCAGACAAGGCGCAACGCCCAAGGATGCTGCGTTCGTCTTCTACACCAGGTAGGTCACGTTCCTCTTGCACGCCAGATCAATCGCGCTAACATGAACAGCGGTACGACCGGCCACCCCAAGGCTTGCAAGTTCCCACTCGCAGCGACAGCCGCTCTCTCCACGCGTATACCCAACATGGGTCTCAAACCAGGACCCAACGGCGACCGGTGGTATGTCTGCATGCCCCTCTACCACGGTACTGGAGGCACGACTGCCCTGGTCTGCCTGATCACCGGCGTGACAACCTGCATTGGTCACAAGTTCTCCACTTCGCGCTTCTGGAGCGACGTCCGAGAGTCGAGGTCTACCGCCATTGTGTACGTGGGAGAAACGGCTCGATACCTCCTCAATGCTCCCCCAAGCGACCTGGACCGTAAGCACAACGTCAAAGCCATGTTCGGAAACGGCATGCGTCCAGACGTATGGCAGCGTTTCGTCGATCGCTTCGGTATCGAACTTGTCGCCGAATTCTTCAACAGCACTGAAGGTGTCCTTTCTTTGTTCAACGACTCCCGTGGGCCGTTCACTGCCACTTCGGTCGGACACCAGGGCATCATCAACCGATGGCGCTACCACAACACATACGTTCCCGTAGAGATTGACCATTCTACCGGCGACATCGTGCGGGATCCCAAGACCGGTTTTGGTGTACGCAAGTCGTACGAAGAGGGTGGCGAAATCCTCGTCTACATGCCCACTGAGGATTCCTTCGTGGGCTATTACAACAACCCCGAGGCCACAGAAAAGCGTTTTGTGCGCAACGTCTTTGCCAAGGGTGATCTTTGGTACCGCACTGGCGATGCCCTGAGACGAGATGCCGATGGGCGGTGGTTCTTCATGGACCGCCTCGGCGACACATTCCGCTGGAAATCCGAGAACGTCAGCACAGCAGAAGTCGGCGAGGCACTCGGCAGCTTCCCAGGTGTCCAGGAAGCCAACGTCTATGGTGTAGAGGTTCCGAACCACGACGGCAAAGCTGGCTGTGCAGCGCTCCACATCGATCCTGCACACCGCGACAACTTTGACTTCAACGCCCTGCTTGCACATGCCGAGTCGAAGTTGCCAAAATACGCAGTCCCAGTATTCCTAAGAGTGCTGAAGACGCGCACCCTCATGCACACCAACAAGCAGAACAAAGTACCCTTCCGAAACGACGGCATCGATCTGAGGAAAGTCCAGGAGCGCACGGACAAAGAGGCCGTGGAGCAGTCGGAGCCCGAGGGCGAGTACGATACTTTCTACTGGTGCCCATCAGCGCTGTCTCTGCGAACGAAACTTGCAGCGGGCGATAAGGGTTACAAGGTGTACAGGATGGAGGACTGGGATTCGCTTAAGGGGGATGAGGCGAAGCTGTAGATCTATGTTGATTTAGCGGATCTGGGTGCGTGGAGTTCTTCTTGTATACTGTTGGATAGCGTCTCGGATAGCTACTTGATCTTCAATGTGAGCGTTCTTGTTCTTGGCCCGGCTGGCTTTTGTGGTTTGTCTGGTGTTTTTTTCTTGATCTCGTATGTTTCTTGTTGTGTCGATTGTTCTTTGGACTGTAGGGCATGTCATGTTTGCTCTCACTTGGTCGCTGCTGGGGTGTTCTTGGTTCTCGTTCGTCTCTTTGCATTTGAGCACCGTTTGTATGGACTGGTAGTGCTTTCCGTATCTGTCGGGGCTGGTGCGTCATCTGGAGCCATCTCGTGCACAACTCGACGTTCACCCACACACTTTCACCCACCGACACATGTTACAAGTGGCCGTTTTGGTCAGCTCACGTTTTGGCCTAAGACATACTGACGGTTCACTTCACCAGGATGGAGCGCCTCATAGCGAACTTCCGGAAAGTTCTACGCGCTCTTGTTTGCTGTTTCGCCACTCTTTCACTTTCACTTTCACCGCAATCCCGTACCGGTACATAAAGCTGGCCCCGCCGCCTACCTTCTTACCTCCTCTAAACTGACCCCATCGATTGTCTTTGCTACGAAAATCTCTTCTGCCCTTCTCTCACGTCAACTTCGCATCCACGCTTGCCAACATGGCGACCGACACACCCAGCGAGTCTGACCATGAGAGCACTGACACTTTCATCACGTCCGTGGCGATTGATCCAGATGCTGTCACCACGACCTCCCTGAGGGCTCTTCAGTCTGCAGATCAGCGCAAGGTCATGGACATTGTAGACAAGTTGCGGCGTACTGGTCTCAGTGGTATCGTAGAGTTGCCACAACTTGTAGTCTGCGGTGACCAGTCCTCGGGCAAAAGCTCTGTGCTCGAGGCTATCACGGAGATTCCATTTCCTCGGAAGGAGAATCTTTGCACGAGATTCGCAACTGAGGTATGTAGACTCTAAGATATCATCATGATACCTTGCTGAAAACTGCTCCACTACCAGATTATCCTTCGCCGTTCGCCCTCGTCTACTATCTCGATCACGATAACTCCCGACAAGGTCCGCCCGAAGCCGGAGCAAGTGAAGCTTAAAACCTTCAGCAAGTCCATCGACGACTTCAGCGAGCTTCCGGATATCATCGAAGAAGCTACGCAGGCGATGGGTCTCGGGGTTGTAGGTGGAACCAATTCCCGGGCCTTTTCTCGCGATGTGCTTTCTATCGAGATTACTGGTCCGGATCGCCCACAACTGTGAGAATCATCCTTGCTGAATCGTGCCACTTACTGACTCTTTTCAGCACGCTCGTCGACCTCCCAGGTCTCATCCATGCCACGAACAAGGCTCAGACGGAAACTGACAAAGAACTGATCCTCAACCTCGTCAGAGAGTATATGAACAACCCACGCACCATCATCCTCGCCGTTGTCAGCGCGAAGAATGACTTTGCCAATCAGATTATCCTCGATCATTGTCGTAAGATCGATGAGCGAGGTCGTCGTACGTTGGGCATCATCACCAAGCCTGATTTCCTCTCAGAAGGCTCCGAAAATGAGCTCAGCTGGATCGATTTAGCTCAGAACAAGGACATTTATCTGGAGCGTGGTTGGCACATGCTCAAGAACCGCGGTGACAAACAGATGAAATTCACCTTTGAACAGCGCAACCACGACGAGAAGCTCTTCTTCAGCAAAGGCCGATACGCTGATATTCCTCGTGAGTGTGTCGGCATTGACTCGCTACGAGATCGTCTCAGCAAAGTCTTACTCAATCACTTGATCAAGGAATTGCCTTCGCTCAAAGACGAGATGGCACACAAGCTGCAAGTCACGCTTGAGGATGTCGAGAAGCTGGGAGAGAAGCGTGAAACCTTCAAGGAGCAACAGATGGTAGTCATGAAGATCAGTATGCGCGTCAATGACATTCTCAAGTCTGCAACAAAAGGCTACTACGATGCACCATTCTTTGGAGCGATCGACATGAAAGCGGATGTTGACGCGTCGGAAAACATTCGTCGCTTCCGAGGTGTCGTCCAGCATCTTAACATCGCTTTCGCCAAGGACATGCGACTAAGAGGTCACAAGTTCGCGTTTGGTGCCGGACCTGGTGATGACAAGCAGGACACTGAAGAGGAAAAGAAGGCCCAGGAAGAGCTAGAGAAGCTCGGAGACGATGCAACTTTGTCCTTCCTGCCCAAGCCCAAGAAGCTTACACGCGAAGAGGCCATTGACTGGGTCAAGAAGACGCTGGAGCGTTCTCGAGGTTACGAACTTCCGGGTACATTTCAGCCTATGCTGATCTCACAGTTGTTCTGGGAGCAGTCTCTTCCATGGGAACAGATAGCCTCTGAGCACATCAGTAGGGTCGCTCGTGCTTGTAAGGAGTTCGTGTACATGGTTCTTGGAGAAGTTGTCCCGACGGAGTTTCAAGATCGACTTGTAGCCCTAAACGTGGACGCCGCTCTCGCCAAATCTTTGAGCGATGCGAAGGAAGAGCTGCGTAAGGTTCTCAAGGACAAAGCCCGTCACCCAAGCACATACAACAACTACTTCACTGCCACGATTCAGAAGACGCGTCAACGGAAGCACCAGAAGATAACCAAGGATGCTGCGAAGTCCTCGGAAGAGGCTGTGGTGGATCAAGCAGGAGTAACTCATACCAAAGTCGATGGCGGCAAGTTGGACAAGGCGATGGACAAAGCCATCGAGCAAGACATGGATGTCTTCTCTAGTCAAGAAGCTCTCGATACTCAGCGCGCATACTACAAGGTAAGTCAAACCTCAGCCACTCAATTACTACCATACTAACTTGACACCCAAGGACGAGCTCAAATACTTCGTAAACGCCATCGCAAAAACCATCATCGAACGCCACCTTGTCGAGCCTCTTCCCGATGTCATCCTCTCACCCCTCGTCGTGACCCAGATGACGGATAAGGAGATCGAGTTCGTTGCCGCTGAGGCACCCGAGATCACTCAGCAGCGCTCGCACCTGGAGTCGAGGAGGGTGATGTTGGAGAAGGGCCTTGAGACATTCAGGGAGGCTATGGGGGGCTTGAAGCGATAAGCCTTTGGGTAACGACAGAAAGTGAACTGTATCTTATCTCTGGTTTGTATGCGAGGATGCTACGTCTGGCCAATCTTGTTACGCACGTAGTTCGTTCCGATACGGACCATCGCGGCGAGATAGAGAATACAGCGAAGACATCATGCCACATAGAGTATGTATAACGCCTCCAAATACTGCAGTTGAACCAATTGGTCGTGATGTTATTATCTTTGGTCTTGGTTTGGGGCTACTGTTGTTAACCTGCAATCAAGGCATCTGTGAACACAACATGACCACGAAAACAAACAAACAATCCCGAAGTGGCTTATTGATGTGTTGTCTTTTCGTTCACAGAAAACAGGCAATCCACATTTCAAGGGTGTGCATCCTCCGCGTCCACAATTCAATAAGCGCTCTCCACTTCAGCCCAGCGGCTAGGGGGTTCTCACGCCATGCTGTAGCTCCGCTCTTTCCCCTCCTCGTTCTCAACCATATCCGTTGGCTCAAACTTGTTCTTTCGTGCCTGCGTCGCACCGGAAGCCTTCCAAGCCGACAGTATCAGATCCACAATTGCATCCACGCCCTGATTGCTCTTCACCACAGCAAAGATTGTGGGCCCACCCTCGCGCATCCTCCTGCTATCGCGCTCCATGACATTCAGGTCCGCGCCCACAGCCTCCGCCAGATCGATCTTGTTTACGACCAGCAAATCCGACTGCGTGATGCCCGGCCCTCCCTTGCGGGGAATCTTGTCCCCGCCTGCAACGTCAATCACGTAGATGATGAAGTCGGCGAGTTCGCGCGAGTAGTTTGCTGCAAGATTGTCGCCGCCGGACTCGATGAGCAGGAGGTCTGTGTCAAACTTATGGTGCAGGTTTGTGAGCGTGGTGAGGTTCACGGATATGTCTTCACGGACGGCGGCGTGGGGACAGCCACCCGTTTCAACGGCGACGATGCGCTCGCTACGGATTTGATGTGAGCATTGCACCGCTGGAAAGAGAGGTTGCGGAGGCTTACGCGGGTAGAGCATGGTTCTTCGTCAGAAACTCGCAGTCCTCACGTGTGAAGATGTCGTTTGTAACGGCTGCTATCGAGTAGCGTGCTCGCAGTTGTTTGCAGAGAGCTAGCATGAGGGCAGTTTTGCCGGAACCAACGGGACTGCCTTGATCAACTTGTTGTTCCATGCAGACTATTCATCCCAAGCCACTACAACGTCCTTGCGATCGATTGGCGGGTGGGACGAGGCACGTTATCGGAAGAGCAGAAAACAAGCTTACCCTCCAATCCCCACAGTGAAAGACCTGTCCTCCCAATCCCTGCCCTCGATGATTGGGAGCTCGCGTCCCAGAAAGCTTCCCGGACCATCGAGGATCTCGTGCGTGTGCCCGTGGTCAGCGGCGGCATGCGAGTGTGACGCGCCGCTATCATGAGAATGGCCGTGAGACATAGTGAAGAGTCGATTACTGCTACTAAGAGACGCTGAATTGATGTGAGAGTCGCCGGAACAGGTTATCGAGGTGAAGAACAATCATCACGCAGCCAGCAGGAACGAAGCTTGAGGTTGACGATGGTGGGGCAATACCGAATGTGGGGTTTGGCGATCATATTGACACGGGTATCGACAAACGACCGTCTAGGGCTGAAGCATTCACGCCATGTTTACAAAACGTCTTGCACGCCTGAGCTGAGGAACAGGTTCTATTGTTGTGTTGATATGTCTCGATGCAGCCGTGGCTGACTGAGTCGACGCGCGCGCACGCTTGGACCCTGGTAGGATTCGGGTTCTTTCGCGACGATGCTTGCATGAAACTATTGACTGCTTTGCCCCTGCATCGTCAGGGACGCGCGCGGCATTTCTACCCTCCGAACATCAATACGGGTTCATCAACGGGCGTACCTGGATCCTTGCTAGGATCTTCCCTTTTGAGGTTCCACGTCAATGTCCATGACTCCTTGGGGCGTTGCCGTGCCTTGTTTGTCTGGCTGCGTCGTCCACGCTACCCAATTGAGCTGTAAACAACACCTCATCTCCGTTCAAGTTCTCGCCAAGCTCTCATCTCGTGTTCAAACGGTGCACGCCATGAACCGGATTTTCGGGTGTCTTGACAAGCCAGCGCACAACTCTGGGTATGAGGAGATATCGTGCAAAGTTTGGTTCCGCGGATTAGTCCCAATACGCCTCAGAGTCGCTAAAATTACCTTTCGACCTGTTCGCCATATACACGCTAGTTTATGCCCTTCATAATTACAAGACCATCGACTCTCTTCCCTTCTATCCGTCCCCACAAACTAACATATTAATACTTTTTAACTTTTACTATGCCTGTCACTTGGGAATCGTCGTCAAATGCCTCTCTCATCATATGGGATATCGAGCGAGAGTTCCAGAATGCCAGCGAAGCATATGTGCAATGGCAGGCACGGCATCGACGCAGACGCTCGACATGGGCGTGGTTCGGAACCAAGAGCCGGGATGATGCCCTCAGGAAAGCATTGAGGTTGGGACGCCAGGTGCGAAAGCTCATAGAAACTGGCAAAGCAACTTTTGGATCACGTTTCGAGGAGGGTGACTGTGAGTATAGGAGTACTTAGAATGATACAATGTATACCAGGCTGACAGTAATCAGCAATATGTCACACAATCCTCTCGGCTCAACTCTTGCGACTTCAATACGAAATCCGCGTCCCATTATATGGCAAGGCACTAAGCCCTACACCAACCTCCATACCATACGAAGAGATCATCACAGCCGCAAAGGGCATCCGTCGCGTTTGTCTCACCGCTCTGACTGAGCAGTATGCTCGTTTCCGATCACCACTATCCACACCTATCCTCCCACCTCCATGCTTCAAATTGCAGTTCTGTCCATTCGCAGAACAACTCAAGAAGGACCTGAAGAAAGCAAAGCCAAGTGAACTCCAAACAAAGAAGCTTCTACCACACCGTCATCACGATGATCGAGAACTGTGCCCGCACTGCAGCATACGCATATCTGTAACCCCACACTCCGGACTGCCGAATTACAGATCCATACTGTTCTCCTCGCACACTGGAGGGATCTGCACAACATCCGACGACAGAGCCACATTTGCATGCACAAGCTGCCACAAGACCTTTGACGACTCGTACGCATTCCTCGATCACGTTTTCCAGAAGAAAATCGGCAGTGACAAGAGCTGTCTGGGCGGCTCGAGAACACGCTGGATCATCAACAAGGAGTTCAACCAAAGCGATTCTAGACTCTTGGACCAGTGCTTGAAGAACTGCGTGGACAGAGAGCTGAAGAGGGCTAAATCACAACTAATGGTGGTGTCATAGACTATCGTGAGAGTGTGGAAATTGGACTCGATGCACGCGATTGAGTAGCGCCAAGTCCAGCTATCGAAAGGGCAACGAACATCACGACGGCGCAGTCAGGTCCCAAACTATCTTCGACGTGGAGCGGTCCATCCTAATCCTAATGACCGAAATCAACCGACGTTACCATTCGAAATAGGATTGTGCTCGCCAGACCGCACAGTCATGACCCCCTCTTCTGAGACGAGTTTATTCTGCGAAGAGACCATTCCTCTATTCGCTTCTTGATTCAAGCTCTCCCTCCCCTCCTTCGTACACGAATTCGTTTCTTTTATCACATTTAGAGGTGTATCGAACACTCCAGCATATACCCTATGCAAGCTCACGTAATCTCAAGGTCAGAGAAGCTTGTCTCCACAACCCTTGCAGTTTTCTTTTGTTAAGACGGATGAACATTCCTTTTCTTATGTCCTAATGGGGGGTCTTCGCCTGTACTCATGCTCTTCTCATTTCTTTTCGTATTACGCAGTAATGTCTATATCAACGTCTCACGCAGCTTTACATGTATCACTAGACAACATAACACTCAAGATATATATGAGAGTTCTTTCATTCTGACGAACGATGCCTTCAATACTAATACACATTGCTTACCATCATCACGGTCGTCGTTCAGCATCATCCCAGCTATTTCTCACGTCAAGAACACACGCAGATCACACGGCCAGACTTCGGATCCCATCCTTCTTCACAGCCGACTCATCCGTCTTGACACTTCAAGCACACAGGATGAAACAACTCGGTGCCGATACACCAAGATCCGTGCAACCTTTCGTCGTCACCAAGCTGATCTTCCACTCTAATAAAGTGCCAGTAAAGGTTAACACAGCCGATATTCCCGCCTTCTATCGGCTCTCTGCTTGAGCAGCGCACGACAAGGCGTTTGAAAACAAACAGCTCACAAACAGCAAATTAGTCGACCCAGCGCGTCGGTAGCACCACCACAGCGAGGCAGCCCGTCAAGATAAACACACTTACAACCCACCACAAGAAAGTGTCACGGCAAGTACCTACACAAAGCACCACCCAAACTCTACAATACACACCTTCACAACACAACCCATAAACCAAATTAAAGCCAACACAAACCCCACTCCTCACCCACCCGCCAAGACCCATATTTCCCGAGCCAAGCCGAAACCCACTTTCTCCAAGCCTCGAAAAAGCACTCCCCTTCCTGCTACACAATCACTTGTTCCGCCCCCATCCAACCGTTTTCTCGAGCAGGCGTGTCACACTACCGTAAACGGCACGCCCAGAGCGGGACGTGTGGCCGGCGGAACTAGGCGGTCTTGGTCGAAACACAAGACACAGCGGTGACAGGGGGGATGTGATTGCTGTTCTGCTCACGCGCAGCGCGGCGGAGTGGGAGGTGGAGAGATGAGTCCGAGTGTCGGGAAAGTTTCTTACGTTTACGAGAAAGATGTCATTCCAAAATCGAGAGTGGTGGTCATGTGAGAGATAGAGTGTTTGAGAGAAAGTTTCAATGGTACGATTCGAATAAAAATGGGGTATATCATGTGGAGAGCCAAGGTCTCGTAAAAGCAAAAAAATCCTTCTCGTGCAGGACAAAGCCTGCGGTGAGATAATCAACGCCGTGCTGTCGTGCCGGAGCAGCAGACCCATCCCTTCCATTTCAATCCCGTAATCCCGTAATCCCGTTTACGCCGTTCCATATGCCGCTAAAATGCCGTTCTTGCCGTGGCTATCAGGGTACAAAAAAATCCTTTGTCGAGTCGAAGGGGTGTCGTGAAGTCGCTTCCGCGCAATCGTAATCGTCGAGTCGCGAGTGAAAACCAGTCCTTCGAGGCGCAATCATCTCAATCCTCGTGCAAGCCATTTCTCCCACCAGTTGCGAACGCTTAGAATGCTCTCTTTGCCGTCGTTGTGGTGTCCGTCTGGACTGCTAGGGCCCCCGGGGTCACCCAGTATCGCAGAAAAGAACGAGAAGCAAGCCGCGACCCATGCAGCGATGGCAATACCGAAGGCGACGAATGGCGAGAATAGGTGGATTACAACCAGGAGAGGCGCGCTGTATTCCGTTTTTGAGTTGGTCGAGTACACGAGGTGAAGCTGTAGATTGAGGGCGGGCGCGAGGAACGATTCGAGTTGCGACGACAGCGAGGGGCGTGTAGAGCAGAATCGCAGCGGATACAAGGCAAGCGAAATGATCAATGCAGCAATCGTCCAGAAGGTGATGGCGACGGAGAGAAGAGCGCATGGGCCAGAAAGATAAAACTTTGTGTATGTTAGCCATTATATCTGTGGTATAGTAGCATATGTCCACATACCAACAACTGCCACGCCTTCTCCTCAGCACCCCCCTCTTCGTATTCGCCTCGGTCATGCACCTGCTCTTTCTGTGGTGATAAGTCGCGGTTCAACGACTGGCGACCCTGCGGCGAGCTGTACCCATCGTTCTTCTCGGGATCTAGATGTGCCTGCGGTGGATACGATACAGGCCTGCCGTCTACCACGGGTACGGAGTACCGAGCTTCTGAGCCTGAGTGATGTCGTCGTTCCGCGGAGGAGATGCTGCTGTGGGGGCTAGGCGTGCATGGCGAGAAGGGATATGAGATGACGGAATCGTGACCACGACCATTGCGGCGACCGCGCTCTGTGTGAACACTCTGTCGCCGCTCACAGGCGTCCTTCTCGTTGTAGATGTGGTTGCATTCGTTGGGCGCGGGGCTCGACGACGACTGTCGGCGTTGATGTTGAGGGCCTGGCTGGCGTGTGGCCGGAGAGACGACCGGCGGATACAGGGCTGCCATGGCCGTGCAGTTGGTTTTCACGCTATGTGTCGGCGGGCATCCACGACTTGTTACGGGCCTTGAGGACAGTCCAAGTCGGCGAGGCAGCGGGCATGTTATAGACGAGACGACGGCTTCCGCCAGGAGACGCAAGACTCTGGTTACATACCACTTACAACTCAAGAAGCTTGGTAGGCGTCTTGGGCTTGGCAATTAGGCTGGGCAAGCTGGGCAAGCTGGGTCATGGCGTCTGCAGCGAATCACCGTGAAACAGGTCGAGGAGCCCACACGACGGAATTCACGGCAAAAGCAGGTCCGTCCTTGACAGTGCAGCGTTTCTTTGTTGTTTCCTTGGGCTTGGCAGCGTCGACGATGCTGAGCGATGCTGAGCGATGCTGAGTGACGCCGAGTGACGATGAGTGACGCTGTGCAGCCTGCTGTCGTGTTCTTGGAGGCCGTCAGACATGTCGAGTATAGCCAGGATACAGTGCTGCAGTCCTCTCAGTAAAAGTCGCAAGTCAATCCTACCTCTCGACGATACCAAGAAATGTAGAGTCTCTCTGCCTCAGGACGTACGCGTCGATACATATGCCAAGGGCCTTCATGATAAAGGCGTCCGCTGGCTCGTTAGCGGTGATTCGCGTCATGTGCAGGAGTATTCCCATCGATGTACGGACTATTTCCGCTTCGCAAAGGTAGGCTGCCGAGTCATGATATAATTCCAAGCGTTGCGATCGTCTATCGTGATGCTGCCGTGCAACGTACTGAACAACCGTCGCGCCCCGGCAAAACTTGGGCGGAGCGAGGACCCGCTAGCGAGCATTGGCGGAAGGAGCGGTTCATCAATGATGATCTTCGCCTTGGCGTTGAAACGGGCAAAGCCGATGCATCAACATCCCTGGTCGTCTTTGCATCGTCAACATGTCCATGTCGAGCTCGGCACATCTTTCTCTGGTTCTGGAATAGCTCGGATGATCAGGTCAACTATCCCTCATGAGCGGTTGTTTGTCTCGTATGATGAACCTTGGAAACGTCGTCCACAATCCAAAGAAGAAGGTGCAAGTTCCAAGTAAAGAAGACCGTTCATCGGCGATCACAGAAACTGGGAGGAACGGCAGGCGACGAACACTTCGGCAAAGGTGTCTAACTCTTAGATGCAGCAATAGAGATGGCTGAGATTACTTTACAGTCACATCAACTTTTGGTACTCGTCGTGTTTTGAGCAAATCCCTCAGCAGGTGTAGATCATAGTCGCTCCTTGGTAGAGTTTAGTCATAGACCCTCCCTTCCGACCAAGGTATCGCTGTTAATCGAGTCAACCAATGTGCTTTCAGTAAATCGACGATAACCGTTAGAAGAAGGGACTCAAACGCGGGAACTAAGCTGCGTTCTTTTGTGGCTTTTACAAGCACCAGAATTACACTATGGGTAGTTTTCAAAATACCTTGATCACCCCGTGACTTGCGAATCAGCCTATCGGGTAGGTGTCCGGATCTCTAGATTGGCAGCGCTGTACAGAGTAAATTAAAAGAACAACTAACTTACAAGCTAGTAGTGTAAGGAGTTAAATACTACTTAATTACTACTGTTGAAGCCTTTATTTGAGCAATTGCAACAATTAAGATCGTTGGGCTGACTCGGAAGAATATTAATCCATGTCCGTGATCACGTGACAGGGCTTAATAATTATCTTAAGATCAACTTTACTAGACACGTCATAAGAAGATAATCAGCCAATCGGCTAATACACAAGTCACGGGGTAATCAAGGTATTTTGAAAACTACTATCCCATAATCCAGTGTATAGAACCCGCGAATTTTGGTCCAACTATTAGCCAATAAGAGTAGGGCTTGGCATTAGTAAGTTAGCGTTTTGTGAACGTTACGAACTTTAAACTTAGAAACTATCTATTAACTTAACACTAACTTACTCTATACTTTAATATTTTACTTTATAATAATACTATTTATTCCTATAATAGCTCTACGTAGCTGCGCTAATAATAACTTTGTACCTAAGGATACTTTAGCTACTTAAAAATTATAGCAGAAGCCTTTGCCTATACACCTTAAAGGCTGCCCTAAAAACCCTCTACTAATATAGAAACTGCTTATACTTAATAACCTTAATAAGTAAGGCAGCCTATACCTACCTTACTGTAATAGTAAGCCTTATAATTAGATACCTATTAAACTCTTTAAGCTCTTTTTTACTAATAATAAGATTATAAAAATATACTACTATACTAATAAGAACGCTTATTAATAATACCTACCTAGCTCTGCCCTAGAGTACTCCTGTCTATAGAGACTAGTAATGCTATATAAAATCTTTAGTTACCTAGCTATATAAATCTATATAAGTATATACTAGGAGGTATAAGTTAAAGACTATTAGTATACTAATAAGTAATTTAGAGTAGTCTATATCTATCTATATAAGATTATAAGCCTTATCTAATTTAAGCAGATTAATTATTACTTCTACGTTACTTAACCTTATAATATTAACAATTTATTTAAACGTCTGTTTAAGTAAGTATAGGAGTTTTCTAAATATATCTGTTATATTAGCTAATATTACTAGAGCCTAAGGTAATATTTAGCTATAGATAAGAGTATAACTTACTTCTATAGTTACGCTAAGAAGAAGACTATAATTAATTATAAGTCTAACTTAACAGGTTATAAAACGTAGTACCTTAGAGATTCTAAGTATTAATTAAACTAGCTCTTTTATAGTAAAGGTTTAAATCCTAGTAACAGCCTTTATAAACTTAACCTATATTACGTAAGACTTAGTTTTTATTCTACCTAAGCTCTTATACTCTACCTTACCTTAGACTACCTTACTAGTAACGTTAATATATAGCTACTTAAGCCTAATAAATACATAATTTTTATAGATAACTTATTTATATTAGTGCTATTACTTAAGAAGTTATAGTATACTAGAATTATAGCTATAGGTACTATATAGACAGGAAAGACTCTATATAAAATTAGTATAGGTAATATTCTATCTTAGGTATTATAGCAGCCCTCTATAAAACGCAAAGCTGTAGCTCTACTAATAATATTATTCTAGCTACCTAAGAGGCGTAGCTAGCTCTAGAAAAACGTACTGCTAGTAATAATATTATTACTATTACCCCTACCTACGCAGCCTATATAAGAGACTTAGAGCAGTTAAGGGCTAGAGCCTAAGCCCTTAACTACTCTTAGTAACCTAGCTAAGGGCTTCTTAATAGATCTTATTAATATTAGAGCTTAGCGTAATAAACTTAAGTAGAGTACTATTTACTTTAATACTTTAGGAACTAAAAGAGTTAGGATAATAGCTTAGTATAATAACAATATAGTTCTATTTACTATAACGTTTAATAATTTAGTAGCTACTATTACTAGGTTAAGAAAGAGACTAAGTAAAATATAGACTAGAGTAGTCTAAACATGTATAGCTTTTAGAGACACACTTTATAAGGAAATAGAGATTCTAGTATTAATTAATCTCTATAATAAGTTTATAAACGTAATTAATTAATTTAATTAACTTTAAAGTTACTACTTACTCTAATAGGTCTATTATAAAACCTAGAGACCTCTATTTACACTCCTCCTTAATATTATACTTATAAACTCTTACTACTTATTTAGGTATACTATAGGCAAATTACTTTCTAAATTAGATATATACTAGAGTTTTCTCCTTAATCTTATAGTTAGGCTTAAGGGCTTATTAAAGTAGTAAATACTTCTCTATAGATAACCTAAGATCTAGCCTATTCTTATACTAGTTATTAGCTACAAATAGGTTAAACTCTATACCTAATAATAGTATTAGCCTTATATAATTTATACTAGAATTAGCTCTTAAGTAACTAAAAAAACCTCTCTATAAGCTATTTTAAGCTTAAAAATTAACTTAATTTAAAATAGGAGACTGTAAAGGATAGTATTTAGGTATTTATAGTATAATATAATAATTTGCTATCTTTACTAGTCTCTCTATATAAATAAGAAGGAGCTTAAATCTTAGCTTATTAGTAGTAACAGTTAGTATAAGCCTAGGCTAGTATAATAACTACGTTAAAAATACAATTATCTTAACCTTAATTAATCTTATTAACCTGTATTAAAAAATATTAAAGTTTAAATCTATATACGCGTTTTTTAGTAAATAACTTTAATTTTAAAGTTCCTAAGATGTAGCGCTATAACGCTCTGCTATTGGCTGAAATCCGCGGGTTCTATACACCGGATTATGGGATAACAAAAGTTGTAAGAGTGCCTGCTAGGCGTATACTGCTAGAAATCCAGGCCTAGGACTTCTACGCTAATTTTGCTTGTAGTTGTCGAGCTGCTAATATCCCCGCAAGGAACTCAAACATGGAAACCCCACAGCCGACCACATCTTTTCCGCCAACAACCACACGTTCATTGCAAAGTCCCCTCTCCAAAATCACCTGTCGTCCTATCACAATGCACCTCCAAGTAATCACACAACCACAAGTTGCTCCCACCACGGATCTGAATAATGGAACCCATCAACCCTGAACCAAGATTCGCAGTCAAATCTACATATATATGCAAACCTCTCCTCTTTTCTTTCCATTGCACTTCTCATACCCCCATTTCCATCTTCACAAAACCATCACCAAAAAACTCCACAAACTACACACACACACCAACATCATGTCTCACAACTCACCATCCGAGAAATCCCGCCAGCCCCAGCATTCAGCACCACACCCACCTACAACCCGCCCCTCATCGTCATCACGACGCATCCCACAACAACAACCACCTCATCTGTCCTTCACCAGCACCACTCCCTCCCCATTCTACTACGCCCCCACGCGCCGCACCCGCCACTCACCAACAACCTGTCTCGGCACCATCGCCGAAGCGCTAGAACACGGCACCGACGAGCCCAGCACACCAAACTACGTCAAGTTGAAGGAGAGACACGTCCGCATGCGCGGCGAGGGCCACTGCTACGGGAGTGCTGTTGATGCGCCGAAGCCGGTGGGGACCGAGTACTTGAGGTCGGTTATGCGGATTGGGCGGGGTGCGGATAGAGGAGAGGAGCCCAGCACAGTAAGTTACGCTAAGTTGGAGAAGACGCCAGACTATCTGCGCAGTGAGGGCCACTGCTACGGGGATGCAGCTGCTGCTTCTGCGAGGGAGCGGGCGGGCAGAGTCGTGGCGACCGAGTACTCGAGGTGGGTTATGCAGATTGGGCGGAGTAAAGGGGAAGGGGAAGATGTGCGGGTTGTGGGAGGAAGGTCACAGGGATCGTTGAAAGTGGTGTTGAGGATAGAGGTGAGTGTTCTAAAGCAGGAGAAGAGCCCGCGATGGTCACTGAAGGGCTTCTTGAGACGGTTGTGGTAAGGAATCCGTACGTGTGAGGTGTCAGAGGCAGGGGGTGAGAAAGCGCAAGCGTAGCAATGATTGCCTGTGATACACGCCGAGCTGTCATTCAAGCACATGTGAGCTGGAAAAACTGGAAAGCCGCATGGTACTGTATTCTCCATGCCCTTAATACCATGTCAACGATTAGAATAGAAAATCATCTTGTATACGCCACCTATCCCAAACTTCAACAACGTGGTATCACACCCAGCCTTCGTAGATGTTCCCGATCCTTCCCTTCAGTAGTCCAGGTGATCTCATCGTTCGAATGAGCTACTCACAAAATCAGCATACAATCTCAAGTTTTCAAAACACTAGCCATACCGTCCATGTAAGCGGCAATGTCCTTCGATGACACTGGTTCGCTCTTGCTGTGGGCCACCAGAATCCCGTCAATGGCCGCCACTAACTTAGTCTCAAACGAGCAAGCATGGTGAGTTTCGAAGAGCGCGTTGCACGAAAGATGGGACATGGCAACGTCGTGACGGTGAACGGCCGCACGAGTTGTTTTCAGCATTTTGACGAACTCGAAGACTGAGTGGCGGATCTGCGAGACATTTTCTATCCGAGGGAATAGACCGAGTTGTTTCAGATGCAGGGTTAATCTGAAGTAATTCGTACCCGCACAGCACTCCTGGCACTGGAGACATGCGTTTGGTATGGCGACTTCGCAAGGGGTCGTGTTTATCATGTTGCTCAGAAGAGTGTAGGCAGATGTTACGATGGACGTTAGAAGCTTTGTTCGATCAGCCTTGATGTGATCTGCTAGGAGTCAGTGAGTGGAATCTTTGACAAAACAAAGACTTACAGAGAGCTTTCGGCGGCAAAAGACCGATAATCGGGCTTTCTGAGCCAGGCACCAATAGCTCTCCAGTATTGCTGGTCCAACAATGTAATTTGAGGTGTTGAGCGAGTTGAATGTAAGCACGGGAGGCGTGAGAAACATGTTGGCCAATGTGTAACCATTCCTCGTAACCTGGATCGTAAAGTCTGTCGAAGTAAGGTTCAAGCCAGCCGTTCAAGTGATGTTGCAGTAGATGCATGGTATTGTATCGTTGTGCAACATCGACTAGACGGACGACGTCTTTGAAATCGAGCTTTTTGGGAAGCTTCGAGAATTGGTGATGCGCGATATACATGATCAGACGGATGATGCGAGGGTCTTCTTCTGACAACCGGAGTACCCTTTTTCGCTTTGAGAACTTCCTTACCACGTACTCCCGTCGAGTGCACCACCTGCGGCTCATCACAAATGCATCCCACACTTGACTGAGTTGTCGCAGATGTGCTTTTGAGACGACGAATTTGTGAACGTCATTTGTGGGGCCCACGATCAGTTCTATGTAGTCTCTAGCGCTAGTGAAGGTCTCCACGAAGAAGTCTTTCGTCTGCAAGGAGCTTGGTTGCGAGTTGTGGTTGTCGTCGATTGGCAATTGGTTGGCTGGCGTTTGCTGTTGATGACCTGTCTGGTCGTTGGGTTGATCAAGTCCTCCTGAGTTGATATCTACGCCCGAGAGAAGCGAGCGCCGGAAGCTTGTATGTGTCTTTTGATAGCGCTGGGGTACACTTGAATTTCCACGCTGCAAGTTTTTGTGGTTCCCTGCTGAATGGCGGGTGTCCAGTAGCCGCTGCTGTTCGTTAGGCTGGACGTTATGCCTCCCTGAAGAGCCGTTGCGCGCGACTGGCACAGAATGCGAGGTCGGTAGCATGACGAAAGAATGAAAGAACGAGAATCCCATAAGAAAGCGTTTGGAGGCCGCCTACTGAACTAGGAGGTGTCGATAGTGAATGAGAAGTTTGACGCTGGATTGCGATGGAGAAATATGGATATCAATTGCTGAGATGAAGTTGGTTGCGGATGTCCTTGGAGCATGATGAACGGAAGATACTCGAGGTTATCCGCGTTCCAAGCCCAACATTTGTGGGCGTGACTGACTCGTCTGGTCGAAACAGGAGGAACTACTATGGGACATCTGCAGGAAGGTGAGATCGATGGCAATAACGTCTGGCCTGTAACCATCCTTCGATTCTTTTAGCGGGAGACATGGCGAGTTTCTAGAAGTCCATGTCAATCAAGAGGCAAGATGAATGAGGGGAAAGAGTGTACGGTTGGATGTACTGTGATTGAGGGGTAGGAGCAAGGAAGTTGTGTTAGGCAACGGTTTAGAAGGAAGGCACGAACAATGGTAAAACGGTTCAGTATCCAGCTTGTCTGGACATTCGATATGTCTGGTACTATACAATTACTATGCGTAGTAACAACACCCTCGTACATAGAGTACAAATACACTGATTATGCGAATGAGCAATTTCAAGTCTATCATCCGGCTACAGGCGTCAAGTGACCATCTTTGTCGTACTTAGCCTTAAAGAATGTGTAACTCAGCGTAACCGTCTCAATACCCTTCATATTGATGTCCGACACGAACTCGGGATCGATGTAGAAAAACACAGGCATGTCCACCGTTTCGCCAGCATTCAGCCGCTGCTCTTCGAAGCAGAAGCACTGGATCTTGCTAAAGTAAGGCGCAACCTGTCCCGGCGTCACCGAGTATGTTGCGACTCCAATGATGTCTTCGTCTGACTTGTTGGTCGCGGTGTAGAAGGCAAGAGCGGTTTCGCCGGGGAGAACGCGCACCTCGCGTTGCTGTGGGGTGAATTTCCATGGTAGGACGTCTGAAACAGAGCCATTGAATGTTATGCGGATTCGAGGATGCGATTCGACAGGCTTTAGGCGTTCCGACGGGTCACGATCTGAGTCGCCGCCGTGCGCTGCGGATTTGATGGGCTGTCCACCCCATCCGGTTTGCTGGCAGATCTGGGAGCTCAAGATTAGCATTTGGGATCATCATTGCTGGAATGAACTTGGACATACCATCTTATACATGGGCACTGAGCCATATGTGATAGCTACAAAGCCCACTATGACGCTAAAGACATAATTCCTGCCCACGCATCAGCTCATACGCTAAGCTCGACTACATATCGCGCATACATGACTGTCCGGTTCTTCTCCTTGTATCTCGCATGCATCTGGTCCATCCTTGGCACAGTGCTCTGCCGCAGCTCTTTCGTGGTATTCAAGCATCGTCGAGGTATTGAAAACGCCGGATTGCGGGCGCGGGGAAGACCAGTGAGCGAGCGCGTGCAAGCCGAGCACCTCCATGCCTCAATTGCACGCGACGGGGACTGTCGTAACGGCGAAGCGAAAGACATTTTGCGAGCGAGAGGGGTGATGTCTGGTGCTCATTGACTTCCAGTGGAGTGATAGATTCGCCGCGGGATTTAGCCGCTTTGGGATTGCGCGCTGACTTGTACGGAGGACTATTAGCAGGTGTAGTAACAAAATTAATATATACTAATTAATTTATTATATACTTATTATTAGAAAGAACTACGTTAAAATTAGTAATAAATCTACTTTAAAAATAGTATTAAATACCTTAAGTTTAACCCTAGTAGGTAGTAACCTTTAACTTTACTTAGTACTTTAATAAGCTATAGATAACTAAGAATACTAAGTATAAATATAGTTTATATTATAATTAATTATTAATAATATTCTTAGGTAATACTACTATAATGTAATTTTCTTCTTTAGTTATATAATAAAAAAACTAATATAGTATAGGCTAAATAAAGAGCAGCGTATAACCTTCTAGCTTTAGATATCTTAGCCTAAGCTAAAGTAATTTAAGTATACTAAGTTTAAAGTTATAGACCTAGCTATATTAATACTATTTTAATTAATAGTAAAGGTATTATAAATTATATTATAAGAATTTTATAATATATAAAATAGTTATATAACTAATAAAATAGGCCTATATAGCTTATTCTTTAGGTATAAGACCTAGGCTATTTACTTACTATATAAGCCTTTAAAGTTTCTAGAGTAGATTATATAGTAACTATAAGTAGAGAAATTATAAAGCTTATTACTCTTATACTACTATATAATAAGGTTAGCTTAGGTAGTAAGGTAGTATTAATATTAAAGAAAAAGTATTTACTAAAGTAAAGAATTAAAAAGATAAAGAGATAGTTAATACTAAGTAAAAAAGAAAGAAAGTAAAAGAAAAGAAAAAAAAAAAAAAAAAAGGCTTATATAATAAAAAATTTAGTAAAAAAAGTAAAAAAATACTTTTTTTCTTTTTTTTTTCTTTTTTTTTACTTATTTTAAATTCTTTTTTTTAATTTAGATATTTCTTTTTTTAATTTAGATATTCTTTTTTTTAATTTAAAACTTTTTTTAGAACTTATATATTTAAGTATATTTAATATATTATATATATTCTCTCTTATATAATAACTTATCTCTTATATATATATATTTATATATATATATCTTTACTTATATAATAACTTATCTCTTATATATATATATATTTATATATCTAATATAATATATATATTCTTTTAAAAATAAATAGATAGTTTTCTTTAAAACTTTTTTTTTATTAATATATTACTTATATTTTTTAGAGATTCTTCTTTATATAATAAAATATATTTTTTATTTATAAGGTCTACCTTTTAGAACGTAAACTATATAGTATATTAATAATAGATATATTAGTATTAGTATTTCTAAAAAATAGTAACTCTTAAATATTTAAAAGCTAAGAAATTATATACTTTCTTTTATATAAATGTTTTTTCTTAATACTATATTTCTATTTAATTTTTTTCTTTTTAATAGGTAAAAGATATAGCTTTTTATTTTCTTTTTTAATTTTCTTTTTAACTAGCTTTCTTAGATAAATAAGTAGCTTTATAGAAGATAAAGTAGGTTTTTATATATATAATATATCTTTCTTTAGCTTAAGATTAAAGATTAAGAATATTAAAGTAATACTTTAGTTACTTTTTTTAAAGTAGCTACTCTTTAGTAGCTTTTTTACTATATAAATATCTTTTATACTTTTTAAAAGAAGTATAATACTATCTTTTTTAATATTAGAAGTAATATATAGTAGTATAGGTATAATTTTTTTAAGTTTAATTTATATAAGTTTAGAAAGAAGAATAGTTATAATAAGATTTTTTAGCTTTTTAATTAAGCTATTATATAATTAAATATTAATCTTAACTATTATATATAAGAATAGAATAATAGGTAATTATTATATTACTTATAAAGAACCTTAAAGTCTATAAACTTATACTTAAACTAACTTTCTTTATTTATAACCTAGTATTATATAAGGTAGGCTTATAGAAGTAAAGGTAGTTTTAGAAACTCTTAGTTTATAAGCTAAGAAGTCTTATAAATTAACTACTAGTAAGTACTTTCTACTACTATATAAGCTAGAGCTTTTACTATAAAAATAAAGATAACTTTTTTTAAATTAAGGCTATTATCTAAAATAATAATATTTTTACTTTTTACTTTTTATATAGGTATTAATAGCTAAAGTTTAGTATAGTAGCTTAGGTAGAATAGATAGTTTAAAGAAAGTTTAAAGTAAGTTTACTTAGTTTTAAAGTAATACTTAGAAAAGAATATAGTATTTATTATATTATATAATATAAACTAAAGTATAGAGATAAAGGTAAAAAGAAAGAATATTAAAAGAGTAAAAGGTAATATATAAAATAAAAAAGTAGTATATATAGATTAGTTATTATATATAAGTAAATAATAATTATATTATTTTAGAATCTACTAGTACTTTATCTTCTTATATATTAGTTTCTAAGTTTATAGCTTAAACTATAGTAAAGCTAGGCTAAAAATATACTTAGTTTAAAAACTAAAATTTATTATATATAGTACTTACTTACTAGTTTTTTATACTAACTAAAGCTTTTAGAAAAGATAGTATTAGGTATAGCTAGTACTAAAAGTAAAACTATACTTTTTTTTATAGTTATAATTAAACTTTAAAATAAAGGCTTATATAACTAGTATTTTAAGGTTTAGCTACTATAGATCTACTATTAAACTTAAAAAACTAAAGTACTTAGTTATACTAGTTAAGTATCTTTATAAGAAAAAAGGTATAAATATTTTACTTACTAACTTTTACCTTTATTATATAAAGCTAGTTAAGATTAAAGAAAACTCCTTAGTTTTATATATAGCTACCTAGGTAGTAGTAAAGTATAAATAGCTTCTTAATAATAGTATTTAGGTAGTTTTTTTACTTATAAATTAAATATATATTTTAGAGTTATATAAAATTATAAAGCTACTCTTAAAGAATTAGAAGGTATATTATATATGGATAAATTCTATCTATAAGCTAGTTAACTAAAAATAGCTTCTTCTTTTAAAGTTATTTAAAGAAATTCTATAGTATATTAAATAATATAGTTTATTATTAATTTAAGAACTTATATACTAATAGAATAGAAGCCCTTTTAAAAGCTATATTTACTATACTTTAATATACTAATTTAAGGTACTTATATTATATAGATAGTAGTTCTAGAACTTAAGGTCTAATTTATATAATATTTAAAGGTTATAGTAAGTATCTACTAGTATAACTATTTTAATTTTTCTATTTAATTATATAAAATATAGCTAGATCTTAACTTCTTTTAATATTTAAAAGAACTAGTATATATAGCTAATAGTAGTTAAAGCTAATATTTTAATATAAATCTAAATAATATACCTTAAGTAGGTATTAATATAAGTATATATTTTAATACTATATAAATAAAGTTTATAGTATTTATTAATAGACTAAATAAAATTAGAGCTAAGAATAATATACTTTTTATAATACTTTTAAAGGTTATATTTATACTACTTAACTACTTTAGAATTTATTATATAATAAGCCTAAAATAACTAATCTCTTATAATAATATAGCTATACTACCTAAAGTATATATAGAAGTACCTTTATTTATAGCTATTAATTACCTCTTTCTTTAGCTCCTTAGCTATAAGCTATTATATAAGCTAGTTTACTTTTTAGTACTACTTAACTCTTTATATATAGTATTATAAGCTAAGCTTAAAATAAAGTTATATAAAAGTATACTTTCTAATTTAAAAACTTTCTTTTTATAATATAGTAAGTATCTTTATATTCTTAAGCCTAACTTTAAAGAATAGTACTTATATTTACCTTTTAGTATTATTTTAAACTTTAGTAAGAAGCTTATACTATAAACTTTATATTTTAAAGTATTACTTTAGTATATAAATATTTATAGTAATATTATAAGTCTTTAAAAGAAAAATAGTTATTTACTTATATATAAGACCTTTATAAAAGAGCTTATAGAGCTTAACTTAATATAAAGAAAGATTAATTTAAAAGTAACTAGCTTTATATATTAGTAATAGTATAATATAATATATTTATACTTACTAAGTATAATAAGAAGTTAGTAGGCTATATATATAATAGTTATATTATTATTAGAAAGAGAAGAAGGTGCTAGGTTAAAAAGTTAGTGTGTAGGGAAATATTTAATTTTGTTACTACACCTACTAACCGGCCTCTGTAGGATTGCGCGCTGACTTGACTTAGCGTCTTTTCTGGGATTTAGACATTATTCTCGACTTCGCATCGCGATCTCTCTAAACATTGCGCCATTACTCCCAATCTTTTCAGAAGAACAAGATATAATCTCTAATCGCATACCACCTCAAAAAACATGGTCGATACCCTCTGCGGTGTCTGCAACACCGAGCCCAAGAAATACAAATGCCCTACCTGCGCGCTCCCGTAGTCCGCCATCTCCAAGCTACTTCTCACAAACACGATACTAACTATTCTAGTTGCTCCCTCGCCTGCTTCCAAACTCACAAATCGACACATCCTCTCGCCACACCTCAGCCTACCCAAAGCTTACCCTCCCTCCCCCAACCACCACCGCCCGCGCCCATCCCACGCTATCTGAAATCAAAAACCGATTTCTCTGTCCTCGCCACAGATCCAAAGTTCCAGGACCTCTTGAAATCAAATCCCACACTTCTCGCGTCCCTCCAGCGCGTTTATGCTACGACCATCGAGCCAGATCCAGAGGAAGAAGCGCGGCGGCGCAGGATGACGAGAGGGGGGTTTAGGGGACGTGGCAGTAGAGGGCGAGGAGGAAGATGGGGAGGGCATAGCGATCGGGAACAGCCAAGGTGGACACAGAAGAAGGGGGATGCGGATGCGATGCGGATGTTGAAGGGGTTTAGGAATGAGGAGGATGGGCAGGAGGGGGACGGTATGGCTGCGTTTGTACAGTTGGTTGAGGAGATGTTTGGGCAAGGGGAGAAGGAGGAAGGAGATTGAGGAACGAAATCATGAACGAAGATAATAACAGGAGAAGAGGGTGATGGGATAGCGACGGGACGAGGCTTCATGACGTGTGCATGGACTGGGATGTGCAGAGATGGATGATATGACAGCTATCGATGCGCATAAAAGGCCACCGTCAAGACAGTGCCAATCGGACAGCCTTGAGGCGCGACCGCGCTGGAGCATTACTAGATCCCATTTCCCAAACGCCAATGGAGCTAAGGAAACCCCTCAATCTCTGCCGAAAAGGCTGTTAGACTGGAACGAATATCCAGAAGAAAGATATGGGAAGACCTATCGCAAGAGCAAAGGTAGAAATCAAGAAATCTATTTACGCCAAATTCTCTGCCGAAAGCCAAACTGCCAACCACGAACGAAACCCAACCCCCTCGTCCCCGAAAAAAAAAAGCTCAATGAGATGTTTGTGGAAACCCCGAATAGTCGAATGTCGTGTCTTGCGTCGGGATATGACGCAGTGGTGTGGGAATGATCATGTATGATAAGTTGCAACTCGTGTATTCTGATATGTCTGTGACCCAGAAGGTCGACGACTGGAATGTTGGATCTTCGTGTAGGTTGATCGCTCGTAGGTATGTCGATTAAGCTGAATTACTCAGTCCAATGTGGTATGGTGCGATCAGCTTGTGTTGAGTATCAAGCTCGATATAGTTGGATATCAAGCTTGATATAGTTGGATCAAACCAACTTTTCCTACTTTGTGTAAGCTCAAATGAAGGGACAAAGGGTACAGATACATACCACCTTCCATTGGGCCCAGACGTCCTTGTGTGCATACTTCTTCAGAACCGCACGGGTCTCGCCGACGATGCCGAAGTCGCCAAAACATGCACTACGCTGGCGGTTATTTACCACAGTCGTAATCTTGCAGTATTGAGCACCGTAATTGTTATACATCGTGGTTAGCTCGCGCAGACCCAGCCAATAATCACAGACGCTCCGCCCCATTGAAGATGTTTTATCTGGAAGCGGAAAGAGTCCTGCGGAATTGAAGGTTTGTATGAGGATGCCGATGGATCCTATCGGACAACTGGTTTGTTTGCATCTAGCAACCTTCCTGGTGACCACGTTATGCAATGCGTTTTTACAAAAGTTCAAAATCTCCTCAAGAATCTTCATGCGTAAGGATATAACTTGAGCTACGCATGCGTATTAGACTCTATAGTCAAACTTCGAAAGTAAGTTATATATTGAAACTCACCTGAAATTCGATCCAGGAGATCTAAACGTAGTCGATCCTTCGTACCATCGCTTGTGAAAGGGTAGTAGCCTCCAATTATATCGATTCGAACGTTCATGGCTAGTTTGTTGATCAGGTACTTGAGGTCGTCTTCGGAGCCAAGGGTCTCAGTTATGAAAGCGAATTCCTGGATAGCGGTGCTGGTGCGCCAAACCGCCGGCGAGACTCTATGAGGCTGTAGCCACTTCTTCGTCTCTGTAACAGGACGCAGAATTCGAGCGAGTTCGTACTTGTCGGCCAGTGTCGCAACATCCATGAGTTTCTGCAGCGTCAGACTTGTAGGAAGTTCATGGAATTGCAGATGAGCAATTTGGAGAACGATTTGGAAAGCAAAGCAAGAGTCATCGGTAAAGGGGATTTCGGACATGTCGCTCTCTGCCCAATCTCCACTCAGCATCTTGGCCCAAACCTTAGTTGCATTCCGTAAGGAGCCTTTGTTGATGCGAAAGGCCATCTGACCGTTGGGATGATCTGGAGTACCGACAATGAGAGTAACGTCGTATAGTTCGTCAATAGTGATGATCTTCAGATTGGGATCGGTGGCCTTTCGCTTGTTGTTTGAAGCTGTGGTTGATAGTGTTGGCTGTCTGTTGCCGAGGAGGGAGTTGCTGTTGTTGGCAGCCATGATGGGAGTAGCTAGGGTGGCAAGAAAACTGTCTAAAGTTTCGTAACGGGTTTTGCTCAGACGAGGATGCGTTCGACCGTTTCGGCGGTTGTTGTCTTCACGTGCTTCCAACAGACGTTTCATGACAATGGTGAGAGGTGAAGAAACTTAACCGAAAGGCAAAAGCTTTGGGTTGAAGGTAAGAGAATGGAGAACGAGGATGAAAACCGCGAGGAACGAGGAACTATTTGAACACGGGACAGTGTTGCCTCTTCGCGATGGAAGATATTTGACTATACCGGAAAATCGAAGCATGCAGACATGCGACGATACGGTATGGAACGGACGGTCACATGAATACCATGGTCTAGCAATCACCCCACGGCAGCTACCCGCGTGGCTGCACCTAAAGGTCTTTCACCTCATGGAGGCTTGGAACTGAAATCAAGATCGGGTGGTATTCGAGAGACACATCGCCGATGCGGAAGGCATGTTGAAAAGAAAGAACATAGAACAACTAACTGAAAGATGCGGGGCTTGTAAGACTGCCCGTTTGTGTCGTGGAGAAAGTGACATGGAGACGAGACGCGGTGTAGAATCTAAAGACAAGAACGCGTATTGACGTCATTTTGTGATAATGTTACTCAAACTCCATTAAACATCAGCAGATTTCGCACCCCTTCCGACGCAGTGGTCATGGCACGGCAACGAGCAGACAATGAGAGTGAGAGTGAGTGAGCGTAAGACACGCTTCGTGTAGCCTCCCGTTTGCAGAGCTTGAATCAGGTTTTAGATTCTACGTCTTTCGCAATCTGCGCAGAAGCAGGCTAGGAACTGCCCAATCTCTAAGATAACATCATTTCCATATGGTTTGATTACAAGGACGCGGCCATAGGCACGGATAGGATTAGGTTTGAGGTCAATTTTCGTTTGCACAGACTGGGTGAGTGCTGGCAATGTGTAGCACACAAAGTCTGCATGCGCGTTCCCGAAACAAACTCAATTTAAGTACCTACCTGCACTGTATGAGGCGGTGAGACCAACTCAAAAGTTGCAAACACTGGATTCTGAGCGGAGAACCCCGCGCGTGCATATGTACAGATTCCAAGTTTTTGGCGCATTCTGTCTCAGAAATCAAGCAGGGATAGGGAGAAGGGACGAAAGAGTATGAGACTATTGAAGAGGCGCGTTTGCAGGAGTGTGGAAATACTCTTGGGATCGAAATGCCTGGGAAGTCTGGAAGTTCAAATGGGGATGCAAAGAACGGTAACAAACTGAGGATTGGAACACACTGGGAACGAAACTCACGCACTAGTTTATGCTATTAATCGGTGACTTGGTGATTTATAGGTCGAATCTCTTACACCTTCAGCCTCATACCCACTTCTCTCTCAGGCTTGGTTCCTTTGAAATGAAACCACAGAAAGTTGAAGACAACAACAGTGAATAATACGAGAATCACAGGCCATGACCGACAATTCGAGACTATGATGGTGTGGAACCAAAAAGTGCAGGAGTGCATCGCCATTACTTCCATCAAAGCACCAGACTGATCTCACGAAGCGAGACTATAGAACAGGGAAAGTCTGGGGGAGAATACAAGTATACCGTACGCTTTATCTAAACAAGTAAACTCGCCGTGACCCAGGATTGCGAAGCTTGCGAAGTAGGCAGTATGCTGGGAACAGCAGTGAAGCAGTGACTAATGTAACACAGTTGCTACGTCCAGTCCTTGGGTGAGTTCAGACCAAGTTATTTGCCAATCTGCGTAAGGAGGTGTACCAAAAGAGGGACTAAAGTTGGTTGGTGGAGAGAGACATAAAGCTGGAAAAGGGTTGCTAGTTTGCGTGCTGAGGGTATGTGATTATGAAGGACGGAAATCATAGTATGCAAGAACGAACTTGATGTATACTTCCAGTCAAAAGGAAAACACCACAACCATCTCAAGTGCTTGCTACCAACCAAGACTCAAAATACACCTATTATAGTTCCAGCACAACCCTCCCCTGCAACTTCCCCTCATGCATCTCCTGGAAAACCTCCGTCAACTTCTCCATCTTCTCCGTCCTGAAATGCGTCTTAACAATGCCCCTGGCCGCAAAATCCATCGTCTCAATCGCCTCCTTCCGCGTCCCCACCGCAGACCCCACAACAGTCAGCGCCTTGCCCACCATGACACCCGGCAACGCAAACGGCACGGGCTCGCCCTCGGGGATCCCCACGCACACCACCCTTCCGCCAAAGCGCAACAAGTCGAGACTCTGCTCATACGCCTTGTTATTCGCCGTGCACACGACAACAGCATGTGCGCCCAGACCGCCAGTGAGCTCCTTAACCGTATCGGCAACGGACGATGAGCCGTCCACGGCGATGAAGTGCTCGGCTCCGCTTTCGAGCACAATGTCCTTCTTGGACGAGTGGTCGATGCCGATGATGCGGTGGCCGATGCCTCGCGCGCCAAACTGCACGGCGAGATGCCCCAGGCCGCCACCAGCGCCCATGATGACGACCCAGTTCCCGGATTCGGCGTTCGCTTTGCGCAGCGCCGAGTAGACGGTCACGCCTGCGCAGAGGAGCGGCGCGGCGGCCGCAGAGTCGAGACCGTCGGGGATGGGCGTGACGTAGTTTGCGGGCGAGAGAACATATTGCTGGAACGTGCCGGGTGTGTAGTAGCCTGAGATTTTCTGGAGGGGCGGGTTAGTATTTTCTTCAATGTGTTTTTGTTTGGCAAAATTGGACTTACGCCGGTGAAGCAGTTGGCGTCTGCTCCCGCTCTGCATGCCTCGCACGCCTCGCAGATCCCAGCCATCCATTTGATTCCTACGCGATCGCCGGCTTTTACCGCCGCGTTGTCGGTCCCTGGACCCATCTTTACGATCTTGCCCACGCCCTCGTGGCCACCGACTTGGCCTGCTTGCGTGGGGAACGGGAGGATCTTCCATGCGTTCATCATGACGCCCATGTCGGAGTGGCACACACCGGAGTGAGTCCTAAACGCAACGGTAAGCCAGAGTCTCACAATTAGAAGATATGGTACACTTACAAGTTAATCAGCACCTCACCCGGCCCCGGTTCAGGCATGTCCAACTCCTCGATCTTCGTCGAGATGGAGCCCGGCTTGTCATAAACAGCGGCCTTGTACTTCTTGGGTATTTCCGTCATCTTTTCGTTTCACGATTGTGTCCTGGCGATAGTTCAATTAGTTTGGTTGATAAGAAGCTAGCTTCGCAACGAGACAGATGGAGAGATAGAGGAAGCCACGCCTAGGGGACCAGTCGATCTACATATACGCCCCCGCGGATACCTACCCCTCTCTTCCGTGTCACTAGATAGCTCATCCGATTCCAGTCCGTCGCTGCCCATCTCTGACAAGCCGAGGAGAGCTACCCCTCATCGGCAAACAACTACGTCAGTGAGCTAGGCGTGTGGAATGTGGGGTACACACCGAGACGGAGTTGCGGGTCGGGACCGATACACGGTAATCGGTACGACGCTGACTCGAGGTGCATGAACTGTATTAAAAGACAATTCGGAGGATCTGACTTTGGAAACAGTAGTCACAGCCAGACCAAACTCTCCCATGCTTGTTTGTGTGGTTACTCGACATGTCTTATCACCAGACGTTGGATTGTGTAAACATGTGTTGGAAGACGGAAGCGGTGGATATTGGATATGATACAACCCCACCCAGATCTCAGATCTCCGTGATCAAAAACGCCCATCGGACCGAGTGCGACGCGAACCCACCCCGAGCAGACCGATTCCATACAAAGCGCCTCTCAAATGGTATCGTACAAATCATTTGCGTAACTGAGGCAAGTAAAAGAAAGCAAAAGAACATGATATCGCCAAAAGCCCCATCGTATTACGCCGATCCAGACACTGAACCGAGTGTCTTCAAGCAATGCTTCTCCATCCCACGCTAAATGCTGTTTTGTGCCGCGTCGATCTATTAAAGCGCTGTGAAGCGATAGATGTTGTGTTTCGTGAATATGGAAGGCGTGGACGAATCAGGCGCCTTGGTTGGTGATAAATGGACTGGCAAGAAGCTCGTCCGCGCTCGGTCGCTTTTCATGATCGATGAGGAACGTCTGCGCCAAGAATGCCCGAGCATCGTCGCCAGTGCTCTCTGGGATTGTTGGACTCGCGTCGCCGCTGCCACCAATCTTGAAAATGGCCTGCAGTTGTGTGCAGTTGGGATGCGGATGGCTCCCCGTGAACATTTCCACAATGAGGCAGCCAAGAGACCAGATGTCAGCTTTCCGAGTGTAAGCTGTTTGTCGGACAACTTCAGGAGCCATCCAGAAGACTGAGCCTTGGAGGGAAACGCGTTGAGCTCCCTTCTTAGCGCCACCCAGAGTCGAGGCTTCAATACGCTTTGAAATACCGAAATCAGAAATCTTGACGGAACCTTTGTTGTCGACAAGGATGTTGGCTCCCTTGATATCTCGATGGATTATCTCTCTTGTGTGTAGGTACGACAAGCCTGTCAAGATCTGGCGAACGAAATTTTGTACGAGTGATTCGCCTAATGGTCCATAGTTGACAAGCATACTCGCGACGGAACCACCTGGAACGTATTCGAGGAAAATATTAAGATGGCTTTCATCAGAGTTAGAGCCAAGGTACTGCACGATATTCTTGTGCTTGAGATCTCGGAGCAGACCAATCTCATGCTTCAGGGCTTCCACCATATTGGTCTTTTTGTGATCCATCTGGGATGCGCCGGCTGCAGAGGGGAGTTCGACTTGCTTGACAGCCATGAGTTCACCTGTCATGGCGTGCAGTGCGAGATATACACTTCCGAAAGAACCCTGTCCTATCAGAGCTCCTTTCATGTACTTGACGTTGTCCCACGAATCCTGTTCGAGGTACTCCGTCAGCTCATTATCGTATTCCTCGCCATCTTCGGCTATGGCTTCCGAGAGACGTTTGTTCAATGAGTCGCTGGCTTCGGTATTGCCGGTGCTACTACCCGCAAGACTGCTCATGTCATCGTTGAAATATGATTGCATGATGGTATTCCCAGCGGGATCAGTGACAGCGAGCGTATCTGATCCGCTTCCATCTCCGAACGATACGTATGACTTGCGATTAGGCTCGAGAGGTGATTCTTCGTCCAGAGGCTCTAGAACAGACGACGCCATAGAATCCCGGTAGCCCGATTGCGAGGGCAGGCCGAGCCTCATGACTGATAAAGGTCGAAGAGGCCGAGCCTGGCTACCTCCTTGCAGCCAAGTATCGGCAATTGATGGCAGAGGAGGCGCATCCCTTAGGCTAGACGCTACGCTGAAATTTGAGGCCATGGAGAGGCGAGAGGCTGCTTTGCTGAGGCGGCGTGATCGACGGATAGACATTCGAACAGTTTTGTCAATCTCGTCTTTCTCGACATCCGGGAAGTACGATGTCAAGTCCGAGGTGATGAGTTCGCTAGGGGGTCGAGCGCCATAGAACTGTTTAAGCTTACGCGCTCGTGCATGATACAGCGGTGATTTCATAGGGCCACTAGGTCCTTCCAAATTCTGAGCTGTCGAACTAATGTGTCGTTCTCGCTCTCTTGCAGACGTGGGCGAAAGTGGATAGCTCACGGCAGCAAGAGACTCACCAGTGAGCTTCTCGATCTTGTTCTGACTCCGGTTGTTCATAGGGACATGTATGTTTTGGGGTTGCTGATAATTTTGCTGCTGATAGATACCAGCAGCGGTCTTCAACTGTTCCATCTCAGGTTCACCAGCATGGACCTTTCGAAGCATGAGCCGTCCTCGTTGGTGCCGGTTTGCGTCTTTGCATAGCATGAACAACTGGATGTCACTCAAGCGCTCGCATAGTGATGGGTCGGGTTCGTCACACTCAAGGATGTAGAAGCAGTAGTTCTTCACATGTGCCTCGTTGAGATGCCCTTTTCTGAGAGTCTTCAACATGACATCCTCGGCGGTTTTGCACCCTTCAATGTTCACAACAGACGTTCGCCCTCCATCGTAGATGACGCGAATCAGGGCTTTGTCTTGAGGTAGGATGGCACTATTGGTGGCACTGTCCAAACTTGGGCTCGCTCGGATATGGTGGGCAAAGCGGGCCGTCTGTGGAGTTTCGGTGGGGGTTGTTCGCTGGTTTGGTCCATAACGAGATGCTATGGTAGCAGAGCTGCTCGATGCACTGAGAGGATGAGCCCCGTATGCCGAGCCAAACTCTTTCTTGCCACCATCCTTTGGACTGTTCAGCCCTCCGTGGCGTTGAGACCTCAGCGCTCGACTCTCCTGATCCACCAGAGGCGAACCAGGTCTAGACGGGGTGCCATACGCATAGTTCAGCTCTGCATTGTTGATCTGACGAGACATGCGCTTGTCCGAGCGAGAGCTAACGGGAATGGATCGTGCGGTATGGAGAGGTCGTGGAGATGCAGAGGATGGTGGAGTGTATTGAATGGTGTCCAGCACGGCCAGGGATTGCTGCTATGGCATTAGAGACGTAGGGAGAAGGTGATGGATGGCTACGTACCCTGTTCGAGACGCGCTTGGAAGCCTTTTTGAATTCCTTGTTGCGGAGCTGCTTGGCCTGTGAGCCAATCCTGACGCGATCGCCGACTTTCTTGATGCCCATGTCTTTGAGGTGGGACTGGTCCATCTCCATCAGGTTTTCGCCATTGATGTGATTTTCTATGGGGGGTCAGTCAGGGCAAGACGAGGGGTCGGCGCAACCTACGCTTGAACAGATCGACGTATTGGTGGCAGTTTATGCGCTGCAGCCAGTCGCCAACCCTGTCCTCGTCCCAATGCCTGCGAGAGTCAGCAACGCAAGCGATACGTAGCAGGTGTGCCATGGCCTACCTGACAGCATCTGGGGCATCGTAGATCTCTGAGAACTCCGACTCGGTGGGGGAGACGAAGACGGAGTGGTCTGTTCGAGTGCTGGCGCTGTGGTTGCGGTAGTTATTTGCGCTGGACGTGTACTGGGCAGACATCTGCGAGGGCCCCCCAAGGGAGGGCGTGGGGTACTGTTTCGACGCGAGCATAGCCATGTCTGGTGCAGAGAGAGTCGAGTTGGGTCTGGCAGTCGGTGGTGCAATGCGCGGTCCCGGTGCGGCGGTGGGTAGCTCGTTAGCGTTCGATTCTCGGCCGTGAGAGGACTATTTCATAGGCGCATCATGGGGCCTGAGAACTACGGGGCGGTTCGTCGACGGCGTAGGGAGGCGAGCGGCGCGTGTCGTCGTCAGGAGAGGTCACTCGAAAGCCGGCGAGATCGAGTCAGACGTGGTACGGCTTGGTGGTGGGCGGCGGGCGGCGTACAGCGTATCGAGTCCAGCCTCGCACAGTAGCAGTCGTAGGGAGGAGCAGCGGCGTGATGGGAGCATGCAAAGTGTGAGGCTGCACGACGGCCTTTGATGGTACTTCTTTATCACAGCCACCCCGCGCTGTCTGAGCCAGCAGAGAGAAATGGAGTATGCATCCAAGACAACGGTGCCGTGAGCATCAGAGCGCCCGCGCTGAGACTGTGGCGTGTTTCATCTTCGGACGCGGCGGGTCGGACGTGTGCCCAGCCATTGGCTACCAAGAGCACCCTCAAAGACGGTTCTGGGGGAGACCATCAGCCCAAATTTAACTCTTTGCCTCTGCATGACTGTCTCATTCCCGTCTGACTGTGTCTGTCACAGCTATAGAGCTATACTCAGCGACAGCTATACGCGCCCAGCCTTGTCTTGGTCAATCCCTCGCACGATCCCATGTTCGTGTTTCAACCACCATAGAACGATCGCGATCCCCGTTTCTCCGTTGCCGTCGTTTTGTCCGTCGCCACGGACGAGATGGAGCAGCGACTGTGCCCATCCATCGGGAGCGAGAGGACCATTCCAAGACACAGGGACTGCCTGGTCTGGCGTTCTTATTTGAAACGATAACAACGGGAGACAACGGGAAACAAAGCGGCATTATCACCACTGGCCCATGGCCACTGACATTCCATGGAAACGGCTATCGACTGTCGATAAACAACAGCAACAACATCTAATTATCCACAGAGGACTGCGAGTGCTCCAACTCTCATGTGCATGTTCGCTAGACTCGAGCACCTCCATCGATCCTGCGAGGCGTCTCGGTTCGATCAGATGACGTCCAGCTGTGCGTCATCGCGGGACAGGGTCTCAAGACTTGCACATCTCGCAAGGACTCCACATTTAGCCAGTAAAACATCGTGAAGTCTGCCGCCGTCCGACCACTGCTTATTAGTTGCATTGCCGTCGCTTTCTAGAAACCAAACGTGCCGATCTTGCCAGGCTGAACCAGAGTTCCAACATCCGCAGCCTTCCCTCGAGATAAATCGCTACTCATTGCACACGCCTACCAGCAGCTCCTGCTCCTTTCCCTGTCAGCTATCCTCAACCTACCTGCATGATAGACTTCAGTAGTCGCTGCGTCTGCTCGCTGCACTGCAGAACTACCGCCCAGTGACAGCACGCGGCTACCGAGCTAAGTCACTAGCTCTAGCCTTACAATGGCCGCCTACGACGACTACCGCCAACCAGACCCTCATGCGTATCCGGACGACGACTTTGTTCACGATTGGCGAACACACAAGCCTTCCGCGTACAGCCACGATCAACAAACTCCAACGCAATCCCACGGAAGAGTTGGCTCGGCCTCCAACGCTCCGTCTCATCAACCCTTGAACAATGCCATCGGAAATGCGTTTGAGAAATCAGACGCGGCAAGAGTGGTTGATCCAGACTTGATTGCTCAGATTACCGCCGAAGTGAAGAAGTCCGTACTCGACGAAATCAAGCAGGGCATAGCCGGTGCGACCCAACCTCAGCCTGTCCCCGCACAGTCACACCATGTTGCACATTCGCCTGTCTCCACGTCTGCCTCCATCCCTTCTCAGAATGCACACACACCTCCATCGCCGCAATACGCAGAGCACTATAGCCAGGCGTATACAGCCCCTGAGCCACTGTTTCGCGATCCGTTGTTTGACGGATCTGACGACACGCCATACAAACGCAGTGCTCCTGTCGACGTTCCTCCCAGTCGGCCATCTGCGCGACCAGCCCCCATGACTAGGATGGCTACAGCGGACTGTACGCCCATCGAAAGGATGTGGCAGCTATTGTTCGATTCCGATGGCCAACCAATGCCACGTTTAGGCGAGTTCTTGCGAGGACTAGCATTGCATCTGGTATGTGGTATCCTCCGACGCTTTCTTTCGCCTATGCTAACTTGGAACTCAGATTGAAGACTACGAACCAAAGCATAGCTTGGTCATCAGTCCTGCAAAGATGGCCAGATTTTACGAGGAAGTGAACCTGCAAGATGAGATATACCCATGGCAGAGTAAGCAGGAACACTATTGTCAAATGCGTCTTTGTACTGATTCATCTGCAGCTATCTTCATGAAGTTGCCATATGCAACGCTATCCAAGGTTTATCGCGAAATGCGTTGTCAGCATCATCTCATCCAGGAGCATCCTGCAGAACAACCAATCGTGCCTGCACTCACCCCTCAGGGCTTCCAAGAGTGGATGACGATCATGCTTCAGGCTTACCCGGATGTCGAGTACGCTCGACTATCCAAGGCGGTTTTGGATATGCCTATCAGCAATGCTGATGACCGACGAGAACGATTTCCGAAAGAGCTTCCGCGACGGCTGTTCCCACGAACTGAGAATTTACATGCACAACAACGATGTGCTGCAGCTCTTTCTGCCGAGGGCGTTGGTCCTTTGCACAAAGCCCCGACTTTCCCCCCACCTCCACCTAAGGCTCAGAGTCCTCCGAATGTGCCCAATATTGAACGAGAACGGAGCCCATACGTCACACGGCCAGATTCAAAGGTATACCAGCCAGAAGACGGTTTACAGTCACCATCTGTTCCCATCGAACGGCAACGACAGCCTTACTCTGCCGCTCCAGGTGGTGGAAAGACGTACGACGATGACGACGCCTATCGAGCTACATCGGCAAGCGGACAACGCAGACGAACGCATTCCATCGCCAACCAGGGCCCATGGGCGCCTCCGCCTGATAATACTTATCAACAACATCAACCCCAACGGGCGCACAACGGCTCGCAAGCAAACACTCGTCGACCCAAGAGTCCTAGCTTCTCTAACTACGGAACACACTCTGATTCGAACGTGCGTGACATACCAAGCAGTTATTATTCATCTAATATGCACGACTCCGACGAAGAAACTCGAAGGTCCAACAAGGATGCCGATTCGAGGAGGAGTGATTACCATCGCCGAAGTACGGCCGGCATGGATAGCCCCTTCAACTCACAGTCACGATCAACGTATGATGACGAATATCATAGGAGTCGAGACGGAAGTAACGGGTATGATAACAGGGGTTACGACTCCCGTCGTTATTGACCCACGACGTATATACGACCTAGGGCAACCAACAGGCACCAGGGTATGACGACATCCTACGACTTATGATCTCGAATCCGCTTCCTTCAGTGTTCTGTACTTTTAACGAGTTATGCTTGGAATGAATTTGTATGACTTTGATTTTGCTTTATACCATGGTTGGATCGGGGTCTTTGCGTCGTTGAATACTCGGGGATGGATGTAGTGTTAAACAAATGCAAGTTGTCTAAAAGATTGTCGTTCCCGCTAGTTACTTGATGGTAAATATTTTTGGTCACGATCGATACGCTTTGCAGCTATTCTAGCATCGTTGCAGTTGACGTACAGCTGGGCACGGTCCAAGTGTCAGATGGCGCTACTGGTCAATTAACGCGTCGACGCGTTTCGAGGATCACGGAACCCTATTCTCGTGACAACCGCACCACACAATCACACAATGGCTTTACTCGTAGACAAACACCGCCCACGTAATCTTGAGGCACTAAGCTATCATCCTGAGCTTTCAGATCGTCTTCGAGCACTTGTGAGTGCAACGTTCAATCTAAACAGCACCAGTACCCGTCTAACAAAACCCTCTTTTGTAGGCACAAAGCGGCGATTTCCCCCACTTACTCGTCTACGGACCATCTGGTGCTGGCAAGAAAACACGTATCGTCGCAACCCTAAAAGAGCTCTACGGTCCTGGTGTCGAGAAAATCAAGATCGATGCGCGTGTCTTCCAAACTACCACAAACCGCAAACTCGAATTCAACATCGTTTCTTCGGTATACCACCTCGAAATTACACCGTCTGATGTCGGCAACTACGATAGAGTGGTCGTGCAGGACCTGCTCAAGGAAGTCGCACAAACACAACAAGTCGACCTAGGCGCGAAGCAGCGCTTCAAAGTGGTTGTCATCAATGAGGCGGATCACTTGACGAGGGATGCGCAGGCGGCGCTGAGAAGGACAATGGAGAAGTACAGCCCGAATCTACGGCTGATACTGCTAGCGAACTCCACGAGCAACATCATTGCGCCGATTCGGAGTCGAACACTGCTGGTCCGAGTGGCTGCACCGACGGAGGACGAGATCTGCGGGGTGCTGAGCAAGGTGGGGAAGAAGGAGGGCTGGAAGGAAGTTGATATGCTGAATAAGAGGATTGCGAAGGAGAGCGGGAGGAACCTTAGGAAAGCATTGCTCATGTTTGAAGCTGTCCATGCGCAAAAGTACGATACTCCTGCTACAACCATACGAGTCGAAGCGGCTTTACTGACATATCATCAACAGCGAGAAAATCACAGACCAAACACACATCCCCCCACCTGACTGGGAGGCTCTGATCGAGCAGATCGCGCGCCAAATCGTCGAAGAGCGGAGTCCGCAACGCTTGCTGCAAGTCCGTGCTTCGCTCTACGATTTGCTGTCTCACTGCATCGACTCGACCACAATCATCAAGACGCTGACCTGGAAGTTGATACCCATGACGGACGATGCGCTCAAACCAGAGGTTATCAAATGGGCTGCGTTCTTCGAGCATAGGTGTAAGACAGGCAGCAAGCAAATATTCCACCTCGAGGCTTTTGTTGCAAAGTACATGAGGATGTACGAGAGGTATGTTGCGGTCTTCCCAATAGATATGCTGGGGATGAGAAGACTAACTCGAGCAGTTTCGCTATGGGCATTGATTTCGACTCGGCGTAGACTATCGACTTGGATTTTGCGGTTCACATATGCTATCCCGTGTGCGAATACTACAGCAAATCATAGTCCATGACATGTGTAGCGACATGCGTTTTGGAGCTCATTTGGTGCAATATGGTGATGCATTTCAGCGGTGGTCATTACGTCATAGGCACGAAGCTTCTTTCCCCATATACAACCTCGAGCTCCACCCATAGCTTCCAATACCATACCTACTCAACAATCAAAGTCAAACTCAACCACAAACCAATCCATCCCACATCTCCAATCTTCAACCCGCTCACACATTCCCACCTCACACACATATCATCATGTCGTCAAACCTCATGGACACGTCCCCCGGCGGCGAGCAAACCCAATACGAAAGCGTCCACACCTTCGTCGACCCGCACGCAAAGCAAGCCGGCCAACTCGGCGGTACGCAACCCCTTCCCCCTTCCCTCCCATCATCTCTGCTCCATCCAATCCGACCCAATCCTAGCCATCCAAACCATGAATACGCAACTAACCTCCCCACACCAGACCCCGCCCAAGGCACAGACTCGCCCACCTCGCTACCCAAACACAAGACCAACGAGCCCAACACGCAGGGCGTCACGCCTGCGGACAAGATCCGCTATGGACAGAGCATCCAGGAGGGGGGTATGGGCGGGAAGACGAATGCGAGCGGAGAGGCGAGCCAGGATGGGGGGTTTGGCGGGACGGAGGCGAAGGGTGGGGATGAGGAGGGGGCTGCGAAGGCGAGGAGGGAGCAGGGGTATGGAGGGGAGAGCGAGATGGATACGACCATTGGGGGTTGAGGGGTGGTGAGGTAGTGTGTGGAATTGTAATTGTACAGTATGCTACTTTTACAGAGTATCGTATGCTGTGTTCGTGAGTAAGCGTTGAGGGGGTGTGTCCCGCTGCTCGTCGTTGCTTGCCGCCAAAACGCCGTCGCTATGCATGTCCTCATCTACAGCCAAACCGGCCCCCCCTCATCTAAGACAGCCCGAACTCTTCACCCACCCATCTAGCTCTTCGCCACATCATCAGCCCTCGCCTCAGCCTTGGCCAACCGCCGCGTCAACGCACGCTCCCTCTGTATCAAATCGCCCAACGACTCGCCCTTCTTGCCAGCTCCAGCCCCGGCCTCCACCGCCCCCTCAATAGCGCCTCTCCCACCAATCCCCGCACCAGGCACACCCTTCCCACCCCAAGCACCCAGCCCCCACGCGCTGCCCTTCGCCGAGTTGCGAATAATGCTGCCGGAGCCATACATGCTGACTCTCTGTACCTGGCGCAATTTCTTGAGCCCGTAGATGGCGACGATGCTGCCGAAGACTGTGCACCAGACGGACACGCCGGCGAAGCCCAGGTCCGACTCTTCGATGAAGTTCTTCAGGTTCATGCCGTAGAGGGCGGCGACGAAGGTGCCGGCTGTGATTGCGACGGTGAGGATTGTGAACTTTAGGTCGAGGAGCATGAGCGAGTTGCGGTTTGCGTCTAGGATGGCTTTTACGCTTTGGGGGGTGTTAGTTTTGTGTGTACGTGTATATTTATGTTAATGGGGGGGGGGGGGGGGGGGGGGGGGGAAGACGTACACTTCCTCCGTGTTGCGAATGCTGGAGACCAAGTTCTCAGCTGCCTGAACGATTTCGTCGGCGACTTTGTGGTACGATTCGAGCAGCATCTCGACTTCAGTGTGGCTGTCCTCGTCGCGCAGTTTGCCCTCTGCCTTCTCGCTGAGATACATGGCCGACAAGTCGTCGTCGGCTTCCAGGAGTTCCTCGAGGGCGTTGCGGACGAGTCGCGCTTTCTGCTCGAAACTACCCAGCTTCTTGGAGTAGATGAGTAGGTAGCGCAGCTTGTCTCTGTCGATGTCTTCTTCGAGGTCGCGCAGCACTTTGACGACGGGCTCGCTGACGCCTTCGAATTCCTTCTCCAAGCTGAGCGTCACGCTGATCAGGACGGCTTCGAGGGCGCGGAACTCGTACGCGAGGGTGCCGGTCGCGGGGGATTCTTTCTGGCGCAGCTTGAGGTCTAGATCGTACATGAAGACAGACTGTGATTTCGAGTCTGTGGTGCCATATGCGTCAAAGACGAGGACGCGGTTGTGCTTGAGGAGGACACGGAGGTTGAGCAGGTTGATCAGGATGGCCGAGGGGCGGACGAGGATATGCGGGAGGAGCGAGGAGTCAATTTTACGCAGATCTCGAGGGAGAAGGCCATACTGCAGTTCTGTCAGCGCTTCATCTTGACCTGAGACGCATCCCAAGACGCACCTTGGCGATCAACTCGCTCTTCTTGAACTCGCCGCTCACGAGCGTGACGTTGCCGTGCTCGTCCAGCTCGGTGCAGCGCATCTTCAGCTCGTTGGCGGGCCTCATGCTGCGTCCTAGGCTGCTGCTGAATCCTGTCCCGCCTACGGAGCTCTCTTCTGCTGTGACGGTCGGTGCGGGTGGGGGCAGTTGGGCGAGTCGCCGCGCCCTCTTCAAGATATCCCAGGCCTGGTTTGAGCTGGTCGTCGAGAAGCCCCTCCGACATGGCAGCGATTGCGTGAAAGTGTTTGCCTCCCTATGTGGCGCGGAGAGGGGTGTCGAAGACATGATAGACGCCGAACGCGCGGTTCGCAGTTCGTGAAGACATGTCTGCGACGCGAAACTGCTGGATTCGAACAACCCGTCCCTCCCCATTCCACCTCTTATGGTCTGACATTTGTCTGCCCCTACCCGTGCGCTGGGCCTATATCCACGCCGCTGTGCCTTCGCTCCAGCGATCTGCGCGGCTGGCGATTCGAAAGCATTCCTGACCTGTGCTCGCAAGAAGCTCAGCACGGAAGGCGACGGAGCGGCAATGCCACGAAGCAACATGGGCTTCATAACTCTCCAGTCGAGGGACGTAGTACAAGACGTCGATCCATATGGCTGTTGTTTTTAGCACGCAGCGCAAGTCTGCCACAACGTCATGCGCCATTCGCGAATCGTGGAAAAATTGCACTACGATGTGACGTCACGTGTTGCCCGTCATTGTGCTCAAAGGTTGCTTTTCATCCCATCCCATCCCATCCACAAAGTCGTGGAACTTTAACAAAAACATACAAAGTGATCGCCTTGCGACAGTGGGATTCATGGCATGTCCACCCACCCGCTTTTCAACGCCCTGATCCGCACCCACCATATTACATCCCGCAAGAAAGTCGCCAAGCTGCGCGCTGCGGCTTCAAACGACAATGTCTACGCGCTGCTGCGCTACGGAGGCTGTCCAGGCATCATGTACTGCCAAGGCTCTGAGACTGGGGTAAGAGACTGGGTTGGTACCGTTCAGAGACTGCGGTACAAGGACTTTCAGCTCGTGAAGAAGCCCGCCGAGAAAGCGGCAGAGGGCAATGGAGGGGAAGTGCAGGTTGCGTATGGGAAGTTGGAGGAGGCGGAGAGTGTGAAGGAGTTTGGGGCGCGGATGCAGGAGTTGGGCGTTTGGGGCTGGTGGAGAAAAGGTATGGGGTACGTGGGTGAGGAGTGAGGTGCATCTGCATATGCATGTCCGCTGCTGCATGTACATGGTTTGCCCAAAACGTACTCACGAGATGAGAGATTCGGCTGAGTGTAGCACTGGATGTCTTACGAGATATTGAATTGACGCCTTGTTTACAACGACACACCTCCTCAGCCGCGACGCCCATCACATAAAATCTTCTTCACAACCCAACCCAATTCAAACTCGACAACCCGATACAAAACTGTGGCGAGATTGGTACACGAATACTTGAAGCTACCGCTTACGACCACTATTACCTATCCTTAACAGCAGCCTCCACACACCATGAAACGCCCGATGAAAACATAGATGGGTATCACACACGAAAAGCATCAACGGATAACACAACAACACCCCTCACATCGCCCTCCGCAGCAGTAGCTCCACCGCCCGATCAACCCTCAACCCATCACCCCGATCCGTAATCCTCAACGCCTCCCGCGCCTGAGCAGACGTGAACCCCATTTCCACAATACGATATATCGCCTTATCCGCCGTGTTGAGGTGGCTCTCGCTGTTGTACATGTTCTGCAGCCTGTCGTGCTGCAGGTGTGCTGCACTCCCCGGGCTGCCCTCGTTTGAACCGCGAGAGATGGGACTCGTGCTGTTGTCGTTGTGTGTACGTGGCTGCGAAAAGATCGGTACGTTGATGTCGTTGCGTGTATGGGGCTGCCAGAAAGCTGCTAGACTGCTCTCCTCGCGCATGGCTTGCGGCACGTTGCCGTTGTTTTGAGAAGGTCGTTGCAGGGAAACTGATGTATTGCTGCTGCGAGACACGGGGTGGTTGGAAACGGGCGGGAGTGGATGGACTTCTCGATAACCCCCGTGGTCAGGATACTCGTTGATGGGTGCCAGGCTTATCGCCATACTGCTTCTGTCTCTCGTACTCGGCACCGTTGACGAAGTCGGTGTTGGAAGCAGGGGCTCTGCAACGGTACGTCTCAGCGGTGAGCTTGAGCGAGATGTCTCCACTGCAGAGAGCTCGTGAACGCTTGCACTGAGATCTGGAGAGACAGTGTAGTTTGACGTTGCGGATCGCAGAGACGGGATGTAGGACACCAAGTTGGTTTCTAGTGTCAGGGCAGGGTGCGATCGCATCAGACCATTGCTGTCCCATTCACTCATTGGTCGTTCCTGACTCATGGGAATCCGTTCGCCGCTGTTCTTCCGTTGTTGAAGCTCAGTGATGTACTTTTGGATGCGTGCCTTGGAGATCTCGCGCTGGACTTCACGCGATGAGCTTTCGGCGTAGACGTGAGCGATCTTGTCTTCGTAAACTCGCGAAGCAGCTTCTTTGAGGAAGTTTCGACGGGTGCTGCCAGACACAGGTGGTTTCCAAGCCGTCCAGCCGTTCCAGGAGGCAACCATGAAGGGGGACGAGTCTGGCAGGAGGTGTGGGCCAGCGAGTTTGAGAACGGTGGAAAGACCGAACGTGAGGAGGTAATAGCACCATTCGTCTGTACTGATGAGCAATAAACAACAAGTTGGAGGGACTGACGTACCAAGCATCGTATCTTCGCCGTCGATATCCCCGCCTCGGATGTCAGTATTGTCGTAGATGCCAAACTCACGCGCTTGAGCCGTTTGGCCCTCAAACCCTTGCAGCAACACACCCAGACAGTTCCAAAGCTCCATTATGTCGAACAGTTGCTCAGCAGTCAAGCCACCTGCATTGCCCTTTGCGAAGTGTTCTGGTGCGCTAGCTAGCGTGCTATTCATATAATCTGTCGTGGTCACACTGAAAGTACACGCAGGTTGATGAACTAGGGAGCCTCCTCTCAGCCAGTCCATTTGAGCCGTAACGTCATGCTCGCGGCCTTTTGCGGAGCCAAACATCGTACAGAACGTCCAAATGCGCCATAGAGCGTCGTCGACCCTAGCAGTCTTGACGGGATCTTGACTGACCAGTGCAACCGAAATATCGGGTCGAAGGAAAGATTGGCACCTTTCCTTGATCAAAGATTTGATCGCCCGTATGGTAGATGTATCACGGGCCTGGAGTTGGAGATAAGTCGACGGTGTGTATTCCTCCTGGGGTCGTGTCATCTCAAGATCCTCGTCGTGAAGCGAATCGTGTCCTGGGAAAGCGACTTGTCGATATTCCCAAGCAGGCGGTGACAATTTCCAAAGAGTGAGTTTGATCAGGTCCATCTCATGGCGCTTGAACACGCGATAAAATGCGCTGTTGATGGTAGCGGTAGCGAACAGGTCATCGAAGTGGCTTAGGCTCTGCAGAATTCTGAGGATAACATCTTCAGCTACATCGGGTGCAATGGCTTGCTTGCATGCTGTTGGAGTGATCTCTGTCGGCGAAAGTACAAAGTCATCCATCTTCCTCTTGTATTCTGGAATCGTGATTCTCAAGCCTCTCTTCATGGGATTGGAACAGCTTCTAGTCCCCTGAAATGCAATATGGCTGTTCGGAACACGAGACAGTCGAAAGGTTTTGTTAATGAGTAGTGACTGTCGCTTACTAGATCTTCTGGGCAATGGTGGAGATGGCGAGCTGTTACCGCTGGGCATGTGCTCTTGCGTACGGCCATAAGGTTCACTGTCCACACTGGTGCCACCGTTGTGTTGGAGCTGGTCCGCAGTATTTGTGGCTTGTCTAAATTCCTCATATCCCAAAATTTCAGGTTGCTGCTCGACGTCATCGGTCAATTCGTTCGATGTTGGATTGTCCGCAAGCGATGTCAGCTGGTCATGTAGTTCGTTCTCTGCCTCGCTAAGAGTGGGACTTAGCTTCGCCAGAGGGTTTGAAAGCTGTCCAGATGTAGAGCGGCCGAGTGCTTGGTTGATCAAGCCCATACTCGAACTCGATGCAAGACTGCTTCTACGACTGCTTTGTTTCAAGGATTGGTTGTTTGAGGCTGGCTGTCTGGTCAAAGTGCCATAGAGATATGCAGGTCGACGCTTGCAGGTGGGTTGAAATTCCTGATCATGCTCAATGGGAGGATGGTGTTTGTATTGCCGTAGTGGCGGCATTGCTGATAACTTGCGACGTTCAGGTTCAACACCTTCGTTGTCGGATTGAAATGGTGACATATGTGGCAGTTCTGACACCCCTAAATTGAATAGATGGTGATCGTTTGATTTTATTGACGTATGATCCATTGTCATTGAATTGGTCGGCGCGCCTTCTGTTCCGACGCTTGTTCCGGATGACTGGTTGCTATACGTTGAAGATGCATCGCTCTCTTGCAAGTCGGCCGAACAAGTGCTCGTTTCTGAGACCCTTCGGTAGTATCTATTTGCCTGAGAGTATTTTCGAGGAAGCTTGCCTCCGATGGAGCGCCGAAGACGACCAAGAGGGACGGGTTGCGGTTTGGTGAGTGGTGATACCACTGAGTCGCGTCTGAGAAAGTTGTTTTCACAGGAGGGCGACGATATCTCGGGACAACGCTCATGATCAGCAGGATCCGGACTTATCTGGGTACTGTCGGTGTGACCCAAGAATGGCTTGGCTGAATTTCGTCCGTCTTGCGTTCCGCTAGGGATCACCGAATGTATCTTAAGTTCTGGGCTTTTTGTTGTGCCAAGGCCATCTTTGATTTGACCTTTTGAGAAATCGTGGTCTTCATTCAGCCACTCTATCTCTCCGTGCCTATATGTGCCAATCGCACCTTTATGCGAGGTGACGCTCAGGGCAGACTTCAACTCCTGATCAACCCTGGCAGTTGAGGATATGATTGCTATACCATCGTGATTGTTAGGCTGCAAGACCTCGGTCTCTGGAATTGGCGGAATTTGATTATTGCATGGTGTTGACGATGTTTGCTCAGTCCTCCCCAGGTCAGGCTGCATGACCAGGTCTTGTTGGTCGAAAGGGAGAACCGCTGTGCATGCTGCAGTTTCCGGAACGGCTCGCAATACCTCGTTTGGCTTCTTTGGGCGGATCTTCCTGTAAAAATGCATCTTCATGCTTGATCGGCTTGTTCAATTTGAGTTTTAACAATTCTGGATAGTCCACTATTCGACGTTGAAATTGATTGTAAGACAGAGCTATGGGAATTGTTGAAACAATGTAGCAGTCAACTACTTGGACGATAATACATCTTTAGCGGTAGCTGATAAGCTTGAATACGCCTAGGTAGCCAGGGTGCAAAGGTACTGATCCATAAATGTAGGCAAGGCAAACCGCCACCAAAATAGCATAGCACTGTTAGCCTATGGCTACCCATGACGGCAGGGCGTATGTATGAGAGTGGCGCTCGCCAGAATGAGCTGTCAGTGATGTTTGGGATGCGGCAGACGGGCAAAGTGATGGTGTGAGTGAGTGACGGACAGAGCGAAATTGACGGAGAAGAACATCGTAGCACCTACATTCCGATCTCACATGATTTCTGTTAGAATACGAGTCCGTTCGGAATTTACTGTGTACTATCAAAGCATCATGCTGTTGGAGGCGCAGCGACGTTCTAAAGTTTAAAGTGCATGCATGCATGCGGTGATGTAAGCGGACCCCGATCGGCTTCGGGGATCGCTATTTTTGTCTCCGCACGTGCCCATTGTCTGACTAGCCGCGCCTGTTGTGGCTCAAGGTCCGTCTTCTTAAAAAAGGTTGCTTCATCTACCAACCTCGTAGATACAGACTGGCAATGGTGTATACGACTTTATTGACTTTGGTAGCCGTTGGTACTAGGTCAGACTTTGCGTTGCCGAGGGTGCGTGTACGAACAGCTGTCTCCAGGCACAGCCAGTAATCCCACGTGTTTTCTGTCTCTGGTCTTCGTCACGGTACCTTGACGGCTATGGACGAACCCAAACACGCATCGGTGCCCAGATAGATCAACACACATCCCGATTAGCCACATAGGCTGATGACGGGGGATGATAGGCAGTCAACTATCCAAGTCCTAATTGATCCCCGAACTCAAAAGACTGTCTCGCATTTCTATTTCAACCTTTTCGAACTCCGACTCAAGCGGTGTGTTAGGTCATTTTGCTGATATCCTACCGTCGCCGTCAGCAATCTCATTAGCAGGAAGATCAGCAACACGATATTGCCCCGCTCACTTTCGTCCTCTGGTGTCAAAATTTATCTCCGTGCTTCCCCACTCCTCTTTATCCCGCACAACTCTAAACTTCAGAGTCCCCTCTTTTGATCCCAGACAGACCTCTCTGGTGTATTCAATTTTCCAGCACTTGTATCCGTCTGAAATTTTCGACTCGAAAGCTTCGAGATGAGATTGTTGTAGCGTGTGCTTAAGCACCGCGACCTTCTCAACTGATGGATCCCATTGATAGTCTGGTGGCACCTCCGACGTGCAGGAGTAGAGCCTAGCGTCTTGAGTCATACCTTCTCTTTCATATAACATGTGCACCTGTGGCATACTGATTTTCGTCTGCTCATCTATGATTTGGCCCTGGTTAATTATGTCAGCTCTGTTGGCCGGATCAAGGAAGCAAGTCCCTACTTTTTCGATGGTCCAATCTATCCGCGATCTACACATCTTTTCTCCTGTCCACTCCCAACTCATAGCAGACGATTCAGGGTCTATTCCTTCTCGAAATAACATCCAGACCCCAATACCATAGTGACGTCTGCATCTTCTTCGAATCGGCGCGATAGAGTCTAGTCCCCGAAGGGCTGCTCCACGAGCGATAGCTGCTTGTCTAGAATCGAGTGTCAGTCTCAAGCATACGGAGACCCTGTATTAATACTCACGGATCTTCTGGGCATGTCAGTCTTATGTCTTTTGTCTGACACCACTTTCGCACTTGAGTGTTCAAGTAGGGTGAATCTCCGAAACCACCAACAAGGACAACACGCTATATAAGATTAGCAAAACCCTTTGAAGAACATGGTCAAAATATGTACATTTATGATACACTGTTTGCTGATTCTGTTTGCTGCGTCAATTTGCTGATTTAGTAGGGCGATGATCTTCTTGACAACAGGTTCGAAGAAACTCAACATCGTGCGTCTGTGGAAAGTTTGATCAGCGCTATTCAGAGAATACAATAGAGTCACCTCACCCATTCAGCTTGACAACAGACTCGTCCCCGTCGTAGAATTCCGAATCTTCAGCCTGTGGAATCACGAGGTTGAGTTCATACAGTTGGTCGAGGAGGTTGTCCGAGTAACCGAAGTCGCGTTTGTGGCATTCGAATTCCTTCATAAACCGAGACCCCGGTCCTTTCTTCTCGAATTTCAACTGGTCAAACTTCCGGCCGAAGGTTTGTGACATCCATCTGTGAAACTCTCGGTCGATGTAAGTTGATCCGCACTTTCCACCGGTCCCCGGAACAATTTCTTCGAACTCGAGTTTAGGTGCGACTTGTAGTACGCTGTACGAAGTTATGTCTACAGTACCACCGCCGCAGTCGCAGATAAGAACTCCATCACCACGCTGAACGCTTGCTGCAGAGTTTCTCTCTGAAAAACCTTTCAATGTTGCTACTCCAGCTGCCTCCGGCTCAAGCACGAGAAAGATACGGTCTTGGGCTCCCGAAGCAAACCCCGCAGCCATAGCAGCTGACAATGTTGCGTCTTTTGCCTGGTCGGACCAAATGGCAGGAACCGTGAACCAGAATTCTAATGCTGTCACAGCGAGAATCTCCGGTGACACTCTCTTCTCCAGATATTGCAAGGTCCAGTCGTAAATCTCGCTAAGGAAGTCGGTCACCACATCGGTGGCAGTCTTGTGACAAGGCAGCTTTAGCATACCTTCTCCTTCCGATTGTTTGAGCGACGGGTCGTCAAAATCAGTGGTGCGAGCCTGTTGGTCAAGCAAGAGCTTGGTCCAGCTATAGCTAATCATCTTTGGAGTCACTTGAAAGCCAAACTGGTTCTCAGTACATCCCTGGTTTTCCTTGCTGTAGGCAATCCTCGATGGCGTTTTCCATACTGCGTTGGCCTCTTTTCCAGGACCTGGAAACGTACGAACATCATGAACGTCTCTTATACTACACTGGGCAGTGTTCGATGAGTCAATATAGCTTATGCCTTGTATTACAGTTAAAAATGGTTTTCTGGAAGAAAAGTTAAGAGATTCTCACCTGTGTATGTTGTTCCGTAGTCAACTCCGATGATGATGCGATGGTTTCCTTTGACAGATAGATGCGAAAAGCCACTTCCGATCGGCTTTACCGCTCGAGATCTACTTCGGCTTCCCATGGCGTTAGAAGCTGCCCAAGATTCTGTAGGGGTGTGGGCGTAGATTGATTCTGATTACAGTTTCATGTCAGAATCTCACTATGCACAGGTGTTGTAGGAATAATCGATAGTGAACGGCCTCGCGGGTAATAGTCTTGGAGGAGATGAGATGTAAACCCCACGTCTAGAATTAGGCAGATACTGATATACGACGGGATAGGAAGTGATAAGCGATAACTGTTTATGACTGGTTAAAAGCTGGCGTCACATATGCTCAGCCTCCACAATGCGTCGTCTTTTCAGCTGCATGACCTAAAGCACTGTGCATGCAGATGTTGAGGGGGTCGTATTACGTAGCCGAACCTCAGCCTTGTCACATTGCAACCACCCCATCCTCAATTATTCTCCTTCGTACTGACTTTGAGGGGGTTCATCTTTAATACACAGACAAAACTATCCACGAGAATCTCCAGTGATGGCCAATAATCATCAAAAACGGGCCGGGAAGCGGGAATGCGGTGGTTGTAGTAGAGTCCACCGTGCGAGTACTCCCGAACTCCCAGATCCTGAAGTATGTAATTTATAATATGATTTTGAAGACTGGTCTTGATAGTATAACTAGGAAGAGCCCGAGGGACAGGGCGCAGGTGTTACAACTTGCATTAGTGGAGATAATATCACTGCACAGTCCGTTGGCGCAGATGTCTCTTCAAAATACATTCGATATCATCAGTCACCTGGTGACGATACTTCCGCACAACAATCTCAATTTCACCAATTAGTCGGTGGCGACCATGTAACTGGTCGTTATGAACGAGAGCAAGAAACTCCAAATCGTTTTGCAGAACGAAGACCAGTGGAGAGACATGCATCAACAGGACTCTTGTATCGCTCGCGACAGAAGGATAATCGAATATCAGTATTGCGATCTGAAGTACATGCCTATCAACTCAAATTACAGCAAGCACAAGACGACATCCTACGCTTGGAAAATGAGTATGAGCAGTTGGAGGATGATTTTAGGAAAATTCAGGAGCACGCATTTAGGCAATTCGACTCACCAGACTGGAAACCAGAGAGTGACGACGACGTAACGCGTAAGTTGAATTTGCTGGACTCGGATGTCAAGAAGTGGTCGAAAGCTCATTGCATCCCGTGTTTGTCAATTGAGGACTCGAAGCAATATCAAGTGCTGCGCAAGATTGTGACGAATTCGCTTGCTGACTTTGCGAAACCAAATGACGAGGGACTTCTTGCAAGACTACCTAGTGACAAGCCGTGGGTCTTGGTACAGGCGTTCCTCATGGATAAGATCTACTCTGATGTTTTCGACAAGCCCTTTTTTGGATTGAGCGCTCCACGAATGGATTGGAGGAAAATCGACCAGGACACTGAGGAGCCCGAAGACCCTCAAGTCAAGAAAAATCTCGGGAAAAGAGATCCGGCTCAGTTGTTGGAAGCGCTGTATGATGAGTTCAGTGATTGTAAGTATGTTTTAGACCGATGCTTCGCTGAAGCTCATCAAGATCAGGCAACATTGAAGACGCCGTTTCCTGGAGGGTACAGACTTTACGACAACTCTGCCCACCCGTGCGAGACGGTGAAACAAAAGAAAGAAAGAAACGAGCGACGCGTGACAGAACGCTGAAATCTCGAGAACAAGCTGTAGGATCGCTGACCCTCTGGTTACTCAACTCAGACATTCGAGTGCTCCTCAAAGCCCCAGATGACGAGGGAGCAAAAGCCGACTTACATACGCTTGTTGCAAAGGCAGCCGATCTGTCTTATACCCTGCGGACGCAGAAGAACAACCTCGGGACGAAAGGTTTCAACGATATGGAGCACAGGTTTGCTCACAACAATCCGCTCATGGAAGCTCATCAACTACATAATAAGCACCTCGATGAAGATCCGACTGTGTTGGATGGACGGTCGATTCTGGTAATCACGCATCCCGCTTTGGTTCGAAAAGGGAATGAGTATGGAACGGATTTTGGCACAAGAGTGGTGTTGAAGAAAGCTGTATGTTGGATGGGCGCTCTTCCGGAAGAGAAATGATATACATAATCCCGACGATCCAGACAAATATGAGGGGCACTTTCAATGATAAGTATGTACTTTAGATGGGTTTGTTGGTTTTGAACAGCCTCCGTCTCATGTACAATCGATCTTTCCTTAATTGACGTGCTTGCTTTCTTACATAACGGTACGCACCCATTTCTGCCTGCCTATATGTATAGAATCAGGCAGCTCGTAGATGGAATATCAATTCACCACATGTCTGTCCTTCTCCTCTCAGTCTAATAGATCTTTGAATGCGTTTCTAAATGTTGCAAGTAGAGACGACGAACTCTTGTGATCAACCCGACTACGTGATCTACACATGTCGATGGAAAGCGCAGCCCCCCACGCCGAGGTAACATCGCACACTAATTCGTCTAGCCTTACTGCCGTTCTCCTCAAAAGAAGGTATTGAAGCGGAGTTGCGCCAAGCAGTGATAAACATAATCCGTCACTAGGCATGTGTCACCCAATAACGATGCTATGTGCATCATGACCACGCAACTTGCATGTAAGCAGCCTTGACCGATCCAGAGCGGTGCATGCAGCCCAACGCCCCCAATATCTCTTGAACGATGTGATGATCGGCAAGGTAGAGCTGTCTGATATGTGAGTATCTATTAGTCATGGCCTTGGGGTGTCTGGCCTTATGCTCGGTTTTGTTCAGCCTGGTCGTATGAAGGAGTCGAATCTCTCTGGTATCGACTGTCGCCTTTTCTTTACTCTTACTCAAGTTGAGTCTCGTAGATCAATCTTCTCTATACGTGTAGTGAGGGTTCGGAACAAACAACCACAGCCATGCGAGGTAGCTTCAGCCCTGAGATAGTGCCTGGAGCACCATGGGCGTTTATCGCCGTTATGGGCGTAACGGGCGCGGGAAAAAGTACTTTCATCAAATGGGCGAGCGGAAACGCTGAGATTGAGATAGGCCATGATCTTGAATCGTGTACGCGAGAGTTTGCAAGTGCGATTGAAAAGGACGCACGACAGCTGATACATGTATAGGTACATCAGAAATCACAGCCTACACCTTCCATTTGAACGGATACAATATCAATCTTGTAGACACACCTGGCTTCAACGACACGCACAAATCTGAAACTGAAGTCTTGCAAGATATCGCTGCGTGGCTGAAGTCGACGTACGAGGGTGACACGCGACTCAATGGAGTTATATACCTACATTCCCTCGTCAATGTCCGTATGGAAGGCTCCGCGCTACGCAATCTAAAAATGTTCCGTCAACTGTGCGGTAAAGAGCCGCTGAAGAACGTCATCTTAGCCACGACCTTCTGGTCAGAAGTAGCTCAAGAAGACGCCCTTCGACGAGAAGAACAGCTGCGCACCACGCCCAGCTTCTGGGGCGACATGCTCGACCGCGGCTCAACAATGAAACGTCTCATAGACACCAACAGCGCGCTCGACATCGTAACCCTCCTAATCCGCAAGCCCAAAGTGACGCTCCAAATCCAGCAAGAGCTCGTAGAGGACAACAAGTCCCTCGTCGACACGGCAGCCGGCCAAGCCGTCAACGAAGAACTCATGCGCCTCGCCCAAGGCCACAAGACAGACCTTGCGCGCATACAGCGCGAACTACACGAAGCGCTGCAGGAGCGCGACGACGAAATGCAGCAGATTCTACACACGCAGCAACTGCGCCTCGACAAGGAAATCGACAAAGTCCGCCACCAGCAGGAACAGCTGCGCTACGACCGGCGCGCGGAGCGCCGCAAGATCGAGTCCGACTACGAGCTGCGCATGACATCCATGCGCGATGAGTACGAGCGGCGCGCGCTCGCGGACCGCGAGGCCATGCTGCAGCAGCTGGATTTCGACCAGGCCGTGGCGCTGGTGCGGGCGAATGAAGGTAAGATTCCGGTTTCTGAGCGCGACGAGCTCGAGGGCAAGATTGCTGAGCTGTCTAAGAAATTGGCTCAGGCTTCTGAGAAAATACGGCCTGGGGATGGGCCGGCGAGGAAGAAGAAAGGGAGCAGTAGGTATTTGTTCAAGGCGCTGCAGCTTGTGCTTCCTGTGACAAGTATGGCGTTGCTTGGGGTGCCAATTTTCTCGCCGTTTGGGGGTGGTGGGGCAGCGGGTGGAATCATGGAGAAGATTTTTGGTGGAGGTGATACAGAGGCGTAGGATCTGATCACTTGGTAGTGTAGTCTGGGTCTTGTAGGTTAGTACCGCACTCGACATAACTGCAAAGCTCGACGTTACCTATGGTCCAAAATAATCTTTCGATCTGCCTTCGACTACTATTCCTTGATTCAGTGCTGAAATTCTTGATGACATATTCTTGACACTGGACCGCCAACTCGACAGAAACCGTTTTCGACCATCAATCATGTTCGTTCTCGGCTCGACAAAACACATGCCAATGCCTAGCATTCTCTGGGTATCATTTCATCCTACACTTCCCGCAAGCTCTTATATACAAGAACCTTACTATGATTGCTGACCCAGCGCAGCCTCGACCACACCCCAACGATCAATAGCCCTCTTGACTAATCCCTTCATCGCCTCCCTTTCCACAACCCCACCACCACTCTTCTCCACTCTCCTTAACACCGCATCCTTGGTCCCCTTCTTCCCCTCTGCACAATCGACAACCACACACACATTCTCTTGACACACACCTTCTTCAAACGCATCAGGATCACTCAGCACCCAATCCACCTCCTCGCCGCCATCCTCTTTGCGCCCCTCGAAGACCGCGAACGTGCTCGGCACCGGCAACCCGCGCAGTTGCAACCGCCTTGCCTCCACAGGATCGTCCGAACACAGTAAACCCTCGAACTCCTCGTCAAAGTACGCGTGGGGAAGAAGTGTGTCACGCAGCGCAGCGAGAATAGAAATCCAAGCAGCGTCGAACGCGTTTCCATCGATGCTGATGAAGAAGACATCAAGGTACAGCACCCAGTACCCTTTCAATTGCGTTTCCGCGTCTTCTGACGCATCCTCAGGGTTTGTAGATGGCGTGTACAGAATGCGGAGATCCGAGGCGCGGAGGAGACGTGTGGAGAGCAGCAGCGAGCGAATTCTTGTGATGAGGGTTTGCGCATACGAGGTCGGTGCATTGCCGGGGATGTGTTGGGGCGTGCTTCCAGTGCTGAGTTCGACATTTGGCACTACGAGTCTCAACGTATCCACCTCTTCTCTGTCGTCTTCATCGGTACCCTCTGCTGTCGGTTGTGGAGAAAACTCGTGGCCACCTGGTATGTCGGCCTCTTTCAGTATCTCGGCCCGCACGCCGCAGACCACGCTGGTGTTTCCCAACCGCACCACGGCGCTGCCATTGCAATGCGTCAGACTTCGTGTGTTTACGCCGGGTGCTCGGAACTCGTGTGGTGTGCGTCCATTGGCGCGGAGTGCGGCTGTGCTGGTTTTGGCTGCCGAGAGGTGGGCTTGCAGGAATGGGTGCGGCGAGACGGCGGCGAAGATGGGGCGTGGGAATGTGAGAGCTGGTGAGTGTGCCGGGGCTGTGGTCGCCATTTTGAGTGACTCTGTGTGGTTGTGTGGGTTCAAGGCGGTGAAATGTTGGGATCAGCAAGTTGGATGTCGATGATGGATTTTTTGGAGCTTGAGCTTCCAGATGGCGCTAAGGATAACCTTATATTTTGTGGGGCGCGGAGATCATTTTCAGTCCAGTGACAACGGAATGAATGGACGAATCAGTGAACAGAAGAGATAGAGTCAGGAATTACAAGTTTAATATTACTATCAAAGAACACAGTCTCATGGGTATTCTCACACATTCAGCGCGATATATGCAAACGCAAGACACAACAATCCACACCACCTCCTGGTTACCGCCATGCAACGCTCGAGCTCAGCCTGAGCTCAATGCAATCCTCTGGCCGGCAGAGCCAGGCTGTGCAATCCACTTGCCCTCCTTCTTGAAGTTGTCGCCCTTCAGTGTCGGCTCCAACGCCATACCAATCAGGTAGTCCCTCCCCTTCATCATCCACACCATCTGGCTCGGCAGCCTGTATCCGTTGAACGCGCCAACACCCTTCTGTGTGCCGATAGGAACAACTTGCGACTCCTTGGTGTTCTCCACATAGTGGCGGTCACCCGCAGGTGCAGACCCAGATAGATGGGCAACGAGATCCGTCTTTAGGTTTGTCATGGCGACGGGGACCGCGTCAGTCAGATCCATTACGCCGCCACGCGTGTAGGAGCCCACATCGCCGACTACGTAGACGCGGGGACCGGCAGATTCATGGTCGACGCGTAGTGTTTTGTTGTTGCAGGCAATGCGGTTGCGGTTGTCGAGCCATTCCTTGGGGAGGAAGCCTGTGTTAGGTCGGGAACCGGTTGCATCGATGTAGATGTCCGCTTCCATTGTCTCACCGTTTGACAGCTCTACCCTTGTCTTCGATTGCTCTCCTTCTCCAAATTTAGTCGATGTGACTACTTTGGTGTTGTATACAACGTTGCATCCAAGTCTCTTCAAGTACGTCTCCGCTGTCTGACCAATAGCCTCACGGAGTACGGGCAGAATCTTCTTGTCGGCACATACGAGAGTGACCTTCACTTTCGGTTTCTTGAGTGCGGCGCTCATGAAGCCAGGCTTTCCGTTCAGGAGCTCGGCGATCTCTCCTGCTGTCTCAACGCCAACTGGACCTCCTCCTCCAATGACGACCGAAGTCGCACTCGTGAGGCTCGTTTGGAAAGCCTTATAAGTCGATTCCAGCGCAGCAGCATCGGTCGTTTGTGTGAACAACGGACTCGGTGTGGTAAATCCCGTCGCAACAACGAGTGCTGCATAAGGAATCGACGTCTGCGCTCCATCGGCGGTTGTGACAGAAACAGTCTGACCCGCAGGGTCCACGTGTGTAGCAGTGCCCTGGACGAACTTGAACTTGGGGAATGCGTATGTAAAGGCTGGTTCAATGGGATAGAAGATCTTGGACGACGGCATCATATGCGACGAAGCGCACGCCCGCGGTGCAGCAAATCTCCAGTAAAAGTCCTTTGACGGGTTGACCATTGTGACATTGTACGTGACTCCGTCCTTCTTTGGAAGAGATGGGATCGTGTGCTTGAGAGCATAATGTGCGGCGCTGATTCCCGCGTAGGAACCGCCCAGAATGAGGATTGTTTCGGTACTCATGGTGAAAGCGATGGGCAAGCGACTAGAAGGGTATTCGGGAAACGAAACTGAGGCAAAGAGACAGACAATAAATACGTTGGGGGAAAAAGTAATAGTGCGACGCGGTGTAGATAAGGGCGTAGACGCGACTTGAGTCTAAGCTTTAGGACTTTGTTGGGGAGCCGAGTAGTGCAGTAGCGGTCGCAGATGTTACACGGCTTGTGTCAAAACCGGTGTGGAATGCCGAAAATAAGCATCGTCCATACCACGAATACATATACCACCACAGTCACCTTATCGTGACTCCAGCGTTGGTTGAGCTTACCAATTGCACCTGGTGGTTCGGGAATCGGGAGAGCGGGAGAGGTGAAGCTGGTAAGATCTGGAGATTTTGCTAACCGTTTTGCGCTTAGACTCAATATTAAACTTCCGGAGCCGCAATGCTTCCGGAAGCTCTGCAGTGCTTACATTGTCAAGCTTACTCGCGTCACGCGAATACCGTTCCGATTTCCAATCGCAGCGGAGCAGTTCCGTTCGTTTACTCAGCTCGTGAATCATTCCCCTCTTCCTCTTACCATGACTGCTCCCTGCCATGTTAGCCTGCCTTTATTCACGGCTTGTCACAGGGTGCAGACAGTGAACACTGTGTGGGGTGCGTTGAGAGAGATTTTTATTCGATATCTTTTCAAGTCATCACGCCAGTCACGTGCTCGCATGGCACATGAAATCCGATCCGTCGTGACTGCCCGCTAAGAAGGCGATGAAGTTTGCACAAGAGTTTTCAAATCCTCCGTGTCAAACTGCATGGGGCAGGCCTTTACTGCGCATTTCCCCCACCATGACGCTATGCATGGTGTGCCCTCGGATGCGTTTTATGCAACCACTTTACTCGACCTCGTTCTTTGTCTCGAAGTTATCGCCAGCAACGAGATCTGGGATGTCGTCGTCATCCTCATCCTCATCCTTGGCACCGTCCTCGCCCTTCTCCTTCTGCATGCTCTGGTAGCTCTCCGCGAGTTTGCGCAGCGATGCGAGCGAGTCGGGACCGAGCTGGTTGAGGATACCAGGGACAAGCTCTGTCAGCTCCTTATCCTCGCCATTGCCGTAGATGGCGAAGGTGTTGGACGGTACCGAGGCGTGGACTGTAAGACGTTGATTAGCAGATGCATCTTCAGATGCCTCAGTGGACTACGAGCATGGGACGTCACTCACCCTTGGGTGCCGAGAAGTGAATGACGTTGCCGTCGCTCTTGAACATGTTGACCTCCTCAATGGCCTGGATGGGCTGCACATTGAGCTTCTTGAGCGCTGTCTGCAGCTTCTTGTCGTCGGTACCCGACGCCCTGTGGACCTTCTTGACCTTCCTGCGGGGAGTGCCCTTGCCTCTATATCAATCAATTAGCCTCAGGTTTTGCCTTTCTCATCTCTTTCAAATGCACGCGTAACCAAATCGCTGTTCCGATGTAGTGTATCGCGGGGTTTTAGACGTTGTGGTGTGGGTGGATGCGGGGCTGTCAAAATTGGACGTAGAGGTCTGCTTACCCTATTCACGCACAAGTCAGTCATGTGTTCGCCATACAAGCTCTACTGGAGAGCTTCCCACGTGCTCTCCAGCCTGGAGGGTTGTGCCAAAAACATACCAATTCGCACCGACGCCTGCATACGCGCCAACTTGGCTTGATCCATATTTGCGGTGTTGGGTAGGAGGTAGAGAGGGCTGTGGCGGCGGGAAAGTCAGTAATTCGGTCGACAAAATTTCGGCAAAGGCAGCAAGAGCTCGGGATCTCTTCGCAGCGGGAACGTACCTGGATTCGGTATCGTGGGGAGTCGAGAGGTAAAGTTGGTGGTGTTGCAGGAAGCGGAGAAACTGTGCGGAAGCGCCGATTGTGGCCTCGCTTGAGCTGAGGAGGGGCACCTCACATCCATCACAGCACCAACATCACACCCAAACTGCAATGGATGCCGACAGCGGGGAGAGAGTGACAGCAACAGACAGCTTGGAGGACTGAGTAGGTGACCTTCTTGTGGGCGTTCTGAGAATTATCAAACATCGCCTTCGTGGACAGATTTCGAGCTTCAATATTCTACTTGTCAAGTTGTGTGAGCATTCGAACGAGTTGGAGATTAACATCCCACGGTCTTCTCAAATAACATATCAAGGTTTTTACCACAGTGCATGTCGTAAGGATACTTTGATTCGCAGTCCGATTGCAAGTATTTTTGAGTATTTCTAATATTCAGATGATCACAGCTGGTATCGAAGCATGCATTGCTATTTAGCACAAACGCCCTGTAACTCCGTCCCATTTTGTGCCAAACTATAACATTGCAAGTCCAGCCATACCAATAACACCCAATACCCAGGAGGCCGCCGTTGCCTGGGCTGCAGCAGCGCCAGCGCTGGCAGCAGCCGACACGGATGAAGTTGCACTTGCAGTCGTGCTTGCGGCTGTGCCATTTGGATTCCCGGAAATGTTTTCCTGAACCACCTTTGAGCCGGTGTTGTTTTTGCAATGATCACTGTATTCAGTTGTGGAAAGAGGGGTGTCAACAAAGACTACGTCGGCGCACTATTTTCGCGAATGTTAGCAAGGGTTTAGCGAGTGCATTTGGGTATGCTATCGACGCCTAGGACTGGCCAATCGCAAATGTGTATGCGGTTACAAGAGGTGGATGGAGTATAGCTCACCTGGTAAAGACCGCCACCGCCGTCTCCGTTGCTCACAACCTGGATCGTAGCCAATGTTCCTGCTGAAACGTTCAAGTTCGCCGGGATGTTGACCATCCCCATGCAGAAGTCTCCCAGACCCTGTTGAGAGAGCTGAGGAAGCAGGATAGTGTTGAAGTTGCCTCCAGGGTTATCACCGAGAGCCAAGTACACGGCGAGATTGGTTTGTGTGTGCTCCATGTCAAGTTGGATGGGTCCACCGCTGGTTGGGAAATTGGTGCGGTTCGAAGAAACGGTGTTGAAACCTCCACACGGGAAAGTAGTCGATGTATCATCACTGAAGCCACGAGCTTCGGGCCACTCGAGGGTAAAGTGAGCGAGAGCGAGGGGGAGAAGAGAGAGCGTGGTGAGGGCAGTGGAAAGCATGTTGACGGTGGGCAGCTTGTGAATCGAAAATGGGAGAGTTGGTTATGATGAAGCTCTCTGGACACTTATAGAGAAAGAAGAGAGATGGTGAAGCTCAAGGTGTATGCAGAGGAGCCGCAGTCCGGGCGTCATGCCTTTTTATTATATTAGCACTACAGGAGCTCCTTCCCGTATCGTACCCGTGTCGTCCAAAACTGCGCGTGGCTCGCGCGTCCAGCCGTGGAGCCAATCCAGACAGAGCTTCAAATGAGGACGGGCAAATTCGCGGGATTCTGCATCAGCGGCTGTCCTACCCTTAGCTCTCACCGGTGATCAGGGTTCAGATGAGCTGCAGATGTGAGCAAGTTTCTTACTAAAGCAAAGGTTGAAGTTTAGCCACAAGCGCCATGACAGGGATCCTCTCTCTAGCGAAGTCGTCCTCCACACGCCATCTTCACGAGTCCAAGCTAACGTTTGAAGCGCAGTGACAGGGCATGAGGGCGATTATATGCGGTGTACGAGACCATTGGCTTTAACGCACACAAGCTTTCACTAACGACGGCAGTGGCAAAGTTTTACATCATGTTAGGTGCAAAACGAGACTGGCCTGCAGCTCTTGTGCTCATCATGTCTGTCTCTACAGAATAAGCGTCTTACACAGGGATGACGCTGAGATCAAGAGCCATTTTGTTGATAGCTCAGAGTAACTTGGCTATTTATATCTTATTTTTTTTATGGACAGAGCCGTAGTGATCATGGCATCGCTCACATGCCCATTGCTCCATGGTTGAATCGGCCAAAAGCCAATTCTCCAACAAACGCACCTGCCAAAACAGACAAGAAGTAGCCGACGTTAAATGTCATGACTGCCAACATGCTGTACGGTTGTTAGAACTATTCTATGGAGCACCTGAGCCCAACGAACAACTTACAGAAGATAACCAACCCCCGCAGCAACCGTCATCAGCAGTGCTCTGGGAAGATCGACGCTGAATCTCCATGGCTGAGTGTGGCTGACAGGCGCTTGAATTATTCGAACGTTCTCTTGTATACCGTTGGTCGTGAGGATCCCCGTCATGGAACTGGCGTCACTCAAGGCCTGTTCCTCCATTGACTTCTGGCCCGCAACGACGACATATTTTCGCTTCAGAGCGCTCTCCAGTGCTTTGGCGTCCAGAAGAAATTTGGCTGTGAAAATCGCACGAAGGGTGATAGCGAGGAAGATGAGAAAGATGCATGTCCCTGCGTATTGGCCGGCAGTCTTTGGAGTCCATGACTCCGAATATAGAGGCGTGTCAGTTCCGGTAAAGAAAGCCATGGTCATTGACTGCACGCTCATATCCATGCTTGATTCCATCGACATTTCTTCGTGAGCGACCATTCTCGACAAGTGACAGCGAACGTGTTAGGAAGATATGATTGAAGATTCGATGTTGCCCTCAGGAAATTTGGATATTTGTGGTGGGTGCTTAGATGTTGAGTACCAGACAGCCGGTCAATGTCGAGATCGCGGTCGCTTAAACGTCCCACAGCGCATGAACGTAGGGTCCAGAGGTGTCAAACGTGAGCTTGTTTGTGGGTAAGTGAGCGCAAATGCGTAAGATGTTGCGACAGTCGGTAAGCGTCAGATCCAGGGCTGACGCATACAGTGTAGTGAACATGTGAACGGGTCATGAGAGATCACATACGGCAGGCGTAATGTCAAGAAAAACGTTTAACGTTCCAGATCTGCGCAATTGGAATTGAAGACCTAGAGCATCTTTGAGCACATTTCGCCACAAGGGGTTAGTCTGTACTATGTATTGACGCCACCATGTAAAAGACAAACCTCGAACACGACGAACATGACACACATGCATTCAGAGAGCGTGCTGACGGGTTCGGCTTACCGGTGCGACACTAACATCTTTTCCGTAACGGACTGCAAGCCTGTCATTCACCACCGCCAACCGTTGATACATTGGTCCTTTTTCCAAGTCAAACATTGTCTAATTTACGAATTACAACTTCCGGCAGCGCGACTCGAGTTAAGAGTTGACTTAGCAACAGTAAAAAATACGCAATGACTTACTGACAGCCACTTGCAAACGTTCCTATCGGAACGACCGCTCATATTCCTTCTGGACTCGCAAGCTTTTGAAGAACGAGAAACACCAACGAAACAAGAAATCCCCACACCGGGTACGCCGCCAACATCATGAGCCACAACCATGATTCTATGGGCTCTATGGGCTCTACGGCCGAATTACCCGCTCTTACAGAATTTCCCAAGTTCTACTATGCAGTCGTTGGATGTGCAGTCGCCGTTGCCACACTGGTCAACATCCACACATATGTCTTGTACCGGCAAAGACTCTCCACAGCAAGAGCAGGAGCACAAACACCGGCAAAACCAAAGTCATGGTTCTCTCTCTGGAATGCGACTTTGTTCGCCCTAACAAGGGAAGCATCCAACTTCTCAGTGCGTATACCGCTCAAAACTCGGATGCTCAGACTGCCCACTGTCGGTCGAACGAGCTTGATAGTGGCCAACGCAATTGTTTTGGTCGTTCTTTGCCTTTATGGGTTGGATCTCAACAATCAGTTCACTAGGGAAGATGTTGGATATCGATGCGGAGTTGTGACAGTCGGCCAACTTCCGCTCATCTTTCTTCTCGCCAGCAAAAACAACCTTATTGGATATCTCAGTGGAGTCAGTTATGAACGCCTGAATTGGCTGCACCGGTGGTGTGCTAGGTGCATGCTCTTGACAGCGACCATGCATATGGGCTGGTTCTTTAGTGGTATGTTGCCTCTCTGCATATCCATCCACGATAGAGTAGACAACGCAAAATTCCTCCAGCCTAGCTGAGAAACTCGCTGTTAAGACTAGCAAAATCTTTCCCACAAACATATGCTAATCATACCTGCAGCCTGGGCCCCATACAATTACATAGGGGTACAACTTCGAGAGAACGAGCTTGCCTGGCGAGGATTAGCCGCATGGTGTGTCCTTGTATGGATTGTCTTCAGCTCCATGACACCAATTCGCAGCTGGTGCTACGAGCTCTTTGTTCTACAGCACATAGCATCATTTGCGCTTTTCCTCTACTTTGTGTACATCCACACGCCAGCTGAACTGCACATCTACGTCTGGATAGCCATTGGTGTAGTCTCGTATGATCGCGTTCTGCGAGCACTACGATTCGTTTATGCCAATATATCCCTATTCCACCGGGTTCAGAAGAAAGAAGGCCGGATGCAAGGTGTTTGGGCCTGCGAGGCTGAGTTTATACCACTTCCGCATGATACTACGCGGATCGTCATTCGTGATCCATCTATCGGCTGGACTCCTGGGCAACACGTATTCTTGTCGTGCCAATCGATTGCACCTCTGCAAAATCACCCGTTCACTATTGCGTCCATCCCGCAGGACGGGGTCATGGAGTTTTTCGTCAAGGCGCAAAGAGGAGGGACGAGACGGTTCTTCAGCTATGCACAGAAAGCACACTCCTCGCTAGAGGCAGCTTCAAGGTATGTCTCTCCTTAATATCATTCATCTAGTCTGTCAAGAAATGCATTTCAGCCGGGCACCGCCAACATTTGAAATTCACACCGACTAACCTCAACCCCCCAGAACTAAACCAGTAACAATCGAAGGACCCTACGGAACCCTCCGACTCCTCCGCCAATTCGACAGCGTCATCTTCCTCGCCGGAAGCACAGGCGCCACATTCACCGTCCCCCTCCTCCGCGACATCCTGCAAGGCTGGCAACAAAACCTTAATCCCAGCAAACACACCTCATTCCTCCACCCCCACATCGGCGCCGTCACCCGCCACGTGCGGTTCGTCTGGGTAGTCAAGAGCAGGCGCCAGCTCGGCATGTTTTCCGAAAAGCTCTCGACTGTATGCGCAGATTTCCAGGCGCTGCAGGACACGCTCAGATACATCAAGCTCGAGCTCACTGTATATGTCACGTGCGATGAGGCGTTCACCGAGGAGCACAAGTCGCTTCTGTCGGGCGTGACGGTCCTGAAGCCCATGGAAAAAACTTCGGAACATGGGGTTGTTGAACTCCGCAATCGCTCTTCTTCATCATCGTCATTGTCAGAAGGAGAAACAGAGAAGAAAGCCCACGAAACGCACATTTTACAAGAATTGACCCCACCCCGGAACACCTGCGGCCAAAACAACACATGCTGCTGCCGCACCCCAATCGACGAGATCACCCCCGCAGAAACCACAGCACCATGTTGCTGCCACAAAGAAACCCGTAGCCCAAGTCCAAGCACAAAAACAACATCGCTATCCTCGCAGCAAAAGACCTTCCTCCACCCATCCATACAGGTATACTCCGGCCGCCCGAAGACACGAGACATTATCCGCCGCTCGCTCGAGCAGGCGCTGGGCGAGTCGGCGGTCGTGGTGTGTGGACCGCAGGGCTTGGTGGCGGATGTGAAGCATGATGTGTGTTTGTTGAGTGATGAGCGGGCTGTGCATAAGGGGACGGGGGCGCAGGGTGTGTATCTGCATACGGAGAGTTTTGGGTGGTGAGGGGGTGGTGTGTGTTATTTTGTTATAGCAATGTATCAACGTTCTACTTTGCTGGTGTTGGGCTATGTGATGATGAATCTTAATGGCGCATGGGATTGGGATGTGGAAGATGGGCTGTTGGGGATTGGCTAGACAGTGCTAGGTTGGACTGCTCGTGCATGTTCGTCGGAGACCTACAGTAGGTCCAGGCAGCAATAGTGATGGAACCGCTGATGACGAGTCTTGTGACATGCTGACATACAGCAAGCAATCGAGAGAAGAGTAGTTGTTGATCTGATTAGATTCATCCATGTCTCTCTATGATATATTCATATCTCATTTCGTAACGTCATAGCGATCAGCCACGACCGAGTGATCCCCCAAACCATCCTATTCAGCACCACAATCAATTGACCTATTTGTTCAGCTCCTCAGCCCTCTTCTTCAGCTCCTCCTTGTTCGCTGGCGTGGGCAGGTTGTCCGCATGAACGGGACCCTTGCGTCCGTCAGTACTCATCATTCCACGCATAGCATCCGTGACAGAGGGCCATACCGGGTTCGCCTTGTGTGCGTTTGCGTGCTGAGAGCCGCCAGATGTGGTTCCTGTGTCGACATCGTGCATGGGGTGCGACGACGCGTTGGAGCTCGACGAGTCCTTGGCTACCTGGTCGGTGATGCCTGAGAGAAGTGTCAGGTTATCCCCATATATATGATGACATATATAACAGCAAGAAGAGGGGTGGGGGGAAGAGACGTACTGCCAGTAGCATTCTCCTCAGCTGGGTGGACGGGCATCTTGATCTTAGTTGTTGGTGTTTTGTTTGGATTCCTTCTTATTCCTGTTCAAGAGTACTTCCTTGCCGCCCGTGTACAGAAACGCTTTCTCGTGCTTATTCTTTTCGTCGTCGTCAACGTTGAGATCCTTGATAGGTTCTTCGAGTTCTGTACTGTCGCTTTGTGATCGGATAAATTCAACGCCACTAGTTCGTTCTTTGTAGTACTCGTCAATGAGGTCGAAGGTGGAAGAGTTCGCAGCAGGAGCCATGACAAGCTGGGGTTTAAGTAGTAGACACGTAGCGAGCGCGTAAGAGCGCCTGATCGGTGACGTAGAGATTCGGTCGAGCCCTGGGAAAGGGAAGGTGGGGCACGCACGGCTGGGCAGAGCGGTTGTCAATGTCGAGCAGGTGGGGCAGTTTGTGTTCTGTCTGTTTGGGGGGATTGTTAGTGCGGGGTATTCAATGACAAGGGTTCGTACATGAACAGGACAGGGGAATGGTGACGAGTGGTTAGAGCTCCGCGAGCAAGACGCGTATGTGGAGACCTCACCACAAGCAGGATCGTGCTGTCAAGTACTGATGTAAACACAGGTTGCTAGCAGACATCCATACTTGGTAGTCTATCGTGGTAGTGAGAACAAAGGTCCAGTAGCTATAAACGCCAGACCCGAACGATATAGCTTCCAAAATGATTACCGGCTGTATTAAATAGAAAATATACATGCCAGTAGGCGTGTGGCAATACAAGGCCGAAAGAACGCCGCGAGTAACCAAGAATGAGACGGGCGGTTGGCCCCCATATATACAAGCGTGTTGTTACACTTATGAAACCATCCACCAGGCGCCAACCAGGATGCCAACAAGTACCACAATGGTCAGGATACTAGCACCAGCCTTGTCGCCCGTTGTGACAGTGTCGAAGACGACTTCGGTAGTGGGAGCGTCCTGACCAGCGGAAGGATCACTTGTAGAGATACCACCAGCGTCTTTGGACGCCGGACCGGACACTGTATCGTAAAGCAGACTCTGCACAACCTCCAAGGCAGCCATCTGCTCGCCGACACCGAAGCTGCCGTCGTTTGTGCCATTGTCTACCCAGCGAAGTCCGCACGACGTTTGGTTCGTACCTCCAATGCACTGTTTAGCGGCAGCCTGAGCAGAGGCTTTGAGATAGGGAATAAGCGATGTTTGAGTCCACGGAGCGATGTTGGCTGTATATCCCATCCAGCGGGCGAGATAGGCCTTGAAAGATCGCTGATCGACATCGCACTTGCCGTTGTTCTCACACGCGACTTCAATCATGACGTTGTCGTTGAAGAAGACCGAAGCTCCCTTAATGACGCCCTCGAGCCTGGTTTTCCAGACATCGCTCTGGGTCTGTAGCATGGTTAGTGAGTGTGTACTGAGTTCGGACGAGCATGTCACTGCTTACCATGTTCCACATAGCCGCAGCGCCGGCCATGTGAATGCCGGCATTGTAAGTCCACTGGATGTGGTTGACGCTCGTGCAGTTCTCCTTGTCATCGGTTCCGTCGTAGAAGTGGTAGTCGGCACTCATGAGTCCCACAGACTGCTCCCACACCCAAGCCCTCTCCGCCCAGTCCGCATAGGTATCGTTTCCGAGATATTTGTACAGACGCGCGGCGATGTTGAAGAAGCATCCGTTGGAGATGGTGTTTTTGTAGTTGTAGCCGTTGTTGAATGAGAAAATCTGCCACCTCAGCCCTCCGCCGCAAGTCGTGTTGTCCCAGCGTGGATATTGTGTGTTGAAGACAGCCTGGGCGAGTGCAAGCCAGGAAGGCTGTCCGTCGCCCATGTCAGGCAGTTTGTTCTCGGCGGCAGACATGGCAGCCATTCCCCAAAAGGCCTGGTCGTCGTTGCCGAGCGAGGCGGACTGGTTCGAAGGCATGAAGGCCGAGTAGTCTCCAATCTGGTGCTGCATGGCCTGCACCGTGATGGCATTGTACGTGTCGTCGCCCGTGTAATACCAGTAGTCTATGAAGGCGTTGAACATGGCACCGCATTCCCACCAGTAGTAGGGGTCTGGGAGGTTACCGGCGGTGTCGCCTTTGTTGTCGCCCGTGTAGTAGGACCGTAGATTTGCAATGAGGACCTTTGCAGCTGCCTTGATTGAATCTGCGCGCGTCAGCACGTGTTTGGGCGCGGGGGTGGGACAGTCGTACCTTGGGAGGTGATGTCCAGGTCGACGGCGGCTGCTCCAGACAGGAACAGATTCGAGGCCGCTAGGACCGTGAGAGTCGAGGAGAACTTCATCGTGTGCAAACTAGGAAGCCGGCGTCTGCGTGATCGAGGGTGCCCAGAGGACGCGCCCAAAGTCAAGCACCGGGCTTGCGAGGGTCAGAATGTCGGGATGCGCAGGGTCAGGATGCGCAGGGTTGTGAAGCGGAGGGTACGGAGCGAGCGGCGGCGCGGGCGACGAGGGCCAGAATGCGATTATTAGTTGTGGCGGTCAAAGAGCGTGGTCGGGAGGTCAGGACGGTGGGAGAGGAGAGCAAGACAAGTGGAAAGTTTGGGAAGGAGCCGAATGCTGGGCCGGTCTTCTCAGGATTCTCAGGAGGCGCACGTCGAAGGCGCAGGTCCCAGACGCCCAGCATCGCCAATCGCCAACCGACAACCGGGGCCCTCCACAGGGGCGCCTTCTGCCTACTCCACACCACAGCCACTAGCCACCATGCCAGCCCTTGTGCATTGCGCAGTTACGTATCGTCTTACGTCCTCGTGGTCCTCTAATTCTCCGACGCCAACTACAAGACGAGGCGCGGCGTCACACGTCTTGCTCACTGCCATTTTGTCCTGATTCTCGCTCAAACAAGCTCAGCGAGACACTCTCTGCTGGAACACGGTGGTTTCTGATCTGGGCTTCTCCGGCTGCCGCGCCAGCTGCCCAGAGTGACGAGCTGTGCTCACTTTGGGGAATACGAGCACGGCTGCAGTCTGCGTCGGGTATCATTGCGGCCCTTCTTTCGCTTCATATCAACTTTGATAAAAGAAAGGCCTTGTCCGTGACCGCAGGAGTGAAGTTTTGACGTGCTTACAGTGTCCAACAAAGGCAGGACGCAACCTTGGAGGCTGGCGCTCGTCACGTGCTGCTGTCATCATTCCAGAAGTCGGCTTAGAAGACGCACCTGTGGCTGAGCATGTCCGTGCAAACGAATAAACAAAGACAATAGTACCACAAAAACGCTGCACATGTGAATACAACCACGCTGCATCTCTAGATCGTTGCATTGCACACCGCTCACCTTCACATCCGTCCGTTTTCCTTTGTGGTTGCTCACGTTTCACGGCGCCATCAGCCTCAGAGGTCAAACCGAGCTGACACATTCCAGCTCTTTGGCCAGCCAGGTCCAAGTGCCCAGCGTCCGCCTCCTCATTCCCGTCCACACCACCTGCTCGCTCCATCCAACCTCCACTGCACCCTCATCGCCCTCACGACATCCACGACTATTGCCACAACAACTCCCGTCGCACACACCCACTAAACACTGCACCACCCATCTTCCGCCATGGCCGACCGCGAGCAGCCGTACGACCCGTACATTCCCTCTGGAGGCCAGCAGGGCCAGGGCCAGAATGGCAACCACCGCACTGCTGCGCTCCAAGCGGTACGTCATCCCTTCGCCTCTTGTGATTTGCAGGGTGTTGCAGCCGTGTTTTGCAGCCTTGTGGATGAGTCGTGATTGTGGTCGCGGAGTTGCTCCCGGAGCCGAGCTTGCCCCAGACCGTCATCAGCGTTGCGACCACAGCTGCGCATTCGATGCATATACTCAACGTGCACATACAACACACGCGCATTGCCTATAGCTCTTGCGCGTCTGTATGCACTCAAGATGCTGTCTTTCCATGGATATGCATAACCCTGACTCTATTCATACACGTCCTCAAAGCACATGCTGACTCGTGGCTCAGGAAATCGACAGCACAGTCGGCATCATGCGCGACAACATCAACAAGGTCTCTGAGCGAGGTGCCCGTCTAGACTCGCTGCAGGACAAGACCGACAACCTCGCCCAGTCGGCCCAGGGTTTCCGAAAGGGCGCCAACCGCGTGCGCAAGCAGATGTGGTGGAAGGACATGAAGATGCGCATGTGCCTCGTCGTCGGCATCATCATTCTGCTTGTCATCATCATTGTCCCCTCTGGTGAGCCCAACCCTCGACCGTGTGTGATTGTGGTGCAGACGACTAACATGACGCAGTCGTTGCTACGAAAAAGAACTGAATGCCAGCACGCCAGATACTATGAAACATAACCTACATATTAATGAGTTGGAGCGAATGGATTTGCATAGCCCGAGTAGGCGGAGGCGACGGCGACGGCGGTTACGACTTGCACTGTTCACGATACCGGGTCCTCTGGGATCCAGGTCTATGACGAGCCTGGGAGCGATGGAAGTTTTCTTGTCCCTCTTTGCACTTGGTCGACTGGCCTGTGCGAAACTGCTCTTTCTTTATGATACCTCGAGAGCCGAGTTTCTCGCATGGCCGGTAGACGATTACAATGGAGTTTTGAATTTGATGTTATTCTAGTCTGAGGTCATGTACTGGGATGCGCGCCGTGAAAGTGCCGAGCTGCAGTGAAAATTTCTGCCATGCGCAGTGCACGTCTTTTTCTCCAAAGCACGATCTGATAAGGAATTGCGCGTCCAACAAAGGCACTTCCACACGTCCCCAGCCAATCACGCGGGCGTTCCCCACACAAGCGTTGGGGGGATTGTCGCGCTACTCTGCGGGACGAGAACTGGAGGCTGCGGATGCTGCGTTATCGGAACGAAGCGAATTTTGTGCTTCCTGGGCCTCCGCGTCCCTTTGACTCTTCTCCCACGCCCGCAAGCCGTCACGCCGCCAATTGACCGCCGCCGCCTGCAATCCCCCGCGCCTGAAGAGCCTGAAGAGCCTCGCGAGTGAGACGGTCACGATGCAGGGCGTCGTACGTGCTGGAGCCCGGCTGGCGGGACGGACGTCTCCACGCCAGCTGCTCGCCAGGACCCTCGCCGCTGCGGGCCCACGCGCCCTCGTTGCCAGCACGACCCCGCGCCGCCTATATACGTCGTCCAACGACGGCAAGAAGTCGTCCATCTACGCCGCCTTCCTCAACCTGCTCGCCAGCGCCAGCTCGCGCCGCGAAGTCGACCAGTACCTCGGCCAGTTCCGCGCCGTGTCGCCGCACCAGTTCGCCGTCGTCAAGGTCGGGGGCGCCATCCTGACAGACCACCTCGTCGAGCTATGCTTCGCCCTGCAGCAGCTGCACGCCATTGGCCTGTACCCCATCATCGTCCACGGCGCCGGCCCGCAGATGAACCAGACGCTGCTGGACTCGGGCGTCGAGCCCGACTTCATCGACGGCATCCGCGTCACCGACAAGAAGACGCTGGGCATCGCGCGCCGCCTCTTCCTCGAGGCCAACATGGACCTGGTCATGACGCTGAAGCGGGACTGGGGCGTCCCCGCGCGGCCCATCACGGCCGGCGCGCTGCAGGCCGACTACCTGGACAAGGACAAGTGGAAGTACGTCGGCAACATCACCAAGATCAACCCCCGCGCCATCATGGACGCGCTCGAGAATAAGGAGCTGCCCATCCTGTGCTCCATGGCCGAGACTGAGGACGGCCAGATCCTCAACGTCAATGCCGACGTCGTCGCAGCCGCCCTCGCCCGCGAGTTCGAGCCGCTGAAGGTCATCTACCTGTCCGAGAAGGGCGGCCTCTTCAACGCCGAGACCGGCAAGCTCATCTCCCACATCAACCTGGAGGGCGAGTACGACAGCTACATGAAGCAGCCGTGGGTCCGGTACGGCACCAAGCTCAAGATTGTCGAGGCGAAGAAGCTCCTGGACGGCCTTCCCAAGACGTCGAGCGTTGCCATCACACACCCGCAGAACCTCGGAAAGGAGCTGTTCACACACACGGGAGGCGGTACTCTGATCCGCAATGGCGGCAGCGTCAAGGAAATTACCAAGTTTGAGGATCTCGACCTCAAGGCTATACAGGAGGCTCTTTCCCGGGACCGTGGGGGCGCCGAGGCTGGCAATGCTGTCTCCCAGTACCTGGAGAACCTCAAGAGTCGTCCCTTCGAAGTGTTCCACGACGATTCCATGGGCGTTGTAGCCGTCGTATACCCACCTGGCAAGGACGGCGAGTTTGCTCAGCTCTCCACTTTCACAACTACCCACGACGCTTTCCTTACCAACGTTGCCGACCTCGTCTTCGAGCAGATCAAGCAGAAATACTCCAAGCTGTACTGGGTCGTGGAAAGCCAAGAGCAGAACCTCGTCAAGTGGCACTTGGAGAAGACTGACGGCTTCCTCCGCCGCGACCAGGAGATCTTCTGCTGGTGGGGATCAGCACAGTCGTCCGAGATCTTCTCGCTGTTGGAGGGCTACTCGAAGCAGGGTCGTGGAATTCTGAAGGATAGCTTGGATGCTCAGTTCCGAAGGGCAGCTGATTTCGTTGCAAGCTTGAAGCAAGGCCAGCAAGTCCGCAACTACTCCACAGCGGCCAGCCCGCGAACACTGGGTCAGTCTTCGAGGCCGACACTGAGGCAGTCCACAGCCACGTCCACATCATCTCGAGGCTTCGCAACTACCGCGTCACGTTCATTGGAGACTACGAACCCCAACCCACCATACGGCATCAAGTTCAAGAGCAAGGACTGGCCATCGAAAATTGCTCTGATTGGCGCTCGAGGATACACAGGACAAGCTCTCATCGAGCTCCTGAACAAGCACCCCAACATGGACCTGCGACATGTTTCTTCCCGTGAGCTCAATGGCAAGAAACTCGAGGGCTACACCAAGCGCAACATCATCTACGAGAACCTTTCGCCCGAGGACGTCAAGAGAATGGCAGACAAGGGCGAGGTTGACTGCTGGGTCATGGCTCTTCCCAACGGTGTGTGCAAGCCGTTTGTCGACGCAATCAACGAGGCCGGCAAGTCGGACGCCGTCATTGTGGATTTGAGCGCCGACTACCGCTTCGACGATAGCTGGACGTACGGGCTCCCCGAGACGGTCGACCGCCGCAAGCTAGCCGACGCCAAACGGATAGCAAACCCCGGGTGCTACGCAACCGCAGCCCAGCTCGGCATCGCACCTCTTCTTGAGTTCATCGGTGGGCAACCCACTGTATTCGGCGTGTCCGGCTACTCCGGAGCAGGCACCAAGCCAAGTCCCAAGAACGACGTCGAATACCTCACAAACAACATCATCCCCTACAGCCTGGTCGACCACGTGCACGAGAAGGAAATCACTCGCCAGCTCGGCACGGAGGTAGCGTTTATCCCCCACGTCGCCGTCTGGTTCCAGGGTATCCACGTAAGTCCCGCTATCCTCACCATCAAAATACCAATCTAACCCTCTCCAAACAGCACACCATCTCCATCCCCCTCAACCGCACAATGACATCACGCGACATCCGCAACCTCTACCAGGACCGCTACGCGGGCGAGAAGCTCGTCAAGGTCGTCGGCGAGTCGCCCCTCGTCAAGAACATCGCTGGCAAGCACGGCGTGGAGATTGGCGGCTTTGCCGTACATAGCTCGGGCAAGCGTGTTGTTGTCAACGCGACGATCGATAACTTGCTTAAGGGCGCCGCGACGCAGTGTTTGCAGAATATGAATCTTGCGTTGGGGTATGGTGAGTATGAGGGGATTCCTTATTAGATGGATGGAAATGGGAATGGAAATGTGCGCGAGGCTTTGTGGTGTGGGGTGTGGGTGTTGCGTAGGCAGCGGCTGACATGTCGCCCCCGGGACGAGATGTGGGGAGATGGATGGATGGAAAGAGGAAGGCATATCATAGCATGCTGGACCTACGCGTGCGTGCATGGTGAATAGGCAGATAGGCAGGCAGGGCACGAGTCCCATTTCTTCGGCGCAAACAAAACATTCTTCTAGACTTGGCATGTATGTATCTATGTATCTATCCTTGTATGTAGAAGGTACCTTTTGGTAGGGTAGGGTGGGGAAGGGAGGGAAAACTGTTTTTTGTTCTTGATTGGACTTAACTGGACTTGGCTCTGAGTGAAAATGAGGTCAAGTGCTACATACACCCTCACAACCTCACAGCCTCACAGCCTCACAGCCTCCTTCACTGACTCACCCAACCCAACCCAACCCAACCCAACCCAAACATCACACATAGATGAAAATTTTGATTCAATCATAAAATGGTATAACATTAAAGGCGTAAGATAGCGTAAAGTACCAATGAGGCCCCCAAATCAAACCAAACCAAGCCGCAGGCGGGATCCAGAATCCAAAAAACACCGCCCTGTATATACGCCAATCGATCCAAGTGCAAAAGCCGGAAAGCACACCATCGCCCTGCAAAAAATGCTCCAAGATGCGCGGAAGGGAAGGAAAGATTCGTTAGAGAGAGAAAGAGGTGGAGGAGGGGGGGCGTAAAGTGAACAAAGGGAAGAAGAAGGCCATCAACGCGCACCATAAATCCAAATCAAACCCATCATCACCTCACAATCTTCCTGTTCTTAATAATAAACGGACTCGGCATATCCAGCTCAGTATCCGGATCCCACACAGCAGCAGCAGCCGCCGCCTGCGCAGCCGCCGTGCGCGCCTTCATAGGACTACGTCTAGCGCCGAAGCCGAAGCCCTTCTTGCCGGAGCCGAGGCCCTCGTCCTCGCTCATAGTCTGCATGGGGATGCCGCGTGCTTGCTGGAGTTCGACGAGGGTGCGGCCCTGGATGCCGCCGTTGTTGCGCATGGCCTGGACGCGGATAGCCTCGTTGCCCTTTTTGGACTGGAGGCCTGTGAAGGGGACGGCTTTGGTGGAGGAGGATGTGGTTGTTGTGGTGGTGGTTGTTTGGCCTGCTCTGCGGGGGGAGTGGGAGAGGGTTTCTGCGGAGCGGGATTTTTGCTGGCGCGCGGGCGATGTGGCGACGATGGGGACGGCTGTGGGTCGTGGCTTGGTCGTGGGCGCGAGGTTCGGTGTGCTTCCTAGGCGTTGGTTTGGTTTTAGGAGCGGGCGTTGGGCGGCGGCGAGGACCTTGAAGGGATCTTCGCCTGTTGAGCGGCCGCCTGATGTGCTGCGGGCGCGTGTTGGGGAGGGGAGAACTGGTAGATCGTCGTCGTCGTCAAAGTCACCGTTCCAGTCTTCTTCGGATGGCGAAGGGGGGACTTCTGCTTCCCATCTCTTTGCACCCTCCTTGGCAGCGGCGAAGATGTTTGGGCGTGGTTGGTTGCGGCGAGGTGAGAGTGAGAGACCGGCAAGTGACGCTGGGGCTGGTGATGGCTCGCCCATTTGGACGTCCATTGGTGACGATGGTACGACGGCAGTTACAGGATTGGAAAACATGGTCCTGGCACGAGACAGAGGGGCACGAACGGGTCGTTTGGCGGGCTTCGGTTTGGCGGTGGGCTCCTCGGTAGGGTCGTCAAGAGACAGAGAGGATATATCTGTCCCACTGGCAAAATCGGAGACTGAACCAGTTGTGCTGGTGGAGGCATTGACGAGAGTCGACTCGCTTCCTGTGGAGAACAGGAGCCCTTGCTCTGCCGGCATGGTCGGTGTGTTGGATCGAGGAGCAAGCTTTGGCGATGTGCTGGGGCGGCCGGGGTGCTTCTTCAGCGCCTTTTCTACTCTCTTGACCACCTCTTCTTCGAACTTGGCCTGGAGGATGGCGAGCTCCCGTTGAACACGCTGCTCGGTCTGGATCTTGACCTGGCGTTCGATCTCCAACTGTGCCTTGACTTCCCACTCTCGTCGCAGCTGGTCGTCGATCTCTTTGCGTATGCGTGCAATCTTCTCGCTTGCCTCTCGTTCTCTCTGCGCGGCGAGCAATCGCTGCTCTCTCAAGTCCTGTCCCAGTTTGACAACCTCCTGCTCCTTGCGCATCAACTTGACAATGGGGAGGTTCAACAGGGCGGCGGTGTCGGGGCGGTGCTCGGCGGTCGTTTGCAGGCAGCTGGAAATGACTTTGCGGAGCTCGCCAGAGTAGCAGCCTGGGATGTCTGGGTAGCGTCCAAGCTTGATCTTCTGGATGAGGTCGAAGTGTGTTTTGGCGTTGAAAGGCGGTGCCTTTGCGCACATTTCGTAGATGATGCACCCGAGCGCCCAGATGTCGGAGTGAGGGCCATATTGCTCTGCTTTGCAGATCTCTGGGGACATGTAGAAGGGCGTGCCGACGTATGTGGACGCGAAGTCGTGGGACTGGAGGATCTTGGAGAGGCCGAAGTCGCCCAGCTTGACCGAGTTGTCGTCGCCGAGGAAGACTGGGTGTTGTCAGCATGCTTTGTCAGGGAAATGCAACGTGCAGGTGCGTACTGTTCTCGGGCTTGAGGTCCCTGTGCAGAATCATGGGCTTCCGGGGATCACGGGCAGGCTTCGCGTTGGCCGCCAGCCCCATGACATTGCGGCCTGCTGCGGGCGGGTCCTCGCCATAGTGGCAGCGGTAGAGGGCGCTGACAATCTGGCTGAAGATGCTCCACACAAACTCCTCCTCGCACAACTGGTTCTTGTTCTTGAGGTCGCGGATGACGCGTCCCAGATCGCCGTTGCCGCAGTACTCCATGTACAGGTGCAGATCCTGCGAGGCCTTGATGTGGTCGCGCTCGAAGTAAGCGACGATGTTGGGATGGCGCAGCTCCTTGAGGATGGACAGCTCGGCCTGCAGCTGCTCGCGCTCCTTCTGCGACATCTTCAGATAGCTGATCTCCTTGCGGCAGAGGATCTAGACACGGTCAGCCAGTGCAGCGAGCGCAGCCCCCACGTGATGTCGTACATAGCCATCCGACTTGCGCTTCACCTTGCGGATGATGCCAAATGAGCCATGTCCAATCTTCTCCAGCACGTCGTACTTGTCGTCCTCGGGCATGGTGGTGGTAGTGTTATGGGGGTGGAAACATGCAACGAAAGTATTCTGGAGGGGAGGGATGCTGCGATATGCTGCTGTGTTAGTAGTGCGGAGGAGGTATGCTGGCCTGGTCGGTGGGATGTGACCAGGTTGACAACTGTTTTGCTTGTTGTCTCTAGCTCTGGTCGGTACAGCAACCGGCACGCACGGGCCCGTGCCACTCCCGCGGCAGACCTGCCATGTCTCGTCACTTATCGATTAGCGAATATCTCTCTGAACTCCGGCGCAGCCTGCATTCCTTGTTTTCCGCCATCATGGACGTCAAGAAGAAGCACGAGATCGAGGCAGCGCTGGCCAAGGAGGCACAGGCCATATCGGCCGGCCAGCTCAAGGAGGAGAACCCGCTCGACCTCAGCGAGGACTTCAGGGTCTTCTGCGAGGCGTGCAGGCGGGGCGACTTGAAGGTTCGCCGCCATGCGTGTCAGGAAGGAGTGTGGGATTGATGCCAGCTCTAGGTCGTCCAAGAAATGATATCTCAGGGCGTGAACCTCAATGCCCGGGACAAGTTCGACTACACGCCTCTGATCCTAGTAAGCCATCGCGTGCACCCGATCCCGATCCCGATCCACACACGCGGACAGGCATTGCACAGCCCAGAGCACTGACTGTGGTGTGCAAAGGCCAGTCTCTGTGGACACTACGAAGTCATCCGCTTGCTTCTGGAGAATGGCGCCCTGTGCGAGAGAGACACCTTCCAGGGTGAGCGCTGTCTCTACAACGCCCTGAACGACCGCATACGAAACCTCCTACTATCCTACGACTACGCAAAGTCAACAAACCCGCTACAGCCACTTGCGGCGCATATCACCTCACTCCTTGCTCGCCCTACGCCCAAAACTACCGATATCGTAGTTGCCGCATACGATCAGAACTTTGAACTGCACAAGTTCCTGCTAGCCGCGCGCTCGCCGTACTTTGCAAAGAAGCTAGCAGCAGCACCATCTACCTCGTCTTGGAAGCTGCCAAACAACGTTCCAGCCGAGTCGCTAGCAGTGGCGCTGCAATATCTGTACTTCCAGGAAGTCTCAATACGGCGCGCGCTATTTGGACTAAATGATGAGCAAGAATTGGTGGTATTGAATGGCATAGACAAGATTGGAAAGCAACTAGAGATTGAGCGTTTGTTCGAGGATATTACAGAAATATCTGACCGGCGGTTGTTACGGCAACGTAGAGCCGAAGAGCTGGATAGAGGCCGAGACCAACTAGAAGCTTGGTTCAGAAATAACGTTTTGAAGTACAAGACGGTTGTGGACACAGAAAAGGTGGACAACATACAGTGGGACAGAGACAATTCAATTTTCGCCGATATATTACTACGAGCGGACGACTATGGAGAAGATGACCATGTCTTCCACGATCGCTCGGAGATGTCAACGCCCCCTGTGAGGAACACGGCTGGTCCCTTGCTTGGAATTCCTGTAGGACCAGTCCGATCACGATCCCCGTCAAGACAACGAACACCCCGAAAGTCAACAGTATTCCCAGCTCATCGTGCAATGTTGTTACGCTCCGAGTACTTCCTCACCATGTTCAGTTCGCAATTCAAAGAGGCACAGGACACGCCGCACCTCCAGATCGTCTCGATAGACTGTTCACCAGCTGTCCTCGAAACGATATTGACTTTCATGTACACTGAACGCGCCGACTTTGGCCTGGACATTGCCATCGATGTGCTCTTCGCTGCAGACCAGCTCTTCATTGAAAAACTAAAGCAACGCGCTGCAATCATCATCTCTGCCTTGGGCAACGGTTCGACATCAGCCGTGGAGAGTGACAATCCTCGTGGCGCCACGGATGCTGACGAAGCGGTCGATATCTACGAGGTCATAAGAGCAGGCTGGGATACGCGAGTACAGCGCCTTGAAGAATTTGCAGCGCGATACATTGCGTACCGATTGGAATTCTACATTGACCAACCAGAATTTGCAGAGCTTGTCCAAGAATCTGCAAACAGAGTAAAAGCGCGTCAGGAAACGGATACTGTCGAGCTTGTCGACGACATTCGATACTACCTCTCTGAACGTTTCAGGCTTCGGTTTGAAGAGAGCGGTCTGGATGAGATGATGGATGAAAACGCTGCTGCCAGAGCTGACGACGAGGGGGATCTCGCGGATGCCGTACGTAATCTTGTTTTGGAAGACAATTTGACAGAGAAGTCACAGCAAGAGGATGGGCACATCCCGATGGAGCAACAAATCGCTGCCGGCGCGATCCGAACATTAGACGGAGAGGTGGCAGGCGATGAGTTCCTGCAGGACGCTATGAACTACCAAATCTTGCTGGGGAAAATCGATACTTTGTTAGAGAAACTCAACCTAGACGCCTAGTCGAGTCGACTACGAATAGACAAATCAACCCAACAAAAGCTTACTCTTGTTGAATATTGTGCCTGGCGACAAGCCAAGCACGGACTGAAGGCTGCACCATCCATCTTTGTGGTACTCATTTGTGGAGATAACTGTTCTACTATGGTCTGTGACGTCAGGCGGGGGTCTAGTATTTGTGTACCCCACCCGATTGACGAATACCTCGGAGGATCGTAAAACAGTAATGCGCAGTCTTGCTCGTCATACACTAACAATCCGATCCTCAATTGCGCGTCCAACTGTACGGGCTTCAATTGTTGCACCACGACTCGTTTTGAGCAACCTGACAATAACCAGCATATCCAAGAAGCATCAAGGGAAGCTGATCGCAAAGATGCCGACAGAATCTACACAATCGCAGGCTTGCTGCAACACTCCTGCTGTTGTTAGCGAGGGGTATTCGCCAAAGGGCGATTATATTACTGTTGATGGATTGAAGACATGTAAGTTTGTTTCTCTGTCTCACAACATATCTTCGCTAACATCAAACACAGACGCGACCGGCTCTAAGGACGCGAAGCAGGGTATCTTGGTCGTCTACGATATCTTCGGCTTCTTCAACCAGACTCTCCAAGGTGCCGACATCCTCGCATACACGGACAAGGATCACCAGTATCAAGTCTTCATGCCCGACTTCTTCGAGGGCAAGCCAGCTGATATCTCTTGGTACCCCCCGGACAACAAGGAGAAGGAGCAGAAGCTTGGCGAGTTCTTCCAGACACAAGCTGCGCCGCCAAAGACACTGCCCAGGATTCCCAAGATTGTAGAAGAGCTGGGTAAGAGTCGAGGCATCGAGAAGTGGGCCGTGGTTGGGTATTGCTGGGGTGGAAAGGTATGTTCAAATCAAACATCCAATCTCATTTTTGGATGCTGATGCTAGGATAGATTGTCAATCTCTCCTCCACAAAAGACACCCCATTCAAAGTTGCTGCCGCCTGCCATCCCGCTATGGTCGCTGCCGACGACGCACCCGGCATTACTATCCCGTACATCATGCTGCCTTCGAAAGACGAGAGCAAGGAGGACGTAGAAAAGTGGGAGAAGGGAATCAAGGTCCCGCACGCTGTTGAGTGGTTCCCGGACCAGGTGCATGGATTCATGGCTGCACGTGGTGATCTTTCGCAAGAGAAGGTCAAGAAGGAGTACGAGCGCGGGTACAAGCTGGTGTTGGACTTTTTCCACAAGCATTTGTGAGTACCTGGTTGTACAGTGATGCAGTATACTAGGATGGGTTGCTGAGATTTTGCTAGGGATTCGGGCTCGAAGCTCTAGATGCGTATATGGAGAAAATGGGTGTATGAATCTGAGTAAGCGTATATAATGCAACTAGTCATAACCATAATTCGAGACAATCCGATCATGATAAGCACCAATCTCTCATCACATGGAATGGCGTTTTAGCGCGTTATGGGTCTGTGCTCGGATTCAACCGGCTTCCACGCAGGCAATTGTTGAGCTTTTGTTATCCTCAACATCTCTGGCGTATCGTTGGGCTACAACAACACCATCTTCTTCCACCGCTCCGTGATCCATCGGCCACCGATCAGAATCTCTCTCAACACAAGTGCCACACCATCTACTCTTAATGAAATGGCGCCTCGCCGTTGTTGATATTCGATCCGAGTACGACCTTTCACGCAAAGATGATAGTTCCTCCTGTCTCGGAAGCGACAGTTGCTCACACCGCTCCCAGGCCTTGCAGATGTTCCAGGCATATAATGGATAGATGCTGAAACAGAGCGAGTGGAGGGATCGAGATCGGTCTCTTTGTGAGTTCTGGTGATGAAAAGAAACGATATGAAACAGCCATGCACATTGAAGCTGTGTTCTGCAGGGAGACTAATTACATGAAATGGCATGCGATCGTGATCGCCCATCTCAGATGTTTGTGCAAACAAGAAATAAATCTCTTGGCATATTGGATGCTCTTCGTGTGCATTATCAAGGATATGCTGTCCTATCTCCATACCCCAGATGCCGAGGAACTGGTCTAGGCGCACCTTCCCACGACTTTGTTCTTCGCGACTGGCCGGGGTCTGGCTCGGCAGCAGGTGCGTTATCGTCGTTGCTTATTTGGGCATCGTCTTACGACAAGCGCACTCAACAGCTCATCAAAACAGCCCTCAGCACAAAAGTCTGCGAGCAAAGGTGTGGCCAGGAGGTGTTGCAACCGCAAAACTCTTCCATTAATTTTCAGCGGCTCTCGTAGCGAAACTCTGGAACACGGGCGACGGAGCGCGCTTGTCTATAGTCGGTATAAGGCAAGCGCCATGGATAAGCAGCTTATCCCGCCTGCATTATGACATCTATCGCGAGTTCCTGCAGCATGCGCGATCGCGGGCAGTTGCGTGGCAGAGCCGCGCCGCCAAAACTTCTGTAGCGCGTTGTTTTTTTACTTTTCCTCTACACCACCTTCAGCGTTGAGCATCCTCTCCAGCTTTCACAAGCATACTGTAGCATACACCTAGTTTTCGTCCTATCTTCTTGTAGTTGGCTATCCGATTACCCCATTGTTTTGTCTACTGCTATACCCTGCAAAACCCACACCGACTCCGCCTATCGCGCCGTACAGCACACCTCACTCGCTCAGTGTTGACACCCCGCCCCCCACACTCTCCCATCTTACACACTCGCCATGGTTCTCATTGAGAATCAAGAGTACCTCTGCGAAGAGGAGAAACGCCTTAAGCAGGACCGCGAGCGTACTGCCTACTGGAAAAAATGGGGACCCTACACTGCTGAGAGGCAGTGGGCAACAGGTCAGTCATCAGCGTTCAGTATTGCTTTGCAGTATATGCTAACATCTGTGCAGTCCGCGAAGATTACTCGTGAGTACCCTTGCCACCATGGACACCGTATGCTGCTAACAGAGGTTCACAGCCATGATGGAGACGCATGGAGCCGTATGTTCCCTTGATCAATGCCATTGGCGCTCACTGACATATTTGCAGACTTCACGCACGATATGGCACGATCGCGTGCTTTCCGATGGGGCGAGGATGGCATTGCTGGTGTCTCAGATTCCCATGGTCTGCAGAACATTGCCTTTGCCTTCTGGAACGAGAAGGAGTACGTCTTGACATTTACCAAGCTGGAGTTGAGTTTGCTGACCATTTTCCTAGCGACTTCCTGAAGGAGCGACTATTTGGTCTCTCGAATCCACAGGGAAACCATGGCGAGTCGCTGAAGGAGTGCCATTTCCACTTGGACAACACACCAACTGCAAGTCAATTTCCTCCTCACTCATGATTTAGCTAACCATTTTCGCAGCATTCATACATGAAGTTTCTCTACAAGCTACCTCAGCGCCCGTTCCCTTACGAAGACCTCATCAAGACCAACGCGGAGCGTAGCAGGCTCGAGAACGAATACAACCTTGTTGACACTGGCATCTTCGATGACGACCGGTACTGGGACATTTTCATTGAGACGGCGAAGGAGGCAGACGATCCTGACGAGCTTCTGTTCCGAGTCACAGCATATAACCGTGGGCCGGACCCAGCACCTCTTCACATCGTACCTCACGTTTGGTTCAGAAACACTTGGGCATGGGGTCACGAGGATCCGAAGGACAAGCCATCTATCCGCCAGGTTGGCCCAACGACAGCGCAATCGAAACACCACAAGCTCGGAGAGCACTTTTTCCAGCTTTCGCCATCTCCGGGTACAGGCTCAAGTGGCGAAGACATTCAGCCAGAGCTTCTCTTCACAGACAACGATACCAACTACAAGGGCCTCTGGGATGTCCCGAACAAGACTCCGTATGTCAAAGACGGTATTCATCGCCGAATTGTGGACGAAGAACTGGATGCTGTCAATCCCAACCATGTTGGCACCAAGTGCGCAGCCTGGTACGCATTCGACGAAGATGAGGGTGTTCAGCCAGGCGAATGTGCTGTTGTTCGTTTCAGGTTTTCCAAGAGGAACGACGGCTACCTCGACGAAGAGCTCTTTGATGACATTGTTGAACAGCGCCGTGCCGAGGCGGACGAGTTCTACCACCGCATCAGCCCTCTTCCTATGGCAGACGATTTGCGAAACATTCAGCGTCAGGCGTTCTCAGGAATGTTGTGGTGTAAACAATACTACCACTTCATTTGGGACCAGTGGGCTAATGGCGACCCTGGAATGCCTCCTCCGCCCCCAAATCGCAAGGCAATTCGGAATAAAGAGTGGAAGCACATGTACCTGGACGATATCTTGTCCATGCCAGACTCTTGGGAATACCCCTTCTTCGCAGCATGGGACAGCGCGTTTCACTGCATTCCTCTGGCCATGATCGACCCAGATTTCGCGAAGAAGCAGCTCGACCTCTTCACTCGTGAGTGGTACATGCATCCCAATGGCCAACTACCAGCGTACGAATGGAACTTTGGCGATGTCAACCCTCCTGTCCATGCTTGGTCGCTTTTCAGAGTCTTCAAGATCGAGCGAAAGATGTACGGCCGCGAAGATTTCGACTGTCTTGAGCGAGTCTTTCAGAAGCTGTTGCTAAACTTCACCTGGTGGGTCAACCGCAAGGACGCTGACGGCAAGAACATCTTCGAGGGTGGTTTCCTTGGACTTGACAACATCGGCATCTTCAACCGATCTGATCCTCTGCCAACCGGAGGTGTTCTGGAACAAGCCGACAGTACTGGTTGGATGGGTTTCTATTGTCTGAACATGCTCAACATCTGTTTGGAGCTTGCGAAGCGTCGTCGTATCTACGAAGACATGGCCTCGAAGTTCTTTGAGCACTTCATCATGATCAGTGATGCTATGCAATACCGTACCGGTGGAGAGTCGAAGCCCCTTTGGAACGAGGAAGACGGCTTCTACTACGATGCCATCTCTTGGGGCGGCCCTCACAGCCATCAGATGCCTGTCCGATCCTTGGTTGGTCTCATCCCTCTCTACGCCACACTGACTTTGGAGCCCGAAGTCATCAACAGATTTCCGAACTTCAAGAAGCGAGTGGAATGGTTCATCAAAAACCGACCAGAAACTGCAGAACGCAATATTGCTTCGATGAAGAAGCGTGGCAAAGGCAACCGCCTGCTATTGTCACTTGTCAGCGAAGATCGTTTGAAGCGAATAATGCAACGGATGCTGGACGAGGACGAGTTTCTTGCGGACCACGGCATCCGATCTCTCTCTAGGTTTCACAAGGATAATCCATACTCTATGGACGTCAACGGCCAGAACTACCAAGTCACCTACCTCTCTGGTGACTCAGACAGTGGTCTTTTCGGCGGCAACAGCAACTGGCGTGGTCCCATCTGGTTGGCGGTCAACTTCCTTTTAATTGAGTCTTGCCAGCGCTTCCACTTGTACTACGGCAACGACTTGCAAGTGGAGTGTCCTACAGGATCGGGAGACTTTATGCATCTTGGCCATGTCGCCGAAGAGCTGCAGCATCGTCTTCAACATTTGTTTGCTCGCGGAGATGACGGTAGAAGAGCCATCAACGACGGCAACGAGATGCTAGACTTCGATCCAAACTGGAAGGACTACATGTGGTACCACGAATTCTTTGACGGTGACTCTGGACGCGGTTTGGGAGCGACTCATCAGTGCGGTTGGACTGGTCTCATCGCAAAGATGATTCATGACACAGGGTAAGCTCTACGATGATTTTGTGAGACTTGAGACTAACACGGAGTAGCATGACTTGTCGACTTCCGCAGACTCCTCGCACGCCAACAAGTGGTGCCGCCCACTACTTTGACGATATGTTCACCATAACGGGCAAGCCGAAGAAACCCGCTCATCTCCGTCGGTCGTCCACGAGTCGATCGATTGGCTTCCGAAGTGACTGGGAGACATCGACCAATGGCGATGAGGACGAAGAGACCACCCCTCATAGGCGCAAGAACTCGGTCGGCCATATGGACGAGGAGGCGATCAAGCAGAAGCAGTTGGTTGAAGAGCGATTCAACCACTACATCAGCGGCCAGCTCGAGCGGGTCAAGACGGGCTTCCAAGAAGTTGAGGCCGACGAGTTTGAGGCTACAATGGATGGTCCGTCAGAGAAAAAGCCATCCAGGGGTCGTCGCTCGAAGGCAGATTACTTCGAGCAGGATGAGTACTTCAGCAAGTAATCTGGATGCAATAGCGGTGATGTGATGGCAAGAGAGAAAGTTGACGGGGGTTTGGTGGCAAAAGTGTTCGAGGGGCAGAGCCCGAAGACATGCATCCTAGACGTTGAGTAGGCTTAGACAATCATGATATCCTCCTTTATTTCGATCTATTTTCGTGGCTACATGAACGTGTTAATGGAGGTATGGTGACGGTAAGAGCACTTTCCCGTGCATCCCTGCTAGTCAGTTGTTAGCTCTGACGTTGCGTTGCTGTTTATCGATGGCAGGCGCAAACACACGGTTTCCACGCGCAACAACCCAACGTCACCGCAACACAACATACAACAAACTTTACTTTTTCTCCCCTCGTCTTCCTTTTCTCTCGTTTCACCTCTCTCTGGCTCCTTTTGAAATCGCCGCACCTGGGCTGTTACCCGCGTCATCAAGCGTCGCAAAAAGGTAGGCCCCGCATTACATACACTATTCGTTTACCCAAGCTGACATTGGAATGTACAGTGGCTGTGCGGCGATACAATCGATCTTTTGTATAAACGGTTGCGATTGAGAGCACCATGTCGGGCTTTATTACCACAATGTTCGTCTCCGATTCTCTCAACTTGTTCCCCGCGATGCATGTCCACCCCCACTATCGCCCAGAGCCAGAGCTATATGGAGATACGAATGGGTGTGGATACAAATATTGGTTAGGAGCGGCGATATGGTGCGCGGCTGGTGGTTGGAGGGTTATACAAGAGCGAGGCGGTGGTGTGGGTATCGCGACTGGGAGGGGAAAATGCGCAAAACAAACATCATTTTGCGGGCTCAAGCTGACCTTCTACTTTCTTTAGAAACCCGCGCACGCGAGGACCGTTCAAGCCGCAGAAATCGAATCGAGGCACAAGCAGCTGGCAACTCAAACAATATGCAGAGGCCACCCTGGGTAGTGGGAGCTTGAGGAAGGCTGTCAAGTTACCTGAGGGCGAAGACAAGGACGAATGGCTGGCTGTCAATAGTGAGGATACTGACTCCCGCTGTGGAGGGTATGGCTGATACAAGATGACAGTCGTCGACTTTTACAACCAGATCAATCTGCTGTACGGCTCCATCACCGAGTTCTGCTCGCCGCAAAGCTGTCCAGAAATGAAGGCCACAGACGAGTAAGAACCCACAACCCTGTACACACCACCCCGATCTAACACGCCACAGATTCGAGTACCTCTGGCAAGACAGCGAGAACTTCAAGAAGCCCACCAAAATGCCCGCCCCGGAATACATCGAGCACCTCATGGCCTGGGTCCAGTCCAACGTGGACAACGAGCAAATGTTCCCCAGCCGCATCGGCGTGCCCTTCCCCAAAACCTTTGCATCCCTCATCCGCAACATGTTCAAGCGCCTCTACCGCGTCTACGCACATATCTACTGCCACCACTACCCCGTCATCATCGAGCTCGGCCTCGAACCACATCTCAACACGAGCTTCAAGCACTACGTTCTGTTCATCGATGAGCACGGGCTGGCGAATGGGAGTAAGGACTTTTGGGGCCCGCTGGGAGACCTTGTCGAGAGTATGCTGAGGAGCGATTAGATGGGTTTTCACATGGGTGTGACTGGACTTCCTTGGAGTTTTTGGCGGGTATTAGCATGGATTATATGGGTTTATGGCGTTTATCAAAGAGGCACGCGCGGGGTATCGCATGTTTGGGCTGGATGTGGTTGTTTAGAGGCTACTACTACTACTACTGCTTCTTTTTTTTACCTCTTGCAATGTATGGGGTGTAGGCATCGATGATGTGGGTTTTGTGTCTTCGCTTTCTCCTCCCGTGCGTAGGTGCTTGCTTTTTTGGCGCCGTTTGTTTATGCATATCATGCTGGTTTCGCACCATGAAGTGCTTTTGTCTGTTTTGTGAAACAGTCGTGTTTCTGGAAGGTAGGGCCGTGGTCTGATAGATGTTTGGTGGAAGTCATATTCGTTGACTTGAAGAGTAAGGATAGCAGGTAGCAGACTGACTTGATGTAAGTGCAGAAGAACAATCAGGCCATATCAGACATGTCAACGATTGGACGAGCTCAAGGCAAGACTTTGGCAGACTGTAGATATACGAGCAAACGAATCCAAATACGATACATACAACATGATATACATCTACAACCAAGTTGCTACTACGAAAGCGAAACCTTGCAACAGATTTGCGATACGTGCAGTATATGCAGAGCTGAGTGGATAAATACCGACCTACAGACAAAATTAACAACGACAACGACAACGACGTGATGTTTTTTTCGATGTCGACTGGAGTGCAGGTTTATGGGTACGTCAAAGGAGAGGAACCAAACTTCGGCGGTTGCCTGAGCATTCGAGCATGCGTACTCACAGTAAGACATTGAGCAGCCCAGTCGATAAGGAAGAGTTATTCGTCTCTGCTTCTCCGCTGTTATCATTGTTATCAATCCTCGGCCTATTCACGCTTGACACAAAATCAAAATCTACCTCCTTTACCCACAGTAACTACCAGTAAGAGTACACAGTAGTAGTAGCAGAGAAGCAGAGAAGCAGAGCTGATCAACAATAACCAGTCTCTTGACGACTGGCTGCGCCATGTACCGATGCGAGCACACGTGTTCGAGAGCCTAGATCGTTGGCGATGTTTGGTTCCTCCACTCTGGATCGTAATACTCTGGTATTACCACTGCGTGCTTTTATTCATAGTTACTGTGTACAAAGGGCTCGGGCTTCGGCTCCTATACCGCGGTTACAGTGTTGGGCCTATCACTTCCACAACGAGCATAGATACACTGGAATTACCTAAAACGATAGGTACATCCGAGGGGGATGATCATGGGGGTTCGACGCCTTGGGTGCTTTTCTTAGTGGATGTTTGACTGGGGGTGGCCGTTTCGTGGGGAACTGCTCGATGCGTGTGTGTGTCTGCGTGCGTTTGTGATAGGCGGGCGCATGTATGCGCGCTTCCAGCGCCTGCGGAGAGAGAGAGAGGGTTGGATAGCGTGTGCCTTAGGTCCGATAGAACGAGCTTTAGGTTTACAACAATAGTTCGGATCTACAGCGGTAGTTTATGCCTACTGTAGTGTGGTGTGGTGTGCTTTGGGTCGACTCACTGTGCCTCGAGTCTGCCTGCTGCACAAGGCGCCCAGAAAGATGTTATACTTTAGTTCTAACCGCTTTGCCAATCGGTTGATGCTCGCAGCTTCTGTATGGCTCAACAAGTAGTGAGTGGTTGTGTCGGACTCCTGATCGACGAGTTGTGTAGTGCTTTTATGTTGGTCTTATGCATGTATACGGCTCTGCGGTGCTGTGAGCTTCGTGCACATATATATGTACGGTATTAATGGCTATGGTTGGTGACACTGCTACTGTCTCCATATCTGGATCTTCCGGTTAAAACTGCTCTTTCGAAGCTAGACTGAGACTCGTATTAGTTGATGTTCCAGCGTATTTGGGCTTAATATAGAAACGTATAGTTGCAACACAGTATTGAGCAGATTTCTTTTCGTTGCGGTCTAGGTGCTTCAACTCAACCCCTTTACACGATCGGTAAGAATACGCAGTGGTCGTGATGGCGAAACAGAGCTGATCGCTCGTCCTTTGATGATTAGTTGCTAGAGGTACTAGACTGAGGCTTATTGATGGCTTGATCGACATCTGTATGCAGGTTTGCTGTTGTTCGTCAGTCGCATACTTGCTTCCTTAGCTATTATTGCAACCATTAGTCATCTTCACTGGCGACGAAACATTGACTAAAGTTTTAGTCTATCCTTTGTCAACCACAACTACAGCATACACACACACATACACAAGTGTGAACATCCGGCTTTGTCGGCCGAGAAACCCTCGACCACCCGCTTATTCTTCGCGTCACCGAATGTCTCGGGCCTCCCCGGCCGTCCGCTCCGTGGCAAGCCCTCCGTGGACCGCGTGGTGAGACATATGCACACCTTTGTTTGCCGCAGCAAGGCGATCCTACCCTATGCAAAACGATGCAGACTTGTGTGAGCATGCGCACACGCCCACACTCACATAGGACGCAGGAACTTTGCATCATGCAGGTGATGCCAAGAAGATGGAGTGCAGTGTGCATATGTATGTGAAAATGAGGTGCAGGGAATGTTGGCATGGGTTATGGTCGTGCAGCAACGTTGTATTTTGCGAAGCATCGTTTGATCGGTATGGTAGATCCGTCGTACAACATACGTATTTGACCCTGACTAGGGGTATAGCAGTGGCTTTTATTCCCTGAGGTTGAAAAGAGTCGAAAACACGTCTGCGCCTATATCTCCAACGCGCTAATGGAGAGTTTCTAGTCTTCGGTTGATGACGAGTCGATATGTTTCTTTGGTAAAGACGTCTTCCAAGGTTGATGTTGAGATAAGACTTAGCAAAAGAAGTGACCACTCTGAATGTCTGATGTGTACTGTTGCTCCTGCAGTCGTCGTTGGAGATGAGTACTGTCAGAATGAGAGATTAGCCAACTTTTGTGTTGCGCACACGAAATGTGTAACATTGATGAACACGGCACAACTCCATGGTCAACTGAACAAAGAACGGAGCGGAGCGGACCGGAACGCGAGTGACAGAGACACGAGGACAGCATGGAGATGCAGGATTATGGCGTCGATCGTCGCAGCCAGCATGTGCAAAGTCGGAGCCTGAATCGATGCGGAATCTAGAAAATTCTGTGCTGCTTGGCCGGACGAGCTTGTTATGACACCTAGGATATCCGACGGAAGTTCACATGCTAGCGAAATTTCTCCGTACGCTGCTGCAGAAAACGATGTCAATGTGGGCCGTGCAACGACCTTCCTCATAGGGTGGTAAAGCCTCGGCGGTCGTATTCAGATGTCGCTGTGAGACAACAACAGGGTCCAGAGCTGAGTATGACGATTTGTTCAACGAAGTCGACGAGGATTATGGGCCATGGATAGAAGTGGTGCGGAGATGGGTCGATGTGGGTATGGATGAGATCCCCGTTACGGAAATAATACTGGAAAGCTAACCATAGCTGGTGTAGCTTGATGGATGCAGAGGCCGTAATTACCATGTCATGGTCAGACTCCGCCATTGGTGGTAGTCGACAGTAGCTGCTTAATCCATTGGCAGGGTGTAAAAACCCGAGTACGAGCAAGTTCTTCTGTAATCGAAAATCTGGCGTTCACTCGGTATGGGGATTGGCCACTTGGCGCACGTTTTCTCTGCAGCCCCGGGATGAGTATCGCATTGTATCTAGTGAGATCTTCCATAACGATCCTTCAGCATCTAAAACACCGCTCACGAGACCAAGAAAGAGATAATTCTGAACTTCGATAAAAGATGGATGACACGGACCGCTTAGAAAACCTCATCATGGAAATTTCACCGATCAAAGCTCGGTTGCCGAGCTTTCCGTACCGATCTCGAGATGATGATGATCCATGATTCGAGTTCATGATCAACGTTCTCATCACCGCTCCCCGACGGCCTCCTTACTATAATAGGATTTAGAGCCCTTTCCGAGGCAATGTTGACGGGCCTTCTTTCCGGCTGTATGGTAGCGAACAATAGAGTTAGTAGCGGAGCATGTGCATGGGCCCGGAAGCCGTATGAATCAACGGTTTCATTAGTGGATATAGCAGTGGATGAGGATGCCTGATCAAGCGCAGTATGTCATCTGTCATGAAAAGTCATGGCGGAGCTGTAGAGTTTGGGGGGGTCAAAACCATCGCCCTTGAATCTTGAGAAAACACTGGAAACCTTTAGTGCACTCAGCTGGTAACCACTAAGGTGGACTGGGATGCGAGCATCGGTTACACATAGTCAAACGTCAGGTAAACCTAAATTCTACTGGCAAAAGGCGTTGAAATTGCAGGGCCCGCCGTTGGGCGCCCCTACCTTAGCCGAACGCTGGAGACGGACGGTCTCCACCCGCGAACTAGTAAATGCGCGTTTACGATATCGAAGAAATCATGGCACTTGCACCCCAGTCTTGCGAGACTCCATCTCATGTCCGGGCTTCCGACGTGTCATTCGATACGATTCTTGTTTGCTGACAGCCGGTCCGGGAAAGGACACTCGTGTTGCGTTTAGACAATCATGACCAATCATCGCACTACGATGAATGAGGATATTTGCCCGGCCGAACGTCATGACAGCCTGGATTCAGAAACACATACTTATGTAAGCAGAGTCAAACGTTGAAACTGATTACCGATGCCCATGCAAACAGGCCAGAAGGGTCGGAAATGGCGTAATATGAATGCTTCGGTATTGTTGGACGCCTCCCCACCAGGGATGCGAACTACGCCTCGCCGGCTGTGGTACCTGAAAGTCGCTTGGGAACTCACTTGGCGAATCGATCGAATGTGGAGACTTTAGCGATGCGCAAGGTCTCCAAGCTCGGCATGAAACAATGCAGGTGCCGTGCCAACTGGGTGTGCGTTTGTGGAGAAGCCACGTTTGTGATATGAGCGGTATTGTGGAGACGCTGTAATCGACGAACGGACGTGCCTGTGGAGACTCAAGAATAATCTTGCAGGTGGCTATCGAAATGAGTTCCTGAAGTTATCTGGCATGGTACTAATCTCTAAGTAAAGTAAACATGGCTAAGAAATGCCTGCCTGCCGAAACGCGAGCTCAAGTGAAATGTAGCTATACTATTGATACAGGAAGATGAAATGAAATGACCTGGTAACACCATGAACAACCTGTGAACAACGCCTAAAACCCCGCTCAAAGAGGCGAGTGACGCTAGAATTATCGCCAGTAAGATATGCGAAGGTGGAAAAAATGCGTGCGATGCAACATATGTAGCATCGAGCCTTCAAATCAAGTCCAGAGTCTTTTTAGTGTCCATGACTCCGTCCTCATTCCCTTGCGCCTGAACTCCGATGGAACGCCACTCTCAATCGTTTCAGTACTTTGTAGAAACTCGATCGAAGATGAGATAGAAGCCGTAATCGACGTGAAATTACCAAATTATGCCAATGATAGTTGTGATATGCCGATCTGTATCCAAGAACGAATCCATAGAGCTCGAGGTTCGTTAGGCGCCGGAATAATACTGCTGCATACCATGCTGATTATATGCCATAGAAGGCACACCCTCCTCTTGCACTCTTCCTAATTGCCCAGGCTCTCCGTACCACTGTGCACTCATTGAGCGACCAGGCAACTGCATTGGTGGGCCCTGGTTTTGTATCCCTTCGTATGAGTTCCAGGCCGGCGGATAAAACTGGGTGTTGGGTATGACTGGTGCAGAAAGAGGAGCGGATGTCGACCCCGCTAAAGTGGACGCGTTTATGATGGATGTATTCGTGTCTATGCTGACAGCATAGGGATACGGAGAGTTTCGACGGGTATAATCGTGTTGAAGGATACCAAGTCCTTGTCCGGGGTACTGTTGCGGTATGCCCTCGATGTTGCCATATGACATCGACCGCGCAGGCGGTTGGAACGGAGGTTGTTGACCCCAGGCGTGGTTGTCTTGGTGACCAAACGACATTGTGGAACTCGTACTCATTGCGGCTGGAGTGTGTCCGCCGGAGACATTTGATTCACTGCCATATGCCGAATTTGCTGTCGACGGGGATTGTCGCCAGTGGCTCGTGCTTGATGATGGACTTTCAGCAATAGCAGATGACGGCAAAAAGCTTGTTGTTGGAGGCCATTGAGTTTCTATGGGATGAGGGTAAGGAAAAGCTGCTTGTGGTACATGGACTGTGAATGTTAGCACGGACATTACACCAGTATGATTGATTTACTCTTACTTCGACTCTGCAGGGGAGCCTGGTGAATATCAGCTTCGGATTCGCTCTGGAATCCATAACCCAAATTGTGAGCCATGGTTTGGGTTCCAGAGAACGGGGTACGAAACTCCCCAACAGCTTCACCAGAGATCGATTGCAGAAGGCGTGGTGAGGATGTTGCTGGTGTCACTGGCGGGCCAGTACTTGTATCTCGTATAGTAGTTGTTTGCGGGAGTTGGACCTCTCCATTATGTTCGACAGGATAAAAATTGCAATCTTTTTTCAAGCGTATACAGTTGGCACAGCGGCCTTGAGTGTCGTCTGGAGCAAGAAGGCATCGTATTTTTCTCCGTCGACAATGTCCTGCAAAGTCCCATGTTAGCGAATAAGCCCATACGAACAGCGAAATCGTTTTTTCATACCACAGGCGACCGAACTCCGGTGGTATCCCAGTTTGTTCCGCGCTTTGTTGCTTGTCGGTGACAATTCACCTGAAGTCCCAACTGCGAGATTACGCATGTGTGGTGTTGAAGAGGACCGACGAAGTTCTCCAGGAACCTTGCTCTTAGAAGAACGCCTCTTTTTGCTTGAGTGTTGCTGTGTTTGAGAAACGGAGTCTTTGTCCAGCAGGGAGGATTTGAATTCGAGGCGATCTGAAGGGCTTCGTGTACGTGTAGAGTCTCCAGCAGAGCCGTGAACAACGGCTATTTGGCTCGTATGGTTGAAAGACATTGCGCTCTTGATAGGCTGCAGGAGGAATGCTTTATCTAACCTGGAAGCTGTCTTCTTCGCACGGCGCTCGGTCTCGACGGCCATGTGTGGCGCAATGTAGTCGCAATATCCGAATATCAAGACACGAAACTAAGCAGCGCATGAAGATGTCCTGAGAGCTATTAGCACCGAATGTTTAGAGTTTGGGAAATGTCCGCCACGTATATGCGAGCTTAAGCGATATACGTACCCAGGATGACAGGCAAATTGATTTCTCAAACGTTGGAACCCGCACTAGGCGGGAGCAGCTGGCGGGGACGGTTACGGGCGATCAACCATGCCTTGGGATGTCAGGGCTATCAATGCGGGCGGGTATCCGATGGCTAGGGCCATAGGACCGTAATTGTCCGAGTCCAGTGAATTGAGAACCTACAAAAAATAAAGATGGTGAAGCACAGGTGCACTGCAGCGACAATCTATGTGAGCTACCTTTGTGATTGTGTCATCCAATCGTAGTTAGTGGGGGCGTAGCCGCAAATCAGTAGAATGACAGGCGCCAAAAGCAAAGCCTGCACAATACGCAAAGAAGCAGAGACCGAATATAGAAATTTTGGGACGCGTTGTTTGGCTGCACTGAGTAGATGAATAAAGGGTGGCGAAGACACTACACGCTACTACCACGATGGGCCAGTTGCGTTGGATTGCCTAATTCACCAAAAGATCCAAAGACCTTTTGGTGGCTTGGGCTCGAGCAGACGATCTTGGGCCAGTGTAGAAGGAGGGTCAATGCCTGCACTGCGCCCCGACCAACTGATGTGCGGGATGGATGAAGTTCAAGCACACACAGGCCAGTGCGGTCTGTGCTGACTTAGTTACTCCGTGGCTTTGTGAATTTTGGCTTGTCACCAGCACGACGTCGGTAGCCGCCGTTGCGTCAGAAGTCATCGAGATTCGCAGTGCCGAGATCATGTGGGCTCGCAAGTTGCAAAGGACTGTACACCACCTTCATGATGATAAGTTGAGCATGTTCAGAAGGCGTTTCTGCAACTCGACAGAGTAAGGGGCCCAGCGAAAGACACACTGCAGGTGCCGAGGTGAATCTACTGGCTCTGTGCGTGCGAACGACGACTAGGGAGTCTGGTTGCGCCAGGGGTCCTCCAACGGATCTGACATGATGAGGACGGCGATGAAGACCTTCGTGGAGACAGGCCCGAGATGCCTGTGCAAAAGCTGACACGATAGAGTCCTGGTGGGGAACGTGACATTGTCTGGCGCACATAGTCCCCTTTGCGTCAGCACTCCTTCACGAACGCTGGAACAGAGTCATCGTAGGGGCAGACTACCATGACCTGAATTGTTGGCGCCGCCATGTGTAGCAAGTACTGTAGCAGCTGTAGCAGTCTCTTGGGCCTTTGCCCCCGGTTCATTTCGCTAACAGGGGCCCTGCAAAAGCTCGATTCATTTCCACATGTGTCATCGTGATCGAGAACATCCAGCATCGCTTCTCTCGTCAAACTTGTGGTCCTTGTTGTACGGCGGACATCAAGCGGAATGTCACTGGTCAGCAACGGGGGCTGGTGTGGTCGACTATGCGGTTGGCAGGAGATGTAATCCCAACACGCTGGCTGTGGAGACCATGCATGACGCACGACGTACGGCATTGTCCCCATCAGCACGGGCAAGGGCAAGCGCACGTGGTCCGTGAGCCCTATCTGATACAATTGATATCCGGGCCTACTGCCTCTACGCTTGTGTCGAATGGGAGCTCGACGAGACGATAACTCCCCAGATGAAGAAGTTCCCCGACGGCACGTCACGCACCCCCACTGGGGTCTGCACGTTATACTTCAAGTGTGGTGGCCTTACAGGACTGCGACCGTGCGCTCGCTTTTTCTTTTTCGATGCATCGTTCGTCGACATTACACACAGAGAATGCTCAGACTACCCCACGTTCTTCAACATCGTCGTCCTCTGCCCTCGAAGCATCCATTGGTGCATCCAATATTGTAAACCAGGAACCGCGCCCCCACTGCAACGCAACTTGGCCTTGCTCACACAAATTCGGCGTAACATGGGCGGATCGTCGGATCGTTATATCCGCATTCCAGAAGTGATGCTCCAGTGATGAACCTTACCCCGGCCAGAGATTACTTTCTGAACAAAGAGCAAGGGCTTCAGTTGGCCGGGCGAGCAGCATGAATCTCTCACGTTCGCAGGGTGTCATGAATGGTGGGTCACTCCACCGCTCACTTGCTCTAATCTCACTACTCCTCCACTTCCCGATAGAAGTCCATGCCGCGCTTTGCCGACGGCGGGCCGCCAAACGCCATCACTTTTGTCTCCCGAGCCTGTATAGGCGTAGGAATGAACGTGTCCGTCATCTGAGACACCTTCAGCATGATCGAATGACACCCCTCGGAACGAGTCAACGCTGAAAGGAAGGGCTCGGTCACTTTCCAGGTATACCATCATCTTTTCCGAGATTCACCAATAGTTTTGCAGGACACCGGTGATCCCGTTGGTAAGACGACCGAACACGCGTCTTATATTGTACAGTTCCTGGTTCCACAGCATCACGCCTCTCTATATACCTATATCACACGACGGCAGACCTTCCAGCCATATATGCACTCTATATGCGACACGGACACACACAAAAAACACGTTACGTCGCGTAACAATAGTATATAAGCAACAGCATATGAATTAGTGAGGTTACTTTTTTGTTGCGCTTCCTCATCTACCTACGTTCGGTAGAAGTACTATTATCTCGACAAAGTTAGGCATGTTGATGCTCAACATGAATTGCTCGGTCTCGTTTGAAACACTACTTAGATCGACCGAAATTCCTGCTTCGGCGTCCTCGGATATTGGATAATTTCTCGATTTCTTGATAACTGTAAGATTATTACGCCATTGCCATTGCTGCGAACGCGTACGGGGCGAAAGATCGGTAAGACATACCATTCGGCTTTGCATATCCACTCTCCATCAACTCAAGCCGCGCGTCTGTCCACCCCCATTCTACCCCACAGAAATTTCTGACGTATCTACTGAAGTACCACATTAGCTTGCCAAGATAATCTTACGAATCACACACTTGCATCGACGGACTCATCCAAGTTACTGGATCCCCATGCCCAAGCAGGTGGTAGGTGAGGCCAGATACCTATAACCAATCATTTCTACGAATATTTTACAACATCCTGCGTGTGATCCACCAGGTATTTACTTTGCAGTAGCTTCGGGGATTCGGCTTCTCTTAAGAATTTCAATCGCTCCGTACTCGATACGCTCATCCTGGCATGGAAAAGGCTTCACTACGGTAGCAAGCTCGGATATTCTCACTATGCGACTGAGCCATACCAAAATACGTTGCCGATATCGATAGTCAGGAACCGGTACTCGAGCCCAGCAACCAGGTCATTAATGCAAGCCTGTATTATGGTTCTTCCAAGATCGCGTACCACACCCTACATCGCGCGACAAATACGCCTCATTCTCATTCGTGATCATCCTGAGTGCATCGGCAGCTTTGCTGATCCTGCTGCTTCCAGGTATATCTCCGGTTTCCAAGAAGCCTATTCTACACCACACTTTTCTTCAACGGTATTGTCGCAATCTAACTGAGCCTTTACTGAGCATGAAACCTCGTCCGTTCGGAGTTGCGTCCGCCGCCCTGTTCTTAGGCGATACGATTCATTGCACGACACGAAGTCCAAAGCCACAGCCGCGTACGTCGAGTCGGCACAATCGTTCCTTGGTCCAATGAATATAGCTCTGGGATATTCCGTCAGAATCAATTGGTATATTGCATGTTTCGAATATGTGCAATCTGATCGTCCAATTCAAACTCCCGACACTAAACATATCGCTCGGAAACAGGGTTGCGCCGCTACTTCTCGACACCGGGAACCGGCGTAAAATGTGTATCGCTTCTTGGGATACCATACCGACCCAACGTCTGCCTTTAGACTCCGCGGAGGCCTATCTGCGAAGTGTCACGTGCTTAGCCGTGAGGAATCTGCGAACGCTTTCCGTTTATGGCTATTATGGAATTTCCTAGCTTTGTCCTGCGAGCTCACAATTGGCTGACAGATGGAAAGAAGTTCTGCATATTGAGGCTTGAACTCTCCAATTTGCGACCTGATTCGGTTAAGAAATACCAAGCAGATCGATCGTCCAAAACTTCATATAGTTTGTCAATATTAATCTAGTGGCACTCTGTGATCTCCATTCTACCGTAGCAGATGCGCGCGATCTCCACAAGTATTCGATTCGGCTAACTTTGTCTCGCAGCCTTGTCTAACAATTACTCCTGGTTCATTCCCCTATGATCATGAGCCATAATCGCTCGTGGACACACGCAAAACTTGGCAAGCCCGACGCATTGTATTATTCCGTCAATCAATGATGCAGAATCTCCACCAGGCAATGGGTATACCTGAAGACGCGTCTTTAAAATCGACAATCTTGATGAGGTGGCTAAAGATCGACGTCATGAGTACCATGATTTCAAGGCTTATAGCGCCTCTGGCGTCAAGCCTTGAACACACTAAAATTGCTCGGTAACTTTCGGAACGGACCAGAGGCTCATCCGCGCAAGTAATAAAATATCTCATACAACAATGCCCGCAAGCGAGCGGAGAGGAGATGATTGTCAGGATTCCACACATACAGCGGTTCACATATTTCACATCATGTCAGCCCGAAGATGTTGATACCTGTACTATCTCTCCGAAATCCCAGGACAAACGCCGTAACCTCGATGCCATGTTATCTATCTTCGTTGAATTATGACGATGGTATATCCCGGTTAGGCAGAATTTGCTACTGCTAATGCGCTGCCTTTACTGGATTTATATGTGTTTCAATCGTTTGTACAGCGATACGTCCTTGCCTCACCTCAGTGAAACCTGTTCCGAACATGGATTAATCAATTTGAGGAAGCATACTAATCTTTCAGGCTGGAGAGCATTGCAGAGGAAGATCCTGGATCAGATCATGGCATGCAAGTTCGATTTGGCCAAGTCCTTCCCGAACATTGTTTTAATCTTTCCCTTTGTCCATCTGAAGCTGTTATCTAACCCAGGCCTGTACATCTCTGTTACTGAGGGGGTGAACCCAAGAAAAAGACTTCTTTCGAACTGCTGATCACTTGCAAACTATATACTTCTCAAAAAGAGGGGGGAATATATCACTTCCCATTGCCCCGCTACAGAGTGTACGCTAAAGAACTTTTGATGATTGAAGCAACTGCAAAGATATAAAGTGCACAGTTCGACTGCGTGTTCGGTTCCTTTCGTATCTAGTGATTGAAGGAAAGATCGCGGACTTCTTCCCTAGCCGAACTTTAAAATCAAAACCATCGTCAATACCAATAAACCTCTTACTCAGATCGAACATTCCCTGTTTCTTTCGAACATGTTCTACGGCTTCGACCGAAATTAAGTTCATCGCTCTGATTTCCGATGAACTCAATTCAGACCTCATCTCACATCTTAGCAAGAAAAGAGGAGAGTATAGCAGCACAATCGAACAGCTCAAGCCCGAGAACGCATCTCGAAGCATAGAATAACCCAGATATTAAGTTTAGACCGGTATTTCGAGGACTTCACACGCCGTGCTGTAGAACCGTTCCTTCGAATTCAACAACCAGCAAGAGATGTATACTCGAGGTGGCGTATTGTGCCAGCAAAAGTAAAAATATTATATCACGTAGGTTACATGTAAGAAGCCGAATTTCAACCACCAACGTAGTGAAGACATCACCGTATACTCAAACATCTGCCAGCATAGGGACCTAAGTCTAGTAGCGCATCGTGTAAGTCGGACAGTTTTCAACGCCTTCAATATCTGCCCGTCGGGCAGTGTATCAATCAGCACTACACTAACATGTCCTTTTCGACGAGGATGTTGCCGTAAAAATATATGTACATAGCCTGTTTGTCTCTCTTTTCTCTTTCAACGAATCCCCACCACAGTAACCACTAGATAGTCAGGAAAGGAACAAACAACACTTCCCCCCTACCGGACACACACATGTACAGCTCCACGTCCACTCTCGAGCAGTGGGAAGAAATCTCGGAATCGACATACATAGCGGAGCTTCTCAACAATTCTGGTGTTCGGGCATTATATCCTTGGACCGGCGCTTTTTAGGTATTTCCCGACCGGAGAGTTAAAGCTGTGTTTCACTGTCTGCATTACCAGCATAGCACGGCCTGTTCCCAGTAAAACCTAGATGTAGCTACTGGGATGCAGAGATTCGACTGGGGCAGTTTACGTCAATGAGTAAGTAGCGAAAAACAGAATTGACACTCGGAACAGCATGATTCCTTTCGTGGTTGGAAATAAAGAAGATGTAGTTGCGTTGTATAGAACCAAACAAAGTAAGCCAAAGGACGACATGTTCTTGTATCTACATATCCATCTAGGGAAGAAACAAAAGTTCCAACTAGTACCATACGGTATCATGGCTTTCCAGAATCGCCCCAGCGTGAACAAATGACACACAGATTTTGCACATGGTAAAGTGGGCGATTTCTGTCTTTACAGTTTGGATCTCGAGTCCACTATTCTTAGTCCTCATTGCGTAGTATGCTATATTCTCCACTTGATACAATGCATCGTAACGCAGTACTTTAAACACCGAAACAGAAAACATGAACCCATTCAACCGTTACTAACCAATATACATTTCCCACCCCCCTCTCCCTATACAGTCTCGCCGCATTGCTCATCAAGGGCGGTTGTATGCCCAACCCCCTGATGGAAGTAGCTTTGCTTTTGATTTTAGCTGTCAGTAAAACGGAGAAGTTGTATTGTGTCACGTACAGCCAGCAACGAGTTGAATCATTCGTTTCTAATAGGAAGGTTTTGGATGAAAGATAGCCGGGAAGAAGGACATGAAGGCGCAGTTACACGTCGAATGATTGGTAAGCGGTAAGGACAAATTAATTTTAACAGCAAGCTGCATATTTGTGAGAGTCTGACAGATGTCTGAGAGGGAATGTATACTTATACTGTTGATATTGTCTGGGTGTTGATATCCATCCAGAACGTGATGTAGTTAATACTGTTGTTCGTCGTGCTTCGGCTTTCCTTTTTTGCTAGAAGGAGAATCGAGAGGGTAGATCTGAGTGACGGACGTCTGGTGTACATATACATACACATACACATCAACGGAATTCGACTTCCATCGACACTCCTTACCAGACGCAGTACACGCCCAGCTCTGGGCACAGGTTTTTAGTCCACTTCCCTACGACATGCCTTTCGAGGGCAGTGTTTCTCGTGAGAAGGAAAGCGACGCGCAACAGAAAGAAAAGGCGAAGGTAGTCACTTATAAACGCGTCTGATCGTCAAACAGTGGATCGATCACATTGAGCAACGCCTCAAAGTCTTACATTCCTCAACATCTCTTCCTCTCTCCTCTCCTATCGTTATACCAAACGACACAAGGAGATGAAAATCTTTAACTACAATGACGAGACCAGCACCGTGCGTAGAGAATATCCTGGGTATATGCACCTCCATCCACCTAGACCAGCCGACCTAATCGAACCATGCCAACCAAACGCCGTATAATTCCGTGTCCAAAAAATGCCGCGCTCGCTTTTGCGTCAGCCCCCTATGAAGCTTACGGAAGAAGAAGAAGGAGAACACAAGAAGATCTGGAGAAGAACAAAGAAGAAGAAGAAAAAAACAAACACGAATCCCAAGATAGAAACACTTCGTACACGAACAACCCCTCCCTCCGCTCACTACTCACTAAAAGACGGCGGCCCTTCTTTGAGAAAAATTCTCTTCGTGCCTCCGACTTTGCCCAAATCCACAAATTCGGCCCGTTTCGGACCCGCACGACTACCAGGGCGACTTTCGTTCCGGCTGTCAGCTCTATCCTCGCGCTGCAGTGGCGTGTGAGATGCAGCGACGAGACTGCTAGTGCTCGCGCTACGCGGCTGCTTTGCCAGCTTCATCATGCCCTCGATCCACTCCAATTTGTCTCCACTGAGGTCCATTTTCTTCGCTTTGGGGCCCGCGAGTCCAACTTCCTTGCCCTGCCAGTAGCGCTGAGAGGGGCTCGGCGAAGAGCCAGGCAGTTCCTCAGGAACACCCGGCGTGGTTGAGAAGCTGGAGAAACTTGGCATCCTGGGCATCGGCGGTGGTGGATCTTCTCTTGCGAAACCTATACCTGAAGATTGGACGGGCGTCGTGTGTGGGCTGACAGTCTGTGCACGACCGCCGTTGAATGGCCTTTCTCGCTTGCTCATTGCGCTTTCAGTCCTGACAGGTGAGCTACCGGGATTCTTGACTTCCATGCCATGGATCTCGAATCTGCTCTCGCTGACTGTTCGACGGCCGTGGTGCTCGGCGTACTGACGCAGGTACTCGCCCAGGTCTGCCCAACCACCGCCAACTCGGACCATGACGCGCTCGCCGTTCTCTCCAACACGGCGAATGAATAGCTTAGCGGGTTGCTCCTTACCAGGCTGCGTCAGGTGATACAACTTGATATCGTTATCTCCTCTTGCTGCTGCAGACTTCCTGCCTGAATTCGCGCTAGCTGAGTCGGTATCATGTTTTGCAGGCGATAGGGTAAGCTCGGGGAACTTGACACCACTTGCGGAGCGACCAGCACGAAGATACCCCTTACTAGTTTTGTGCGTGATACGACGTGCGGATTTGACCTCGGGAGCGTCTGCACCTGGACCTGAGGTGAGACGAATATGGGCAGGAATAGTCGTCAGGATGTCAGATATCTTTCGTTCAAGATCTTCATTGCTGTTCGATAGTTTCTGGCTGAACTGTGACGGTGGCCATGGAGCGCTCACGATATCATGATCCGCTGTGGTTTTAAGGGGACGCCGTTTTGACATTACAGCGTTTAGCTCCGGACGAGGCGCCCTGACGTGGCGGTTGGTAGCGTTGCGTACTGATGGTGACTCCTCAACGACGCTGGGGGAACTAGAGTCCAAAGAGGGCTCAGATGATAGAGAACCAACGCTGCCCCTCCTCGAGCGTGGCGTATGCGGTTGTTTTGCGGCGGGGGTATCGTGTTCGATAGTCGACATGATGACTGGAGAATCAAGTAGAATTCCTGACCTAGGTTGGACTGTGTCAAAGTCTTGTAGCTCCTCTTCCACCACGTGTTGAGTAGTCGAGGAATCGTCAGATGCAGGAAGAATGCTGGTAGATTCTTCTGAGCGCTCATCTACCTCCTTGTGGACTATTGTGTCACCCTCGTCGAACTCGTCATCTTCGTCGTAAGAAGACAGTCCTCCTTCCGAGTAAGTCTCGTGTTGTGCAACATCGAAGTTCGAGTTGGAAGCGTCACTACGATCAACTGCAGTATTCACGAAGTTCCTATCAATTGTTACGTCGGGAGTGTGAACGGAGATTGTGGGCAGATTTGCGTCCGTTTGTGTTCGTGGCAGAGGATTGGTGGTGCGTGCATCGAGGTCGTTTGTGTCGTGAAGGGCGAGAGTCGTTTGTTTTGGATTCACGGTATTTGGCTCCAGATTCCTGGACATGCTCTCAAGCTGAGCTCTGGTCTTTCTGGGACCGCCTTTCCTGCGAACATCAAAATCGATAATTCTGCTGGCCGAGTCATGCGCCCAGCGTCCGTAATCGCCCTCTACGCCCTCGAAGACGTCTACCCAGTCGTCAGGCAGACAGTCTTCACGCCCTTCGAGTGTGTCGAGCATTCTGTCCAGACGTCTTCCGAGGTCGCTAACCTTGCCCCGAAGGACGCGGTTGATGGTGTCTATGGCGTCCTTCCACCTGTCGAAAGTGTCGTCAGAGTCGTCTCGGGGCGGTTCAATGGCGTCCCATCCCAGCTGCATCGCCTTCTGCGCTGTGCTAAGGTCGTCTTTAAATCGAGGGGCTTCGCGGAGGATGGAGACACGTGATGTCCATGTAAGCAGTCGCTCTTTGAGGCGGGCATGATTGGGCAAGGCGGAGAGGAGGGTCTGGGTGATGAGGAAGGAAAAATCGTCCATGGGCTTGTAGTCGCGGCCGGCGCCGAAGCCAGCAGAGGACGGTCTGCCTGAGGGGAACATGTCCAGCACGTGCTCCTTCAGCTCGTCGACGTCCAGCTTCAGCATCTCCTCCTGTATATCGTCCAGGCGGGCCTCGTGCGACTGCACGTCGCCCAGCAACAGCGAGCCCAGGTATTCCAGTGGCTGCACGGTCGTCGCGGTGACGTCAGCATCAGAGACATGCTCTCTGATGCGCGCCTCGAGGCTTGTTCTCCGCTGCTTCCGGAACTCGTCGGAGGGCTGCTCGAAGCTGCCTGACCAGCCCCATTGTTCAATTTCGGCGCACCAGCTCTTCAGGCGCTGTGCAGCCTTGGCCACGCGTGTGCCAAGATCGCGCTCGGCGGCCGTGAGGTTTTCGACGCAGGCGAAGAACTTGTATTCGTCGCGCGTAGTATCGAAGGGCATGGGCACCTGGGTGAAGGCGCGTAGGGTCGTGTTGGGTGACAGGTCGCGGAGGTGGCTCTCGTCAGAGCTGTTGAGTGTCCGTCCCCGTCGGCCGCCTGGCGACATGCTGGGCGAAGGGACACGGCGAGGCGTCAGGGGAGGTGCCAGTCGAATAGGTGACGAAAACATGGTGAGGTTGGGGGCGTTGCGCGGGAAGGAGCGACGGCGCAAACATGTGTGAGGGAAGGCACGAGTGAGGCCGCGACGTCTCGGATGGACACTCGGTGTGCATCGGCGTGTGTTTGCTGGGTTTGCTGGCGAGAACAGTCGTGGCCGTTTGTGGGCCTATATGCGATGGACCGCTGTCTTTGTTTGACAGCTCATTGTCAATGTTGATGCAACAACTTTCTTTCGTTGCTTGTTCGTCTTGCGTGCATATACGATCGCCGCCACTAACCCAGCCGGAGATCTAGCGCCACGCCCGATTGTCTGCTCAGCCTCCTCGAGATCCTATTGGCAACAATCTCCACGGCCTGTATATCGGCGTCTCCACCACGGGTACCATCTGCTATATGCCTGTCCGGATACCATTATCGTCAGAAATTGGAATGTAACGGCGCCTCAGTTCTTATCGTTAGTAACCATCTCCGCACGTGGTAACTCCTTCCGCCGATCACCTCCCCGCACTTCTCACCTCGACTTCTCACAATGAGACTATGCTGTGTGGTACAACGCGACATTATGGAGCTGGACGCCTTCATACCAACCTGACTTTGAAGTCTATTCCCCGACCACTATCAATGCCCTAAGTTGGCATAGAATATCTCCCAAAACTCCTTCGAGAATGACATGTCGTATCAGAGCGGTCATCTTCTCCAGGTACCCCGCTGCTGATTATCGTCATCTTATATCGCCAAGTATATTGCAGGATTCGCTTCGACTCCGTGACCAGCCGACCTTCCCATTCCAGTAAAGAGCTCTAGTGTTTATCTACATAGTGACACGCTGCTGCATGAAGCTTTGATCCTCCGCGAGCTTACGGCAGGAAAGAGCAGCATGTTTGCATTGATAGATGAACTGATCGGCCGATATACTTCTACGTAGTAGAGCAATCCAAGGTTCGTATCTCTACTTAAGGGTGGCCTACTCTTTCTTCTACGTCGTTCAATTGCGATCTGGTGAAAAGACTTGGCATTTGCGAACAACACAATGAGAGCATCGTTATTATTACTCGCCGCAATTGGCATTGAAGCTTGCCAGCGTGAGCGCCAATTGGGAGACAACTTTCACACCCTCCTCAAAAGGCAGAGCAGCAATGAGACGTTTCCACCTGTTCTAGATTCCAATGAACAAATTCTCATGAGTTCGTTTGACAACACGTCAATCGCAACATGGTCATACTACTACAGTAAGTCAAGTCCGCCTTCCAAGGATAGAGTACTGGGTGATTGTGATTAACAATGCCAGCCCACGGAGACCACATTGCTGGTCGCAATCGGACGATGGCGCAATGGACGGCTGACCGCTGGTCTGAGTATGGATTCGAAAGCAGACTGGATGAATACTGTAAGTTTTTCTGTCCCACGCACTATTTTTTCAACGGTAGGAACCATGCTGAACACAGCACAGATGTGTTTCTCAACTATCCCGTCTCCAACTCACTAGTTCTGACCTATCCGAATGGCACCACCTTTACACCTTCTCTCGAGGAAGACGTGCTAGAGGAAGATTCAACGACTAGCTACCCCAATCGTATCCCCGCCTTCCATGGCTACTCTTTCACTGGCAACGCATCTGCAGAATATGTGTATGTGGGAAGAGGCCAGCAAGTCGATTATCAGCGCTTAGTCGCTCTTGGTGTCGAACTTGAAGGGAAGATCGCACTCGCCAAATACGGTGGTCCGTTTAGAGGACTTAAGATAAAGAATGCCCAACAGCACGGCATGATTGGCACTGTCATCTTCAGCGATCCCGGCGATGATGGCAACATGACTGAGGTGAAGGGAGTTGCTCCCTATCCTGAAGGTGGCGCTAGAAACCCGACGACAATCCAGCGAGGTAGTGTGCAATTCCTTAGTACCTACCCTGGCGATCCGACGACTCCTGGCTATGCTTCCAAACCAGACTCACCAAGGGCGGATCGCAGCAAGACTCTCCCCCAGATTCCATCTCTTCCCATCTCCTGGCTCGGAGCACAACCAATTTTGCAAGCCTTGAACGGATACGGGAGCAGTGCTGCTGAAATTAACAGGACTGGATGGGTAGGCGCCATACCAGGTGTCAACTATTCTTCCGGAGCTGGTTCAGGCGCCCGCCTTTCCCTGTCCAATGTTATGAATGACACATATACTACGATCTGGAACTCGATTGGTATCATCAATGGCACGAACCAAGACGAAGTTGTTCTTGTGGGCAACCACCGAGATGCGTGGATCATCGGAGGTGCTGCAGACCCTAACTCTGGATCTGCCGTACTCATGGAGTTGGCCAAGGCATTTAGCAAGCTCGGAGAGACCGGCTGGAAGCCAACTCGAACAATTGTCCTATGCAGCTGGGATGCCGAAGAGTACGGACTCGTTGGAAGGTGAGATTACCGTTCCTTGTGTGTACTCCGTTGCTAATACTCCAATAGTACCGAATGGGTGGAGGAATACATTCCCTGGCTCAAGAATGCTGCGGTATCTTATCTCAACGTTGATGTCGCGGTATCCGGTCCTATTCCAGAGATAGTAGCAACTCCTGACCTACACGCGATTGGCAAGAGCCTGATGAAAAAGATCGTCTATCCTTACAGAGGTACTGTTGACCGAACATTATTTGATGTATGGTCAGTAGAGGATGGTGAGGTTGGCGTCTTGGGCAGCGGGAGCGATTACACCGCATTCCTCCATCGCGGCATCGCATCTATGGATATGGGTGCGGGTGGAGGCCCCAACGACCCCGTTTATCCCTACCATTCGAATTACGACTCCTACCATTGGATGGCTACTTTTGGAGACCCAGGCTTCCACACCCATAAGGCGATAGGCCAGTACCTGACACTTCTCCTCTACCACTTCGCCTCCGACGCTGTCCTCCCTCTTGAGCCCGCAGGTTACATTTCAGAGCTTGGCACCTATCTTTCTGACCTCGAAGACACAATCGCCTCATCAAACTACACTCTCGACCTGACAAACCTCACGGATGCCATCTCCACGTTCACCACCTATGCAAATGAGTTTACAGACCTCCGTGCACAGGCCGTCGCAACAAACGACGCTGCCCTCCTCACAATCCAAAACCACAAGGCACGCGACTTTTCCCGCGGCTTCACAAGCCAAGGCGGTCTCCCCACCAGAGAGTTCTACCAGAACTTAATTACTGCCCCTGGTAGGGACACAGGATATGCGCCCGTCACGTTCCCTGCCATCACTGAAAGCATTACGTTCGACCACGATATCGAGTTGGCGAAGGAGTGGGTCGGCAAGACTGCGAATGCGATTCTCGTCGCTGCCAACATGCTGAAGACGTAGGATGAGATAGAACCAACGGTAAGTCATCAACTGGACAGCTGGAAATCCGAGAAAGAGAATATACGGGCGTACGCAGCTAGATCGTCAAGGCGTAGCGTCTATTCTAGTACATAGGCCCGCGGGGTTTCAGAGCACGTTCGCGTCTTAATTTAGTAACTGCAAGGCTTACGCAGGTCCACCGTCCTTACGTGTGAAAATGCACATGTAGTCCTTAAGGCTGATTGTTGTTTTACCTATGTTCGTTTTCGGTTTCGGCAGTATCTCTTTGATGGCATCCATACGTCTACGTCAGCTTTGCACCTAGCCACTAGTGAGGTAACTAGAGAGGCAATCTAAACCTTCCCCTGTCCATCCGCGCGTCAACGAGTTCAGCCACACTCATTCCTCCCCACACAGAGCGGTTTTTCCAAGCCTCGTCAAGAGACTTGAAAAGCTTGATTCACGATATGCAGGCAGTGGGTATCTGGGCGCCACGCATACGCTCTTCTCAACGGGGTGCCGACAACCGGAGCAGCGCCGGAGAGAGCCGTCGCCAACTGCCATCAGCTTACGCAAGCGCTTCATGTTCACTTGTAATCGTGTCAATATGTGAACCCTAGTCTCTTGCGGGGAAAATATGCCGGAGAGCGATGGGTTGCGACGACATTTGCCAGCTCCGAAGCCTATCCGACGAGATTTGGCGCCGACCTACCCTGAGGCGTCGTCATGCTCTGGCCGTATCTAACCCAAGTAAGGCGAGGCTCTCCATTCTTCAAACCTCAGCGACGACGCCTCAGCCCTGTTTCATTCATTTCTTATTCGACAAATCGCGCGTTCATGGGTTGGTTTTTGCCTGATACATTGATCGATTTCTTCCATAAGCGTGCCAGTCTTCCTTTTGTTGTATCGTTGACTTCTTGAATTTGCCGTCACTCCTTACGATACAATTACGAAGTACCCGAGATCATCGAAAGCTCCCGCTTCGCTCATCTTTCAGCACAATGAGGTTCCTACCCAGACTGGTGCACGTATGTGCCGGTGCAATGATAATGATCGTGTTATACTTCGCATGGCTGCAACGTCCAGCCCGCCTCGAAGAAACCATACAACAAGCATGGCACAACACGAATCACCGGATAGTCGTCTTCGGAGACGATTGGTCTGACACTGGAAACTATCGAGTTTCTCCACCTCCTGAGCAGATGGTTGCTATCCGAGACCCTGACCGTGGTGAGATGTGGACGGAAACACTGTGTACAGAGGTATTCGCCCCATCTGCCCCACTCGAGGAGCAATCTCTAACGCTACGTAGCTCAAATGCGACTTTGTCGATAACTTTGCGCGCTCCATACCGTTGAACGCGGATACGGAGGATGTTGTCGGGTCGCTGGCTGACTCAGACATCTACGCACAGTTGGTGAACGGGTCGAATATCGGCCACACTCTGACTTTGCTCGACGACTTTCAGACACAGGTACAAAGCTTTATTGCATTCGACAAGGAGAAGCAGCACATCCCTGAACGCCTGCGTAAAATTGATGAATGGACTGTCTTCACTGTCTTCTTTGGACTCTGGGATTTGCTGGAGTACTCGATGCTGGACAAAGAGTCTGCCATGCGCGCCATCGATATCAGTATTGCAGAGATCTTCAACAACCTCGACAGGCTTGCGAAGCACGTTGGTTCGCCAACGAAAATCATCATCCCTAAGATGGTGGATATCACTTTGTTGCCGTATTTTCAGTCGGAGAAAGACACTGACAAGGAGCACTTTGCGGAGAACCAACATCAATCGGTGTTTCTCTGGTCGTACTGGAACACTGTACTGTCTCGAACTGCGGCTCAGTGGCAGCATGGCCCCATCTTCATGCCAGACCCAAACGCCATGGTCTCGCAACAAGTCAGAGACCAACAACTGTACATCAGACAGATTTCAGATGCAAAGGGTACTGGCAGACAGGCGCCTCTGTTCGAAGAGGTCGAACGGCCCTGTCTATCACTGAAGCCGGAGAACAATGCAACCGATCTGCAGGCAGCCGCGGTGGAAAAGTGCGCGGATCCCCATCGCCACCTATTCTGGTAAGCTGGCTGCGCACACAAACATATTGTCTCAGACTGACCAATTCTCAGGAACGATATCCATCTTAGTGGTCCTGCTCATCAGTTAATCGGCAAACAAGCTGCAAAACTCCTGCGCAATAACCAAACTATCAACGACGCGAAGCAACAAGGCGCTCAGTCCTTCCGGCTAAAGTTCCCTCCTGGATATTAGCAAGACACTGTCTGACAATGGACCAACGCACTCCCACCTGCCGTGTTCCGTCATTTGCATGAGAGAGAGAATGCAGTTCGGCACGCAGCCGCACGGTCGCGGCTATCGAGGCCGGTTACTGAAAGAGACCGCGGTATTGCTGTCTCCTTACATAGCTGGCATTGGAATGTTGGAATGTCTTAGGCACGACGGCAGAGTGTTGTCGCAGCCGCTTCGGGACGGGGCAAGAACAAAGAAATCTCCTAGCGAGCATCCAGGATCGACCGCATCAGGCACCGACAGTCAAACGACTGGATCGGCCATGGATCATGATCAAAGCCCCCCGTGGGGCTATGGTGTGCATGCGCATAATACCTTCAAAGGAAAGGTTGCAATCAGTGCTAGTTCGTCCAACATCCCTCCCTTCCTGTTCGTAGGACAATGAACTCGACTCTCAAAGACGTACTTTAGATACTTGGTTCGTTATATTCATCATCATGTTGGCTAGTCGTATACTTCCGCCGCCGGTGCCTCGATCTTCTCCCTCTCCTCCTCAAGTTCCTGTCGCGACTTTCTTCAACGTGCCGAGGAGATACGTCAAGTCCAACATGCAGATCGACGACAGCATTTCGCAGTCTCCTATGGATGACACCAAGTCTGCTCGCAATCTGCGAAAGGGCAGTGGAGTTCAGGTGCCTTGGTCTGCGGGCAAGGAAGAGGAGCCTGCTTCGCCGCCCGCTGTGTCGTCCCCTCGAGCCACCAGAAAGAGACTTGTACCGCTTGAGGAGGTCAAGGCGGAAGACTTCGTCGACAATGGCAGCATGGAAGATAGGTGTCCTCCCAGCGCTACTTCAACCGGTTCTGGGGAATTGTGTGGTTCTGTCTGTCTCTGTCAGCCTGAACCCAAGATTCCTCGACCGAGGAATGGTGAGTTCATTTCTTCGTTCGTACTCTGCGGACTTTCCAAGTAGCTAGAGCGAACCAAGTCAAGCACATATGTTACCTTTTTTGTTTGCCGATATCAGTTGCTGACTCTTTGTAGCTTTCATCCTTTATCGGCAACACGAACAACAGCACATCATCGCTAGCAACCCTGGACTCAACAACCCCGATATTTCCAAGATCATTGGCGAGAAATGGAACAGGGAAAGTGACGAGACGAAGAAGATGTGGCAGGATCTTGCACAAGTAGGTGGCATCTGCCAGTTGTTGCCCATGTCCTTCTAACACGTTATTAAGGAAGAAAAGGTTCGACACCAGGAACTGTACCCGGATTACCGGTACCAACCTCGTCGCGCCGGCAAACCCGGATCATCCCCTCTGAATCCGTCAGGTCAACACACGACCGCCGATAAGTACCGCTGCCACAGATGTGGAGGTCGCAGCATCAAGACTCCCACCAGCCCCTTCTTCGATCCCGCCCGCACTCCAATGTTGCCGCCTCCTACCTGCTACGAGAGCATCACATCAACAACACGCTACCTACCTGTGATAAGTAATCTGAGCCTGCAGTCACCCCGTGGCCGCGGCCCAGGCCCATCAGGTCTCAGCAACATCCAGGTATCGTCAGCAATACGTGACGATGGAGCAATGTACAGCCCCCTTACACCAGGCCTCAAGAGACGTCGATTCGAGCGTGGCCCACCTAGTAGTGGGCAGAGATTCGACTATCCCCAGAGTTCTCCACGCCGGGAATCTCTTCCTCCCATCCACGTCCGCCGTTCTCCAGGTAGCACCATCATGCCTCCTCCCGGCACGCCTCGCGACGTGCGCCGCCCATCGGTCATGGATCTGAACCTCGACCAGCACGGCCAGCCCAGGAGTGTAGAAGAAACCGTGCTCAGCATCTCACATCAGAGCATGATCAAGCTACTCGGTCGCATCACACCTCCGTACAAAGACACCACTCCCGCACCTCCAGTCCGCGGAGCCATCATCGCCATCGAAGGCGACGACCTCCCCGCCGTGAAGGAGCTCACAAGCTGGCTCGCCTCATTCCTCGCCCAGCACGAAGAATACCACGCCAAAGTCGCCGAGCCGCCTGCTAGCCCGACGGCAGAAAATGTCGCGTTTGAGGACTACCTCGATCTGATCCGGACGTGGCATGGGAAGAGTAGGGAGATGATAAGGTACATCACCACGCCTGTTCCTGTCTTGTCTGCTGCGGAGGAGTCGCGCACAGCTTCTGCTTCACCGCCAACTACGCGCAAAGACTCGGCAACGCCTTCCAACGCGCTTAAACCTATCCTCCTCCTCCCAACCTTCCAGCTCCACGCCTCCGTTGCTTACGCTTCCCGCATCCCTGTCCAAGATGCGTACAGCTCGACAGACCACTGGCAGTGGATGGCGACGCTGTGGCGCGGCACCGTGGGCCCGGATCTGACTATTTTCGTTCGGACGGGGGATGCAAGGGAGGCGTTGGCGGGCAGTAAGGCGGTTGAGCTGGATGAGGGTGTGCGGTGCTTGACGGTGGTGCGGGAACGGGAGGGGGGGTTTGGTGAGAGTGCGTTGCGTAGGGTGGGGTTTGAGGTTGGGGAGTTTGTGAGGGTGGTGTGTGGGTGAGGGGATGTTTCTTTTTTTAGGTGGGGAGATGTATGTGTGTTTCTGTTCAGGATGGCGAGAGAGAGTTTATGAAGGGGGTTTGGTTGGATAGGTTTGGTGTTGTTTTGTGGGGTATATATGTATATCACGGGGCGCTGTGTGAATGGAGTGTTGTATATCTGATCGTCGTCAACATTTCCACATTGTGAAATCCAATAATCGATCGCCTAACGTGTTTTATCAGCCCGTGCACGCCATCGGCTCGTGCACGCAGAACACCATTTCATCCAATCTTTTTAACCCCACATAACACTACTAAAATAGGTAATATAGAGGCTGCGCTTAATAATTTAAAATACCTAAAGCTAGGAGAATCCCCTAATTACACTAAAGTAGCTAAGAAATATAGTATTAACTAATCTATATTATTCTAAAGGTATTATAGGGTAACTATAATATATAATAAATATATAATTAATAGCTAAAATCTTAACCCTATATAAGAGTATAAGCTTTTACAGTATATTAATAGGCTTTATAAGAGAGGTTTACTACCTATAAAAGAGATAATTTAGAATTTTATATTAGAGATAGCTAGTAAACTAGTAAGAAAATACTAGGTTAATTACTATATTATATACTATAGTATTTACCTAATTTTATATTAGATAACTAGGATTAACGCTAATTACTATAAAGCTAATTTTACCTTTAAATATACCTTATACTTTAAGTAACTATACTATAAAATTAAGCAGTATAGTATTAAGCTATATTATATATATAATATAAATAAAAAGGGCTTTCTTATTAAAGTACTTTTAAGAATAAAGAGGATCTTTAGTAAAAACTAATATAAATATAAAGAGATTAAGGTAGTACTCTAGAATAGTAATAAAGAGTAAATTACGTTATTAGTATATATTTATACTAATAAATTAGCTCTTACTCTAGTACTTATCTATTAGGCTACCTCTAGAAATATTTAGGATACTTAGTTATAAGATTTTAATTCTTTTATTTATTAAGCTTTCTTTACTTTATTACTTACTAGATAGATAAGTAATATTATAGGCCTAGCCTAGCTTAAATAAGTATTTAATTAGGAAACTTAAAAGAAGGCCTAATACTTATATTAGCTGCTTATTATTAATAGCTATAGCTCTTATATTACTATAGATTTTATTAAGTACTATAATAAAAACAAGATTCTACTTACAGTACTCCTACCTTACTTAACCTATATACTCTAGCCCCTTAATATAGTTATATTTAAGCCTCTATTAATAGCTTATTTAGCTAAGCTTTTAAACTTTATAAATAAGTACTAAAGACTCTTATTTATTACTAAGTATAACTTCTTCTAGCTTTTTTATTATACCTAGAATAGCTTATTTAAGCCTTAAACTATCTAAAAGGCCTTTAGCGCTACTAGTATCTTACTTATAAATCCTAATATAATCCTTTATAAATTCTAGTTAAATAACCTCTACTTATTATTAAGCTCCTTTATAAGCTTAGTTTTAAGTACCTTAAACTAAAGAAAGATTAAAAGACTTCTAAAGGAGGTAGTAATTAATATAAGCTTAAATTAAACTTAGTAACTTAGTTAAACTATCTATATAATTTTAGTTTAAAAAATACTTTTAGAGTATAAAAATAGTTAGCTTAAAAAGGCTCTCCTAAATAAAAAGAAACGTAGGCAGTATAGTAAGGTATTACTACTCTAGCTACTAGCTTAATATAATAAAGAAGCTATTTTTTAGTCTCCTTTAAAGGTTACTACTGCCTATAATTACTAAAAGTAAAAGGACTTTAAATAAAAGTAGTTATAATACTAAAAGAGTAAGGTAATTAAGCTTTAAGATAAATAGAAGTAACTTAAGGCAAATCTTCTTAAAGAGAGGCATTAGAATTAGGTAATAGTAAAGAAGGTAAAGGTTATAAAAAAGGCTAAAAAATAAGCTTAATAAAAAGAGGAAAAGCTTATATATTAGGCTAATAAATAATTTTAAAAAGATATTAAACTATCCTAAAAAGGTAAGAAGTAAAGCCTTAAGCTTATAAAAGCTCTAGCTATTAATTTAGTAGTTAAAAATAGGGTAGGTATATTAGTTAATAATAAGCTAACTTTTCTGCCCTAGTCCTGCTACAGCTGTAAAATTAACCTCCTAGGCTAATTTAAATAGTATAAAATAATAACAGTACTTTATTAATTACTACCTTAAAAAATCTTATAATAATTATATTTGTATGTAGTGTTATAGCTTTAAAAGTATAGCTTAAAAAATGGTGTTCCGCGTGCACGAGCTGATGGCGTGCACGGGCTGATAAAACACGTTATTTATCGTACTTCAACTTCAAACTCTCCAAAAACACAAACCCTCCCCACAACAAACATCCCCCACAGCCTCGCCCCCACAAGCCAAGCCAAACACACGTCCGTGCACTCGACTACCCGCTAGCCCACCCCGGATCCCCAAACGTGCAATAAAGCCGACCCGAAAAAGCATGTCATGCGCTTTCACATGGGCCGCCTGCGGCTGTCACATGCGAGTGGTCCGCCCACACCCCAACCACGCGGGCGAGGAATGGGTAGGAGCTTGAGGGATGGATGGCGTAGACATGTTTGGGATTGGGGATTACTTTGCTTGTACTACTACTACTCATCAGCCTTCTCGTCAGCTCGTCAGCTTATATCTTCACAGGATTGTAGAGCTTATAAGCTCATACATTCGCAAGATCGTCAACTCGCCAGCTCGCATACTCGGGAATGACGGCGCAAAAAGACAGTAGCAGCGCTCCAAGATGATAGACCACGTGCTGGGTCGGCCGTCGGTGCAGTTCCGCAAGATCCAGGTGCTGGCCGTGGTGTCGTTTTGGTCCTTTTATCTCTACCGGCACGTCATGGCCTGCCAACAGCATGAATACATGTACTGACAAGACACAGCGGCGACCGCCATGGCCCCCCGATCCTTCGCCGCATCTCGACGTTGCTCTCCAAGAAGCTCACGGCGTGGCAGTCGCTGCTCATGACGCTCCTCTACCTCTACATTGCACGCAACTTCGGCAAGCTCGTCGGCCTCGAGTGCCCCGAACCGCTTGCCAATCTGTACTCGCGCTCGTACTTCCGCGCTACGTGGGTCACGACGGCGCTGGACGCGGGCTTCTGGTCGGCTATGAAGATCAAGCGCAAGGGTACTAGGGACCTCCTCAGCGTCGTCTTCAGTATCTACTACCTCATCTGTGCCGAGCAGGCCGATGAGAAGGTCAGGAAGATCCGGGCCACGCTGACAGTCGACCATCTGCGCGTCGCCTGGAATAAAGGCACCACGCCGTACCTGGGCGCCTTGACGAGCCTGATGCGGCCCCGGCTGATGTGGTATCCGCCGCGCAAGATCAGGATCCCGCGTCCGCGCGAGAGCTCGTACAAGGAGCCTGTGATTGCGTGGCTGTACTTCAACGGCCCCATCAGTGCGCTGAAGAAACACGACAAGGTCGTCTTGGATATCCCCGGCGGAGGCTTCGTGGCTATGGATCCGAGGAACCACGACGACAAGCTTATGGGCTGGGCGGGCAAGACGGGCCTCCCTGTGCTGAGTCTGGACTACAGAAAGGCGCCTGAGTTTCCATATCCGTATGCGTTGAATGAGTGCTACGATGTGTACCACTCCATCGTTGCGACGAGGGGAAGGTGCATGGGTCTTTCGGGGGAACAAGAGCCTAGGATTCTGGTCTCTGGAGACTCTGCGGGAGGGAATCTCGCCGTGGGCATGGTGCTTATGATCCTGCAGAGTGGATCGACGGCGACGCGCAGATGGCAGGGTGAACTCGAGCTGCCGCCCCCAATCGGCTGTATCCTGGTCTATCCAGCGCTGGACATGAACATTGGGAACTGGATGACCGACGAGCAAATGGCCCTCATCCGCGACCGAAGAGTGCGCAAGACCAACCGACCCATCCTACGCCACAAGAGCGACGACTACCGCCACCTCGCCCCAAACACACCAGGCGTGTCCGACAACTCGGACAGCGAGGATGAGAAACCCAGAAAGACACGCCCAGCCGACAGCCCAAAGCCCATGAGCGAACGCGTCCTCACTTCCCCACAGACAGCTATCAAGCTCTCCTCCGCACACACGGGAATCGACACCCACGCCCTCCCTCCCATCAACACCAGCATAGCCCAAAACAGCACCATCTCCCAAACCCCCGACGTCCTCACCCCCGTGGCAAACAGCACCGCAGCCCCCAACACCACCACCACCACCACCGCCGCCGCCGCACCCCCCGCAACAGCCATAAAAACGCGCCTCGCAACCTCCAGCATGATATCCTACTTCAACGACCGCATCCTCACCCCCGAAATGATGCGCGCCATGATCATCCTCTACGTCGGCCCACACATAAAACCCGACTTCAGCACAGACTTCCTCCTCTCGCCCTGCCTCGCGCCCGAATCCCTCCTCACGCGCTTCCCGCGCACCTGGATGCTCACCGGCGAGCGCGACCCGCTCGTCGACGACACACTCATCTTCGCCGGCCGCTTGCGCCAGGCTAAGCGCGCTGCGTGGCTGACGGGCAAGGAGCTGGGGCTTGAGTGGGCGCGCGGCGAGTTCCGCGAGGAGAGCGTCGTTAGCGTCGATTTGATTCCTGGGATTAGCCATGGGTTTTTGCAGTTCGTGGGCGTGTTTCCCGAGGGCTGGAAGTATATCTTCCGTTGTGCGAAGTGGATTGGTGAGGCGTTTGAGCGGGATGAGGCGGGTGAGGCGGTTACGCCGCGCCCGAGGGGGAGGGGTCGGGATGGGGGGGATTACTTTGGGTCTGGGGCTACGGTCGGGTTGGCGGAGGCGGTTGGTGGGTTGAGAGAGGGGAGGGCGAGGCATCATTATCGGTCGGGCACGGCGAGCTCGGCGGAGGAGGATCGGCCGTTGGAGATGACTGTTCTGAGGGGGAAGGCGAATGGGGGTGGGAATGGGAGGGTGAATGGGTCGGCGAGGGTGCGTAGGAGTGATGGGCGGAGGGGCAGGAGGAAGTCGTTGGTTAGTCTGGCGAGTGAGGATGATTTGCTGGGGAGGAGGATGAAGGGGCTCACTGGGGGGTTGGGGGGTGAGGGTCTGTTGAATGAGGTGTAGGTGCATTGTTAGCAGGGCTGGATTCGCATTTACAATCGCATTGTGGTTGGGTTGGTGGACTTCCATACCATTCATATCAATACGGCACATGTATGTCGCTGGGAGTGTGCGTGCACCGTGTCAAGGAGGTTAGGTACTCATACACACTTCAACGCCAATATATGCTTGCGACATTTCATCGTTTTATTTCATTCCGTAGTTCTCACATCTACGACATCCCAGAGATTCCACACACACCGCATTGCACATCTACAACTTGGCGAGGACGGACTCGGCACCGGAGACCTGCAAGCGAGTCAGTTCATGCTGGCCATGCTGCAGAGAGGGGAGGGTACATACCGTGACCTGCGACGGGTTGGACTCGTTCTCAGCGTAGGTGAGCTTTCCGTTATCGAAGACCATAGCCCAGCGACCGCTGTGAAGAAAGGTCAATTTATTTCCACCACGCCATTCAACAGAAATGGAGCAACATACTTGCGATCCCCCATTCCAGCAGCCCAGCCATGATTCTTCGAGAAGAAAGACTTGGTATCACTAAGGAAGAGCTGTATCGCATCGCACCAAGTCAGCCATCACCACGTCCCCCATCTCCCAAGGAACAAAAGAACTCACGATATCATCCCCCTTAACGCCATTAACCTTTCCCCACGCATTCATAACCCAGCTATCATTACTCGCGATAACAGCAACAAGGTCAACGCCCTTGCTCTTCAGCTCGCTGAACTTCTCAATGTACGGCGGTAGGTGGAATGCCTGGCAGCCCGGGGTAAAGGCGCCGGGCACGCTGACGACGACGACTTTTTTGTTCGCCCATTCTTTGCTTGCGTCGTATTCTTGGGGGCGGCCGCAGGCTGTGGGGTCGGCGTCGGTGATGGGCGCCCATCTAGGAGGGGGGGAGGGGGGTTAGTTGGTGTTTTGTTGTGGTGCAGGGTTGGGGCGTGGAGATGGTGGGGTACGCACTCGAACTTTACGCCTTCGGGCAGAGAGTCACCGACTTTGAGGGGAGCCATGTTGATTGATTGATTGATTGGAGGTGTGTGGGTGTTGAATTGGGGGGTTGAGAGAAGCGTGGGAGGAGATGTTTGGTGTTGAGGCAGTGTTTGGAGGGGCAGTCTTTGTTAAGCTCGAGCTTTCGGTCCGCAGTGACGAATGCGCGGGTTCCAGATGCAGGGTCCTTGACAAATAGGTGGGAGCTGCCCCACCATCACGGTGCTCTCGCTTTGTGAGTGTGTTGGCACGCTGCTGGATTAGGATGCTTTAGTACGTCCTTCCAGCTTGGGATAGTTCAGAGCAGGGTTATGTGGGTAAGGCTAGACTTCTCGGCGTTTGGGAACTCTGTGAGTATGGTGGGTGTACCAGAAACAAGCTCAATGTTTGACAAGTCTTGCTCCAAAGCCCAAGTGTATTGCTAATTTTGGTTCAATCGAGCTGTAGCTCGCCGAATACACACAATGAGCTCGGGATTATTTCGACGACAAAACTCATTCGTCTCTAACCGTCGATAGTTGCGACGGGGAGCAAAGTGTTGTCTCCACCCTTTACAGGAAGCAGTATACGCGCCGAGATTAGGAGGCCCTTGTCCGCCGAACGAATATCTCAACCCATGAGTATTTGGCCTCTCCCTGATAACACGTTCGAGATCAGACTATCTGACCAAGAAACGGAGAGACCAGATCACTTGTCTCTGCAATGAGCTTTCCGCAGCTGCCTCTTACAAGACAGCAACCCAATCTATGCATCTCCACACAGACATTCCTTTCGGCGCATTCCGGATTGTTCTCGCAAGAACTTCCATAACAAGATGCAATTGCCAACATATGTAGGTCGGTTGTTTCGAGAAAGTCCAACGTCATCGAAACCAGAATGAGCGGAAGCTTTTGGTCAAGAAATTGAATTATCTAATTTTGAGGTGTGGGGTATCATAGTGTTGAAGGAAGACGAGCTCAGTATATCTCATGCGTACGGTGACTTTCTCATGCCGGTGGAGTATCGTGTATGGCGACGAGAATGAACTTGGAATCTGTCTCTGTCAGCTAAAGCCATTTATTTATAAATGCACTGCAACATACCTGGTATTATGACGAGCTCCTTCTTCTTCGTCCGTAACCTCAGAAGCTTGACTTCATCCTCCTTATCTAGCCCATCCAACAAGTCTCCTGCTGAGTTCAAGAATGACCACACCATGCTTGCAACATCTTCTGCGCTTTGTAGGCCGCCCTCTTTTCTTGTGTTTGCGTAGTTGTCCGCGTTCGCTTCACCCGAGGCTGGAAGGGTGCTGTTGGGATTTGCCTCGGAGATCTTCGAGATCAGACCTGATGTGCGGACTATTGCCCCAGTATCGCGCGACAGTATGAGGGTGCTTTGCACGCCGGGTTTCTGGCTGAGTCTTGTGAGGAGGGACAGCGTTTCGTCAGACTGCGGGTTGTTAGTTTTGCGCGTCAATTATAATGAGGCTTATTCTCACAGAGTGCTGAGCCATGTTGGGGAAAAGTGGTTAGAATATAGAACGCGCGCGTCGAGCTGCGCAAACCGATATTTACGTTGATCGTTGATGGGCATCCGCAGCATCGCCGCGGCGAGTTTCGCCAAGCAGGGTCGAAAGCTACCCATTCCCTCTCCGGCTAGACTCATCTTGCAGATCTTCAATTTTCCTCATCATGAACGTTCGCATAGTCGCATACAAGTCACATCCGTGACTGACCAATGTAGTTGTTGCTTGCAGCATTCATGCTTCCGACGACTGCCGTCCTAACAACACGCCGAAAAACACATCTTGATTGTGGCTGAGGAACATCATGACTTCCAGCTCCAAGAAAAAGAAGGAGAAGAAAAAGGACTTTCAGGTGAGATAAGAACCGAAAACCGCATCGTTTCGTTGTACTGATGCTGCGCAGAAAGTTAAGTTGAGGGTCGGAAAAGGTGCGCCCAAAGCTGCCAACAGCACAAGCACGAGTTTCAGAGCCAAATGTAAGTTTGTCTAAGAACACGCTGCGTACATATCACTCACATGATCACAGCAATCGCTTTGAAACAACAGGCGCTCTCTACAACTGCTCCGACAACAGAAGCGCAATGTGCACATCACCTTGGACTACTTAATCACAAATCGGACACACAGCGAAAGGAATCTCTCGCCTACTTGACTACAGCAATCATCAGCAATCCTCCCGGAACTCCACTACCCCAGCCAGCATCCGTCATCATTCCTACGGTCCAGCGACTTATCCTTGACGGCTCAAAGGGCGTACGTGAGCAACTTCTCAAGCTTCTGCGCAGCCTGCCCAAGGTAGATGTCGCAGGCCATGCAGACCAGCTCTTGCTCCACACCAGAGCTGGTATGACGCACTTGGCCACCGAAATCCGAACCTTCGCCCTCGACGTTCTCGAATGGCTGCTTGAAGTCGCGGGTGATGAGGTTGTCAGTTGCGCCGGAGGCTGGGTCAAGATGTTGAAATGTTTCCTCAGTCTGCTTGGCTGGCAGAGCGAGGCCGCAAGTAAATGGTCGACTCCGGGGTCACTTGTCAAATCAACAGCGACATCCGGCTCCAAGCTGCAGGTCAAGCAGATTTCCGCGTTAGCTATGTTTCTCCGGATTGGACTCTATCACGCCCAGGCGGTGGCTTCGGTAGTGCTAAGCGACAGCGATTTTCCGCTCTGGCAGACCCAGCACCACGTACTGTCGGAACGCTCAAACGTCTATGCGCATCTAAACCTTTTTGGTGCAACAAGAGACGAGGAGGCGGAGATGTACGAGGATCGCGAAGATCGGCAAAGAGTGTTTCACAACAGGGCGGAAGCCGCAGTTATTGCAGGGTTAGAGCAGGCTACCAAAGGTGGCGGAGAAATGGGTCGTGCAGGCGCACAATTGCGCAAGGCTGTTAGAGAGGGCATGGCGGACTTTCACCGAGAAGATGTTGCAGCTCCTTGAAAACTTGATTGAAACCACAACGATAGATGAATATTTGTTTGCATATAGGGAAATGATGTAAAGACATACATAGCTTAGATTACGAGCCTAGATGTAATTCTAATCAAGTCAAGTGACAGGGTAATTGTTTGTCACTCCCTATAATCTGGTTGCCAAGACACTAGTGTGGTATTTGTTTGTCTCTTTCCAGGGGCCAGCACTTTTTGTTGCCTGTCCTAGCTGTTCTTTTCAACCTTACTAAGTAGGCTGAGAACTAGATTTGCTTACATAATACACACAAACTCACGCAGACCCATCTAGGTATAGCTACTGCTTGGCCAATTATCTACTCTCACCTCTGCATGCCTGACATGGATCTTAGCCAGGTGCATAGTGGCTTTCCTACACAAACACAACACGGCAATTTTAACACACTCCAGATACACGTCAAGGATGAGTTCAACGGTAATGATTTCCTCGAAGGTACAGAGAACGGCACATACAGGCCACGGCCGCAACTGCCAAAGCCATTCGTCTTGATGCGAAGCCTTCAGCATCTCATGAGTAGGTGTGTAATATCTTAGGAAAATGACTCGACGCTGACAAGACTAGATGGACTCAACAATGGAACCATCGATGTCGACCCGGAGTATCAGCGTGAGGTCGTGTGGACTGGTAAGAGCAAGACACATATGTCAATTGACAAAAGGCTGACCACAAAATATAGCGGAGCGAATGACAGGCCTTGTCGATTCGCTAATGGGTGAGCAACTCTGCCTATCACTTTCAACCCAATACTCAATACTTAGGTTTCGCAGAAAACTTCTATATTCCACCTATCATTCTCAACAAGAAGCCGGAAGTTGTTCAAAATGGCGGCCCGCCTACAGCATCGTTCATCTGTGTGGACGGGAAACAGCGTCTGTCCTCGGTGCTGGCATTCATCAAAGGCATAATACCATGTCACGACCATCGTGGAGAGAAGTGGTAAGTCGATGACCAATCGACACATGCAGCAAATCTCACATGCACAGGTGGTTCGGTGACCAGTCGATAAGTCGGCGCAAAAACATCCTCTCTGAAGCGATGCAAAAGCAGTTCCTCGAGAAGGAGCTCGTCTCTTTCGAGTTCACCAATCTGTCCTCTGAGCAAGAAGAAGATCTCTTCGCAAGAGTTCAAATGGGTGTTCAACTGAGCGTTGCGGAAAAGATGCGTGCGCAATCTGGACCATGGCAAGAGCTGGCAAGGCTTTTCGTGGACGATTTTCCGAGCATATACTCGTTGATGAAAGAGCGAGCGCGCGCAAAGGACTTTCAGCTCACGTTGTCCTGCTTCAGCCAGATTGTCGAAGTCATGCATCCAACTGCAGCAAACGGAGTACCTATCCTAAAAACGAATCACTCCCATCTGCCGAAGCTACTAAGTAACAAGGGGGCCGTAGATGACGGTCTCAAATCTCACCTTGCCAATGTTTGGAACACGTTCAAGGATCTCATCAATGAAGACTCGAATACGTTCACCAACGAAAACAAGACTTTGACAGGTGTACAAACCTTCGCACCTGTAGAAATGGTAGCGGTAACGGTCCTCATATCAACGTACTCCGAAACACGGAACAACCAGCTGCTCATCGGCGACATCCAAGCACTGCGGAACGCTCTTCGTGTGCACTTTACAGATCTGCGCCTCAACATCGCAACCTGGAAGTTCGTCTGGGACTTCATCCACGATCTAGAAGCTATCCGAGGTGCGGTAGATGGAAGCACCGTCAACCCTGATCAACGGTCGATGCCCACTCCTGGTAGTTCTCCAGCGGTTCCAAGCGCTTTGGGAGTACCAGCTGAACCGACACAAAAGCGAAGACGGCCGGTGGCGAAGAACGTGCCATGGGCTGTTCAGCCAAGTCAACAGCCAGCCACAACTAAGAGTGAGGAGGTACCACCTGCTCCTCCGTCGAGAGTACGTCCAGCCAAGCGACGGCGAGTTGATCCCGACCTTGCAGACGGCGAGGTCTCGGGGACATTGACAGATGCTGAATTCTCCGGCACATCTGGGAATCAATCGGCAGGCTCTGCGCACACGGTTTCTTCAAAGGCTACGCAAGCTAAATCCCAAGCCGAGAGAATGAACGATTCAGTTTCAACACCTCCGATGGTTCCATGGCCAGCTCCTGCTAACCAAACTCTTGTGTGGCGAAACCCCTACGAGCCAAATGCAAGACAGTCGCAACAAAAAGGTGCCGTAATAACACCCACCGAAGCTCGACAAAAGCGTGTGTCGGAACTGAACAGTTATCGAGCACCAATCGCTCCACTAGGTTCTTCAAGACCTTCTGCTCCAACTGCTCCAACAAGCTCTTCTACATCTCCCATTTCGACCGCCAGGAGGGGTTCCACTATATCTCCTTTCCCGATGTGGCCAGAACCTTCTCCTACGACGCCAGTGGCATTACAATCACAATCAAAAGCCACGAAAACTCCCAATTTCAGGGTTTCCACCACACCTCAGGCACGGAAATCAAACAATACCTCACCCAACACGCGGACTGCCCTAGGCGCGTTTACACCCGCCCATGCTGACGAACAGTGGGAAGGCGTCACTAAATCTGTATCGCCTGAACAGCGGCCCCTACCATCTTTGACAGTCCAACCACCCATATTTGGGCTCACATCTCGGTCATCTGCGAAGGCGCCTCTTTCTGGACCAGCTTCAACCGCGCCGCCCACCAGAACAGCTTCTCGCACCGCTCCCAAAGTCGGACCTTCGCAGCCGTTACCAACCCAAAAAGCACGCAGAACGCCTTCCACAAAACCGAAACCGGCACATCCGACTCTGCCGCAGTACGATGGTGCAATTGACCTCACGGACGATGGCGCTATTGATCTCACGAGCGATACCGAGCAGGAACGTCAGAGCCTTTTGACGTCGTTCAAGCCACGATCTGCTGCGGGAGCTCAGGGGAAAGATACAGTTAATCGGGAGACATCGAAGACGCAAGCGTTGGGAAAACAGACTGTGGATGTGGATGTGGATGTGGAGAATCAAGATACGAATCCCACCTCGAGGGAGAGAAAATTCAAGAGGCGGGGCTGAATTTATCAAGATTTTAGTATGGTGAAGGTTTAACTGGGGCTGTATGAGATGTATGAATGCTGCTCTGGTATTGTTCATGTTGTTTAGAGCTTGCGTTGGTGTAGGGTGTTTTCCAGCGAGTACTTGCTCCAACGGCGTTAGATGCCTTGATTCATAGATACCACTCATCAATTCACAAAAGTAATGTCTTCTATGACCTTTCTTGGTTATTCACATCTCCTCAATAGCGCACATGCTGGATCCTTGAAGAACAAAATGTAAGCACTAGCCCGCTAAAGGGCGTAAAACTTGTCGCACAACATCTTGGTACATCTGACACCTCGTCTTCTCACACATCGTCGTCGTCCCCTTCATCCTCACCTTCAACGCTCGGAGCGTTCTCTGCTCGGTCGGTCAAACATGTGCCCTTCGATGACGTCATGAGACAGATGCTCTCTCGGCACGGACATAGAGGGCGTCATTCAACTCATGAGTTATCGGTGGCTCTGAGGGGCAGTTGCATTTATCGAATCACGACTTTGCGAGGAAGAGAAGGCCAGACTTTCGCGTTCTACGTCCGTACGATGCGGCGAGATGTGGTGCCGTACCGGGGGCTAGCTGCCGCTTTTTACAAGGATCCGCCTAGTGAACGAAAGCTATCGACTGGAGCTTGTGGGGATATATATTGAACCAAACTCTCGAAGCTGTTGAGCTATTACAGCTATCCTTACAATCTTCAAAGTCATCGCATCTGATACTACAGAATCCAACATGGGCGTGTCGTTTAATCCTGAGAAGGATATTGGGAGCTTGGAGGGCAAGGTGATTATTGTCACTGGCGGTACGTCGTCCCCCTCACGATTCGTCTGATCAATCGCTATGGAGAAGATGAAGCTGACACGCAATCACAGGCAACGCAGGCCTGGGCAAAGCAACAGTCTCCTACCTCGCCTCCCACAACCCCGCCAAAATCTACCTCGCCGCCCGCACTGCCTCCAAAGCCGCCTCCGCGATAAAAGACATCCGCGCCTCGGTGCCCAATGCCTGCGAAATCGAGCACCTGCAGCTCGACCTCACGAGCTTCTCCTCCATCGCCGAAGCGGCCGCCGTCTTCCAAAAGCAGGAGTCACGTCTCGACCTGCTCATCAACAACGCCGGCGTCATGGCCAACCCCTTCGACACGACAAAGGAAGGCTACGAGATCCAATTCGGCACAAACCACATGGGCCACGCCCTCTTCACAAAGCTGCTCCTACCCACACTCCTCGCCACAGCCGAGAAGCCCGGCACAGACGTCCGCATCGTAAACCTCAGCAGCGAAGGCCACAACCTTGCCGCCTCCCAGGGCCTCCTCTTCGACAACGCCGCCCTCGAGCAACAGGGCACGTGGCGCCGCTACGGCAACTCGAAGCTCAGCAACGTGCTGTTTACGCGCGAGCTCGCCGACCGCTACCCGCAGATCACATCCGTGTCTCTGCACCCTGGCGTCATCTTCACAGACCTGTATGTCAACATGCGCGCGAATATTCTGCTGAAAATCGGGCTTTTCCTCGCCGGCTTCTTGGCCCCGTTTCTGCCGGGCTTTTACAAGGATTCAGAGGGTGGTGCGCTGAATACGGCGTGGTGTGCGACGACGAGTAAGGAGAATCTGGTTAATGGCGCGTACTATAAACCGGTGGGTGTGAAAAGTGCGGGGAGCAAGTTTGCGCAAGATGCGGGTATGCAGAAGAAATTGGCGGAGTTTACGGATGCGGAGTTGGCGAAACATGGGTATTGAGTGTGGGGGGAATGAATGATCAAAGCATCTACTTCACGATGATATATGGTTCATAATTTCGAATCAGAAAGTGTTCATATCAACTACAATCATAACTTCGCCAACTGCTGAATAACCCTCAAATCATCCCGGCTAATCTCCGCTATACTCTTCTTCCCCATATTCGCCAGACTATTATCAATATCGCACAAAACGCACTTAAGCACGTGTTCCACGCCCTCCTGCCCCCCCATCGCCAGCCCATAGATATACGGTCTCCCGAGCAGCACAGCCTTAGCGCCCAGGGCAATAGCCTTGAGAACATCCGAGCCCGTCCGTATCCCGCTATCGAACAGGATCGTCAGCCCAGAGCTCTTCACAATATCATCAGCGCCGATTTCCGCCAGAGCGTCGAGCGAACCAATGGCCCCGTCGAGCTGTCTCCCCCCGTGGTTGGACACGACGATGCCGTCCACGCCGTGGTCGATAGCCTTGCGCGCGTCCTCGACCGTCTGGATGCCCTTCAGCACAATAGGCCCGTCCCAGTACTTGCGCAGGGTCTGGATGTCGTTCCAGTCGCGGTAGTTGCCCGCGGCCCAGAGGCTGGTGAAGAGCAAGCTCTTCTGGATCGTGCTGGCGTTTGCGAGGACCTTTGCTGCGCCGCCGATACTTCCCGGGCGCTTGAGCAGCTGCCAGAGTTCGGACAGCTTCTCGCTTGCGCTCCGGGTGTCGTCGGCTTTCATCTTTTCGTACAGTTGCTGGAAGACCGGGTCGCTGAAGCCGATTTGGCAGCCCTGTCCGAATAGGAAGGGCAGGTAGGACTCATCTAGGTCGTTGGGCCGCCAGCCCATGATGAATGTGTCGAGGGTGACGACGAGCGTGGTGAAGCCATTCGCTTTTGCACGTGCTAGTAAGCTTGCTGTGAATTCTTCGGCTTGGGGTTTGGGCCAGTAGAGTTGGTACCAGCGGTCGCCGTCGCCGTTTGCCTTTGCGACTTGCTCGATTGAGCGGGTCGCTGCCGTAGAGAGAATCATAGGGACCTTGACAGCGGCGCATGCCCGCGCCGTTGCCTCCTCGCCTTCTGGATGCATAATCTCCTGCACGCCGATGGGGGCGACGAGCAGCGGGCTCGCATACTTTTTGCCGAAGATCTCTACAGATGTGTCTCGGCGTGTGACGTTAGCTAGCATGGTCGGACGCAGGCGGTAATGCTCAAAGGCTGAGAGGTTGGCGGCATATGTCGATTCGCTGCTGGCGGCGCCGCGCACATAGAAGAAGTTGGGTGAGGGGACATTCTCGCGAGCAGCTGCTTCCCAGGCGGCGGGTTTTGTGGAGTATTTTGGCTTGCTGAATTTCCCGTATATTTCTCTTTGGAACTGGGCGTACGAGTCTGGATCCGGTTCGTTGAGGTGAGCTTCTGCTGTGATCACGTTGGGTTTGTCGGCCATTGTCAAGGATGACGTGATGTTTCAGAGACGCGTTTGCGGTACAGCAAGAACGTTGAGTTTGGATTCGAATTCTTTATCTGCGTCGCAAACAGTATGCTTCTACACGGTGGCTACCTGTCTTTGAGTTGTAAACAGCGCGTTGATCGAGGAATGGCGACGTGTGATGTGGAGCTGGACAAGGGGCTGGTGAGATGCCGAGGCTTCTGCTCATTGGCGTGAGTGCTCTCAACCATGATCCCCTCCATCGCTGTTATTCTCCACGATGAAGCTTGGAATGCAAACCACGCGTGTGCTACGTGTCGGAGAGGATGTGGCGTGTAGAATCCACTTACCTTGCTTTTTGGAAGGAAGGACCATTCATGTGCAGTACACACCACACCGCCTTCCTCAGCAACGAATAGCCGCCCGCAATGTCTAGAGAAACGTCTTTCTTTCGCTATGTTCCTGCAGTCCATATCACAGTATCAACTACACAATGCCTATATCCTTTCGCACAGCAGGTATATTCCTCATCGCATGGATGGGCGCCTCGCTAGGCGCTTTTCTAGCTATTTCTCTCCACATCCCACTACAATGCCTTCAGAGGAAATGCCCTGCTTCAGAGATCAAGACCGTCCATACCGGTTACTTCGAATACGAGTGTGCGAGTAAGCCTTACCACTCGAGCTGGAGCAGCTGGTGGCATCCGCAACGGCGCGAGGGACAGGGACATCGTGCAGGAGCCATAACCCGAGACTGGAACATTCTTTACCACGTTGGCGGCAACGGGCCTTGGATCGAGAAAGTTGATGATGTTGTTGATGGAGGTATCGCGGTTCCAGCAGGATGTGAGGTTGAGCAGGTGCATATGGTGGGTATCACGAGGCTTGACAAACTCCTGGACAAACTGGATCACTGACACGTATGTCTGGAAGATTTCAAGACATGGCGAACGTTATCCCAACGAGAAACATGGTAGAGGTCGGTGGGAGCGTCTCATACCATCTGATATGGAGGCTTATGGTGAGTTTAGACCACAAAGCGGTCGTTCAACGCATGAAAGACAGCGGCATTCGCTTCTCGGGTTACTTTGAATTCTTCAACGACTGGGAGCTCTTCTGGTCAGGTAGGTCTCTTTCGGGATACAGTCCCTGAGACGGTCGTGGTTTGAGTTACTGATGATACCAAGATAATTCAAGTCTCGAACAGTTGACTTCTACCGGCCCATTCGCAGGTACTCTCGGAGCTTTCACAACCGGTGTTCGTCTTCGCACTCGGTACAAAAGGCTCCTATCCAAAGCTTCCGAGTCTCCAAATCACCCTGTCAAGTTTTGGGCCAGTGACTCTCGACGCGTCATTGCAACGGCGCGTCATTTTGCGCTTGCTTTCTTTGGCATCGACTTCGAAGCCAACAAAGTCGCAGCCCTCGAGATCATACCGGAACACTCACAGCAAGGAGCAAACACATTGACGCCCGGTAGAACATGTCTAGCCAACAAACATCACCACGAGGCCGGACGCAAGCAGGGCTATAAACTGGTGCGCGAATACCAGGCCATATTCATCAAGCCCATCCGCAAGCGTCTGCGTCAGCAAACCTCAATGACTTTTACGGATATAGAAATCTGGAGCATGATGGAAATGTGCGGCTTTGAGACGACGGTTCGCGGACGAAGCGATTGGTGCGATGTATTCACCCAAGCCGAATTCCTGTCTTTTGAATACGCCAGAGATGTGCTACACTATTACCGTGCAGGGCCCGGGAACAAGTACGCTTCTTCAATGGGCTCTTTGTTCCTGAACGCTACGACGAATCTGATGCTCGAAGGGCCTAGCGCTGGTCCTCTATTCTTCAGCTTGTACGTTGATCGCACTATCAGACGAGACTCGTGGCTAACCTTCGCAGCGTTCACGACGGCGATCTAACACCCATGCTTGCAGCCCTTGACATCATAAACGACAACGAGCATCTACCCGCCACACACATGGTGCCCAACCGCAAGTGGCGCACATCTCAGATCCTGCCCATGGGCGGCCGCATCATCTTCGAGCTGCTGTCCTGCAACGTCACACGGCCGTCTGGACGGAGAAAATTCGTCAGGCTCAATATCAACGATGGGATCACCGCGATCCCTGATTGCGACAATGGGCCGGGGATGAGCTGTCCGCTTGAGAAGTTTGCTGCTCGCACGAAGAGTAAAACTGATGAGGCTGGTGATTTTCGGAAGGCTTGTGGGTTGGGAGATGATGCGGCGGATCGGATTACTTTCCTTCATCAGAGGTGGGAGTCTTGAGGTTGTGTCGGCGATGGGTACAGATGGCTCTGTACGTATAACTTAGTCTTAGCTTGGTGGCTTTGACCAGGATGGTATACATAAAAGACCATCACAACTATCGTCCGTGATATGTGAGTGTACTCAGGCTGATACAACTCTTTGTGAAGCACTTCGCCAGCACATATGACTGTTAGGATGCTCGGGAATGGGGGTTGCTTAATTAGGCCGGATATCGTCGAGCCCCAAGAGAGACACGCGAGCTGGGATGGTGTTCCCAGCTGTTTACTTATTTAAATACTACGCTCTCCTATATGCAAATTCACGTTAGTAGATTAGAGATGTGTGTATCAGAATGATTTGCCAGTACGATGTATAACTTTGTTTTGCTTTTTCGTTGTGCTTGTGGATTGTCCACTTGGGTCATATCTCTCTTCTCCCGAATGTCCGACTGATTTCATGTATTCGTTCGACAACCTCATCTATCCCTGAGGTGCCATAATCACCCCATCCATCTTGCAATAGAATTCCCCAACTTATAGCATCGTCTTCGCAGCCTGGAATCCAGCAGCCCAATGCCATAACCTCGCGTCCACCGTTTTACCCTCCTGGTCGTACTTGACCAATCGATCATATAACTCATCCAGCGGCACCACAATTCTCTCTATAAACTCTCCATCATCCAGCGCCTGCTCCGGCTCTTCGTCACCCTCCTTGAGATCTACTTCTACCATAGCCAGCTGCATGTTTGCTGTGGACAGCCCCGGATCGCTGACGATTGTTGGGCTGATGAACTTCAACTTGCCCTTGTACCCCGTCTCCTCATGCAGCTCCCTTACACTTGCGTCGCTCGGGCTTTCCTTCGCGTCGACCAGGCCAGCAGGAAGCTCGACACACACAGCATCGACTGGTGGGCGGTATTGCAGAATGATAATCGTGGAGGGTGGACGTGATGGGTGGCGGATGACCGTGACAATGGCGACTGCGTCAACACCAGATGTGCCCCGCGTCTTTCGTGCAGCGGCTTCCCAGACGCGAGACTTGCCTACTTGATCTTGCCAGGAGATTTTCTTGAACTCGATCCACTTTGCTTCACTGGCGGGAAGCTCCTCGATCTTGACGATTTTGGGGGATTGCGGCATGTTGTAGGCTGCGTAGAGGTGAGGGCGCGCGTGGAAGGTGCGTGAGATGTGGAGCCGAGGCAATTGTCGTATGCTCGGGCGGATCGCGGTGAGAGAGCGTCTTGTGAGGAGGGGGATTGAGAGTGTGTACATGGACGATCGTGTTTGATTTAGTTAAGGTGGAAGTGAAGGTTAATCTAGAGTGACGTCGAAGACTGGAGCTATTTACCCCTCAGCGCGTCATTGACGCGTACATCGCGGTCAACACGTGTGATCGTCCTTTGCCTATCTAACATTAACTTTTGCCTTAGATATGAACACATTGTATCTACATCGTTGTCGCTTTAATGCACATCCTCAAATATCAACGCGTCACAGACACAGCTTTGACATGATGACATTACACGTGCTATGATAGAGTAACTAGACCTCATCTCGCTCTTCTCAACCATCCCCCATTATCACGTGGCGAAAATTCTGCTAAATGGTATACCGAGACAAAACTGACATTTGTGGTTCTCTTTTTGGGCTAATATATCAAAACATGGGGTTTGGGCCAAACATCGCGCAACTTTATGCAACCAATTGAGGGGAATCACTGAGAAGAGAACTCTTCTTCGCTCACCCGAACGTGAATATGAGCAGCATCATGTTGTCACGATCGAGGAAAAGAGCCGTGATATAGCTGTCAGTCTATCGGGTCGTTTGCTGTATAAGTGTACCACTCACTATGAGACATTAAAAAGTCAGTTGTCGTTGTCGCATAGAGAAAGCTGGGAAATGCTTTTGTTGTAAATCCAGGCATGTCATATAGGAATCTGCTAGGGGCATGCAATGTCTTTCTCTGCAACACTTCATATTGTATCTCGTTCATACACCGACAGAAGAGGCGCTTTTATGCCCAGTAACTGTTGCTATGAACATGTCAAACAGTTATCAGCTTGTGGTCATCGCCCAAACGCAGACTCGAGAAGTCCACACGTAACCAAACCTCAGTACCGTTTTTCAAATACAACTTGAACTCTCCTTTCGTATCATCGTCATATTTCACAACCAGACCATCTTTCAGATTACCGTAGAGTGGTCCAGCCCAAGTTCCCTTGACAGACGTTTCGATGGCAGTCTCGAAATCCTCCCCATTTACATATCCACGAACCTTGAGTTCGAGGTCAATAAGGTAAACTTTCCTTACACAAATGGGCCACGCAAACATACCTCGACTTCGCCATACTTGTTTGCGAAATTTGAACGGTGATCCGTGTCGATGTCCTTTACAATGTACGTTTCAGGATTTTCTCGCGAGATAGTAGGACCAGCTGTGTGTATATGTTTTAGAATATGATGCAGGATATTGTTTCGAAGGGTACGTACGCATGTTGAGATTGGGTTATAGTATAGATGTATCTGGAACCAATGTTCTTTCAAAGACTTATTCAACGAAGAGACGATATGCGTCGTAAAGATGATTCTGGGAGGGAGCTATATAGTACTCAATTTCCTCAACCGAAAACATTGCATGATGACATTACGGCCGCATAGACCAGTGAGAAGGAGACACGTAAAACGATGACTTTAAGACCACACAGGCTTGTACAACGTAGACACACGCCCTCCTGTGTCAGGCTGAAAGCTGAAAATCGGGTCGGTGTCTGAACAAGCAACACCACTGCAGTAGTAGCTCAACGATACATCCCATGATATCTAAGAAAAGAGAACTAGTCTAAGAAAGGACTGCTGAAAATTTTGCACTTCTTAGGCCTCTGTGCAATTGGGTTATTCTGATTATTCCAGACTGTGTCGTTCTTACCCCACCATCACATTGTTTCCGCTTTCAGCTTGATGCGAGAGACACGCCGTTGCTTTTTGTTTTTCTAGTATCAACTTCTAATTCGTCGAGCTCTGATGAACACGTAGTCTCTGTATCACTGTCACACCTGTGCTCTTCCTCGCGTTTTGGTGCGTCGAAGAGTTAGGCTTTCACACCAAAAACACATCGCGATCGAGTTGCAATACCATTCTTGGTTCCACCTCCCCCTCCCCTGTGATGCTTACCCCGTCTCCTGAACATAAGCCACTCGCCTCTTGCGAATGACTTTCGGGAAGATCACACATTAGTCAGTACATTTTAAGCAATGAACCTACATAAAGTGGAGAATGGCTTACCTTAGCAAGTTAATCCAAAGCACACGAGATGGGGTCAATTCTCATTTTCATCCTTGTTCAAGAAAACTATCAAGCGGAGCTCGAATCTAGTTCCTCTGTACGCAATTTGCAGTAGATCTCGGATAGTCGGATAGAGATCCTGCTTATTTTTTCTTATTCGCTAGTATCGGTTGCCTAAATGCTGATTTCGTCAAAATCCCTCGCCTGGTCGTGTCCCCCGGGTTACTCTAAGATCCATGCTCTCAAATATGTTATAGATCACCAATCAGTAAGCAAGGTCCCAGATCATACTTCCGAGTTCCGATAGGATTTCCAGAATTGAGCCTGGCTGTCCGTACTGTAATCCAAAAGATCATCCCGAGACCCAGTGGTACCTTGCCGATAGGTTAAGTCTCTTATACCGAGCCGTTGCCTCTTTTACCGGCTTTCTGGTCAGTCTCTTCGCGGCTTGTTGGTTAGTTGGGATTCCTCCTCTAGCAGTCGGTTCAGGCTAGAAAAGGTTCGAAGGCATGGAGTAGATCTCCATGATTGTGAAGGCTATCAAGAAGCTAGATGCTGAGAACGTATGGATCTCCAACGCCTCAGAGGTGGCGATTTGTTGTTCCCGCCACACCGCTATAATTGCCTGGCCACGCAATGCTGGAACTATTGGAGTAAAAGCAACTCTTTGGTGTTGAAAAAACAATTCCCTGGTCTTGACTGCTTATAGCATTGCATAGCTTTCTTTCGTTACGAGCTTTGTCTCACTGCACCCGTTCGCCACCTTAAAGTTAGATTCTATATAACCAACTCGAGTATCTCACAATGTTGAACACCAAACTTACTCGATACTATCAGCCAGACGATGTCTTGTAAGTAATCTGTTCGTACATCTGAACCACACTTGATGCCTTCTTCGCCATCTTTCCATACCTTTTCTAACACTTCGTATCCGTTTGTACAGAAACTCGTTGAATTGTTCCACCCAGACTCATTGAAACATTACTTTTGATCTCTGTTCACACAAGACTTTTGATCAACCAAGACGTGAGAAGCACATCACTATATACTGGTTGCGAAAGAGAACGAAAAAAACTTGTAAGTTTTTCCCTACACGTTTTCTCCAACGACAGACTACTATTCTGTAACAGGTACTCTCTACAGTATTATATCCGGTACTACGCATATATACGACTTTTGACACGGAATTCATCCTATAGATCACCTTCGTCTTGGACATACCGACTGAGTGTGAGTTCTCGACTGCTGAAGTCTTCGGGTCCGTGTCCAAGATGAATACCTTCAACTGTATCACGGGTAGTAAATCTCTGTTCACCCCGCATCCAAAAATATACTAATTATACCAGTTCTTTTGAATCTTTTATTCTCCATCAACAACACCAATGCCTTTCCTCTGGTATACCCCTCCATAGAGATCTCCCATGTAACAGACTCATTGAAGAACACTTCCTCCACAGCCCACTCCTCCAATGAATACTCTCCTATGAACACTGGACATGGGACTTCCCCACAAGAAATAGCTATCATCGATACTGTCGAACCTGCAGGCGTTCAAGGCTTGGTCATAAACAACTGCCCCTTCACCATCTACGTCCGACAAGCCGTCGCCGAATTCCCATCCTCGCGACCAACCGAGCCATGTGCGCACTTCGGCGAGACGACCGAACGCACCATCGCCCCGGGCGAAACATATAACGCGCCGTTTCTGGCGGCAAAGGACACTTGTGGGCATTCTCGTATGTGCATATCCCAGTCCCTCCGTACCTAGCCTCCACTCAACTGACTTTTCTCCTCCCCGAATAGTGAAAATGTCCCGTACCCCCAACGCGTTCGAAGTCTACCAGCTCGAATACAACTGGTCGCTTGAAAACGACGAACTATGGTACAATCTTAGTTCCGACACTGCAGCGCCATTCGACGACGTTGCAAGAGCGGTCCATACACAGGCGGGAGATTGTGCGAAGTTTTCCTGCACACCTGGTGAGCTTGGGCCGGGCGTGTGCGATTACCCGGTTTTGGCGGCTTGTAAGAACAAGGAGGGCATAGTGGCGGTGCTTTGCTGAGAGGGCGGGGTGTGGTTACGAAGGGATGTCTGGGGAAAGCTCATGAGAAGTGAGGGATGTGTGTGGATATGATTACGACTTAATGTTTGGGAAGAGATGGCTACGAAATAATATCTTGCACGAGATGACCTCGATAGACGGCGATTTTGTGTTTGGGTTTTGCATATATGGGCTGGGTGCATGCAACGGAGTTTGGGACGAGATGGGTGTTCATTCACAATAATTTATGTATTCTTTTGATTGGCTTTCCGCAATCAGACCTGTATCCAAGAGAGAAAAGACAAAACGTCAAATGTACACACGAAATACTTCCTATACCCTCGTAACCTCATCGTTCCAACACAACTCACTGCGCGCCCCATATCTCCGCAAAAGGGTCATAACTCGCATTCGTCCACCTCGTGTACTCGGCACTGTTCGCCAGATACTCTGCAACCTCCTCGCCATATACATGGCTCGCCCACGCATATGTAACATCAATACCAGCAGATATGCCCGACGACGTAAAGACGTTGCCGTCCTCAACCCAGCGGGCTTCTGGCACCCAAGTCACATTGCTGCCACCAGTAGATTTGACCCACGCGAAGGAGCGCTTGTTAGTTGTCGCACGATGATCGTCGAGGATGCCAGCACGTGCGAGAATCGATGCACCGGTGCAGACCGAGATAATGTATTTGAGCTGTGAGATGTAAGCCATTGTTTTCAATGAGAAGGGAAGGGAATATCTACCTTAGGGTACACAGCTTTTACGAATTCAACTTCCAGCGTCATGTCACCACGTGTGCCTGCTCCACCTGGGACAATGAGAACATCAATCTCGCCTTTGGTGTCGTTCAAGTATCGGCTGCTGTTTCCAAGAACCTCGTCAAACGTGTTGGTTGGTAATATCTTTTCACCAAAACCGCCTTCTAGGCCGGTCGATACTGGATCCATGGTGCTGCTAAAGATGGACATGTGCATCTTAGATTCGTTGCCATAGAACATGGATATTGTGTTGAGGATGTCGAGCGGGCCAAAGAGATCGATAGCCTGGTAGCGTGGGAACACCAGCGCAGCAAAGTGAGTTGGGAGTGTCGTTGTGTTTGAGAGCTCGGGCTGTGGTGGGATAGCGAGTGTTGATGGTATGGCCGCAAGTAGCGAGTGGATGTTGAAAACACGCATTGTAGTTGATGTGGTATGTTGAATGTATAGAAGTAGCATGTAGGGGAAGAGTTAAAGATAGTTAGAAAATATGGCATCACTTGTAACGGATATCACCTCTTTTCTAAGCTACGAAACCAGAGTGTAAGCAGAGGGCAATGTGTGAAGAGGAACAAAGACAAGACTGTCGAGTGAGTGCCCTACTTGCCGCATACCCTACATTGTGAGGTCACTTGACCTCTTATATTCACTGCTTGATCATATGCAGTCAGGACAGCTCGATGTACTTTTCTGCAGGATATTAATATATCTCGCATCTTGCGATCGTTTGCTGGACTTGGCGCGTCCGTTGCCGGCGGCCTGGCAAACCACAAATCTGGACTCCTTGATCATGTCATGCAATATGAGGCAAACATCAGGCAGGGCGATGTCTTGGTTATGAGATGGTAGAGTCGAGGATTCAATGGCACGCCATGCACTTGAGAAGGTTGTGAGACGAGATCGTACGTAAGGTTGGTTTGTAGAGGGTTAATTCCTTAGTTAAATATGCGGTGGAGCAGGGTTAATCCTGGAGTTGGATAAGCTGATGTTAATTCAGCGCCAGTCAACATATAAAAAGTTCGAATGACGCAGCCGGCCAGGGCCAAGAGTCTCGAGTAATCATCCGACACAAGACCTCCAGCAAATTCGTTTTCCCTGCACCTGTCTAAACAACGATTGTGATGCGGTCTGCCGGAAGGATACTCCGCCAGAAATTACTTTGCCGTCAAAGCCTTCAATGTGCCTCAGGCCAGCTCTTTGTATCGAGTGCCATGTCTGAAAGATGATATGGAGAATTTGAGCAGCACCCCATTGCTGCAAATACCGCCGTAAGTAAAACTGTTCAGGCAACGTTTAGTTTACCCTGACAACTTCTACAGCAACAATTTCGAGCTGGTTGAACAAACGACTGACGGGTACTGACGGCCACAGCCAGGAATATTGGCTTGTGCTGTACGACTGCGGACGAGCTACTCAGAAACACCAATCCCACGCTCTGAACATCGAAGAAATGAACATATGAACAAGAAAGGAGCCAAAGAAGAAAGAAGAAAGCATTTGTTGTTGGACGGACACAAAGCGATGAGCATGACAGGTCTCCCGAGGCAGGCGCTAAGGAGGTCGCGACTGCCTTGCAGGGCGCACGGCCATGACGCACGTATGGTAGCTGACGATCGTGAGCTTTTCAACCCCCAAACACTCGCGACAACCAATTCTCACCATACGCGCCAATGCACGACGCGTTCCGCCTGTATCTTACTGCCTTGACCAGGTAGACCCCACACACGATCGTCTTCCCCCTAGCGCTTTCTGTAGCCCGTCATGCCAGGCAGACGACCGCCTATGGACCCGAGGCGCCAGTCCTCCACGCTGCACTACCAGACCTTCCCTACCAAACCACCCACCTCGCGCGGTCAGCGGCAGTCTGTCTCGCCCTCCGGGCATCATGGCAGCGGCTCCGAAGCGGACGGAGAGCACCATGAGTCGCCGCTGCCCACGAGGCAGCTCATCGTGCTCGCCGTCATTGCCCTCGCTGAGCAGACGGCCCTCAACTCGATCAGCCCATATCTCCCAGAGATGACAAAGTCGTTCCCTGAAGTCAAAGACGGACAAACGGGGCTCTACGTGGGACTTATCGCGTCGTCGTTCGCGCTGGCGCAATTGACTACCAACTTTTTCTGGGGTTGGCTGTCCGACAAGGTTGGGAGAAAGCCAGTCATCATCATGGGCACATTCTTGACCATGCTCTCTTTCATGGCCTTTGGCTTCTGCAGAACACTATGGCAAGCGGTCGTGGTACAGGCATTGATGGGCGTGGTCAATGGCAATGCAGGGGTTGTGTCGACGTGCTTGGGTGAGATCACGGATCGAAGCAACCAGTCGCGAGCCTTCACCTACCTTCCGGTGGTCTATGGCATTGGTGGTATCACTGGACCCATTGTCGGTGGATTGCTGGTCTTTCACCAGAACCCTCTGAACAAAAGCCAGCAGAATCCGTACCCATATCTGTTACCCAATCTCTTTTCCGCCGCCGTCCTCGCCGTAGACCTGGTGGTCTGTATGCTATTTTTGGAGGAGAGTCTGGAGGAAGCAAAAGACATGCCGCCTCTGGGAAAGCGGATAGGCAGTTTGTTCACGCGCATGTGGCAATTTACAAGCTCGACACGACCGACCTATGTACGCCGCCTGCTCGGCAAGCGCAAATCGAACCACACCCAGCATCTGGATGGAATCGACGAAGAGGACGAGGACAATGCATCGGATGCTTCAGGAGATTCTGCACTTGCGCTATTCCCTCACACCAGCGGCGATCAGCTCACGAGCAAAGAGATCCTAAATCGCGACACCATCCTCCTTCTGGTGACATACTTCATCTTCCAACTGGCAAACATTTCTTACAACTCGCTATATCCCATCTTCGCGGAGGAGCAAGCCCCAACTGGACGTGGTCTCACACCTGAGGCTGTTGGCCTCTCATTGTCCTTCGCAGGCGCCATCACCATCGTATTCCAGGTCGGCATCTTTGGTAGACTGCGCAGCAAACTGGGGAACAAGGTTGCGTATAGATCAAGCCTGGCCTTCTTCGTTGCAGCATTTCTACTCATGCCGTGGGTCGGCTACAAGAATGATCAACCAGCTGCCGGAGTTGGATCAGGAGCTGGATGGCTGTGGTTCGAACTTGGTGTGGTTCTAGTTATCAAGACAATCGCAGGTGTTGGCGGCCTCACAGCTGCCTTGCTTTTGGTAAGTCAAGCCCTCTCGCTTCACGCTCTGTGCATGAGCCCTAATGCGATCGCAGATCACCAACTCAGCCCCCAATCACAACGTGCTTGGCACGCTAAATGGATTAGCACAGACCCTCTCTGCTGCAGGCCGTGCGGCTGGCCCGTTTGTGTCTGGATCGCTATTTACGGCGGCGACAAAGATTCAGCCCAAGGGTGAGGCTCTGCCTTTTGGCATCTTTGCCGGCGTTTCCTTCATTGGCTTTCTATTGAGCTTCGGGATTCGTGGTGAAGGATTAGAAGAAGAAGGATGGAGCGACGAAGACGAAGACGAGGACGAAGAAGAAGATGTGGGTAATGAGGGTGAGAGCACGAACGAGCGGACTGGTCTTGTACGAAAGTGAGGAGGGAGCCGATGTAAGATCATATTGTAGAGAAATTTGCATAGCTTCACCGATACGATTGAGCGTGGCGTTAGGTTGTTGTTATAGAAGCAGTTTGGACTGAGAGAAGTACGAGATCTTCTATCTCGTATTCTGTATTGCTATTTAGGGATTGTTCTAAACGACGAGTCGTGCAGTGCTCACTCCAGATCCACATTTTCTATGGTACGCTTGCGGGGTCTTTGTGATAGCTTATCGGTCGTTCGCGGGGTGGAATCCGGTACGAGGGCACTGGGAGACGCACAACGAACAAGCTTACGACCGCGACAAGCATTGTGTGGGGTAAATCAATCATACTGACATCGCCAATCTAAGACGGCCACGATATGACACTATTACATCGACAGCAAGCTTGAATTTCTGACTTTCAAGACACAATATGCATGCTGCCTTCAGCCCTGGATGTAAGTCGCGAAACGGCCCGATTCCAGGCCTTCCATCTGGTGTTTCGGGAGCGGCGCCAGCCATTTTCCTTCGTGTTTCTTTCAACAAGCCTGGCGCCGGCGAAAGCGAAAGAGTGATGCCAATACTTTGTGGTGAGGAGTGCGAAATTTGTGGCTGCTACTGCGGCGTTCAAATAATGCATTCTGCATGTAGGGATCAGGAGCGCTGCTTGAGGCTGGCTGTGTTGTGTTGTAAGTAAAGCCACGCCCGCCTTGTCCGACTGTAGAGTTGCAGAGCTGCAGAGCTGACCCGACTACCAGGGCCTAGTTCAAATCCTTCAGCTCAGGTTTTGGGCGCCTCAAAAATATAGTCCCCGAAGCTTGCTGACGTTTCCAAGCATGGCCTGGTCCGTAGGGGGCCTCGATCAACACGAGCTGGGATTAGGTCCATAGCTCAGTGAGTCTGACCTACCAACGTGTTGTTTTGCCAACAACGAGATGCATGTTATCAGCTCAGCCTTGGACTGGAGGTGTCTTGGCCTGAAAGCTTACCCCAACCTAGCTCTTTCAGCCCCAGATTTAGTTCCATTACGGCTTGCAGCACAGATGCAGGATGAGCCACACTGCATTCGTATCCAATAGACTAGCGAGCTGCGGCAGCGAAGACGGGTCCAGCCTTAAGAGGAGAATACACTTGACATGCATGAGGACAAGAGCAGTGTCGCTTTTACGAATATATAAAACGAGAGACATCCTCGACGTGGAAATAAGTGTGCATCTACCATCGACATCCTTTTCTCACACTCGGTCGAGCTCAGGATTCAAAATGGGTTTCAGCTTCCACGGACACAAGGTATGTGCAAAAGACTTTCCAAACAGATGTACAAGCTAATATTTCATAGCGTGATGTGTATGTTTCCGAATCAGTACCGAACAACCAACTTGCAACTGACAACTGATAGCGACGCGGAGAAACATCTCAGGCGTATGCACAAAACCACACCAATCATCGAATCCCCATTAGTCGGCGCCGACCAAGACACTCTCTGTTTCTCCCAACGCCATGAAGCCAACACGATCGAGCTCTTCTTCGATCTTTTCTTCGTGGCCAACTTGGCAACATTTACCGCATACCACTCCATCACAGACGTCAGCTACCTCCTTGCATACGTCGGTTTCTTCGGTATCCTGTGGTCGACTTGGTTCCAGATCACACTTCACGATGTTCGCTTTGCGCGAGACAGCTTGTACGAGCGCGTCTGCAAGACTATCCAATTCATCTCCTTCGTTGGACTTGCTCTTGTGGGTTCCAAGTTTAATCCTGGTAGTGCCAAGGGCGACAACACTGTAAGTCTATAACTTAAACGCTAGAAGGATTTCGCTGACGAAATAGAACTTTCAAATCCTCTGCTTTGTGCTTGTCTTGACCAGAGCGCTACTTGCGGTTCAGTATGCGGTTGTTCTTGTAAGTCTTCATTCCAGGATGCTCTCCTCGTCGTACTGACATTTTCAGTTCTACACGACGAAAGCTCGTTACACAAAACTCATCATTCCCCTTGGCATAATGGTGGGCATCTACACCATCTGTGCCTGTTCCTTCGGTGCCATGACCTTCGCATTTACCGGCACAAAGAAGGAAAAACTTGTATACCTTGTTTGGTACATCACGATGGCCGTCGAAGTCGTCGTTGTGATTGCCGTCTCTTGCTTCTGGCGCATGCTAAGCTTCAAGAAGACGCATTTGATGGAACGAATGAGTCTCCTCACCATTATCGTCATTGGCGAGGGAGCCATTGGTGTCACCAAGACAGTCGGCAAGCTGATGGGCAAGCACGGCCTCGACGTTGAGGGCAGTTTCCTCATCATGTGCATCGTCGTCATCCTGGTAAGTTCTTCCGCCCCCTCGACTATGATGTCTTCAAAGACCATACGCTAACATCGTTTGATGCAGGTGCTCATCTATGCTTTGTACTTTGACAACTTCCCTCACGGCCATTACGGAACTATCCGCCAACAGGTCTGGTCATGCCTCCACTTCCCACTCCACCTTGCTATCGTTGGTGTCGTTGAAGGATCGCAACAAGTCGCATTGGCCCGCTATGTCAGCAAAAACCACATCAAAATTCTCACGACCGTAGGCGGTGCTTGCGTCACGCAGAACCTTGATGGGACCAAACTGCGAGATACCCTTCTTAAATTGGTTGATTACTATGAGCTCGATACAAAGGTCGACACTTATGCTTACTACGAAACCGTCATCGACACTGTATATTCTGCCGGAAACACCACAGGAATCTGTGCTGCCGACGCGGTCAAGACCCAGTACCCCGTGGAAATGTCCGACATTGAGGACTTGCTCACCAACGGTCTCTTTACTGGTCTTGGAATGAAGCTTCCCGTTGACAAGCTCAAGAACCTCACACCGATCCAAATCGCGCACGATTCTTGGGGCACTGTATACATGTACTACTGGGCATGCTTCATCGTCATGATGTTGTGCTTCATTTCCTTCCTTGTACTGATCCGTCGTCATAAGGCCGATCTATTCGACTTCGTCTCTATCCCCTTCCGCGCCCTTGTCGTTGGTGCCGGTGTCGCGATGTTGTGCCTTAAGGCCGCCCCGGAACGCATGTACAACGTCATGTCGTCTCCTACCATCCTTCCTATCTGTGTCGTCCTTCTCTTCCTCACGACGGTATGCGACAAGATCACATCCGTGTGGTGCAACCACCAGCTCAAGAAGAGCGGACAGCCCTTCGCTCTTGAGTTCCACGAGGAACACCACGGCGGCCACGAGGAACATCACGAGGGTGGAGAGCATGGCCACGCCCAAATGGTTAACCACTCCCACAACGCTTCCGACGTCGACCTTCAGAAGACCGCTCACTGGAGCGCTCACTCGGATGCGGAGGCTGGCCATGGTATTCACGCCGCACACGGCAACATGACGCCTCCGCTGCCGACTGGCGAGAAGGCGCATGGAGGGTACATGCCCGTCAGCACCGGGCCATAGGTGGTCGATTGGTCACTGGCGTGGTATTTGTCTCCTCCTTCGTTCTACTCTGCCTAGCGCGACTGTTTGATTTTGCTGAAACGTTTTATATCCGTCTATGGGGGTCTTACAACCTAATTGCGTCTCTGTTGTTACTATGTTGTATTTGGCAATCACATTTTCCAAGACTTATAACCTTGCATACCATAGCTAATACGCATGTCTATCTCATTGAACCAATTACCAAATCTGCAAAGTGCATCTGATCGAGTCTAAAGCTGTTCGCGAAACTTAGCTGCCATGCGTCTGACGTGTACTCCCTCGTTCGCCCAAGACAACCCAAGTCTGAGCGGATTGCTCAAGAATACAGACCACTAGAGCTCCGTGTCGCCTATCTGTTTACACCCTGACCGAATGGAATAAGACATAACAACCCATCACTAGAAGGGATGAGGTATTCGGCTCCAGATCTTACAACTCGGAGAGCGATGGAGATGAGTTTGGAAATGCGTCGGCCGGAGACATGGTCGGTCTTTAGCCGAGGCAAGTCGGCGATGTCGGAGTTGATGGTGTTACGAGCTGCAGTTATACGTCAGCCCTGCAGCTCAAGTTCAACATCACGAACGCAGGGCCAATAATGGTTTCGATGTACAGACCTCCATGCCGGAGAAAACGGATTAATACATGCTCTACAGCCGTGACTGCCATATATAAAGATTATGTACACCCCGCCTTGAGATGGCATTACTCACAGTTCCCAAACCTGACGATCACACCATTCTAAACCCCACCACATAGCGTCTACTCTATCACACATATTCTCAACCACACTCAAGATGTCAGGACAAGGCCAATCGTATGAAACCGACGCGCGCTGGACCGCTGTCGACGAGTACACACTCTCGCATCTGCACCCCTCAACACGCACCACGCCCTCCAACTCGACCCTTACCCACGCCCTCACCAACTCGGAAAAGCAGAACCTCCCCAATATCGCCGTTTCTGCCTCACAGGGCAAGTTCCTGCAGCTCCAAGCACGCCTGCTGAAAGCGACGCACATCCTCGAAGTCGGCACGCTGGGCGGGTACTCGACAATCTGGCTCGCACACGCGCGCCCAGACGTCAAGGTCATAAGCGTCGAAGTCGACTCGCACCATGCATCTGTCGCGCGGGACAATCTGACCCATGCCGGCGTTGGCGATAGAGTCGACGTGCGGCTTGGCGCTGGTGTGGACGTTCTGCCCCAGATTGCAGAGGAAGTACAACAAGGGAAGCTAGGCAAATTCCAGCTCGTCTTCATCGATGCGGACAAGGAGAATAACTGGAACTATGTGAAAATGGCCATTGGTATGTGTGAGCCTGGAGCATGTATCATTGTGGACAATGTCGTGAGGAAGGGGCAGCTTGCTGTGGATAGTGAGGATCCGAGAGTTAAGGGAGCGAGAGCAGTGGTTGAGGGCGTAGGGAAAGATGATAGGCTTGATGCTGTGGTTATGCAGACGTAAGTTTTGCTTTCTGAGATCGGAAACTTCGATGTTCGTGCTCGGCTGACTTGTTTCGAACAGGGTTGGGGACAAGAACTACGATGGATTTGTTATGGCGGTCGTGAACTGAGGAGTTGGGACTTTGCAGATGTTGTAGTTCTTTCCAGGATTTGTGTCAAGAGGAGAGGAAGCGGTACTCTCTGCCAATACCGCGAGCTTCTCCACATCACAAGATCGATACAGCGAGTGTTCAACCCGTTGTATGGTTCAAGAGGTGCAATCGGCGACCTAAAGAACGAGATGGCATATTTGAAGCCTCCATACGTTATCTATCAAACTATAGCATTGCACTTGATTCTACTAGACTGCATTATTTAGCCTGCCTTGATCCTTCTCCGACAATCTTGTCAACACGTATAGCACAGCTAACAATTCTTTGTTAAAGTTTACCAGTCGCGACAACCCCTTTGATCTGGCTTTCTTTTTCAGCACCAACCTCACACCACTATCACAAGCCAACTCGGTCCGACTACCTAGCTATCTCGGTAGTCTTTCCGTAATGAGAGATCTGACCGGTAAGACCGGCCTAGGAGATGTCACTAGGAACGATGTGAGACTTCGGAAAATACCATGATACGACATCGACGTTTAGTGTGGTAATTTGAGGGTTCGATAGTACTGTATGGGAGCTCGAGTGCAACCATGGTCTTTATTTCATGACTGCTATATCAAACAGCATTCTCGCCAGCACCTTGGACCAGAAAGCGATCCAGTCGCGAAGTCACTTCTCCTGCGCTCAACTGCTGCTGGCCAGGGTGGGAGTAACGCGATTCATGCTCCAGTCGTTCCAGCTCTGCCAATGTTCGAATGAAAATTACTCTTGTCCGCTCAAATGCCTCGCCATCGAAGTTTTCAGAGCCCCAACCGCAGTCGTGATACATTTTCTGTAAGGCCTTCCAGCGATTGATGCGCCTCCGTAAATCATCCGCGCCTTGCGGACCGTGCTGTGCCCTGAGCTGCTGGATCGCGACGGTCGCATCAGTGGGCAGGCGAATGCCTCCCGGAAACAAGTTCTGCATGATAATAGGATCTTCCACTATCTTCCGAGATGGTGGCTCTTCAGAATCGTCCGGGTCGTAGTACGGAACCCATTCAAGGCTTTGGAACTTGGAAATCAGTTCGTCTAGCACCACATCTGCCGGCCGGCTGGGTGATTCATCCCAAGCCCTTTGCCCAATATCGTGCCATTCGATTATTGTTCCTGCATCATATCGGCATTTGAATATCAATATCTCAAGCAGCCAACATACGATCGTGCGTATTGTAGATCAGATCTACGCCATATTGTCCACTATAAACCGAGCCACTCGTCAATCTCAACAGCCAAGGTGGCAGCAACTTCGTGTTTTCAGAATGCGTTCTTTCTCCCCAACGCAGATCCTCAATCCAGTCCGGGTCGCTGGCGTCCGCGAAGTATGTCACGGTCTTTGATCGGGGCAGCAGTTCAATACCATACCACTGGTATCCCCAGACTACATCGCTACGCAATGCAGGCATGAGTTTCATCAAGTCGATGACTTCGGGCTCAAAGCCGAGCCTTTGAAAGGTGTCTGTCGCGATAGTTTGTGGAGAATGAGGCGGGTGCACGACGTCGGCTGAAGACACGTATCGCATTGCGACGAACAACTCAAGGAGCCTCGTCAGTCGCGAAATAAAGTCCGCGTGCTTTTCTGCGACTGTATCCATCGCTGTGACTATTGCGCGACAGTGATGGCGTTGAGGGAGATTGTCGTGTGGAGGGTAAGGATGCCCTTCAAGCAAATAGTCGCGTTACTTAAAGAGCACAGACGCCACGGTTATGTTACGAAAACAACTTGAATACTTATTTCGAAGTCAAAGTTCGCTATAACTTGCGTATCTTTAACCTACATTTCTTGGCATACAAGAATAATTCCTTTGAAGCTTAATGTTTTTTGTTTGGATGCCGGCCCAAATTCCAGTGCTTAACCATCAGCGACTTTGTGCTATTGTTCAAGACTTTTGATACCTTTGGCAAAATCAATTTTGCTGTCAGATCATTGCACATTGAATGTAATCGTCACAACTCAACGTCTCTGCCGGACTTCTGCAGACCCCTCATAACGCGTTGTGTCTGTGCTACGTCTCCTCTGTGCCTCACATGTGAGACTGTCCACCGTTGAGAGCTCGCCGACACTGAACGAGGCTCCAGGTTCACCTTCGAGCAGGGTGGAAGTCCGAAGGGTAAAATCGATAGCGAGAGTCGAGGCGAGAGTACTAGCCAGGACATGGATGATGATCGTGTTATTGATTCAAAACCTCGGATAAGTGATACATGAAAAGTCTTCGAGTTTCTCCCTCTACGATCCGATCGAATTTTTAAATTTCCCACTTAGGCTTCGGTCGACTACCGATATGCGTATGCGGTCCCATCTCTCTGTGCGCCTCTGCATCTAGCGGGTCTACACCCAACGAGTACTGCACCTTCGAATCCGAACCCAATCCCTGCGTCAACTCTTCTGTCGACGCACTACTGCTCTTGACACTCTCACGCGTCTTGATATGCTCGAGCTCGTACGTAAAACCCCGATCCTCGACGCGCTGCTCGACAACTTCTACTTGGTATGTGACAAAGATGGCTGCTAACGATTGCTCGATCATGGGCCAAAATATGGGCATGGAGGCGCAAATAATGGCCAACTGGACTTCAACGCAAGAGAGAATTACGTAGATGGGCGAGTACCATGTTGGGTCGGGGTACGGGCGCATGCCAGCACCATTGACAACGATAGAGTAGAGTCGCCAGGCCGAGGTTATGACAACGCTGGTAGATTGTCAGTATTGTGCTTAAGATTCGCGAACGGGTAAGTATTTACGTGGCGCCGCATACGAACACACCAGACATCGCTACTAACGTCTTCATCTTTAGGTTCGGCGTCGAAAACAATACCAATGGCACCATAAAGATGGCGAAATCGAGGCACAGGTTCGTGGCGGCATGAGCCTGGAAGATAGTAACAAAGCCATGGACACCGTCTACGCCGAGACCAAAGCCGTAGCACGTGCTTTTAACTGTACGGTCCCAGAATCCTCTCGGGGGAAGACAGTCAAACCAACCTACAATCATGAACGCGCATCCCCAGACGACGGTAATTCCCATGAGGCCAAGGGAGATCTGCCGCATAATACCAGCCTTGACTGAGGTTGTACGTACGAGGTCAGCATATGTTTAGTTGTAGCTGCTTCGTGTATATTTACTCACAGATTCGAAGATACTGTAAAAGCAATGATATCTTGATGAAAACAGCGGCAGTGAGGTACGAATTGTTTGCGACATAGGTAGTCTGTCCAAAGTGAGCGAAGTAGACGGGAGACGGGAGATCGTCCATACGCGTAAATAGCCCTTCATCTGTTCAGTGCGGAGATACAGAAAGTGATGTCCTAGCCCGTCCACTGTTGCTGTACGGGGCCGTTAGTCGAGAATACTACAGGCACGAGTACCAAGACGTACAGAGACAAATATGTGTAGTTCCCACAATACCACACGCCTGTCGGTGCAGTGAGTACTTGTCAAGAGCCACTAGACTGTTCCAATCTTTGAACGTACAACCGATAGAATCAGGAAGATATCATCCCATCCTGGCTCCCGTACAACAAAGACACGAACGTAGAGTCGAAACCCGGCTGCTAGAAGAGCAAGGGTCTGTGGTCATCGTCAGTGTTGAATGGAAGAGACACCGACGCGATTCTTACCAAGAACGTGAGACAGATTCCCCATATTGTCCCTTCACGATTAGAAAGAGGTAGCTTTTCATTAGGATCAGGTGCATTCGCGAGCATCTGACCGATGAGGGCTGCCCAAGTTTCCTCCATACTACATGCAGATGGTGGGGAGGGAACGGACGACTCTCCGCAAATTATTGGGTGGGGTGGGTTAAATGTGATTCAGCTCAGAAACCGTTTGGTAATTTGAAAATGGTTCTGTCGGCGCACGACTCGAGGCGAACGCCTGGGCGTCAGCGTACCCGTCTAGACATGCTGCTGTCAGGGGGCGGGCAAAGATAGTCGCTTGCGCTAGAGACATTGATGACGACAATTGGTAAACTAACGGATCTAGGCTTGGTGTTGGCACTATGGTGCACTTACCGATAGCTAACATGTAGCGTGAGGTCTATTATTCCCATGAAGCGACCATCAGAAAGTACCATGAAAGTTCGTTCGACTCAGCTTTAGCTAGCAGGGGTAGGGGGAGAACTACAAGCAGCGATTGGACAGCGGAGGGAGCGCATTGTGGCTAAACGATCTAAACGATGCAGACCACTGCGGAAGTACGGAAGTCTCGCTTCGCTTCCAATCCCTGCTAGCTCAAGCTTCGCTGACCAAACTTTAATAGGTACCAGAACTCTGCGCATGCACGTATCATCAGCAGGGCCGATTATAGGGATTGGCAATCAACCTGCGGAGGAATAATCCAAAAAGAGCAATCGAGATCTGGCCATAACTGAGTGCGCGTGGACACATTGATGTTCGGAATGAGCAAGTACATAATAAAAGCCGCTTCACCAAACTCCTTAGAGCTGCGCAGTAGATGTCAAACGTCAAATGCCTTCCGCGGGGAACTGCGCGTCGGGTTAACAATCCGGAGAGGTTCTCACCAATCTCCACCGCACAGACAAGAGTCAGCGAATTAGAAGATATGTATCACTATATGGAGCCAATCACAGCGGTTCCTTAGCCGTGGTACATTTGGGAAAGTACTTATGAGTTGCCGTGGTATTTGCCATATGATGAAATAACATAAATATATGCAACTACGTTATCCTTTGACGCGTAATCTACTTGCATGTTATGGAAATTATCATATCACCTCTTGATTCATGTTGTGAAGATGGCGAAGAACAGTGCAAGGAAGGTGAGCCGTAGTTTATATGTCATGAAACGAAGAGCGGCTAGACTGGGTCCTGCAACAACTCGGAACAGGAGGAAAGGTATAGTTCGGGAAAAGCGAAAGGCTCCGCAAGCATTCAACATTGAGTTCAGAAATGAATACTACAAAGATCACGAATTACGCCAGTATCAACTGTTCGTTGGAGAGCCAGCTCATTGCATCTTGCCAGAAAGTGTTGGTGATGTGTCCTTTACGCAACCGGTCTGTATGGGTACCGAGACAGATCCGAGTCGAAAAATCGAAACCGACCTGGGGAGGCGGGTCAACGATGTGTATAGGGTGAGATTACAGGAAGTTGGTGGTTGGGGTTGTGTTCTGCCAATGTAATGATTGTTGTTGGGTGGATACAGTCGTGGAAATTGGCACGCGATTACGGGCCGCACGGCATAAACGCCGAACAGCTAGCGAAAACTTGTGTTAACAAGATAGTTCACTATGTTTGGGAACGGAGAATGAACTTAGCGGAGGGATCAACCTGGTAGCGGTTCCAGGCGAAGACAGTGTATCTGTGAGGGCCAGAGTGTAAGCTGGCGTAAGAGTGTATGCTTCGTCAAGCATACTCCTCATCTACGACAGAGATACAGGTCACAAGCAACAGTTGCTGTAACTAAACGGTTGCTCTCTTCCAACTGAGGTTCATAAGTTTGTCGATATCTAGACCGACTGGATACTCCATTGCTAGGGCACTGTTGGCCGCCTCTTCACTCACCCAAATGACGACTCTTTTGGGTATTGGTACATGTTCCTCATATCAAAGTTGCAGATCTCTTTTGGATGTGTTCTTGGTTGATTTACACTGCGTTGGTGCGATGGATTCCATCATGTAGAGAGAAATGTGTATCTTGTAGTATATTACCCTAATCAAGATTTCCCCCCTTATCATTCTATTTCACAAGAGGATACTCTTCACTTTCCAATGTACACGACACATCCACATGCTCTATGGTGTCTCCTTTATTAGAGGTTATTCCTCCGGCAACTTACAAACCATGTAAAGTTATGTTCCTCTTTGATAGACCCGTCCACGCGAATAGAATGTCGGTCAAGGTTTATTGACTTGTACTTCAAACGATCTAATGGTAGGCATAGAATGGTCATTTGGGAAGACCACAATAGATGTTGTTGAAAGTGCATGGGTTGTTTCGTGAGTATTCAGCGGTCGTAAAGGATAGCAGTACCAGCATGATCAAACATATCCCTATTGTTAACAAGGTTCGTATAGTCCTCTTAGTTCTCGGAAACACAAACGAAAAAGGTATCAGAATTAGCACTCGATTCCCGCTGTTGGCTTTTCGACTCAGCATTACCAACATCAACAAGAGATCACTGGAAGAGACAACTGTGCCTACTACAAATAGCAAATTCGTGTCTCTTGGGCCGTATGGTTTTGTTCGCGCTACGCGTGGTGCTGATATGTCCAGTTTCATCGTCAACAATTTCGCGCATTTCCTAGCTGCAGCAGGTGCCGCAGCTATCGTTTGGCAGACTGTGGATGTAGGAAAAAGGGCAATTGCCTCCTAGGCGTTTCGGACAGACTTCTATCCTGTCGTCTGGGTGTGTCTCGCCGTGACCCGCCACCTCCAAGCTGTTGTCTTCATACGTCTGAGCCTTCGGCTCTCTAAGAAAAACGTATCGCGATCGCCCAGCGCAAGATCTTCAATTGTAAGCTCTGGCTTAACAGGCTGAATGCTTACAGAGGGTTTGCGCGCTGGAGTAAGACTTGTGCGGATTTGCTCAACAATTTAAACTTTTTGTAGGGTACGGCAGTATTTTCTAGCTTTACGCTAGTTTCTGGCCATGATGCCATCAAAATACTAGCTGTCTATTCAGTGCTATTACGTATCGTGGCTGTATAGTTCCTCGAAAAGATAGATGAAACAGACTAGGCGACTGCAGAAGCCAGGATGGCAAGCGTGGATGAGAAACACCTGTTTAAATAAAATGAGTAGAGATCATATTTTGAATAAGGTTACCAGTAGGACGAACTCTATACCCCAAAGAAGTTTAGAGAAATGCGGAGAAACCATTTCTGTAGGCATTGGAGTTCACGATGTATTGGAAGTCGCCGTCGTTGGATCGCGAATGCATTTCCCAGGGCATTCGATTCGTGAAAAAGACTGAATCATCTCATGCCTTTGGTGCTGTAGACATGATGGTTGATGAGGTTGTCGTGCTGTCGTGATGAGTTGCTAGCTTATCGAAATGTCAATTTTCTCGCTTCAACTCCATCGCGACCCCACGTCAGGGACCTTCCACAATCATGAGATATACTTAAAGCGGGACTGAACGATCCACACGGATCTCCGTTCCTACCTAGTATCATTTGTTGTGAAGTCTACGAAAACCCTCGTTAATCCAAAGTGGGTTGATTCACGAATCTGAACTCCAACCAACACCAGTCCAAATCGCAGGAACATCATCGAGGCGGTCCACTCAAGTATGACTCAGGAGGAGGAGAAAGCACCACACGAGAGCGACAACAACACATTATCTAAGCCCGACGTACCCCCAATCTCCCAGGGAAAGGACATCGTTGAGGCCAAAACAGAGGAAGTTGCACAACCACTGGGACACAAATGCTCGCCCTATGACTTGCCAACCGCGCCCATCATCGACTCTGGCCTCCCTCCTGAACTCTGGAATATCGTGCAGTCTGCACCCGCATGCTTCACACCGCAATACTTTCTCGACGTCAGTCGCAACTTGCTCGAGAATCCCAATTTGACGGCGTCGCATCTTGCCCGTGCGGAACTGTCGTATCAGAGTTTCACCGATGCGTCATTTAATACGAAAGCAAGGGCATCTGAGGAATTGGCGAGTATTGTAAAGCATCTGAAGCCTGATCATCGGCCACGACTAGTCCATGGAGTTGGTGATGGGGTGGGCGTGGAGGGGTACACGCTCGAGTGGACGGTGGTGAGGAAACTGATTCCCAGGAATCCGAAGCTGGATGAAGCACTGTTGCAGACTTGTCATTTGTTCACATCGACTCAGGATATCACCGTGACGAGCCCGGATGGAGAAGAAAAGACAGTCAAAGCGGAACGCTATCTGGTGGTTTACATTCCACATGTGGACAACCCCGAGGCTATACCGTTCTACCACCCTAAGGTCCGCAGTTTGGGCATACTCTATACATTTATACCTAATCATGACGCCTCGTCTTCGCCACTTCCCACTCCAGGCACGCTGTCCATATACTACTCGCTCTTCCCAACCTACCCCCTGGACAACCGACTATCTCGCACTGGACTCAAGCTCATGGAGATCATCCACAAGCATTCTCGCGGCAGACAGGCTGGGTACAAAAAGCGTGTTCATCATGACCAGATCATCCCACAAAAGACGTTCCAGGACACGTATGCATACCTCAAGGGCAAGTATGCGAAAGACTTGATCGAAAAGTGGGTTGAGCAGACACCGCCTGAGAAACACGTCTTCGAGGACCTAGGAATCGCAGCGTTCCTGATGGAACTTTGGGTGGACATGTACGGCGCCGACACAAGAGGCAAAACCGAAGACCCCACACGCGAGAATACCCATGATGGCGTCGACACTGTAGTCGAACAAAGGAGGAAACGCGCACGCGACTCCTTCCCAGGCTTCGTCGACATTGGCTGCGGCAACGGTCTTCTAGTCTACATTCTCAACGCCGAAGGCTGGCACGGCTGGGGTTTCGATGCACGGCGCCGCAAAACATGGGATGTATTTGGGCCATCTTACGCGACAAAGCTCCAGGAACTACTCCTCATCCCCCAAGTCCTCCGTGATCAGTCTGCACCCGAAGATAGTAACTTCCCACCCTCACACAACGGCGTCTTCCCACCGCATACATTCATCGTCTCCAACCACGCTGATGAACTCACACCCTGGACCCCATTACTCGCACATCTTTCTGATTCACCGTTCATTGCGATTCCCTGCTGCTCTCATGACTTTGGGGGTATGCGATTTCGCGCGCCTGGTCATGCCAAGTACTTGTCGCCCGATCCCTCTACGAGTGGAGCAAAGAATAAACAACCGTCTGCATATGCGGGGCTGTGTAGCTGGGTAAGCCACTTGACAGCGAGAGCAGAGTACGTGCCGGAGAAAGAACATCTGAGGATTCCGTCGACGCGGAACATCGCTATCCTCGGGCGGCGAAGGAGTGGAAGAGCAGGAGAAGATATGGATGCAGAGAAAAGATTAGAGTTTGTAAGAGAAGTAGTTGTGGAGGAGATGGGTGGGTCAACGACCATTGATCAAGTTGGACGGATGTGGGTAGAGAGAGGGAGTGCATTGATGAAACCTGGGAAAGGGGGACACTGAGTGGAAGAAGACATCAAATCAGAGAATGTTGGCCACACCCAAGAGTCAAACACGATGTGCTCACATGGTATAAGACACTGGAACAAGTGATCACCTGAGGAAACTGGGTATCATTGGGAAAACCGTCCGAGCGTGCAAGAGTGCAGCTTAGACGCGTAATACATTCGTAGTATCATCCGTTCATTTCGCCGTATGCCACCATGTCCGATTCCTTTTGGTAATGCAGAAAAGCGCCCGACCCAAAGATGATTCACACGAAATCTCAAACTCCATAAGCTAGAGTAAACTGCTTAAGAAGCCGGAGCAGCACCACCACGTCCACGCCCGAAGCCACCACGGAACTCGGGCTTGAAGTCGGTAGGGGCACCGCCCTCACCCTTCTCGCCGGCGTCACGTCGTCGGTAGCTGTCACGGTCACCTCCGCCACGGCCGCCACGGTCACCACGACCACCACCACGCCTCTCACGGTCGTCACCGCCGAGCATGCCGCGGGGAGGAGCAGAGCGGGCCTGCTTGATGTGCGTCTGGGGCACAATCTCAGCGGGGAGGTGGAGCCATTCGCGGAGGTAGTCGAGACCCTCGGGGGTGAGGGTGTAGTAGTAGTATTGCCACGAGAAGCGGGTCTTGACGAATCCGCGCGAGGTCAAAGACTGGCCTAAATCGGTGTTAGGGCGGATGGATGCCAGCACGAGAACCGGGACTACTGACAAGCCTTGATGACGAAAAGGTTCTTGGTGTCAATGTCGCCGTGCTTGGGAAGGTTGAAGTCCTTCTTTGCGACGAGAACGCCCTCTGTGGTGACCGTGTGTCAGCCTATCCTTATATGCAGCAAGCTGCGAAATTGTACAATGGTGCCATAGCCATGGCTCGAGTGCGGTGCGGGATACTAACCTCGGAAGAGGTACCTGGAAATTTCATGTTAGCATCTTCTCTTTTATTGTGTATATTGCCATTGAAGGGAGGGGTCGAATGAGGCTCAACGTCAAGGTGGATTATCTCTCTTGAAGCTCCAGAGCTCGATCGCGGCGCATGATTGACTGCTGCAGAGGAAGACTAACTCGTGGATCGCCTTGCGGTCGGCCTTGGGGATAAGCATCTTGACGGTTTGCGAGAAGTCTCGGTGACGCTGTTGTTAGCTGGAGATGAGGTCGATATCGATGAGGAACTTGGGCTGGGGAATTTGGACAAGTGCGTGGAGGCGCTAACAGGCGAGATGCCAAGCCCGGTAGCGCCAATCCCGGTCTCGATCTTCAATCTCCGTTCGACAAGCACAACCTCAGCGCCTCAATCATTACACCACGACCAAAAGCCAGCAAGTCACTCTCTGCTCATCAAAATCTTGCTATTCTGGAAATATTCCCAACTACCAACCAGACGCGCACGACTACCGCGACATAATAGCCATGGAGTCCGCCACCCAGTCTCCAGTCACCATCATCGTCAACAGCATCCGCGGACAGAACATCGCCTTCGCTGCAGCCAAAGACGCGCCTCTCACAGCCATCTACGACACACTATATGAACGCGCGCCATGGATCCAGAACTCGTCCTACATTCTCACCACGAACTCGCGCCGCACTGTACGCCATGACGAGGCTCCCATCTCATCGCTCCTCTCGTCGCCATCAGACACGTTTCTATCGCTTCGTCTGACTGTTCCGCTTTGTGGTGGTAAGGGTGGTTTTGGGTCTATCCTGCGCGCCCAGGGTGGTCGCATGTCGTCGCGGAAGAAGCAAGGCGACGCGAATGGATCCTCTCGAAACCTGGATGGAAGGCGGCTACGCACCGTCGAAGAAGCCAAGAAGCTTGCCGAATACTTGACAATCAAGCCTGAAATGGAGGAGCGCGAGAAGGAAGAACGACGAAAGCGATGGGAAGACATTGTCGAAAGCACTGAGCGGAAGCAGGAGGAGCTCATGCACAGCCGAGGTACAGCACGGCTCGACGGCAAATGGGTCGAAGATAAGGAGGAGGCAGAAAATAAGACGCGAGAGGCCATCGAGAAGATGCTGATGGCTCAGAGGGATAGCTCTGAGGAGGCCGAGGACGATGTGCAGCCTACAGCTTCAGGGTCAGTGACCATTCCGCAGCGAGCAATATTTGGGTGGGACGACGAAGATGACGAGTTCTTGAGCGACAGTGATGAGGAAAGCGAGGGGTCGGACAATGACATCAAGCAACAATCCTCAGAAGAGTCCTCGGAAGACGAAGTCAAGCTACAGCTCGTTGAAGAAATCCCGGAAGACGGCGTCGAGTCACATGTTGAGGGCAAAGGCAAGGCAGTAGCTTTTTGAGCAGCTCTGCGCACGATGGGTATGATATCAGGAGTAAAGTTTAAGTCTTTGGCAGTATATTAAGGTGTCTAGGTCATGGATCAGGCGAGCATTCATAGTTTCTTTGAGATACCCAGTTCAATCCTACATAATAATCAGAACATTGCATTCTCGAAAGCCTGCAAGATGCGACTTTGAACGGGAGTCGGAATGCGGAGAACCTGTATATCGGCGCGCTAAACGCCGCGGTCGTTATCGGACTTTACAACCCGCGTTTCCCCACCCCACTGGGCACATGTCATTTCATCACAGGACTAGCTATCCTTCCCTGATGCCGAAGGTTCCTTGCGTGACAATCCTCTTAGCCATGGGTCCTCCCTTCCTTCATCCCTCATGTTCAACGCAATGGCTTTGCCCGCTGCCAGATTCTCGTCTGTGCTGCACATTGCAAGTAGACGCTACCCCACATTGAGAACTCGTGCACCATCTGCACTCAAGAATGGGGGTAAGCAGATGAGAAACTTCTCGGTCAGCCCAAGATGGCAGTTGAGGACGAAGGAGATGAATGATGAGTTGTTGGGAAGCTTGAAGGTTGATCAGGGGAGACTTATGCAAGATATCCATCACACGTGCGAGTGGGGAAAGGGCGAGCGATGGGGAAAGTGAGTACATGAATGCCTGCCGTGAATGAGATGCTGATATTTTGAAGGGAATCTACAGAAACTGGAATGTCCAGACTCGCCCTCTCGGATTCAGATAAAGCTGCACGAGACTGGTTTGTCGAGACTACTGAGGCCTTGGGATGCAAAGTTACTGTTGATGCTATGGGTAACACATTCGCGGTGCGACCTGGACTGAAGAACGATAAGCCACCAATATACGTGGGCAGCCATCTGGACACACAGCCAACAGGCGGACGATATGATGGTATCCTAGGAGTCACTGCAGGCGTGGAGATGTTGAGGGTGCTTCAAGACAACTGGGTCGAAACCGAGTATCCCGTGGGTGTTGTGAACTGGACGAATGAAGAAGGTGCTCGCTTTCCAAAATCCATGGTCTCGTCTGGAGTATGGGCTGGATCTATTCCCCTAGAGACCGCCCACAACCTCCGCGAAGTGCACCCTGGGACAGCAACCATGGCGTCTGAGCTCGAAAGAATCGGCTACTTAGGCAAGACCCCAGCGAGCTACGAGGCGATGCCAATGGCCGCCCACTTCGAACTACACATCGAACAAGGCCCACTCCTAGAGATGGCAAACAAGAAGATCGGCGTCGTAACAGGTGTGCAGGCGTACAAGTGGTTCACCGTCAAAGTCAAAGGACGCGATACCCACACCGGAACCACAGATCTCAAATCCCGCGCAGACGCCCTCCTCACAGCCTCCAAAATGATTCTGCACTCGCATCGTCTCGCGACCGCCAATTCAGCCCTCGCATCAACCGGTATCTTGCACCTCAAGCCCGGATCCACAAACACCGTCCCAGGCGAAGTATCCTTCAGCCTCGACATCCGCGCAAAGAAAGACTCCACAGTCGCCACCATGAAAGACCTTGTCATGCGCGACTTTCCCAAAATCGCCGCAGGCGAAGACATCGACGGTCTGAACCACGGCTGCACAGCTGGCCTACCCCTCAGTGTCTCCATAACCGAGGACTTCGACTCGCCCGCGACCATCTTCCATCAGGACTGTATTCATTCTGTTAGCCAAGCGGCTCACTCCGCTCTCGGACCTGAAAGTCGTAGTTTGGTCATGGAGATGACGTCTGGTGCGGGACATGATAGCGTGTATGCGAGTAAGCGGTGTCCGACGAGTATGATTTTCGTGCCGTGTAGAGATGGAGTGAGCCATAATCCGTCGGAGTTTTGCAAGGAGGAGGATTGTGCATTAGGGGCCCAGGTCTTGATGCAGAGTGTGTTGAGGTTTGATCGGATGAGGGATGAGAGGAGGGTTAGTTGGAAGCAGGAACCTTATACCATCTGAAAGTGGAGGATGTGAGTGGCAGAGCATATTGGAAGTGTGTTACTAAATTATCTGGTCTGGTATCTCATGATACCTGTCATCATGAACAGTTTTGCTCTTGAGTCCAAAGTGTGCTGTGTTTTCTTAAGGGCTGGTGCAGTCATGTCAAGGACTTTGTTACGGGACGTGGTGTTGATACCACGCTCTGAGCCTGATACTTTGTGAAGAATAGGATAGTTCGTCAGCACCAACCGTATTGTTTCTTTGGTCTATAGACTTTGCTTTTGCACATGCACAGTCGATGTAGCGGGTATGAGGATTCAGATCAAAACGAAAGTGTCCGCCTGGTCCTCCTCCCAAGATACGCCTTCTCCTTGCATAATCCCTTTTACAAAGGTATCTCCACAGAACTGCCATTCACCCTTTTCTTCTGTTTTGTGGAGTACGCATGGTGTGTTGAGACCATGCAGGATGACGATAGGGTCGCCCACTTGCGCGACCCCTCTGACCATAGCCATTCTACTGCTCTGAAGAATTACCAACCTTCTTCCAACAGATTTTGCTATTTCACGCATGAATTGCGAGCTTGATACAACGATGATATCTCCTGACAACCCACTTGGGCTGTATCCATCTCTGATAAGAAATAATAAACTCTCAATTACGGAATATATCTTGTCCAATGAGTGACCATCATGACACAATAGAGCATCGACAGCATCCCGAACAAAGTTGGGACAGTAGTAGTCTGTGACTGAACAACAGTCTATGGGTTGGATTGGTGAATGGTACACGTGTCTCATCTTAGGCCAAACTTGATCCAACATCGATATGAGATTCGAGTAAAGAACTACAATAGTGTGAGTAGGGTAGTTGCAGCGTAGAAGGTTCATATCCACTTCGATTATATCGACGACTTTGCCTTGTACAGTGAGACGCTGAGCATTCGTCGAAGGTACTGTGATATGCGCGCGCCCTCGAGATGCGGAGTAAGGGTATTCTCTATCTATGCCCTCTAGACTCAGTTTGTAGAATTGGTCCCATTGCGTAACCCATGTGGGAACATTGCAATTTCGCTCCGGGTTGAAATATGCTATAATCGACAGGCTTTCGGTCCTCTCAATCAGAATTCTAGCAAAGTCTGTAAAGACATCGGTGTTTGTCTTCCGATAGTCGACGAAATCAACCGGGAACATGTCTTTTGCGCATCCAAGAAGTGCGAAGACTTTGTCTCTCGCATCTCGACACTTTAGCCTGCCGTTAATCTGTGGTAGCCATCGTGCCAAATTCATTTGTCCTTGTGTTGCGATTTCCTCTTTTGCTTTTTGAACATGGTAAAGGAAAACAGGGTTTATGTATGCATAGATGAGAGCCATGTCAGAAGACTCCTTGGAGTCCCACAACCAACGCGCCAGGTCGTCAAGGCTTTGCCAAGTTCGTGGACTGTCGCCTACGAATACTTTTATCAGTTTCGCTTGTACAACCTCCTGGAACACCCACAATCTTGAAAACCAAGGTCGGGCAAAAATTGCGCTCGACATTATCCATTGCAGAACAGAGATTCCGCCAACGTCTGTATGTGGTTCTGGGTTCATCGGTAAAGACTGTCTTTCAGGCTGGAAATCAGACTGCTGACCGAGCCATACAAGGACTTGCGAGGCGTTTTGGTATATGTTGCCCATGAATCTAACTTGCGTGTTCCGTTCATTTGTGTCCTGCTGGTTGATTGAAATCTGGTCTATCCAAAGGTACCTCGGTCGAACTTGCGATCGAATGATCACGTAGAGAAAAGTCGCCAGATCTTCAGTGATGCGTAATACGCGCTGAGAACCATCACATCCAGGGAAAAATATGCCGGTACAGAGACGCATATCTCGCCAACAGTAGGACAAGGCTTCGTACTCTGGGGCTGTCTCCAGGGGAACGGTGACAAGCTCAAATCCGCGGAGCACATCATCGTCCATCATAGCATGATCAATCTTCAAAAGCCGTATATGGTCGTGTGTGAGTGTGCCATAGTGAAGCGGTTGATGGAGCTCGTGTTCTATAGCGCTTTTATCGCCCGGGTAAGCGCGTCGAGACTGTGGCGGTTGCTCTACGAAAGTTGGTTCATGATCAGGCAGGTTCGGAGAGGGACTCCAATCTTTCCAGGAGCCGTCTTGATCAAGCTGCGGGAAGTGGGGATATCGAGCAGGTTTAGCTGCTGCAACTAATACATTCGACCAGGCTTTGAGAGACTCGTCAGACCATTCAAGTAAGCATGGCATCGTGAGTGGTGTCGAAGTAGGACATCAACAGTGGCGTTGAAACGACGACAAAAACAAGATTTCTGGGTTTGATCAGGAAGTGGAGAGGTTTGGAAGCTCTTGTTCTGCGTGATGAGTGACGGGGCGCAGCTTATGGCTTTCCTTGGCGACATCAATATTGATTAGACTCGTGCTGAGCCACAGTAAGCACATGATAGCCTCATTGGAACGCATTCCTATTGCGGATAAACCGGGGCTGATGTCCCCTCTCAAAGACAGCGATTGCCAGCCCATATCTCAAATTGTAACCTCAAATCCAAACACTCAATTCTGACTCTCTCTCCGCACTAACCCAATCTCTCCAAGAGCCTCACCCTGACCTTTTCATTCAATTCCTCCAACGTCTCCAACATTTTGACACTATATCGCTGGCAGACGATTTCCACATTACCCCTCTTATAGAATCCCTTAGGACAACATACAATCACCTTGCCTGTCCCCGCATACATGCCCAATTCCAGCAACGCAATCGGGGTACACGTTCCCGGCGCAAAGTAAACCACAATGACATCAGCTACCTGTGCATGCTCCATCTCCCACTCTACCTGTTCTTTAAACTTTGGAAATGAGATGTCTTCGATCCAGCTGCTGTCCCAGTCATCGCGGCTGGGATTGATGATAGCGACGGGCAGGTCGGAAAGTGAGGCTGTGAGGCTGGCTCGCCAATCTTTGGTGGAGCCGGACTCAATGGTACCGTATAGTATCACTGAAGGCCTGTCGATCTTAGATATGGTAGGGGGTTTGTAAACGATGGCTTTGGAAGTTTGTTCCGACATGTTTTGGTCTGCGATGGTGGATAGCAGGAGTTCATTTAGCCCCGCCTTATATTGAGTGAGTGCTAGCGTAGATTCGGCTCTCACATGTCAATTTGAGGAAGAACTTCACCATTGGAACGTCTAGCATCAGCAAAATGGAAGAATTTCACGAAACGCATGAAAACGAAGTTACCAGTGGAAATACATGATTATGAATACAGTCAAAGTAAGATCATGACGCCTAGGTACAAGAACAGTGCAACCAACGAAACGCTATCGTGAATATGAGCAGCCGTAACTATTTCCCTCGTAGCTCGGAGCTTTACTGTCATGCCAGGATTTCCAGACCCTCCTCACATCCAAGATTTGTGGTTCCTCGTCTTTGACATGTGACTCATCGTCTTCAATAGTTAGAGGCTCGGCTTGGATAACTTCCACTTCCTTCGTGCAATCTTCCTCGAATTCCTCCTTCCTCAGTACCACCATCACCTGATCAATCCGCGGAATCAGGTCTTTCACAAGGTCTGATGAAGTGATGCGTACCTTAGGATTTGGTTCAAGCAAACGCTTATACCACTCATTCAGCTGTGAACTAAACGGCCAATAACAGCAATCACACAGAGCCTCAGGAACGTCATACTTTGCTGTCAGCTCGTCTCCAGAGACATTGAGAGGGCGATAGAGCGAAGGAACCTGGTCTCGCCAGAGAGGTTCTTTCCACTTCTTATCATCGTTGATGTCTGGGTACGGTAGACCCAGCTTCTTCCTATCTGCGATGAATGCTGGTCGAGACTGTCTGGGGATAATGTCCAAAGCAAAGGCTTGGATCGTCAAGCCTAGGGACCATATGTCTCCTGATGGATGGACGGGCATTTTTCGTTCTGCCATCGGAGGGGAGAATTCTGGTGTCCCGTTCCAATATTGTGCTATGACGCCGCGTGGTGTCGGATGTGGTACTAGGCGGGCGAAGTCACAGATCACGAATATGGGCTCAACAGGTACTAGTTCGCCTTGAATATAGCCTTCTGGTTCTCGGACAAGAATGTTGTCTGGCTTGAGATCTTGGTGGACGTAACAAGTACCTAGCTTGTTGTGGAGATGATCCAACGCGAGAGCCATATCACGGAAGAGTTTCCAGACAGTGAGCTCCGGAATGCGTCGTGGTCGGCCATTGTTCGTCTCTTGTTTTTGCCATTTCTTTACGTATGCGAAGAGGTCGCCAAGATCGCACAGAGGGAAGAAGATGGCTGGGTATGTGAAAGGGTAGTAGGGACTATACGTTAGCATTCCGAGAACATGCTCATGATTACCGACAATCTTGAGGTTGCGAACCTCGTTCATCAGACGTTTGCGTGTGACCTCGTCTTGGTCAATTGGGATCTTCATAGCAACTGCCCTTCCTGTGGGCTCGTGTATGCACTTACGGACAAGTCCATCGCCGCCTTGCCCGAGTATTTGGAAGGGAACACAGGTTTTTTTGAACCTGCTGTGGAGTCGGAGGTCCTCGATAAAACTCTCTGTGTTCGATTCTTTCTCCTTCAAAATCGGCTTTCTATCGCCCATGCGAGGTGGCTGGTTAGTTGGATTTTTGGTAACTTGCTCTACTGACGTTGAATCGATGGCGGACATTTTGTACGTTCAGTAGAGTCGATGAGATGAAAAGTTTAGCTTTTGTATAGTACTCTGGTGTAATGAAATATATAAGACGATGCTGAGGTACTGTGTTGAAACAATTTGGTGGTATTTTGATCATTGTGATGTCTTCTTTTCACTTGACTTCGCTGTTTCGACCACGATGCTGGACATTGTCTCGCGCAACGTAAGTTGCATACTAGCCCTATACGTACACAGTGTTATCGCTGACCAGAGCGAGACCGGAATACCGCTTGATTTAGGTGTGTAGAAGCCGTTTGGATGATAAAAAGTGCGGAAAGCATATGAACGACACAATTTTATTTTTGGACATTCAGAGTAGAGAAGTATGACTATCGTATGTCAATACTATCTGGATGTGAATGAGCTACTTGACTCAGGAACTGCGTCGTATTCGTATCTGAAAGGATTTTATATCAGATATTGTGTAAACCAACCACGGCCTGCTTAATGGCATAGTGGTAGACAAGGACTTTGATAGTAACTTCAACGATAGCGAAAGCGAAGGCGAAAGCGACATTATCTAGTCAACGTTATTATCATACAAGAAGTGAATGCTTCGATGTCATTCTAGCTTTCCTTGCCTGCGGCTCACAACCACTTCACCACTCCCCATGGCATGAATATCATGGTAATTCTGAGAATGGGCTTTGGGAGAATGCGTTTATGAGATACGGCATCTGCGTGATCGTCCCAGGCATTGTCTTGTGAATCATGGAGTTGATTACTGGAGTAAATTTAGGAGGTTCCAATCTCTTGTTTTCTCGTCTCACATATTTCCATGGACGAATGGCTTTTTACCAGCCTAGCGAGCGTCATGCCGGCTGTACTGAACTGACATTTCCAACAACAACAAACGATACGCCCAACAAACGAATGAAGGCGCAGAAGGAGGAAGAGCGCAAACGCGGTCGTCCTTGCAAGACTGGCGTCTAAGATGCGCTTTTAAATATCTACCATGATACGGAAGTATATCGCAAACGGATGATCATCGGCGATGTCAACGGCGAGTGTGTAAGAATCGAGCGGAGTCTATGAAGCAAACATGGACGTTCTTTGGAGGTCCTGTTGGCTTCGTTTACAAAAAGATTCTCTGGCAGCCTCCGGTGGTCGGTCTCGTACAATCAACTGATGTTGCCGCAAACGTCAGATGGCGGGATAGTCGTTATTGGCAAACGATCAGATTCTTGTGTAAAACTCGGAGCCAACGCCATTGCTAATTCGAAACAGAAGACGCTAACCATGGTTGATGCAGCCCAAGTGAGGGGAACTCACGGAAGTGAATTTGCACGTGATGGTGTCGGCGGTAGGTCGGACCGCGCACGGACGCAAAAAATTCTCAGTTGGGTCTGGCGACGCGTTCTTCGACGAGGCCGGTCTTAGGGAATGCTTCCAAAGAAATGTATCTCCACGCCAACTTGACTCGGGATAGCATTCCCAGAGTGATCACGACACCAAACAATACCGGAGCGACGACTGATGGCCTGTATCTCCTAGCCGTTACTGGCCGCACCCTCACACCCGCACCCCACCTTCACCGCGTCCCTTGAGCGCGTTGCTTGACTGCGTAGACACACTCAGTTTAGGTGAGCTTGCGCTGCAGTTACCTTCTCTTCATTCCGCTTTCATGATGATCTCGTCATATTTTTAGATGTTAGACTTGCGACTTTACAGCATGAGCGCCAAAAGACTTCCTGATCGAAAGCCCCCACTACCGGAAAAAAGCCGCGTTTTTCGTGATTCAAAGAGATAAACTAACGCCTCTCTTAGATCCTGTTTGGCACCCTCTTTAACACTCACTACCTCCCAAGATGTGTGGTATCATTGCCGTGATTCATGGGGATCCGTAAGCATTCTTCTGCTTTACCTTGAGGAAGATGTACTAAGAATCGAAGGAAATCGCAGTCGGCAGCCGTGGAGATACACGATGCCCTCTATCTACTCCAGCACCGTGGGCAAGATGCAGCGGGTATCGTCAGCTGTAGCTCTGGCGGGCGCTTTCACCAGTGCAAGGGCAATGGCATGGCCTCAAAAGTCTTCCAGGATGGCGCCCGCGTCTCCGAGCTGCCCGGCTTTATGGGCCTTGGCCATCTGAGGTACCCAACTGCTGGAAGTAGTGCAAACTCCGAGGCGCAGCCTTTCTATGTCAACAGCCCGTATGGCATCTGCATGACGCACAACGGGAACCTGATCAACGCACCTGCGCTGCGACAGCGCCTCGATCACGAAGCGCACAGGCACATCAACACCGAGAGTGATAGCGAGATGATGCTGAACATCTTCGCGGATGAGCTGAATGAGACGGGAAAGGCGCGTATCAACGCCGACGACTGCTTTGCAGCCCTGGAGCGCATGTACAAGCTGTGCACAGGTGGTTGGGCATGCACAGCCATGCTTGCCGGTATGTAGAGTAGACTCTACTTTGCCACGGTCATATCACTTACAGCCTCTAGGGTTTGGTCTCATCGGCTTCCGCGATCCCTACGGTATCCGCCCAATGGTTCTGGGTAGTCGGACATCTGAATCTGGCCACAAGGACTACATGATGGCTTCTGAGAGCGTAGCCCTGGTGCAGTGCGGATACAAGGACTTCCAGGACATCCTCCCCGGGCAAGCCGTGATCATCGAAAAGGGCAAGGAACCCGTGTTCAAGCAGGTTGCTGAACAAGCCAACTACACTCCAGACATCTTCGAGTATGTCTACTTTGCGCGTCCTGATTCCGTCATTGACGGCATAGACGTTGATGAGAGTCGGCGCAACATGGGATTCACACTCGCGGACACCATTAGGCGACAGCTTGGTCCCCTGGTGCTGAAAGAAATCGATGTCGTGATGCCAATTCCAGAGACTGCGATTACTTCGGCAGTGTGCGTTGCAGAATCACTAAACAAGCCGTATGTCCAAGGCTTCGTCAAGAATCGCTACATTTTTCGCACATTCATCATGCCATCACAAAAACTTCGCCAAAAAGGCGTCCGAGCGAAACTAAATGCCATGGAGAAGAAATTCAAAGGCAAGAACGTTCTGCTTGTCGACGACTCCATCGTACGAGGGACCACATCTCGAGAAATTGTACTCATGGCCCGCGAGGCTGGCGCTAAGAAGGTCTACTTCTCATCCTGTGCTCCGCCTATCACCAACGCACACATCTACGGCATCGATCTAGCATCGTCCTCCGAGCTCATTGCGCATCATCGGGATTCAACTGCCATAGCCAAGCACATTGGTGCAGACGATGTCATCTTCCAGACGCTCGAGGATCTTGAGAGCGCCTGCGCAGCTCTCTCCCCTCGTGATCCCAAGACTCAAAAGTTCGAAGTCGGCGTGTTCTGCGGAAAGTACGTGACGCCTGTGGACGATGGCTACTTCGAGCATCTTGAAAGGATTCGAGGGGAAACTCGTAAGCACAAGGTCATGGAGAAGGCGCGTGAAGCCGTCGTCCATGGGGTGGCGGATCAGACGCAGGTACGCATGGCAACAGAGGGTGTCGTGAGTTGCACTCCAAGGGTCTAAGGCTGCAGCAAACTGACGCCCGAAGCAGGAGGTCGACCAACACGGTAATGTTGTTCCATCAGGCCCGAACGGAAGTTCTGGACAACCCCTGACCCAAGATGCTGGGAGTGGCCAGGCAACCAACTCCGACACAAGTGGCGACGGAGAAGAGCAAAATCGACATGCAAGTAGCCAGGACATCAGCTTGCACAACCAGTACGATTACAATTGAGATTTGCGTCTGTGGTTGTTGGCTGGGTAGATATGCACGGCCTGTTTTGCACGAAAGCGCAAGATGCTGCACTATGAATCATGAGTATATGGAAATGACTTGACTGGGGCATAACTTCTGGATGGCGTCGGTGGGTTTTTGGATCCGGGTCATCGGGCTTCAAAAGAAATACCAAGGTAGATGCGGCAGCTCGCTTTCTACGGCTAGGCCTTTCTTAGCACGATGGAATGATGTATTCAAAATAGATGGTCTGAAATTCTTCGACATGCTTCGCCCACCTTGCAGTATTCGCGTGATCTTGAGTCGACATGATACAGGTTCACGACAAGGCGGAGTAGGGGGTAAATTTGAGACTATGCATGCAGTCTGGATTGAGTGTATACATTTCTTTAGCATTGATCTTTCAAGGGATGGAAGATATTTCCAACAGAGGTTCGCTACCCACTTCACCCCTTGCTTTTCGAACTCGATTATGTAGAACAACCCTACTGCATGAGCCGCTTATGTGTTGTTGGGAGTTTCTCACTAGGCGATGATTCCACTCCCTAAGGACTATAGTCGGTTTTAAGTAAACCGAAATCGTCGGTTTATTTAAAATTAAGTTCTGGTTTAAAGTAAACTAAGTATCTAGTTTATAATAAACTAGGTTTTAATATAGTAAACTAAATTTTGTATTAGTTTACTCTAAATTAGAGTCCTAGTTTATTAGAAAACTAGAGATCTAGTTTATTATAAACTAGCACTCTAGTTTACCTAAATCTAAAGTTTTTTAATATTAAAAATTACGTTTAGTAGCAGTATACTATATAGAAGTATAGGGTTACAGTTTCCTTATTTTAGCTTCTAGCTAAAATCTCTATAATTAATAATAAATACTTTTAATCTTCTCTAATCTCCTTTAATCTTCTCTAAACGCTGCTAAACGCTGCTAAATATTAGGTAATTCTGCTATATATAATCTAGTAGGTAATATTACCCTTAGATCTTATATTATAGTATAGTTCCTGTATATAGCTATCTATAAGGTAGAGCTATTATGTTACTATTAATATAGGTATAGAGCTTATTAAGCTAGCTGTCCTTACAGTAGAGCTATTATACTATTAATATAGGTATAGAGCCTATTAAGCTAGCTATCCTTATAGTAGAGCTATTATATTACTGTTAATATAGGTATAGAGCTTATTAAGCTAGCTATTATATTACTATTAATATAGAGCTTCTTAATATAAGTATAGAGCTTATTAAGCTAGCTGTCCTTAAGGTAGAGCTATTATACTGCTGTTAACGTAGAGCTTCTTAATATAGGTATAAAGCCTATTAAGCTAGCTGTCCTTATAGTAGAGCTACTATACTACTGTTAATATAGGTATAGAGCTTATTAAGCTAGCTGTTTATAAGGTAGACCTACTATACTTACTTAAGTAAGTTAGCTAAGAGGTTACTATACTACTTCTATAGCCTAATATACTACTCTTTCTCTTAAGTAAGCTCCTAGTATTACTTATTAATAGTCTTAGTAAGTTCTGTAATATATCTATAGTAGAACTCCTTATTAGTATACTCTATAATACGTCTATAGTAGAACTCTTTATTAGTGTACTTCTATACCTATAGTAGAACTCCTTATTAGTGTACTTCTGTACCTATAGTAGAACTTCTTATTAGTCTTAGTAAGCTCTGTAATGTGTCTGTAGTAGAACTCCTTATTAGTCTTAGTAAGCTCTGTAATGTGTCTATAGTAGAACTCCTTATTAGTATACTTCTGTGCCTATAGTAGAACTCCTTAGTCTTAGTAAGCTCTGTAATACCTTTGTAATAACCTATAATTACTATTAGTTACTGTAATCTCTTATAAACGCTACTAAACTCTGCTAAACCTAGCTAAACCCTATTAAACTCTACTAAACGCTAGTAAACTCTTATAGAACTTTACACTATCTTTAGGCTTTATTATACCTTTTATTCTTGCCTATAACTCTATTCTTTAGCGTAATCCTTCTATTTACTAATACTTTAATAGGTATAATACTAACTAAACCTAGAATATATATAGTAATAATCTAGTAAGTTAGTCTATTAATCTTCTTTATAATAATGCCTATTAAAGAAGTAGTATTCTATTTAGTAATATAGGCTATATTCTAAGTGCTATTTACCTTTACTAATGTATAAACCTAGCTAAAGAAAGGCTCTCTACCCTATCTATTATAGTAGTAGTAGATATAGGAGTTATTATAGTTAATATCTATATATCTTTAAAATAGGCTTAGGACTATAACTACACTAGTAGACAGCTATATACTGCTAAATACCTATAGGTAAAGATCTAGAAGTGTATAACTCTTCTTTATAAGGGGCTAACCCTAAGGGTAGTTACTAGTATAAATTAGATAAATTTACTAAGGATCTATAGTACTAGTTTTCCTCTACTTATAGTCCTTCTAGTAGTGTACTGGCTATTTCTAGTAGGCGTTAGTAGTTAGGGCAGTTAAGCTCTAAGGCTTTACTTACTAAGGTTCTACTAGGCCTAGCCTATTATATAAGCCTCTCCTTAGTAAAAAATTTTATATTTTAACCCTACTATAATATAACGTATTAACCTACTTCTATACGTAATTTTTACTACAGCTATACTAATTTTACCTACCTTAACTTCTATTTTACCTACTACTATAATAGTAGGTCTACCTAAGAAGCCTATATTATTTTCTAAGTTCTTTACCTTAGCTGCTAGCTCTTTAAAGAAGTCTCTAGTAAGGAAGTAGACTTATTCTACTACTAAGAGTAATAAGAAGGCCTTACCTTTACCTATAAGTTTATCTAGTTTGTTAGATTTACTCTCTTCTTTACTAACTTCTTATTTTATTAGTTTTATACTCTTCTACTTACTTATCTATTACTACTAGCGTTGTCTCTACCTTTACTTCTACCTCTATTACTAAGAGTTACTAGCCTCTTTAGCTACCTATCTACTTAGGTTATACCTACTATCTTCTAGAAGATAGGGAGATCTGTATCTTTAAGAAGGGTAAGTAGTTCTATAATTACTGCTCTTAGGAGCAGTATACTACTTATTATAAGGTAAGTAATATTTACCTTTACTTAGGTACTACTAGTTAACTCTTAGGTAGGTTCCTAATTAGCTTAAGGCTAAGGTTATTTTCCTTTATAGTCTTCTTACTATCCCCCCTAGTAATATATCTATAAAGTCTATTACTTTACACTTTAATAAGTTAGGTCCTAGGCTTATTAAGGCTTAGTAAGAGGCTAAGAAGAAGTCTATTAGTTAACCTAGGTATTAGGATAATAACCTTAGTAATACTATTACTAAGTTACTTCTTTATACTGTTATAGTTAAGCTTAGTAATATTTAGGCTACACTTAATTATTAGAGTAAGGCTGTTTTAGTTCTAGTAAGTTTTCTTTCTAGTTTTACTACTTTTCTAGCTAATTTCTATACTTTTCTAGGCTAAGACTACTAAAGGTTAGACTAAGTATCTTATTAATATTATTACTAAGCTTATCTCTCTTCCTTCTAAGCCTTAAGAGCTACCTATCTATAAGAATAATAGTAGTACTAGTAATTAGAGTACTTTTAAGAATAATACTACTATTAGTAGTAAGGATAAGGTAATATAGTAGTAGTTTCTTAGGTTTTTTCTTTAGTATTCTAGTAGATACCTAGTGTAGTATAGTATTTTAGGCCTATAGCACCCTATTAGTAATACTCTAGCTGCCTATAGGTAGTTAATTTTATACTTATTAACTAATTTTCTCTTCTTTTCCTTCTAGTAATATTTTAATTTTTTTAACTATCTATATTCTTAGCCCTAGTAAGAGTATTTGTTAGTAAACTGCCTATAGTTTCTTATAGTACTTATTACTAAAAATATTACTTCCTCTACCTCTACTCTACTATTACTAGGGGCTTAGTATTATTATAGTTTATTAGGGGAACCCTTTTAGAAATTCTCTAGTAATTTACTAGCGTTATTTTATTTTTTTTTAGAGAAGGCTAACTAGCTATTTAGTACTTTAGCTTCTTTAAGGTTTTCTACTAGCTTCTATAAAGTTATAGTATAGTCTTTCTATTTAACTAGGTATTATTTCTTATACCCTCTACTACGTTGTTTCTACCTTTTACCTATAATTTCTTTAATTTTTTAGTAGTTTTCTAGTTCTCTGTTAATATTTTCTAATATACTCTTAGGTTAGTAATTATTAGTATCTTATCCTACTAGAGGGTTTCTAGAGTATAGCTATAGCCTATCTATATAAAATACTAGGTAAATGCCTAGGAGAGTGTTTAATCTTACAGTATAGGGGGAGATTACTTTCTCTACCTAGAACTTTATATTTTTCTAGTCTAGTTTCTTGCTTAGCCTACTATTAGAGAAGTATTTTCTATACTATAGCTATACTTAATTCCCCTCTTATAGTTATAGTACTTCTTATTAATAGTAGTTAGCCTAGATTTCTTAGAGTTATTAGGCTTCTGCTATTCTTACTTATATATAATCTAGTATTTCTATAAATTTTATAGTAAGTATTCTAGCTAACTTCTCTAGATTATTAGGCCTTTAATATTATTACTAGATTACCTATTCTGTATCTTCCTGTACTGTATCTATATTATATCTGTATTATAGAAAGAATAGGCTAATACTAGTAAATACTGTATTTCTTCCTTTAATAGTAATTTAAGCAGTAGGATATATTAGTACCTAGTTATCTTGTTTCTAATTAACGTAGGCCTGTAAGTAGGATTCTATAGTACTATTTATCCTTTTAGTAGCGCTGTTAGTTTCTAGATAGTAGCTAGTAGATACCTAATAAGTAATACCTAATTTTCTATAGAGGGTTTTCTAAAAATCTCTAATAAACTAGCTACTATAGTTAGATATAATAGTGTCTAGGAGCTAATAGTAGGCTACTACTCTTTTTATAAAAGCTCTTATTACTGTTTAGGTATCTAGATCTTTTAATAAAATAAGTATTATATCTTTACTTAGCCTATCTATAACTACTATAAGGTGCTAGTACCTATTACTTATAGATAAATTAATAATAAAGTCTATTAAGATTTCCTTTTATACTCTATCTAGGAGGGGGAGTAGT